CCTAACCTAACCTAACCTAACCTAACCTAACCTAACCTAACCTAACCTAACCTAACCTAACCTAACCTAACCTAACCTAACCTAACCTAACCTAACCTAACCTAACCGGGGACTCGAGAGAGAACACGAAAGAAAGTGCAAGGAGAAGAGAAATAGGGCGCAAGGCGGACTAGGACGCCAGCTCGTAGTTGTAGACAAGGGCCCCTGTAAATTGCAGATCGTCGGGTGGGATGGATGGCGTACGAACGCGAAGACTTACGGAGGTCAGGCGGCGCAGCGTTCTTGATGGGCCGGTCAGAGTCCGTTCGGCAATTGGGAAGGCTCCTTGAACACGTCGCCACTGTCGATCCCGGCCCTGTCCGGCGCAAGGTCAGGACACGCTCGACGAACGGGCAATTCACACTCACTCGACCAGGTTCCTCTTGTCGTTGTCGACGAATTCACGGAGAATGGCAACGCGAACGTCAAAGGGGATCGCAAATGGGATGTTGTAGAGGATCCGCAGGCGCGGGGAAAGGTAGAGGGCTCGTTGATTACTCAGAGGCTACAGCGTGAACGCAATGTCCAACCATTGCCTCGAGAACGGGGCGTAGACTCCGGCCTAACGTCTGCGGATGAGTAGAATCCGTCGTCGCCCACCTTCACAAGAGATCGTGTGTACAAATGGATAACCAACACCAAGGGAAGCCATGACGACGGATGGATGGGATCTGGAAGAAGCGTGAGCAGTGACAACAGGCAGAAGAAACACCAGCTCGCGCGTGAATGCGCGCAGGCCGCGTGTGAAATCACCAGCCAATGAGATTTGTATCATTCCACACCACTGTGCGCCCCCAATCAACTGACTACCCTTCAAAAATGAACCACACTTTGCATGTCGTCACGTCAGCACCTATAACCAGCACAAGGGGCTGCGAACGCACCTTCAAGAGGAGCCGCTGCCCCGCACATCGCGCGCATCTGCTCCCGCACCTCTCAACAGTTCGTATAGACCCACCAACACAGGCGGAACCCAGATGCCCACTTTGGCTCTCATGCGGGCGCGCCAACCGCGACTTCGGACTGTGCGATGACGACCCTCGGGTCTAGGACGGAGAAGATCGAGAGTTCGAGAGTGTGACCGTGGAGGCTGTATAAGCGACGAGGAGGGTGTCCGCGCTGGCAGTGCTAGGGTAGACAGTCAGGGACTTGGTAATGTTGATAAGGTAGAGGTGGTAGGATCATACTTGAACGGAAAGACGCCATGTGACTGGGGAGTGATGGTGGATGCGTTGAAGCGGTGTTTGAGGGAGGAATAGAGTAATCGCCTGCGCTGATACATGTTCTCGTCTGGTGTGTCCGCGGCATCGCGCGCCCATAGTGTCTTCAGCGTGCGGTTCTGCGAGACGTCGCGCCCAAAGCCCGCACTCGCAACGACCTGGCCAAAGCGCGTTGGTGCGGGGAGTGAGACAAGGCGGGTGTCGAAGAGTAAGAGTGCAAGATAGACCGCGAAAAGGAGTGCGAGGAGAGGGGGAATAGGGAACTAGGTGGATTGGGACGCCGGCTCGTAGTCGTCGACAAGGGCTGGGATAGATGGCGGACGAAGACGGAGACTTACCGGTGGCGGGAATGTCGACAAGGTCCTCCACGCCGCCCGCGTAACCTCTGTCTCGTCCATGTCGCTCGCGTCACCCTCGTGTTGTCTACCCGACCTCGTCTGTGTCGTCCGCGTGACTTCTATGACCTATCTGCTCTGTCAGACAATGTCTTGCCATGAAGGCCGTTGGTGAAGTCAAAGGGCAGCGTGACAGGCAGGAAAGAACAGACTTAGGAGAGCGTGGGCATCGCCGGCGAAGCCGGCAGCGGCGAGTGGGTACGTCGAGCTCGACACGCATAACATATTTGGGTATATGGAGGGCCGCGCGACGAACCTCGCACTGCGCGCAGTGCACCCCGGCGAGCGACCTTTCATCATTGCGTGCTCGACATTCCCGGGTTCGGGGCACTGGACAGGACACTGGGTATGTTGTCGTCGTCCTTCCTTCCGCCGTACCGGCGTTTCGCCAAGCGGTACTGATTCGCGGATGTACCTGTCAGCCTGGGGATAACTACAGCAAGTGGGCATACATGGCGCACAGCATCGCAGGCGTGCTCCAGTTCTAGCTGTTCCAAATCCCGATGGCCGGCGCCGACACGTGCGGCTTCAGTGCATAGTCCTTGCCGTCGATTCACCTGCTTGCTTGAGCCTAACCGTGGGTTATATTGTGCATACGCGGAGCAGTCGGCAACACGGACGAGGAGTTGTGCAATCGCTGGATGCAGCTATCCGCGTTCACGATGTTCTATAGAAAACACAACCAGCGCGGCGCGCTGTCCCAGGAGCCTTACAGATGGGATAGTGTCGCCAACGCGAGCAAGACCGCGGTCTCAATACGCTACGCGCTCCTGCCGTACTGGGTGAGCCTCTTCGTATGCTAGAGATTCAAATCCGCGATTCATCGTTGACCGCGGACGGGATCGGGCAGTACACACTGTTTGCCAACGCCTCGACGAACGGCACACCTCATGTGCGCGCGCTCTTTTTTGAGTTCCCCGACGAGCCGGAGCTGTTTGCGGTGGACCGTCAGTTCATGGTCGGGAGCGACATTCTCGTCACGCCTGTGCTCGAGCCCAATGTGACTACTGTCGACGGTAGGTCGACATGGAATTCATACCCGCTGGATTGCTCATCCCCATTGTGTCATGTCAGGCATCTTCCTTGGCCGCGGGCAGATAACCTGGCGCGACTGGTACACCCACACTGCAGTAAACGCGACCGTGGGCGCGCCGACCACGCTTTCCGCGCCCCTCGGGCACATCAATGTGCACATCCGTGCGGGCGCCGCCCTCCTCACACACGCGCAGCCGGCGTACACGACACGCGAGACGCGAGCGGGGCCGTACGCGTTGCTCGTTGCACTCGGTGTTGACGGCGCAGCATACGGCACGGCATATCTCGACGACGGGACCTCGCTCCCGCTACCGGACTCCCCAATCGCGAACCGGACGGTGCGGTTCATCGTGCACGCGGGCGCGCTCACGATTGAGAGCACAGGTACGTTCCGCGTGGAACAGCCGCTTGCGCGCGTCACGGTGCTCGGAGTGCCGAGCGCGCCTGGGAGCGTGTTCGTCGGCGGGCAGGAGGCGGCACGGGGTGGATATACGTACAACGCAGACGTGGAGCAGCTCCTGATGGACGGGTTGGCAGTCAACTTAAACAACGGGCATCTGTCTTGGTTGTGACGCATCGCACGTTCTGGTTTTTGAGTTGGTTCTTTTCCTTGCTTGTCATCTACATTGACCTCTCCCTACGGGCGCTGGTCGTGAAAATAGTCCACTTACTGGCGTTGGTTATGACATCAAATGTGTGGGGATTTGAGGGGGTTTGTGAGGATCGGGAGGGCGACGGGTGAGGGTGAGGGCTCACGGTGGCACACTTGGAGAGGCGGGAGTACGCGCGGCGGACGTAGAACTCGCCATCGGCGATCTGGGGCTGCTCGATGTCCGCCTCGCGGTGCTCTATGATCTTCGTGGGGCCTTCAACATGCAGCGCCGTCAGTCAGCCGTCGCGGGCGGGGAGAGGTGCGGCGGAGGACGCACCGTTGAAGGAGGTATGCGCGACGTAGTCGTAGTCGGATTCGTCGGCGCGCAGGCGCTCGTAGCGGCCGTAGCTGGCCTGGATGTTGGCGGGGCTTTTTTGGGGGGCGTGTGCGGCTGCGGCGGCGGCGGCGTTAGCGTGGACGACCAAAGCGGTCTGTAGAATGGAAAGGACTGTGGGAGACTCACTCTGTGTCGGTGTCGTTGGCGACGTCAGCGCCGGAGTAGTACCACTGGACCTTAGCCCAGACCTACGGTCGCTCGCGTCACGGCGAGGACGCGTCAGACGCGCGGTGAACACACGCACATACGCATACACACGCACACACGCACACACACAGAGGGGCAGCAGCACGGGGGCGGGGCGGGGTGGGTGCTTACCCCAGGGTCGTCCACGGGGCACGTGAGCGGCCGGCGTCGTGCGAACTCGAGGATCCGACCGACCCAGAGCTCGTGGGCGAAGTAGGAGGATGTCGGGAACCTAAACTAACTTTCCCATGCTGCCATCGCAAACCGCCTTGCGCTCACTCATTTCGGTGCTTCCGTCGAGGGGTCGCACGTGCACGCATCAGAGGCGGGATTGTCTAATGAGGAGGTCAAGTGAGCGAGCAGCCATAACGACAAGGAGGCTGCAGAGGTTGCGGGACACATGTTGAGCAAAGGGCGGGTGGAAAGGGCGAGAGCGAGAGGTACGAACCTTGGTAACGCTCAGCCTTCCTCTGCCTAGCTCATTCCTCCGCCACCAGCTGCTCCTTGACCTCCTCGTCGACGCGCTAAAGCGCGTATGGCTTAATATTTGTGATCCTCTGTGTGCGGAAGCGAGGGCACGTGGAGGGACGGCGACAGTGTGGGGACGCCAACTGTTGTTGGACCGCGGGGTCTCAGTGGTGACGCAGGTCGAGGGAGGGAGAATGAGGGGGCAACCTTGCGTGGTGTCGAGGGGACGCGCGTGAGCGCTTGGGCATGAGGGCACAAGCGTGAACTTTGATGGCCCAGGAGGTCGAGGGGCACTGGATGAACACGAGCGTGGGCTCGAGGACATGACCATGGGCTCGAAGGGAAGAGGATACGCGTGCTCAAGCATTTGGATCCCAGGTGGTGCGTGCGCTGAAGGGGACGAATATGCGCGGGCGAAATTGGGGGCGGAATCGCAGCTTCATCGGGTTGAGCGGACAGGCGGGCGGAATGGTTGCGAGGACACTGGGTGGTGGGCGTGCTTGTGTTCACAGATATGAGTGTGCGTATGTGGGGTCGAAGGGATGCACGGCCGGAAACGTGGGGTGCGTGGGCTGAACGGACGAGTGTCGAGGGGAGACAGGTAGGCGGCGGGGCGGGCGGAAAGGATGAGGTCAGGATATACACATGTGTGGGGAAGGACTGGCGCCACGAGGGACGACGACGCACCTTCATGACGCTTGTCCTGGTCAGCGAGCGTGCATCTCCCCATAGATATCCTCGTCCTCCACGCCCATCCATGTTCCCAGCCCGTCTCTCAGCCGCCACCGCCGCTGCCGGTCCTCTTCTTCCTACGCTACCAGCCAGTTAGGTTAGGTCGAGGATGGGACTGTTGACGAATGTGAGATCGAGTGTGCGCAAACTCGAGAGGACGAGGGCGACGAGGATGAGGGGATGAGGGGTCAAGCGTGCACGGGGTCGAGTGTGCCTTTGGTTTTGGCAACGATCCAGGACGAGGGAGGAGTGGTCGAGGGGCCGTCGAGAGGTTGTGCGTGCACGCGCGCGCGAGCTGGATGAGTCATGCGGAAGCGGATCTGGGTCGGATCTGGGTCGCAGGCGAAGGCGGATGCGTGAGCTCAAGGGATGAAAGGGATCGAGGGCATTCGGTGGCGGACGGGCGTGGGCTAGATGAGTCTAACTTGGGCTTGACGGGACAAGGGGAAGCGCGCGGATGAACGGGGATAGCATGCAAAGGCGGGTGCATGGCGTTGAGGGGTCGCACGTTCACGCATGGGCACAAAGGCAGAACTGGCTATTGAGGGAATTAAGTGAGCGAACGGGCTTGGCGTTAGAGATCGAGGGCGTCGCAGGGTCGGCAGAAAGGATCAGAGCGGTAGGTACACACCTTGGTGACGCTCGGCCTCCCTCTCCCTAGTTCATGTCTTTGTTGCCAGCTGTTACTCACCCTCCTCGTCAACACACTAGAGCGCGTGTGGCATGATGTCTGCTATGCTTTGTGCGTGGGCTCTGGGGCTTGAGGGGACGAGGGGACGTACGCATATAAATTTGGGTCGCAGGCAAATGGATGCATGTACTGAAGAGAACCGAGCGTGCGCAGGCGGGATCGAGGGTTAGGTTCGACGCTCGAGCGGGTCGAGAGGGCAAGAGTGGCGTCAGGCATGCACAGGATCTTGGCGGTGACACGGTCTAGGATGCCTGGGCGAGTGACCCGAGCGAGGAAACCTTCGACTTGAGCATGGAGATGGTGCTCTGCGCAGCAGCCTGTTGAACTTTGAGCGTGCGCAAGAGCTTGAGTGAAGATTTGACCCGGGAGGCGAGGGCATTGAGGCACTCCTGTGACACGGAAGGCATTGAAAGCTGGAGTGCAAAAGGTTCTTGTAGGGACAACGACAATCTTCTACTAAAATACCGAGTTGCTTGAGCTGTCGTGTCGCTAACAACATAGAGGGCGCCGTGGGACCTTGCCAATCCGATCGACTGAGTTGAAACTTGGAAGGCTGCGAGGTAGGAATCTGAAAAGAGGAGAGGAATGGGTGAGGTCGATGAATGCAGGAGAAAGAGAGAAACGGCACGTCGAGACTCGCAGATAAATGAAACATGGTGGGAGAGCTTGAAGGACCAGAAATAACATGCCATACCGAGGTTAGCGCACGCGTAAAGTCTCTCATGATATACCCAAGCGGCACAAGTACCTACAGAAAGATCTGAAATCATTGTTAGACAAAGATAAGGACCGCAATGGGAATCCTCAACACTGCTTGCTGTCTCAAGGCCTCGGCGGAGGCACATCGTCCGTTTGCAATGCCGAGGGCGGGAAAGAAGGGACAACGAAAAGTAGAATACAGATACACTTACAGGAGCAGGGGTCTGCCATGGTTATGGTTACAAGTCGTCTAGTGCGCGTAGAGCAGAGTTTGCTCCGGTTTTGCGATTCATCGTTGTGTGGTAATGGCTTAGGGAGAACACCATGTCCGCCGCGACGGTGATGTGCGTCGATCTACTCTCATTCGCCAGCTCCTCGTTGGGCAGCTTTCGTGTGCGCCTAGAAACCACAATGAGAGAATAAAATTTAAATTCAACAAGTCGACACGCGTCTACGCAAACACGATCGGAGCACGCGCGACATAACCTTTGCGCGCATCCAGGACGTCAACGCCGCTGCTGATCAACTGCATATGCTCCAGCTGGCTCACGCACGAGAGCACCTCGCGCCACGAACCCTTGAGGTTATTGCCCTTCATGACTGTGACGTCGAGAAGCATCTGGGCCGCCTCCATGTTCTTTGTCTTCATATCCCCGAGGTTGTTCAGGAACGTGAACTTTGCGAGCGTCGTCACGAACGCGTTGCGCTCCAGCTCGAGGTCGAAGAAGCATACGATCCGGACCGCATTTCGGAAGCCGTCGAGGCAGAGCTCCACGACATCCAGGTTGTCCGTCTCCTGCAGTGGGCCCGAGATCCCCGCGAGGAACGGGATCCACGCGACCTCGAACATGGGCCAGACGTGTAAGAAGTGCGACACGCTGAAGAACTGCCCGCCACTCCGCGAACCCTTGCACTGGGACTGCATCATCGTCCTGAACAGCGCCTGCATAACCGACGCGTGAGCAAACCACCCCAGCACTGACATCTCGATGCTCGATGCCATCAAGAAGCATTCACCTCGGTCTTGTGCGCCATGCCGTTCGACTGCAGCATATACGCCTCCCTCTGCAAGTCCTGCCCGACCGTGGCGAGCGCGCTCGCCAGCCCCGCACCCGGCGCGAGCGACGCGACCAGGCTCGAGTCCACCTCATCCTTGATCCGGATCCCATTGTTCACGATGTCGTCAAAGATGGCGGACAGCAGCTCCTCGGGGAGATCCGCACCCTCGTTGATCCCGCGGTTGTTCTTCACGAAGTCTGCGCGCGTCATGCGCTTCTTCACCTGCGGATTGTGCGCATCCGTGTTGAGCAGGATGACCGAGTACGAGATCACGTAGGCGGTGTCTGCAACGGGAACGGGGCCGTGGCGCGTCAGACGCGCGCGTGGATGAGCAGCGCGCGGGACACACATCAGCGTTCGCGAACGGTGTGTTCGCATTGCCCTCGATGTAGCGCTCGGCGAACTTGAGCATGAACCGATCGATCTTCTACGGTTCCCCGGGCAGGCGGAACGCCTGCAGGTAGACGCGCAGCGCGTCGACGAAGGGCATGTTCCGCAGCTGCAAACTGTAAGAAAAAATGCTATCAGCAGTGCGCACTTTCTCTGAGCATCTGTTGTCTGCTGGCGTCGTCGAGAGCACGCAGAGAAAGGGTTCAGAAGAAGAAAAAGCTCACTAATGAAGTCTAAAATGTCCTGAGAGAGCAAGGAGACCTCGGCTGGGGAAGCGTGTTGCGCTCGATGTTCAAAGGTGCGGGGAGGGTCGACGCGACGCGACGTGGCGGCGTGCTTGATCACGAGACGTTGGAGGGCACTGTGTGCCGACACAGTCAGAGGGAAAACTCCGACTGTGTCCGACACAGTCGGACTTTGTTCCGACACAGTCGGACTGTGTGCCGACACAGTCGGACTGTGTGGCGCGACAATCAACGGACTGTGTGCGGCACGGCCGGACTGTGTGGCGCGACAATCAACGGACTGTGTGCGGCACGGCCGGACTGTGTGGCACTGAACCAGCGCCAAAATCCGGACTGTGTGCGGTCTCGGCCGGACTGTGTGGCGCAACAGAGAGACTGTGCACAGTGTGACAACAGTGTGACAAAAGTGTGACAACTGTGCGCCCGCAATCTCCCGACTGTGTGCCGCCCTTTCCCGATGCTGACTAAACTGTGTCTCCGGGTTGCAGAATACCCTCAACATCACAAACAATTACATATCTCTCGATCCCCTCATCCAAATGATAAAATTAGGTTATAATTTGAAAGGTAGTGTATGTAGGAGCATTTTATTAGTTTCGCAATGGAAATCCAAGGACAATTGTGGACTGGAGACTCGGTTTTTTGAGGTTTTCCCTCAATTCTGTATTTTGCCTGTAACATCTTCAGTACTCCATGTCTACTAATGAAAATATCAGGGTACCATGACAAATACATTTTAAGCCCATTGAATCAGACAGAATTGTGTGCAACTTCGGATTTGGTTCCCAAAACCCAGACTGTGCTTCACACAGTCTGATTTTGGGGGGTAGACTGTTTAAATCCATATCTATTGAACCCCTGATTCAATCCCACTGCTTCTGGGCCTCAAAGTTGAAGCAGGGTATGAAGATTACAGAAATAATTTTTTCATATTTATATTGACATTTAATTGGCAACACAGTAGTTTCGGATATCGGTGGACTCAAAAGTGTCGGTAATACTACTAGTGTCGGTAATACTACTAGGTGTGTATCAGGACTCAGCCCTGCCAATACGCGGCTGACATGACGAGCCTCTCCAGCCACGGACAGGCTCGTCATGTTAGCCGTGTATTGGCATGGGTGGCTTCTTCACCTCTTAATGGCCTCTTTAGCCCTGCCATACCCCTGTCCTACCCTGAACCTTCTAGCTTTTCAGGTTAGAATTGAACCCCTGATTCAATCTCACTGCTTCTGGGCCTCAAAGTTGAAGCAGGGTATGAAGATTATAGAAAGGATTTTGTCATATTTATATTTACATTTAATTGGCAACACAGTAGTTTCGGATATCGGTGGACTCAAAAGTGTCGGTAATACTACTAGTACAACGAAAGAATTTTAAAATGAGCTATGGCAAGTTGATCATCCTGTGCCGGAACTCGCGCATCGCGCAGTTCTAGTTTTGTGTCGGAATTGGTCAATGGCGGTTGCCCGAAGGCATACTTTCATTTGAATGATCGTAAAGAAATGAGTGAAATACCAAGATCCTAGCATAGTATCATGATGTGACAGAAGATACAACATAGTACGCCACTTATCCGGCCTCCATATACTACAACAGCACAAGGTTCCGCCAAGGCCGAAGATGCTACACATTAGGAGGAATACAGTCATCGCAGCTCGCTGGTCTCCAAATTTGTCGCGTATCGGCCGCTGGCAAACCCCTCCCCTTTGCTTGGCTGGTGATCGTCGGTTTCGTTCGCATACGCTGAGATGTAATCAAACTGGTCATCCTCCGCGACCGCAGGCGGACTCTGTGTCTGCGCGGGGGAAACGGAGAGCGGCTGCGACTGGCTAAGGGACGCAGACGACCCGTGCCCACCAGGGCGTAGCGCGTATGGTGAGCTAGGCAAGCCGCGCTTCTTGAAGCTGAGAGGGCTTGTTTCAGCGGCCGATGGTACTGATCCCGCGGAAAAAGATCCTTCTGATGGGACACGATTCTGAGGACGGCGGAATGCTGCGGCAGAGATAGTGCGCACCCCAGAAGGAGGGGGCGGAGGTGGAGTGACGTGTGGCCTGGAGAAGGACGATTTAGGCGAAGTTGATGGCGAGGTACCCAAGCCGACGGCGGGGTATTCTGGAGGCGTGCGATAGGGCTGGGGCGTTGCGAAGTTAGAATCAGACTGAGGAGACGACATAGGGACTGGAGGTGGAAGGGAGATAGACGGCGGTGGCTGCTGAGGTGCATCTATCGGCGAGGAAGGTAGGTTTGGCGAAGGAACATTGGGAGAGGATGAGCGGCGAGGAGCCAGAGGTTCGACGGGACTCCTGGGTGTAGGCGAAATACCCTCACGGTCGCGGTTACCAGGAGTTACTAACCTTGTTAACACTTGGCCTCCTTCTTCCTAGTTCGTCTCTCCGCTGCCAGCGGCTCCATGGCCTCCTCGTCAACGCGCAGTAATATTCATGATGCTTTGTGCGCGGGCGAGGAGTGCAATTGCGATGGAAGCGGGGGGCGTGGAGGGACGGCGACGGTGTGTGCACGGTTTAGGAACAGCGGGGCCTCAACAGTGACGCTGGACGAGGGAGAGAGAACGAGGGGATGCGCGTACATGTGATAGCGGTATGAACCTCCCGCCACCGTCACTGCCACTGCCCGTGTTCGGCTGCTCGTCACCGCCACCACTGCCGGCATTGTCGGCGTTGGGCGTGCGCCCACGATCAGTCGATGAGAGAGGCGCAGCGTCGGAGGCGCATAGGGGTCAGCATGGGCGCGACGGTGTGCGCGGCGTCCGCCCCCGCCTCCGTGTCGCCGCCGTGAGGGCCGAGAGGCACGAGGCGGCGGTCGAGGTTGAGGCTGAGGTCGAGCGCAAGCTTGCGCGAGGAGGAGTCGTGGCGGTCGATGAGGCTGCCGCTGAGCGGCGCATGTGGGAGGTGGATGCTTGGCATGCGGAGCGGGGGCATCGGTACGCCGGGCACGCGCTGGCGCTTACGGTTCTGGTCCGTGGACTAGTGACGCGTGAGCAGCGGCGTGCTAGGGAGCGGCAGCGAGCCGTCATCGTCGTCGTCGTCGTCATCCATGTTGAAGTACGACTCCTCCTCGGCCCCCTGGCGGCGGAGCTCGAGCGGCTGGCTGAGGCTGTGCACACGTCCGTGCGTCAGTGTGAGCATGAGCATGAACTGAAGAGCGCAAGAGAACTTTTTGTGGTGGGGGCGGCTGAACCTCTTTTGGGGGCTCGGGCGCAGTGTTCATCTCCCAGCGCAGGATGACCTGCTCGAAGCACCTCTTTGTGAACCTGAACTGGGAAATCTCCTGCCTGGTCATGATGTCGTCGATTGCGAGAGATGACAACGTACCGACTTGCTCAACAAGTTTGCGTTGTAGATGTCCTCGTTGCCCCTAACCCGCCCTCTTCCCAGCTTGTCTCTCTGCTGCAGCCGTTCCTCGTTCTCGAGGGAGATCCGTGGGCAGTTGATAGTTGAGGTTTGAGGGTAAAAGACCGAGGAGATTAAGTGGATGAGTGGATGGGCGTGTCGAGGAGACGAGTGTGGGTGGATATGAGTCGCAGGCAAAAGCGGGCATGTGGACCTAAGGGGACGAGGGCGGATGCGGGATCGACAGTCGAGCGGGCCGAGCACTTGCGCTCGCGAGTGCCCATGGCGTCGAGCAAGGGGTCCGGGCGTTTCAATCGGGAGTCCGGGCAATGCAGACAATGTGCAGAGGAGGCATGGACGATGCGAGCAAGTGGGCGTGGTGTCGAGTAGGTCGAGAGCAGGAGTGGATGAGAGGGATACGATGGGTGGGCGTGGCGTCGGGCTGGGGTTTTCAAGGAGCCGGGCAGCCAGGTCGGATACAATATGTACTCGTTCGGGTGTGCGGAGAAGACTGGAGTGAGAGACGACGTACCTACATCTCTCGTGGATGGCCTCATCGTCCGTGCTCACTCTCTTCTCAGCTCGTCTCTCCGCCGCACACATTCCTTGTCCTCCGCCGCCAGCTGGGTCTCATCCGCCTCCTCGACACTCGACCGGTTGCGATGCTTTGGGCGTCGTAGGGCAGCGTGGGCGCGGGGTCGTTGTCGGAGCAGGACGCCGCCGCCACAGAGACTGTGGATGGCGCCGAGCAAAAAGATGGCAGTGAGCGTGGGCGTGGGCATGCCGTTTGCGCGGCAGCCCGCCACATCACACTACATCATTTAGGCGACCCTCGCGTGCAGAGGGCGTGAAGGCGACCTCCTCAAGGCCTGCTTCCAGGGGCGCGCGAGTGCCGAGGGGTGGACGGGCGTTAACATTGTCCCAAAGTTGGAAGCGCTCGCTGTCGAGCGCTAGAACAGCGCACTGATTAGAACTCGTGAGTCTGCCTCGCATATACGAAGCAACCCGTCGGCGACTGGCCGCGCGACGTGCATGCTCTCCCCCCACAGAAGGCGCCGAGACCAAGGTGGCTAAGCTCCGGTCCTCTAACATATCCACCTCGACGCGTCGGACCCTCAACTTCATCCGCGTCGTCAATGACTCGGCCGTCGAGGTCCTCGCAAACGACGCCACCGCGCTCACGGCGCGTGCACTCATGGCTCGCATCTTCCATCAGGGCAGGCTTCCTCATACCGCGCTCCAGCGTCAATGCGCTACGAGCGCATCGAGGTATAGGAGGGCCTGATTGATGAGTGGCCAAGGCGCCCGGAGGACATAAGCGTGCCGCTTCTGTGATGCCGCTGCTTGGGGGAATATAGACAAAAAAAATGAGCTGAATGATCTGAACGAAAAAGGGATTTGAATCGACTCACCAAGGCATTTACCACAACAATGTAATCAGCTCGCTGTCGTGACCGTCGGGCTGAAGACCATCATCCCCAGAATGAGGCTGCAGGGTCAGGACAACGTGCGTCACTCATGTAAACTAATACATATCAAACAAGCGACGGCAACGGCGAGTCGGTGGAGGAGGGGTCGTGCGAGGGCGAGGAGCCGCTCTCCTGCATGGACGCCGAGTCGGGGCGCAGGGGCAGAATGAGCTTGCTGAGCGTGGGCGCAAAGGCAGGGGATGTCGCCGCTCAAGAACGGGCTCAGGACGCGGGTCCCGGGCCCGTACACGTCGGCGGCAGAGTCGGGCAGGCAAGGCCATCCTTGATGCGCCCCGCGAGGGAGATGCGCACGCGGAAGGCCTCGGCGACGCGGGAGAGCAGTGCAGGGTAGACGATGGGGGTGCGTCAGACGCCGCGTCTCCTCCTCACCGATCTTCTGCGTCGCGCGCCGCGCGAGGAGCTTCTCCGTCCTGTACCGCTCATACAGCAGCCAGGGGTGGAGGGGGGCGTGGCACCGGGGGAAGGGAAGGCCAGCCAGTGCGCGAGGATGCGGATGCGGATGCGGCAGCGGCGGCCTGGTCGAGGAGGGCGGCGCGTATGTGAGCGGTGCTCACCGCGGACATGGACTTGGAGCGATCCTGCGGGGTGCGGTCGCGGTCGTGGCGGCTAGCGCTGGGCCTGGTGCGCGAGGACTCGGAGGAGCGGCGTGAGGAGGTGGAGGAGGCGGCGGCGGCGATGGTGGTGGTGGTGGTGATGTGGGTGGCGATGGTGGTGACGGCGGACGTGGCGTCGGAGGCAGAGGTGTTGACGAAGGTGTAGGAGGCGGAGGACGTGCCGGGATGGTGGGTGGTGTCGAGCTGTAGCGAGCAGGCGAGCGCGATGTCGAGTGGGAGATACGGGTGAGTCGAGCGGGGGTCCAGGCTACGTATACGATGCGCGAGGGGATGTGGACGGTGCGGGCGAGCCGGCCAGTGGGCATGAGATCGTGCGAGGAGAGCGGGGAGGATAGCACAGCGAGCGATCGGGTCGAGAGGGTCGGACGGGGGAGCGAGTCGGACGGGAGAGCGGGTCGGAGGTGGGTGAGGTTGAGCAGACGAGAGGAGGGGGCGGGTAGAGTCGAGGGATAGGCCATTGAGGGCGACGTGGAGAGGACGTCGAGGGCGAGAGGTATGCGTGTACGGGGGAGGAACTGGGGCCAGTGACGACGTACCTATGGTTATGTCCTCGTCGTCCGTTTCCTCCCTCTTCTATGCTCCTTCTCGTCCTCCTCCTCGTTGTCGTGGTTTTCCGCGTCGTCGAGCAGCGTTGGTTCGTGGGTGTTGGTGGAGCGGGACGCCGCTGCCGTAGAGACCGTCAATCGTGTCGAATGAGACAGCGGTGGGAGCAGGCAACTGGTCGAAGGGACGCGTGTGCAAGGGGCCGAGGGAACGAGTAGCTGAGGCAGATGGGCGGTCGTGGCATCGAACGAGCCGAGCGGGAGCGCACGAGGGAGCCGAGGAAGGGAGGGATATACTGGACGAGAGCGGGAGGGATGGATGTGCAGGTCGACGCAAAGAAAGACGACGTACGCCGTTTGGGCCCTCTCTGTTCCCCCTTGTCTTTCCGCCGCCGCCGCCGCCGTTCCTCAGCGTCATCAACCTCAGCGTCGGCGTCGGCGTCATCGTCATCTTGATCGCCTTCGTTGTCGTCGTCGTTGACGTTCGGACATTTGCGATGATTGGCGTGCCATCGGGCAGCGTGGGCGTAGGGGCGTTGGTGGAGCGGGACGCCACCGCTGTGGAAACCGTGGAACGCACCGAACGAGACAGTGATTGGTGCAGGCGTGGGGTCGAAGGGATGCGTGTGCACGACGCCGAGGGAACAAGTGAGGGGTTGAGGCGGACGAGCGGGAGCTGGAGAGTCACGAAGTTAATTAAGTGGTCGCGTGCGCGCGACGCGAAGTTAAGTCCTTCGCACCTGTCTCTAACTCAAATCTGTCCGCGCGCAAACCTCAACCTTCGTCCCCTCGCCCTCGCCTCGACACCATGCACACCCACCACCCACTTCCTTCGCCTTCGTCCTCCCGACCTCTCGGCCCCATGCACACGCGTCCACTCGGCCACAACAACTCCTTCGACTGCTCCCTCACGCGCCCCTGCCGCCGCCGCACCCGTGCTTTGCCCTTGCGCACAGCGTGTCGCAATCGTCATGCCACCCGTGCTTCAGCGCGTCGACGGCGAGGGTGAGGAGCGTTGTTAATGAGAGGAGGAGGTGCGAAGATGAATGCCATGAAAAAGGTCCGTATCACTTACTTTCGCTAGCCCTCCCCCAGCCCTAGTCCTGCCCCTCCCTGCCCGGCCCTGCCTATCCCGCGCACCTGCGCACACCCGGAAGCGGCTCCTCACGCCGCGTCTCTTCCCCTGCTCTCTCTTAGGAGGCGAGGGCACGACCACGCTCCCCGGTACCCTACCGCCCGACGCCTTTTTCTCCAAACACGCCCACTCTACGCTGCGCACCGCCGCGCACGCATCGCACGAGCGCACCCCGTCCTCCGCCTCCGGCTACGTGCACCACCATGCGGCCGGTGCTGCCGAGAGCACCACCTCGCCCGCGAAGCGGCGCTACGTCGCGGACGCGCACGGCCTCGAGATCGTCAAAAAGATCCGGCAGGGCGAGGTCGAGCTGCGCGATCGCACCATCGTCCTGTGCGGCATCAAAGCCAGCATCCGTCCAGCTCGCTTTGCGAAGCTGAAGGCCATCAAGGACGCGAAGAAGCCAGGCAAAGCCCCCACCGCGATCCCCGCTGTCTCAGGTTCGCCCCGCTTCCCACCACTTCGTCTGCCTCCTTCACTGACACGCCTTGCATGACACGCTCCAGACGCAAATTGCTCGTGCGCAGAAAAAGCAAGTGTCGCTTTCCCCGCGCAGTCTTTGCCATATAGAGACGGCCCCGACGCTGACCTCGTGCACACAGAAACCTACTACCCCATCATCATGATATCTTCCTCCCCGACCATCCTCATCACCATGCACAAGGTCAAGTGCTTTCTCGAAGACGCCCTGTATGCCCGCCCTCCCTCTTCCTTCATACGCGTGCGCACGCAGCCGCCGAGGGCAACACGCGCCCAGAGGACCTGATTCCTGTGTATCGCCGGCGGACGACGATCGACCCTCGGGGCGGGAGACGACGACCAGAGTTACTACGTCGTGGACAGCGTCGACGCGCTGAACAAGTTCGGCGCGGATGCGTGGGACCGTGTCGTGTGCGTGATGACGACAGGCTAGGCATGGCAGTTCCGGTGGTACATGTGGAAGGAGCCGCTGAGCCTGTTCCATCATGGTGAGTCTCGCGCTTAGCACGATGGCTTGGCTTGGTTTATTTTTATTCTTGTTTGCACAGTGCTATTGCATTGAAGGGCGTGTACATGTCGTGGACGAACGATCCGTCTAACCCCGGGGTCGAAGACTGGAATGTTACCGAGATCAAGGTACTGCGCTTGCTTGCGGGTCCGTCTCTCCGACTCGTGCTCATAGCTCTGACGTAGATTGACCCCAATCGGGGACGCATCGACAAGTCGACCGTGGCGCACTCCTGGAAGATGCCCGACATGTGGACAACGCAGAACAAGCCGTCGCTGATGATGGCCTGAGCGCTTCGCTCACCCGGCGGCTGGGCATGCTACGCTGCTGCCGATGACGCCCTGTGCACCATGTGTACAGGTCTTGTCAGATTGCAAGGACGCTGTGTTCCTATTCTATCGAGTTGCGGTTATGCGATGTGTGCTTGTGTGTTGGCTCCAGTGTAGCCCACCCTCTCGTTTCTTGTGCTCTCGTCTGTGCGGGTGTGGGTCTGGCTACTACAGACGTCTCTGTCCTCTCTGCGTCGTCGTAACCCGGTGACGACCCCCTGCTGCTCGCCGCCAGATGTGCAGGCACGAGCCCTTTCGCAACGTGTGCGTGCCGCTGGTGCAGATGCTGTATAGGTACAAAATGAAGCTGTGCACGAACCTCCTCGGCGAACCCGCCAAGCACGTCCGCCCGCTTTCCGGAGCACGGTGCACATCTTTCCTTTCCCTTTCGCTCTGTTCGTCTTCCTTCGATCCTCAGGCCCTTTCTCGAGACAACGCCCGCTCAACCTGCTCGATGCTACGCCTGCTCTCTGCCTCGCACACTCCCCACTCACCTGTTCGACCAGCTCGACCAGCTCGACGCTACGCCTTCTCTCCCGCTCTCCCGTCAAACTGCGCTCGAACTCGTGCATGTCTCACCGGCGCCACGCACCCACATTTGGCAGGATCTACACGCACGCGCACCCTGGCCTGTAGCCAACGCTCGCCCGTTGTGCGTCCCACCGGCACCACGCACCCGCCTTTGCGTGGATCTACATGTGTGCTCGTCTTCGCCTGTAGCTCACGCCCGCCCGTGCACATCCCTTCGACATCACGCCCGTCCCCTTGGCCCATCAAACGCATCCACTCGGCCTCCATGACCCCTTCGACCGATTCTGCCTCGGTGCCGTTCCTTCACGCGCCCCCGCCCCGCCACACTTGCGCTCTGCGCCTGCGCTTGAACGCGTCGAGAAGGAGCGAGGAGCAGCTGCTGGCGGGGAGGTGAGCTAGGAAGGACGCGGCTGAGTGGTGCGAAGGTACATACCTTCCGCCCTCGTCCTGTCCGCCCTCGCCACCACTCCCACTCTCCTGCTTCCCCCTCCCAACCCATTCGACACCACTCCCACTCTGCCTGTTCGGCCATCTTAACTTCCTCGACTCTCGACCATAGACTTCGTATGTTACCGCCGTCAATGCAACACATGCCTGCCCTCTGTCTCAACCTGGTTGGCGCCACGCCTGCTCTCCCGCTCGACTCGCTCTCCGCCATTCCCGCTTTCCTGTTCGACCCACGCAGATATCTCGACTGCGGCATCCCGATGATCACATACTCAGCCCTCGATGTTTCCGCCCTCGATGCTAAGCCTGGTCACCCCTCGTTGTTTTTCTTCTTTAGCACACACCACTCAGACGATGCAGATGATGCGGATGATTCATGCACAGCACTCTAGACATGCCAGATGTACCGATGAGTCCGACCTGGGCACTGAGGGAAGATGGCTGTCGAACTGCATACACATATTGTCTGTATTATCTGTGTTGTTTAAGTATTGTCTATCCAACTAGATTGCTTGCCCGTTGTCCACATTGCCTGCTAATCATCTATATCCTCGTGTGTGGTTTCTGTTACCGGTATGTTTCCCTGGTCCCTCTTAGTATCTATTGTCTAGGACATCTGCTGTTGCCTGAGATGGCTGTATGCTGTCGGAGATACCTCGTATTGTCAATGCCGACTGTATGTAACCTCACCTCACCTCACCTAATCTGACCTGACTTTGTCTGAGGGACCTGCTGTTATCTAGAAGGCTGCACGACGTCTGAGATGTCGCATCTTGTCTAGGACACAGGCAGGATGTCTGTGATGACTGCACGACATCTGAGATGTCGCATCTCGTCTAGGACGCAGGCAGGACGTCTGTGACGACTGCCTGATGTCTGAGACGTCGCGTCTCGTCTTAGACGACTGATAGTCGTCAGGGACGTCCTCATGTCACCAGCACTGGCTGCACGACGTCTGAGATGTCGCGTCTCGTCTAGGACGCAGGCAGGACGTCTGTGACGGCTGCGCAATGTCTGAGACGACTGCACGACATCTGAGACGTCGCGTCTCGTCTAGGACGCAGGCAGGACGTCTGTGACGACTGCACAATGTCTGAGACGTCGCGTCTCGTCTAGGACGCAGGCAGGACGTCTGTGACGACTGCCTGACGTCTGAGACGTTGCGTCTCGTCTCAGACGACTGCTAGTCGTCAGGGACGTCCTCATGTCACTAGCACTAGCTGCACAACGTCTGAGACGTCGCGTCTCGTCTAGGACGCAGGCAGGACGTCTGTGACGACTGCCTGACGTCTGAGACGTCGCGTCTCGTCTCAGACGACTGCTGAGACGTTGCGTCTCGTCTAGGACGCAGGCAGGACGTCTGTGACGACTGCCTGACATCTGAGACGTCGCGTCTCGTCTCAGACGACTGCTAGTCGTCAGGGACGTCCTCATGTCACTAGCACTGGCTGCACAACGTCTGAGACGTCGCATCTCGTCTAGGACGCAGGCAGGACGTCTGTGACGACTGCCTGACGTCTGAGACGTCGCGTCTCGTCTCAGACGACTGCTGAGACGTTGCGTCTCGTCTAGGACGCAGGCAGGATGTCTGTGACGACTGCCTGACGTCTGAGACGTTGCGTCTCGTCTCAGACGACTGCTAGTCGTCAGGGACGTCCTCATGTCACTAGCACTAGCTGCACAACGTCTGAGACGTCGCGTCTCGTCTAGGACGCAGGCAGGACGTCTGTGACGACTGCCTGACGTCTGAGACGTCGCGTCTCGTCTCAGACGACTGCTGAGACGTTGCGTCTCGTCTAGGACGCAGGCAGGACGTCTGTGACGACTGCCTGACATCTGAGACGTCGCGTCTCGTCTCAGACGACTGCTGAGACGTTGCGTCTCGTCTAGGACGCAGGCAGGACGTCTGTGACGACTGCCTGACGTCTGAGACGTCGCGTCTCGTCTCAGACGACTGCTGAGACGTCTCGTCTCGTCTAGGATGCAGGCAGGACGTCTGTGACGACTGCACGACGTCTAAGACGTCCCCCCCTCGTCTGTGGTGAAAACAAGGTGTCTCTGACGATGGCCAGATGTCTGAGACGTTGCGTTTCGTCTAGGACGCAGGCAGGACGTCTGTGACGGCTGCGCAATGTCTGAGACGACTGCACGACATCTGAGACGTCGCGTCTCGTCTAGGACGCCGGCAGGACATCTGTGACGACTGCATGATGTCTGAGACGTTGCGTCTCGTCTAGGACGCAGGCAGGACGTCTGTGACGACTGCCTGACGTCTGAGACGTCGCGTCTCGTCTCAGACGACTGCTGAGACGTTGCGTCTCGTCTAGGACGCAGGCAGGACGTCTGTGACGACTGCCTGACGTCTGAGATGTCGCGTCTCGTCTCAGACGACTGCTGAGACATCTCGTCTCGTCTAGGATGCAGGCAGGACGTCTGTGACGACTGCACGACGTCTGAGACGTCCCCCCCTCGTCTGTGGTGAAAACAAGGTGTCTCTGACGATGGCCAGATGTCTGAGACGTTGCGTTTCGTCTAGGACGCAGGCAGGACGTCTGTGACGGCTGCGCAATGTCTGAGACGACTGCACGACATCTGAGATGTCGCGTCTCGTCTAGGACGCAGGCAGGACGTCTGTGACGACTGCACGACGTCTGAGACGTCCCCCCCTCGTCTGTGGTGAAAACAAGGTGTCTCTGACGACGGCCAAATGTCTGAGACGTCGCGTCTCGTCTAGGACACAGGCAGGACGTCTGTGACGACTGCACGACATCTGAGATGTCGCGTCTCGTCTAGGACGCAGGCAGGACGTCTGTGATGACTGCACGACGTCTGAGATGTCGCGTCTCGTCTAGGACACAGGCAGGACGTCTGTGACAACTGCACAACATTCTGAGACGTCGCGTCTCGTCTAGGACGCAGGCAGGATGTCTGTGACGACTGCACGACGTCTGAGACGTCGCGTCTTGTCTCAGACGACTGCTGAGACATTGCGTCTCGTCTGGGATGCAGGCAAGATATCTGTGACGACTACACAACATCTGAGACATTGTGTCTCGTCTCAGACAACTGCTAGTTGTCAGGGACATCCTCATGTCACCAGCACTGGCTGTACTCTCTCACCTAGCCTCTCACCTGACTCCTCACCTGCCTCCTCACCTGCCTCCTCACCTGCCTCCTCACCTGCCTCCTCACCTGCCTTCTCACATGTCTCCTCACCTGACTCCTCACCTGGCCCCTCACCTAGCCTCTCACCTGCCTCCTCACCTGGCCTCTCACCTGGCCTTTCACCTAGCCTCTCACCTGGCTCCTCACCTGCCCAACATCTTGGATTTTTTTCGTCTCACCTACCATCCGCCTACCACCTCTTATAACGCCGCGGTTCACGACGCCGCGGTTGTGCATGACGAGACACTGGGCAACACCGCGTCCTCGGGGAGCCACCGTTGGAAGCGAGGAGAAGGCGGCGAGGGGAAGGCGGCGACGCCGTGTTGGCGAGGAGGCAGGGCCGTCGAGGCCTCGCCGTTGACGATCTCGGTGGTGTGCACGGGGAGGCAAGGTCCAGGCGGTGAGGTGGTCGGCACCTGGCGTGTAGAGACGGCGTGCAGGCCGCAGCGTGAAGAGCTGGCAGGATCGAGAAGGCTGCTGCACGCCTGGGGTCATCGGGACCGAGCGTGCAGGCGGCAGCGCGGAGGCCTCGGTGTCGTCGTCAGGGCCGTCGTGTCGAGCGGGCGCTGTTGTTGTCGAGGAGCAGGCGGGGTGGATGAAAACGTGAGGAGGCGCCGTCGAGTGAGGAGCCTGGGGTGAGGAGGCCGGGGTTGTTCACGAGACCTCGGGCGACGCGCCGTTGTCGAGGCAAGGGACCGGCAGTGGAGGCGGCGTTGTCGAGCCTGGGACCGTCGTCGGCACCGGGCAGGGTCGAGGTGTGGTCGAGCCTGGCGGTGGAGGGGGTAGCATCGAGGCGGTAGAGTCGAGGCGGCGGAGTCGAGTCGAGGTCGTCGGAGGCGGTGGCTGCGAACCTGGTGTCGTCGTCGGGAGTGGGGATAGAGACGGAAGCGTTGAGGCGGCGGCGTGGTCGGGACAGGGCCGCGTCGAGGCGGTAGGGTCGAGGCGGCGTCGTCGAGTCGGCGTCGCCGAGTCGGTGTCGTCGAGTCGGCGTCGCCGAGTCGGTGTCGTCGAGTCGGTGTCGTCGAGTCGGTGTCGTCGAGTCGGTGTCGTCCGAGGCGGCAACTGCGAGCCTGATGTCGCCGTCAGCACCGGCCGGGGCGCGAGGATGCGGATGCGGATGCGGCAGCGGCCGCCTGGTCGAGGAGGGCGGCGCGGAGGAGGGCGGTGCTCGTGGCGGATATGGGCTTGGACTGGTCCTGCACGGTGCTGTCTCGGCCGCCGGCGCTGGGCATGGTGCGTCACAACTCAGAGGAGCGGCGTTAGCTGGAGGAAGCGGTGGTAGTGGTGGTGTGGGTGGTGGTGGTGGCGACAGCGGAGGAGGCAGAGGAGGTAGAGGGAAGGTGGAGGAGGCGGAGGACGTGTCGGGGTGGTGGACGGCGGTGGTGTCGAGCTGGAGCGAGCAGGCGAGCGCGGCGTCGAGCGGGAGATGCGGGTCAGTCGAGCGTAGGTCCGGGCAACCCATGCGATGCGCGAGGCGATGTGGACGATGCGGGCGAGCCGGCCGGTGGGCCAGCGGGCCAGTGGGCATGAGATCGTGCGAGGAGAGCGGGGAGGGTAGCACAGCGAGCGATCGGGTCGAGAGGGTCGGACGGGGGAGCGAGTCGGACGGGAGAGCAGGTCGAACGAGATAGCGGGGCGGACGGGAGAGCGGGTCGAAGGTGGGTGAGGTTGAGCAGACGAGAGGAGGGGGCGGGTAGAGTCGAGGGATAGGCCGTTGAGGGCGACGTGGAGAGGACGTCGAGGGCGAGAGGTGTGCGTGTACGGGGGAGGAACTGGGGCGAGTGACGACGTACCTATGGTTATGTCCTCGTCGTCCATTTCCTCCCTCTTCTGTGCTCCTTCTCGTCCTCCTCCTCGTTGTCGTGCTTTTCCGCCTCGTCGAGTAGCGTTGGTTCGTGGGTGTTGGTGGAATGGGACGCCGCTGCCGTGGAGACCGTGGATTGTGTCGAATGAGACAGCGGTGGGAGCAGGCAACTATTCGAAGGGACGCGTGTGCAAGGGACCGAGGGAACGAGTAGTCGAGGCAGATGAGCGGTCGTGGCATCGAACGAGCCGAGCGGGAGCGCACGAGGGAGCCGAGAGAGGGAGGGATATACTGGACGAGAGCGGGAGGGACGGATGTGCAGGTCGACGCAAAGAAAGACGACGTACCCCGTTTGTGCCCTCTCTGTTCCCCCTTGTCTTTCCGCCGCCGCCGCCGCCGTTCCTCAGCGTCATCTTCCTCAGCGTCGTTGTCGTCGTCATCGTCATCTTGGTCGCCTTCGTTGTCGTCGTCGTTGACGCTCGGACATTTGCGATGATTGGCGTGCCATCGGGCAGCGTGGGCGTAGGGGCGTTGGTGGAGCGGGACGCCATCGCCGTGGAAACCGTGCAGCACGCCAAACGAGACAGTGATGGGCGCAGGCGTGGGGTCGAAGGGATGCGTGTGCACGACGCCGAGGGAACAAGTGAGGGGTTGAGGCGGACGAGCGGGAGCTGGAGAGTCACGAAGTTAATTAAGTGGTCGCGTGCGCGCGACGCGAAGTTGAGTCCTTCGCACCCGTCTCTAACTCAAGTCTGTCCGCGCGCAAACCTCAGCCTTCGTCCCCTCGCCCTCGCCTCGACACCATGCACACCCACCACCCACTTCCTTCGCCTTCGTCCTCCCATCCTCCCGGCCCGATGCACACGCGTTCACTCGGCCACAACAACCCCTTCGACTGCTCCCTCACGCGCCCCTGCCGCCGCCGCACCCGTGCTTTGCCCTTGCGCACAGCGTGTCGCAATCGTCACGCTACCCGTGCTTCAGCGCGTCGACGGCGATGGTGAGGAGCGTTGTCAATGAGAAGAGAAGGTGCGAAGAGGAATGCCATGAAAAAGGTCCGTGTCACTTACTTTCGCTAGCCCTCCCCCAGCCCTAGTCCTGCCCCTCCCTGTCCGGCCCTGCCTGTCCCGCGCACCTGCGCACACCCGGAAGCGGCTCCTCACGCCGCGTCTCTTCCCCTGCTCTCTCCTAGGAGGCGAGGACACGACCACGCTCTCCGGTACCCTACCGCCCGACGCCTTCTTCTCCGGGCACGCCCATTCGACGCTGCGCACCGCCGCGCACGCATCGCACGAGCACACCCTGTCCTCTGCCTCCGGCTACGCGCACCACCATGTGGCCGGCGCTGCCAAGAGCACCACCTCGCCCGCGAAGCAGCGCTACGTCGCGGACGCGCACGGCCTCGAGATCGTCAAGAAGATCCGGCAGGGCGAGGTCGAGCTGCGCGATCGCACCATCGTCCTGTGCGACATCAAAGTCAACGTCCGTCCAGCTCGCTTTGCGAAGCTGAGGGCCATCAAGGACGCGAAGAAGCCAGGCAAAGCCCCCAGCGCGATCCCCGCTGTCTCAGGTTTAAAACGCCTCCGCGGCCGACATCGTGGCGGCGCAGGGGAAAGAGGCGGCGGTGAGCGGGGGCGTAGGCGTGGACGAGGACAGAGACGGGGTCGGGAAGGGAAAGGTTAGTCCCTCGAAGATCTGTAGATAGTAGAAGTAGAGGAAAAGAGAAGGAAATCAGTACATGCCCTCGGCGATGCAGAGGCCCATCGTCCGTTTGCAAAGCCGAGTGTGAGAAATAAAGGATACAATAAGATATAATAAGAACATACTCACAGTGCGGGCATCTGTAAGGTTAATGCTTATAGGTTGTCTCATTCATGTAGAGTCGAGTTTGTGCAGGTTTTGTGCTTGTTGGCATAGCGGAATCCTAATACGCGGCTGACATGACGAGCCTCTCCAGCCGCAGCGAGGCTCGTCATGTCAGCTGTGTATCAGGACTCAGTCAAGCTGATACGCGGCTGACATGACAAGCCTCTCCAGCCGCAGTGAGGCTCGTCATGTCAGCCGCGTATCAGGACTCAGCCCTGTCAATACGCGGCTGACATGACGAGCCTCTCCAGCCGCAGTGAGGCTCGTCATGTCAGCCACGTATCAGGACTCAGCCCTGCCAATACGCGGCTGACATGACAAGCCTCTCCAGCCACGGACAGGCTCGTCATGTCAGCCGTATATTAGCATGGGTGGCTTCTTCACCTCTTAATGGCCTCTTTAGCCCTGCCATACCCCTGTCCTACCCTGAACCTTCTAGCTTTTCAGGTTAGAATGGTCTTTGGCGCTCGGACGGTCGCGATGCTTGGCCCGTCATCGGGCAGCGTGAGCGTGTGGGCGTCGGTGGGGCAGGACGCCTCAGCGACGGTGATCGTGGGTGGCACCGGGAAAAGAGATGGTGGCGAGCGTGAGCGTAGGTGTGGACGAGGTTAGAGGACGAGGCAGGGAAGGGACGGATTAAAATCTGCAGACAGTAAAAGTAAATAAAAATAAAAATAAACCTCAGTACACGCCTTCGGCGATGCTTGCTTTCTCAGGGCATCGGCGGAGGCCCATCGTCCCGTTCGCAAAGTTGAGTGTGTGGAAGAGAGGGCATCGAAGAGTAGGTTAGAAATGTGCTCACAAGACTAGTCAGATTGATGCTTGTCCCGGTTTCGCAATCCATTGTTGCGTGGGCAGCGGGTACATGCCTTCAGCGAGGCAGAGGCCCATCGTCCGTTTGCAAAGCCGAGTGCAAGAAATAAAGGGTACAATAAGATATAATAAGAACATACTCACAGCGCGGGCATCTGTAAGGTTAATGCTCATAGGCTGTCTCATTCATGTAGAGTCGAGTGTGTGCAGGTTTTGTGCTTGTTGGCACAGCGGAATCCTGATACGCGGCTGACATGACGAGCCTATCTAGCCACGGACAGGCTCGTCATGTCAGGCGCGTATCGGGACTCAGCCCTGCCAATACACGGCTGACATGACGAGCCTCTCCAGCCGCAGCGAGGCTCGTCATGTCACTTGTGTATCAAGACTCAGCCAAGCTGATACGCGGCTGACATGACGAGCCTCTCCAGCTGCAGCGAGGCTCGTCATGTCAGGCGCGTATCGGGACTCAGCCCTGTCAATATGCAGCTGACATGACGAGCCTCTCCAGCTGCGGACAGGCTCGTCATGTCAGCCATGTATTGGCATGGGTAGCTTCTTCACCTCTTAATGGCCTCTTTAGCCCTGCCATACCCCTGTCCTACCCTGAACCTTCTAGCTTTTCAGGTTAGAATACGACAATAAGGGGTGCTGAAAGCTGCTGTGCGGAGTGGGGCTGCATGCTGCAAAATTTGTGTGCTGCTGCAGCAGGTTACGAGCAGAGGATGGCGACGAGCGTGTCGTTCATGGCTATAACGTTGAGGTAGGGGCAAAGATGAAGGCGGGAGGTGTACACGTACAGGGGAGGAACTGAGGTGAGTGACGACATACCTCTCGTTGATGTCGACCGTTCCCAACCGTGGGTGTCAGCATGAGCGAGGGATAGCCATAGACAAGGACAAGAAGGTGGAGGTGGAAAGAGGATAAGTGGCCGCGGCTGATACGCGGCTGACATGACGAGCCTCTCCAGCTGCAGCGAGGCTCGTCATGTCAGGCGCGTATCGGGACTCAGCCCTGCCAATACACGGCTGACATGACGAGCCTCTCCAGCCGCAGCGAGGCTCGTCATGTCAGGCGCGTATCGGGACTCAGCCCTGCCAATACACGGCTGACATGACGAGCCTCTCCAGCCGCAGCGAGGCTCGTCATGTCACTTGTGTATCAAGACTCAGCCAAGCTGATACGCGGCTGACATGACGAGCCTCTCCAGCCGTAGTGAGGCTCGTCATGCCAGCCATGTATCAGGACTCAGCCCTGTCAATACGCGGCTGACATGACGAGCCTCTCCAGCTGTAGTGAGGCTCGTCATGTCAGGCGCGTATCGAGACTCAGCCCTGCCAATACGCAGCTGACATGACAAGCCTCTCCAGCCGCAGCGAGGCTCGTCATGTCAGGCGCGTATCAGAACTCAGCCAAGCTGATACGCGGCTGACGTGACGAGCCTCTCTAGCCACAGACAGGCTCGTCATGTCAGCCATGTATTGGCATGGGTAGCTTCTTCACCTCTTAATGGCCTCTTTAGCCCTGCCATACCCCTGTCCTACCCTGAACCTTCTAGCTTTTCAGGTTAGAATACCATTAATACGCTCCTCAGACATGGAAAGCGTTGAAGGCTGAACTGCTTAGAGTTGAACAGCCTGGAATTCTGACGCGTGTATACATCGTTAATGTCCGCACTAATTCTCATGCCTGCTTAGCAATGCAAAGAGAACTAAGCCACAGTCTGAGTGCTCAGCAAATTTAGTGGAACATCAGGCGAGTTTGCTGGTGCAGTTGCACGGGATCCACATGCGCACGCAGCCGCTCATCCAGAGCGTGACGTCTGCGTCGCGCTCGAGCATCCAGCTTGTCACTAGGCACTACGCAGTCGGTTATGCGACTGGAAAAGGGCGGAGGACGGCGGCGGGGGCATGATCACGGGCAGAGACAACTTGCCGTATCACTGCGAGGACGCGGACGTGCTGAGCAGCCGAAAGAACTTAGCGCTGGAGCGGTCGTTCGACAGCGGCACTGGACTTGCGAGGTGTGCAGTCAGCGGTTGGCCGACAACGAGCGTGGCTTCCAGATGGATGACGAAAAGACAGATGCGAAAAGACAGATGGAGAGATGAGCATGGGCATAGAGATGGGGACAGGGATGGGAATGACAGGGAACACGCTTCCGAGCTCGACGTCGAAAATGCCGCCACGCGGAGTCAACCCTGTCCGAGGTTGCATCGTGGGAGTGTCGCGCATGGCTTGGACCTCACTGAGCTTGTTCGTGTGGTCGCTGAGCTCGCGCAGGATGTCGTTCCCCTGCTGCGCCAACACGGGCGGGAGGTTGTCGTGACAGACGGCGACGATGCTGGACATGATCGTGATGATCTGCGTGAGGTTCTCATTGAGCGTTGGCGAAGGTATCAGCGAGCGGACACCGGACAGGATGCTCTGGATGGCGTAGACGATCAAAACGGTCGGTGCCTCGAGGTAGGGCCGCGAAAAAGCGTGAGCGCAGGGGTGAATGAAGCACGGCACGAATATTACCTTGAGCTCCGTCCAGGCGTCTTCGGAGCCCTCTGCGAGCTCCGAGTCATTGCTGAGCACGCCCATTGTGCTCTCCATGCGCACCTGGTCAAAGACCGGGGGCGGCGAGCAGCCCGCGGAGCTCGAGCGCTCCAACGACGCTTTGCAGAAGCGGCTGTTGCTCGACGAGCGCCCCGAGAACGGCGGGGCGTCTCGACGGCGACTCGGCCGAGTCGAGCGGCTACTGGCAGAGCTGGTTGGGCTGCAGTGGGTAGTACTCCTACTCTACGTCCACGCGCCTGTTCGAGGCGGACGACGAGCTCGCGCGCTGCGCGGACACCGCAGGGTTTGCCTCCTCGACCAAGCGGAGGGTAGGCGAGAACCGGTTCGACGCGGCGGGCGAGTACTGCTCCTGCTCTTGTTTGGTCACCCTGCGGATGAACACCGTGTGCGCGATCTCGGTGACCACGGCCGAGACGTGGCTCGCGACGGCGTGGGGGAGGCTGACGGGGGACAGGCTGGAGCTGGTGGCGTGCATCTTGGAGGTGACGACGAGGTTGCCATGTCTGGGATGCCGCCGTCTTGCGACATGGGCAGCTGCTCGTCAAACTGGGCATCTTAAGGAAGATCTGTGAGGTGGCTGTGAGGAACGCGGGTCAGCCGACGATTGTGCATGAGGATGAGAGTGCACCTTTGAGGCTCCGGAGCTCAGCCTTGACCTGCTTGTACTTGCGCTTGTAGTTCTTGAGGTGGATGTCCATGTCGTGGATGATGAGGAGGTCCGTGTCTTTCAATGTCATCAGCTCGTCGTCGCTTCGCAAGACGTCGGAGACCTCCGCGAGAAGACCCTTCATGTCAGAGCGGTCCATGATTTCGGAATAGGCGCCTCCAAGGCCGCCCATGTGCTTGTCCTCCACCCGCTCACAGCGCTCGCGCAGGAGCTGCCGCTTATCCTCGCCTCATGTGCTTTGGTGAGCTCCTTTTGCATGGCGAGCATCACGGTGCTCTGTTCCTCTGCGGGCTGCACGAAGGGAGTTGAACATGCGGCAGAACACGCATGACGGACGACTCACTCGCCTGAGCTAGCCGAGCTCGACCTCGAGCTGCTGGACGCGCTCGTTACTCTCCATCCTGCGGCGCTCCTTCTCGCCCACGCCCTCGACCTAATTCTCGAGGCCGGCGATGTGGCTCTGCATGGTCACGTTCGAGAACTCGTCGTCGCGGCGCATCTTCTCGCACTCCCCGCCTGCACCATTGCTTGTGCGGCTGTTCTTCAGCAAGAGATCGGGCGCGACGGATGCGTGCCCCAACGACATATTGTCGTAATATTCATCGCCGCCGCTGCGCCCACCCGCGTCCTCGTCGATGCTGCCGAGGGTGAGTGCGCTGAGGCCGCCCGCCATCTCGTTCAGGCCGGGCTCCTCGCCGGCCATGCTGCCGCTCTCGCGGGCGTCGCGACCGTAGGGGACCTCGGCGTCCTGCTCTGCGATGGTGCTCTTGTTAGGGATAATGATCTGGCTCTTGGCAGTAGTGCCCTGGGCGTTGGTCGTGCCGGTTGAGTCGCTCGTGCTGGCGGCGCTCGGGTGGCGACCGGCGGGGTCCTGACAAAGGTCCTTGGAGGGCCATCGACGCGAGGACGGGGAGAAGGGTGCGTCGTCGCCGACACCGCCATAGGGGTCTTTGCTGCAGCGGCCAGAGGAGCCAAGATTGTCTTCGCTAGGATGGTGGCGGGCGCCGGTGCTGCTGGAGCAATCGCAGTCGTCAGAAGTGCGGGTGAGGCAGCGGGGCGGAGTGGGACGCCTTGAGCAGGGGGACACGGCAAAGTCGGGAGATGGGGAGTCGTCGTAGGTGGATCCGGGCGTCTAGCTGGGTGAATCCGCTGCCTGACGATGGAGTAAGCGCGGGAGGCAGGGATGGGACGTGAAAAGAGGTGGAACACAACCTGTCCTTTAACTTTGGGTATCATCGCGCAAGCTCGTAGCAGACGTCGCTGCAGAGGTACTGGTTCACCATCTGCACGAACGGGGTCGCCTCGTGGGACGAGCTCGAGTAGATGAGCGACGAGGGCGAGACGAAGACGTCCATGTGCGCGTTGAGGATGATGAGCACCATGTACAGGGAGAGCAGCTTGGAGCGCATTGCGTGCGACTTGAGGTCGCGCTCGCTGTGGGCGGGGCACGCAGGCACGGGGTTCGATAAGAGGTGATGTGGATGTGGTGCGAGGAGGAGAGAGCGAACCTTTCCGTGTTGAGGGGCTTCATTGTGAGCTTGCACGTGGACCGGAAGACGACGAAGGCGTCCTTGAGGAAGAGGTCGTTGATCGTCATCGTGTGTGCCGGGGGAGCATGATGCCCCTGGGCTAGGGTGCTTGGGTGAAGAGTGGGTTCGCTGGCGTGCGGGTTAGTCAAAAGGGGACACAAGTGGAACTGTGCGAGGGAGACCCACGCGTGAGGGGTACCCGGCCTGTCCGCGCCGTGTTCAATCCCGTTCGATGAGGGCAGCTCGAGGACAGACAAGTCGTCTTGGGCGGCTACCGGCGGCGAAAGAGGGAGCGGGATCTCGAGTGAAATGTCGTCTGCCGAGGGCGCCTCGTCCTAGGACGGCAGCGCGCGCGGCGGCTCAGTGTCCGGCATGGATGGCGAGAACGAGTCGTGCTTTGCGAACGGGGCATCGTCGGCCTTGGACGCGAGCGACGCGGTGGACTCTGCAGTGACGGGCGGGGCGACCTTGCTGTGCGATAAGATGTGGTGAACCATCTGGGTGAGGCCGCCCCGGGCGGCGGTCTGGTTGACGGGGTCGGTAGACATGAGGAAGACGTTGTAGACGGTGCAGACGGCCTTGAGGAGCGAGGACTGGTGGACGAGGATGGTGGAGGAGAGGACGAGGGCGAGGAGAGCCTTGACGACCTGGAGCCTAACCAAGTCGGCGGTGGTCTCAGTGCGACAGGTGGTGATGGTATGCACGACGAGGTCCACGAGCGAGGGCGGGGGGAGGTCGCTCTGGGAGGTGCTCGAGGTGGAGTGGCTGGGCCCAGACCCGGGGACAGGGGCGGGGACGGGAGGACGCGTGTTCGGGAGGCCTGGCCTCGACGAAGAAGGAGTAGGAGATGAGCTTGGAGATGCAGTCAAGGCTGGCGACCATGAGCTTCTCGTTGCGGGTCTCGCAAGCGAGGCAGAGGGGCTTGAAGATCTCGCGAGGGTGGTCGTCGCCCATGCCTGCGCGGACAATCTCGAGGGCGATATCGACGCCCTCCCTGAGCGGGGCGGAGCGCTTTGCCTCGTGGGAGGCGGCGGTGTCGAGGGCGGAGGTGAAGAGCACAGTGGAGACGGAGTTGCTCTGGGAGATGGTCATGGAGCGCTTGTGGGAGGAGGGCGGTGTGGAGGAATGCGGTGGACATGCACGGGGAGAACGCGGTGTGGGTGTCGATCGTGCATGAGGCGTCGGTGGAGGAGAGCCGGGAGGACGGGGAGTGGTGCACGCGGTAGCTAAGGCTGTCTCTGCACGGGGGCGGGTCTTGCAGCGAGTTCTTGGATGGCGGCATTGGGGGAGGCGCTGGCGCAAAGAAAGACGACATACCTCATGGATATCCTCGTCGCCCGCGCCCTCTCTCTTCCCAGCTTATCTTTCCGCCATCGCCGTTCCTCAGCGTGGTCGTTGTCGCTGTCGTCACGACCGTCAGTGTGGTCTTCATTGTCGTCGTCTTTGACGCTCAGATGGTCACGATGCTTGGAGCATTATCGGGCAGCGTGGGCGTAGGGGCGTTGGTGGAGCAGAATGCCTCCGCAGCCGACATTGTGGTGGCACAGGGGAAAGAGACGGCGGTGAGCGGGGGAGTAGGCGTGGACGAGGACAGAGACGGGGTCGGGAAGGGAAAGGTTAGTCCCTAGAGGATCTGTAGATAGTGACAACGCGCTGTCAGCAATGTGTGGACGCGACGCGACATTGCAGCGTGCTTGATCACGAGACGTTGAAGGAGCACTGTGTGCCGACACAGTCGGACTGTGTGGCGCGACAATCATCGGACTGTGTGCGGCACGGCCGGACTGTGTGGCGCGGAATCACCGCCAAATCTCGGACTGTCACCGCGAATCCGGACTGTGTGGCGCTGAACCAGCGCCAAAATCCGGACTGTGTGCGGTCTCGGCCGGACTGTGTGGCGCAACAGAGAGACTGTGCGTGGTGTGACAACAGTGTGACAACTGTGGGTCCGCAATCTCCCGACCGTGTGCCGCCCTTTCCCGATGCTGACTAAACTGTGTCTCCGGGTTGCAGAATACCCTCAACATCACAAACAATTACATATCTCTTGATCCCCTTATCCAAATAATAAAATTAGGGGATGATTTGAACGGTAGTGTATGTAGGAGCATTTTATTAGTTTTGCAATGGAAATCAAAGGACAATTGTGGACTGGAGACTCAGTTTTTTGAGTTTTTCCCTCAATTCTGTATTTTGCCTGTAACATCTTCAGTACTCCATGTCTACTAATGAAAATATTAGGGTACCATAACAAATACATTTTAAGCCTATTGAATCAGACAGAATTGTGTGCAACTTCGGATTTGGCTCCCAAAACCCAGACTGTGTGAAGCACAGTCTGGTTTTAGGGGGTAGACTGTTTAAATCCATATCTATTGAACCCCTGATTCAATCTCGCTGCTTCTGGGCCTCAAAGTTGAAGCAGGGTATGAGATTTACAGAAAGGATTTTTTTATATTTATATTTACATTTCATTGGCAACACAGTAGTTTCGGATATCGGTGGACTCAAAAGTGTCGGTAATACTACTAGGTTAGAATAACTCATTTCGGTGCTTCCGGTGATAGCAGATGAGACCGGACGTCCGCACGCGATAGTTATCAGCTAGCAGCAAACGGGAAGGCCCGACAGCGGATGCAGTGCTGCAAATAAAATAACGCACCAAGCTGGTGTGACCCTTAATGTCTGCAGGCTTATCCAGCGGTGCCAAAATATTCTTTGTGAGTATCTTGCCAAGTTCGACGCCCACCGGATCTGTTGCGCCAGTTCAGCAAACACGGATTTATGCGCCCACACCAGGGACGCACGCACCAAATACGTTGATGCCCGGATGAGGCCCTGCGTAAAGATCTTGTGTTAGTAGAGCACAATGAGCTGAGCATTGCGGGCGTGAACAGCGGGAAGAAGAGAGTGTTGCTCGGCCAGTTGCCCATGAAGAGCTTCCTCTTCACGAGTGCCTTGCTCGCGCCCGGTCCCACCTCCTACAACACTAACCGTTCTTCAGTACCGCCGAAACAACACGCGGACACTACCGAAGAGGGATCGGGAGAGGGGACAGAGGGGGTGCGCACCTGGTGTACTTGCTCCTCAGTTTTGCCAAGCACGAGCGCTTTGGGTGGCGCGAAGTAGTTGCTGAGCGGGATGCGGTGGTGAAGCGAGCCACAAAGCGGATTGTGTGATGTTGCGGGAGTGAGAAAGTCCGTCGGGACGAGTTTTGTGCCCTGGTACAGCAGCTGGCAGAATGCTGGCCGTTTATGCCCTTTACATTCCAGACAATTGGCTGTGGCATGCGCAGTGCAGTCAGCCTTGACAGCAGAGAGTGGGTTGGAGAGAGGATATGCTCGCCGGTCTGATAGTCAACTCGCTTGCCGCTCTTGGTGATGAGTTGCCGTTAGAATCCATGTAACCTTGATGCAGGTAGTCCTTGAGCTTGTACATGTACTGGTTGCAAGGAAGTAGCGCGTGCAGGCACAGAGAGCCGGAGAGGTCTGGTGATAAGGAGCGATCAGGATTCAGCGGAGTAAGAGGAAGGAGGAGGGGAGACTTTAGTGCCTGGGGAAGAAACGTGCATGCGTAGAGCGGAGAGCAGAGACTTCGAGAGAGGAGCAGCAAGGAAGAGAACGAGAGGCACGCACCGTTGTACCACTCTGCGTGCTCATCGAGTGCACGTCCGTCGTGAACGTCGCCGTCATCCGTGCTCGTCTCCTTTACCGTTGCGGCCGCTGCCATTCATTCCTCCACTGCCAGCCAGATAGGTAAGGTCGAGGGCGTGACAATTGACGAATGAGGGGCTGAGGGCGTGAAGGCCAAGGGACGAGGGGGTCGGGAGAACGAAGGGAAGAAGGGTCGAGTATGTTCGAGGTCGAGTGTGCGCGAGGTATGTTGTGCGCGGGGTTGAGGGGCCAAAAAGAGAAAAGAATGTGAGGATGTGAAGACAAGGGATTCAGCGTGTGCAGCATCGAGCGCGGGTGCGCTCTCGGCGATAACCCAGAACGAGGGGGGACTAGACGAGGAGTCAACGATAGGTCGAGGGCTCGAGCATGCGTGCATGGGCTTGACGAGACGCACGAGTGCGGATGTAGGTCGCAGGCGAAGACGGGTGCGTGGGCCCAAGGGGTTGATGCAGTCGAAGGCACTCGGTGGCGAGCGAGCGTGGACTAGAGGAGACAGGTGTGGGATCAAGGGGACGCGCGGGCGGTTGTGGGTCGCAGGCGAAGGCAGGTTCCTGTCGTCGAGGGGTCGCACGTGCATGCATCAGGGTGGGATTGTCTAACGAGGAGGTCAAGTGAGCGAGCAGCCATAACGACAAGGAGGCTGCAGAGGTTGCGGGGCACATGTTGAGCAAAGGGCGGGTGGAAAGGGCGAGAGCGAGAGGTACGAACCTTGGTAACGCTCAGCCTTCCTCTGCCTAGCTCATTTCTCCGCCACCAGCTGCTCCGAACCTTCCTAGTCCACACGCTCAACCCCGAGTCCCCTGACCTTCGCAATTCTCCGTGCCCGAGCATGCAGTCTAAGTCCAACGCAATCTTCCCTTCATCGAACGACAACGACGACGGAGGGACGTCGGAATCTTAGTGATGTTCGCTTTGCGTCGAGAACACGCGTGCGCTCGAAGGAGAATTTCATCCTCGACCTCCTTGACGACACAGCGTGGTCGTGGTCCAGACCCTCGACGGAGCGAGCAACCAACCATCCGTGCGTCCTTGCCGTTGAGCCGCTTGATGGACCTCGACACTCGGACCTACGTACCGGACGAGTCTGGCCTGAGGAAACGAACCCTGAGTGTCGGGGGGGTTGTGGCTATGGTCGTCAACGAGAACAAGGGCGTACTGTCCGAGCCCATCGAGCAGCCTGCCTGCCGTGCCGGAGAACGGATCAGCGGGCATGGCACATTCACAACACGAGCGCGGCGGATACCCATCTCCGGGAGAGGGCGAAACTCCCCTGAGAGACGACACAGCCAGGAAGAGATCGACCTTCAAACCACGACGTACCGGCTTGCTCAATGAGTTCCCATCCATCGTGCATGTCTTCGTTGTCCGTTTCAACCCTCTTCCCACCTCGTATCTTCCTTCCAGCCATTCCTTGTCCTCGACGAGGCGCCGCGTCCGATCTGCAGGCAGTCGACAGTTGGGGGTTCGAGGGACTGAACGTCGAGGCGTTTGAGGGGACGAGTAGGCGGCCGTGAGTGGTGTCGAGGAGACGAGCGTGGGGGCGGATATCAGTCCCAGGCGAAAGCGCCCGCGTGGACCTGAGGGGACGATCCCGGATCCCGGATCACCACTTGACCGAGCCGAGCACACGAGTGCCCATGGCCTCGAGCACGCAGTCCGGCCGTGTTGAGTGGCGTCCGGGCAATGCAGACGATGTGCGGAGGGGACGTAGAGGACACGAGCAAGTGGCCGTGGTGCCGAGTGGGTCGAGCACGAGAGCGAGCGAGCGGGTTGAGAGCGTCGGGCAAGCAGGTCGACAGGGTCGAGCAGGAGTGGATGAGAGGAAGACAGGACGAGGGTACAACGGGAGTAAGAGATGACGACGTACCACCAGCTGGGTCTCATCCTCCTCGTCCACACTCGAACGGCCGCGATCCTTTGCGTGTCGTCAGGCAGCGTGCGCTCCGGGGGTGCAGACGGCAGTGAATGTGGGCGTAGGTGTGGACGAGGACAGGGGTCGCCGTCAGTGGAGGGACAGTGCGTGGCGGCGGTGCGTGAGGTCGAAGGACGGGACGTCGGCCTTGAGACAGTGAAGCGGCGCGGTCCAAGGTGCGTAGGCTTCAAGGCTGTTGAGAGGAGAGAGGACGCATGTGCATGAGTTCGAGGGGATGCGTGCGTGCGGCGGAAATGTTAAGGGAGGGGCAAGAAGAAACACGAGAGGAGGCACATACCCTCGTAACAATCAGCCCTCCCTTTCCCGTCTTGTCTCTCCGCCGCCAGCTTGCCCTTGCCCTCCTTGTTGACACGTTCGAACGCATGTAGCGCGTCTGAGCAGAGCGCAGGGTGCATCTTGAGTCGTCGCGCTCGGGTTCACCTAGCGACGGTAGCGGTGAGTCGGTGGAGGAGGGGTCGTGCGAGGGTGAGAAGCCGCTCTCCTGCATGGACGCCGAGTTGGGATGCAGGGTCAGGATGAACTTGCTGAGCGCGCGCGCAAAGGCAAGGCATGTCGCCGCTCAAGAACGCGCACGCGGAAGGCCTCGGCGACGCGGGAGAGGAGTGCAGGGTAGACGATGGGGGCGCGTCAGTCGCCGCGTCTCCTCCTTGCCGATCTTCTGCGTCGCACGTCGTGCGAGAAGCTTCCCCGTCCTATACCGTTCATACAGCAGCCAAGGGTGGAGGGGGGCGTGACGCTGGGGGAAGGCAAGCCCGGCCGGTGCGCGAGGATGCGGATGCGGATGCGGCAGCGGAGGCCTGGTCGAGGAGGGCGGCGTGTATGTGAGCGGTGCTCGCCGCGGACATCGACTTGGAGCAGTCCTGCGAGGTCCGGTCGCGGTCGCGGCGGCTGGCGCTGGGCGTGGTGCGCAAGGACTCGGAGGAGCGGCGTGAGGAGGTGGAGGAGGCGGAGGCGGCGGCGGTGGTGGTGGTGGTGGCGGTGGGCGAGGCGTCGGAGGCAGAGGTGTTGACGAAGGTGGAGGAGGCGGAGGACGTGCCGGGATGGTGGGTGGTGTCAAGCTGTAGCGAGTAGGCGAGCGCGACGTCGAGTGGAAGATGCGGGTGAGACGAGCGGGGGTCCGGGCAACGCATGCGATGCGCGAGGCGATGTGGACGATGCGGGCGAGCCGGCCGGTGGGCCAGTGGGCATGAGATCATGCGAGGAGAGCGGGGAGGGCAGTACAGCGAGCGATGGGGTCGAGAGGGCCGGACGGGAGAGCGGGTCGGACGGGAGAGCGGGTCGGACGGGAGAGCGGGTCGGACGGGAGAGCGGGTCGGACGGGAGAGCGGGTCGGATGTGGAAGAGGTTGAGCGGACGAGATGAGGGGGCGGGTAGAGTCGAGGGATAGGCCGTTGAGGGCGACGTGGAGAGGAGGTCGAGGGCGAGAGGTGTGCGTGTACGGGGGAGGAACTGGGGCGAGTGACGGCGTACCTATTGTTATGTCCTCGTCGTCCGTTTCCTACCTCTTCTGTGCTCCTTCTCGTCCTCCTCCTCGTTGTCGTGGGTTTCCGCGTCGTCGAGCAGCGTTGGTTCGTGGGTGTTGGTGCAGCGGGACGCCGCTGCCGTGGAGACCGTCAATCGTGTCGAATGAGACAGCGGTGGGAGCAGGCAACTGGTCGAAGGGATGCGTGTGCACGACGCCGAGGGAACAAGTGAGGGGTTGAGGCGGACGAGCGGGAGCTGGAGAGTCACGAAGTTAATTAAGTGGTCGCGTGCGCGCGACGCGAAGTTGAGTCCTTCGCACCTGTCTCTAACTCAAATCTGTCCGCGCGCAAACCTCAACCTTCGTCCCCTCGCCCTCGCCTCAACACCATGCACACCCACCATCCACTTCCTTCGCCTTCGTCCTCTCATCCTCTCGGCCCCATGCACACGCGTCCACTCGGCCACAACAACCCTTCGACTGTTCCCTCACGCGCCCCTGCCGCCGCCGCACCCGTGCTTTGCCCTTGCGCACAGCGTGTCGCAATCGTCATGCCACCCGTGCTTCAGCGCGTCGACGGCGAGGGTGAGGAGCGTTGTTAATGAGAGGAGGAGGTGCGAAGATGAATGCCATGAAAAAGGTCCGTATCACTTACTTTCGCTAGCCCTCCCCCAGCCCTAGTCCTGCCCCTCCCTGCCCGGCCCTGCCTGTCCCGCGCACCTGTGCACACCCGGAAGCGGCTCCTCACGCCGCGTCTCTTCCCCTGCTCTCTCCTAGGAGGCGAGGACACGACCACGCTCTCCGGTACCCTACCGCCCGACGCCTTCTTCTCCGGGCACGCCCACTCGACGCTGCGCACCGCCGCGCACGCATCGCACGAGCGCACCCTGTCCTCTGCCTCCGGCTACGCGCACCACCATGTGGCCGGCGCTGCCAAGAGCACCACCTCGCCCGCGAAGCAGCGCTACGTCGCGGACGCGCACGGCCTCGAGATCGTCAAGAAGATCCGGCAGGGCGAGGTCGAGCTGCGCGATCGCACCATCGTCCTGTGCGACATCAAAGTCAACGTCCGTCCAGCTCGCTTTGCGAAGCTGAGGGCCATCAAGGACGCGAAGAAGCCAGGCAAAGCCCCCACCGCGATCCCCGCTGTCTCAGGTTTAAAACGCCTCCGCGGCCGACATCGTGGCAGCGCAGGGGAAAGAGGCGGCGGTGAGTGGGGGCGTAGGCATGGACGAGGACAGAGACGGGGTCGGGAAGGGAAAGGTTAGTCCCTCGAGGATCTGTAGATAGTAGAAGTAGAGGAAAAGAGAAGGAAACATCATGTATCAGTACATGCCCTCGGCGATGCAGAGGCCCATTGTCCGTTTGCAAAGCCGAGTGCGAGAAATAAAGGGTACAATAAGATATAATACGAACATACTCACAGCGCGGGCATCTGTAAGGTTAATGCTCGTAGGCTGTCTCATTCATGTAGAGTCGAGTTTGTGCAGGTTTTGTGCTTGTTGGCACAGCGGAATCCTGATACGCGGCTGACATGACGAGCCTGTCTAGCCACGGACAGGCTCGTCATGTCAGGCGCGTATCGGGACTCAGCCCCGCCAATACGCGGCTGACATGACGAGCCTGTGCAGCAGCAGACAGGTTCGTCATGTCAGCCGTGTATTAGCAGGGCTGAGTCCTGATACGCGCCTGACATGACGAGCCTCTCCAGCCGCAGTGAGGCTTGTCATGTCAGCCGCGTATCGGGACTCAGCCAAGCTGATATGCGCCTGACATGACGAGCCTCTCCAGCTGCAGCGAGGCTCGTCATGTCAGGCGCGTATCGGGACTCAGCCCTGTCAATACGCGGCTGACATGACGAGCCTCTCCAGCCACAGTGAGGCTCGTCATGTCAGCCGTGTATCAAGACTCAGCCAAGCTGATACGCGCCTGACATGACGAGCCTCTCCAGCCGCAGCGAGGCTCGTCATGTCAGGCGCGTATCGGGACTCAGCCCTGTCAATACGCGGCTGACATGACGAGCCTCTCCAGCCGCAGTGAGGCTCGTCATGTCAGCCACGTATCAGGACTCAGCCCTGCCAATACACAGCTGACATGACGAGCCTCTCCAGCCGCGGACAGGCTCGTCATGTCAGCCGTGTATTAGCATGGGTGGCTTCTTCACCTCTTAATGGCCTCTTTAGCCCTGCCATACCCCTGTCCTACCCTGAACCTTCTAGCTTTTCAGGTTAGAATGGCCTCTTTAGCCCTGCCATACCCCTGTCCTACCCTGAACCTTTTAGCTTTTCAGGTTAGAATCAGAGGTGGGATTGACTATCGAAGAGGTCGAGTGAGCGAGCGGGCATGGCATCAAGGAGGCCGCAGAGGTTGCGAGCAAAGGGCGGGCCAAAAGGACGAGAGCGGGTTGTACGGACCTTGATAATGCTCTGCCTTCGTCTTCCTAGCTCATCTCTCTGCTGCCTCACCCTCCTCGTCGATGCACTGAAGCGTGCGTGGCATTCTCTTCGCGATAATTTGTGTGCGGGCGCTGAACACAAGTGCGGTGAGAGCGGGGCAGCGTGGAGGGTCCAGGCGACGCACGAGCATGGGCTGGAGGTGATAAGCAGGAGGGTACTCAGTGGCGCAGGTATAACGTGGAGAGGAAGACACGCGTGCGCACATGGACTCGAAGGCAGGAGCGTGAATGTCAACATCAACGGTGTAGAGAATCGAGGGTACTAATTAGGCGGCGGGCGTGGGCTCGAGGAGATGGGCGTGGGCTCGAGGGGACGAGGGAACGTACGCACGCGGCTTCGGATCGCAGGCGCAGGCGGGTGCGTGCACTGAGGGGGGACGGGGGCGAGGAGGGGCGAGGCGTGGAGAGGCTCATGGTGGAACGATAGGGCGGGCAAGAGTGGCGTCGAGCATGCACAGGGTCTTGGCGGTGACACGGTCTGGTACGTCTAGACGAGCGACTCAGGCGAGGAAAACTTCGACTTCAACATGGAGATGGTGCTTTGCGCGGCAGCCTATCGGGCGTGGAGCTTGCGCGAGGGCTCGAGCAGAGATTCGAGCCAGGAGGCAATAGCATTAATACGCTCCTCAGACATGGAAAGCGTTAAAGGCTGAACTGCTTAGAGTTGAATAGCCTGGAATTCTGACGCGTGTATACATCGTTAATCTCCTCACTAATTCTCATGTCTGCTTAGCAACGCAAAGAGAACTAAGCCACAGTCTGAGTGCTCAGCAAATTTAGTAGAACATCAGGCGAGTTTGCTAGTGCAGTTGCACGGGATCCACATGCGCACGCAGCCGCTCATCCAGAGCGTGACGTCGGCGTCGCGCTCAAGCATCCAGCTTGTCACTAGGCACTGAGCAGTCGGTTATGCGACTGGAAAAGGGCGGAGGACGGCGACGGGGGCATGATCACGGGCAGAGACAACTCGCCGTATCACTGCGAGGACGCGGACGTGCTGAGCAGCCGAAAGAACTTAGCGCTGGAGCAGTCGTTCGACAGCGGCACTGGACTTGCGAGGTGTGCAGTCAGCGGTAGGCCGACAGCGAGCGTGGCTTCCAGATGGACGACGAGAAGACAGATGGAGAGATGAGCATGGGCATAGAGATGGGGATAGGGATGGGAATGGCTTCCGAACTCGACGTCGAAAATGCCGCCACGCGGAGTCAACCCTGTCCGAGGTTGCGTCGTAGGAGTGTCGCGCATGGCCTGGACCTCGCTGAGCTTGTTCGCGTGGTTGCTGAGCTTGTTCGCGTGGTTGCTGAGCTCGCGCAGGATGTCGTTCCTCTGCTGCGCCGACGCGGGCGGAAGGTTGTCGTGGCAGACGGCGACGATGCTGGACACGATCGTGATAGTCTGCGTGAGGTTCTCGTTGACAGTCGGCGAGGGCATCGGTGAGGGCGTCGGAGAGCGGACGCCGGACAGCACGCTCTGGATGGTGTAGACGATTGATTCAGTCTGCGCTTCGAGAGAGGGCTGTGAAAAAGCGTGAGTGCGGGGTAAATGAACCATCAGAAGACAAGTATTACCTTAAGCTCTGTGCAGGCATCCTCCGAGCCCTCCGCAACCGCCGAGTCGTTGCTGAGCATGCCCGCTGTGCTCCCCGTGGGCACCTAACCAAAGATTGGCGGCGGCGAGCAGCCCGCGGAGCTTGAGCACTCTGACGACGCTTTGCGGAAGCGGCCGTCGCCCGACGAGCGCCCTGACAATGGCAGACGCCTCGACGGCGACTCGGCCGAGTAGGGCGGCTGCTGGCGGAGCAGATTGGGCTGGAGCGGGTAGTGGTCCTCCTCTGGGCGGTCCACGCGCCTGTTCGAGGCCGACGATGAGCTCGCGCGCTGCACAGGCGCCGCCGGCTTTGCCTCCTCGACCGAGTACAGGGTGGGCGAGAACTCGTTCGATGCTGATGCTGGGGCGGGCGTGTACTGCCCTAGCTCCTGTTTGATCGCCCTGCGGATGGACACCGCGCGCCCGATCTCAGTGATCACACGCGGCGTCGTAATCCTCGTCGTCATCAAGCTTGCCCGTGGACATCACCTCGACCTCATCGTGGACGCCCCCGCGTGGTCGACCCGCCGTCATACATGCCGCATGAGGTGCGCCCAATGACCCTGTCGTCGTCCCCGGCCCTAGCCATATAGGCGGCCGCCTCTTAGCCGCCTCCGACATGTCCGTACAGGTTCCAGCCGTTGCCATCAAGAAGGAGGTATCGGGGAGGAGGAGTTGTCGTGGAAGGTGTTGAGTCATGGTTCAGGAGGCAGCCTCGTGGCCGTCGTCGTCGTCGGGGCTGAGACTGAGGAGCCATTCGTCGAATCTCTGGTCGTTCTGGGCGGCCTCATCGGGGTGGGCCGGTGGCCGTCGACGCCGTGCGTGGTCGGAGACAGCATCAGGAGGGGTCCGCGCCCGGCGGACGCCACATCAGGGCCCTGCCAGACCCCTGTGTTGGCGGCCCCACATGTGGTAGAGACGGCGACGAGGCTGTCGTCATAGGCACGTCCTCGACGCCGCGGTTCACGAGGCCGCGGTTGTGCATGACGAGACACCGGGCAACACCGCGTCCTCGGGGAGCCACCGTTGGAAGCGAGGAGAAGGCGGCGAGGGGAAGGCGGCGACGCCGTGTTGGCGAGGAGGCAGGGCCGTCGAGGCCTCGCCGTTGACGATCTCGGTAGCGTGCACGGGGAGGCAAGGTCCAGGCGGTGAGGTGGTCGGCACCTGGCGTGTAGAGACGGCGTGCAGGCGGCAGCGTGAAGAGCTGGCAGGATCGAGAAGGCTGCTGCACGCCTGGGGTCATCGGGACCGAGCGTGCAGGCGGCAGCGCGGAGGCCTCGGTGTCGTCGTCAGGGCCGTCGTGTCGAGCGGGCGCTGTTGTTGTCGAGGAGCAGGCGGGGTGGATGAAAGCGTGAGGAGGCGCCGTCGAGTGAGGAGCCTGGGGTGAGGAGGCCGGGGTTGTTCACGAGACCTCGGGCGACGCGCCGTTGTCGAGGCAAGGGACCGGCAGTGGAGGCGGCAGGGTGGAGGCGGCGGCGTGGTGGGGATCGGACGTGGAGGCGGCGTTGTCGAGCCTGGGACCGTCGTCGGCACCGGGCAGGGTCGAGGTGTGGTCGAGCCTGGCGGTGGAGGGGGTAGCATCGAGGCGGTAGAGTCGAGGCGGCGGAGTCGAGTCGAGGTCGTCGGAGGCGGTGGCTGCGAACCTGGTGTCGTCGTCGGGAGTGAGGATAGAGACGGAAGCGTTGAGGCGGCGGCGTGGTCGGGACAGGGCCGCGTCGAGGCGGTAGGGTCGAGGCGGCGTCGTCGAGTCGGCGTCGCCGAGTCGGTGTCGTCGAGTCGGTGTCGTCGAGTCGGTGTCGTCGAGTCGGTGTCGTCGAGTCGGTGTCGTCGAGTCGGTGTCGTCGAGTCGGTGTCGTCGAGTCGGTGTCGTCGAGTCGGTGTCGTCGAGTCGGTGTCGTCCGAGGCGGCAACTGCGAGCCTGATGTCGCCGTCAGCACCGGCCGGGGCGCGAGGATGCGGATGCAAATGCGGCAGCGGCCGCCTGGTCGAGGAGGGCGGCGCGGAGGAGGGCGGTGCTCGTGGCGGATATAGGCTTAGACTGGTCCTGCACGGTGCAGTCTCGGCCGCCGGCGCTAGGCATGGTGCGTCACAACTCAGAGGAGCGGCGTTAGCTGGAGGAAGCGGTGGTAGTAGTAGTGTAGGTAGTGGTGGTAGCGACAGCGGCGGAGGCGGAGGAGGTAGAGGGAAGGTGGAGGAGGCGGAGGACGTGTCGGGGTGGTGGACGGTGGTGGTGTCGAGCTGGAGCGAGCAGGCGAGCGCGGCGTCGAGCGGGAGATGCGGGTCAGTCGAGCGTAGGTCCGGGCAACCCATGCGATGCGCGAGGCGATGTGGACGATGCGGGCGAGCCGGCCGGTGGGCCAGCGGGCCAGTGGGCATGAGATCGTGCGAGGAGAGCGGGGAGGGTAGCACAGCGAGCGATCGGGTCGAGAGGGTCGGACGGGGGAGCGAGTCAGACGGGAGAGCGGGTCGAACGAGAGAGCGGGGCGGACGGGAGAGCGGGTCGGAGGTGGGTGAGGTTGAGCAGACGAGAGGAGGGGGCGGGTAGAGTCAAGAAATAGGCCGTTGAGGGCGACGTGGAGAGGAGGTCGAGGGCGAGAGGTGTGCGTGTACGGGAGAGGAACTGGGGCGAGTGACGACGTACCTATGGTTATGTCCTCGTCGTCCGTTTCCTCCCTCTTCTGTGCTCCTTCTCGTCCTCCTCCTCGTTGTCGTGCTTTTCCGCCTCGTCGAGTAGCATTGGTTCGTGGGTGTTGGTGGAATGGGACGCCGCTGCCGTGGAGACCGTGGATTGTGTCGAATGAGACAGCGGTGGGAGCAGGCAACTATTCGAAGGGACGCGTGTGCAAGGGACCGAGGGAACGAGTAGTCGAGGCAGATGAGCGGTCGTGGCATCGAACGAGCCGAGCGGGAGCGCACGAGGGAGCCGAGAGAGGGAGGGATATACTGGACGAGAGCGGGAGGGACGGATGTGCAGGTCGACGCAAAGAAAGACGACGTACCCCGTTTGTGCCCTCTCTGTTCCCCCTTGTCTTTCCGCCGCCGCCGCTGTTCCTCGGCGTCATCTTCCTCAGCGTCGTTGTCGTTGTCATCGTCATCTTGGTCGCCTTCGTTGTCGTCGTCGTTGACGCTCGGACATTTGCGATGATTGGCGTGCCATCGGGCAGCGTGGGCGTAGGGGCGTTGGTGGAGCGGGACGCCATCGCCGTGGAAACCGTGCAGCACGCCAAACGAGACAGTGATGGGCGCAGGCGTGGGGTCGAAGGGATGCGTGTGCACGACGCCGAGGGAACAAGTGAGGGGTTGAGGCGGACGAGCGGGAGCTGGAGAGTCACGAAGTTAATTAAGTGGTCGCGTGGGCGCGACGCGAAGTTAAGTCCTTCGCACCCATCTCTAACTCAAGTCTGTCCGCGCGCAAACCTCAACCTTCGTCCCCTCGCCCTCGCCTCGACACCATGCACACCCACCACCCACTTCCTTCGCCTTCGTCCTCCCATCCTCCCGGCCCGATGCACACGCGTCCACTCGGTCACAACAACTCCTTCGACTGCTCCCTCACGCGCCCCTGCCGCCGCCACGCCCGTGCTTCGCCCTTGCGCACAGCGTGTCGCAATCGTCACGCTACCCGTGCTTCAGCGCGTCGACGGCGAGGGTGAGGAGAGTTGTCAATGAGAAGAGAAGGTGCGAAGAGGAATGCCATGAAAAAGGTCCGTATCACTTACTTTCGCTAGCCCTCCCCCAGCCCTAGTCCTGCCCCTCCCAGCCCGGCCCTGCCTGTCCCGCGCACATGCGCACACCCGGAAGCGGCTCCTCACGCCGCGTCTCTTCCCCTGCTCTCTCCTAGGAAGCGAGGGCACGACCACGCTCCCCGGTACCCTACCGCCCGACGCCTTCTTCTCCAAACACGCCCACTCGACGCTGCACACCGCCGCGCACACATCGCACGAGCGCACCCTGTCCTCCGCCTCCGGCTACGCGCACCACCATGTGGCCGGCGCTGCCAAGAGCACCACCTCGCCCGCGAAGCAGCGCTACGTCGCGGACGCGCACGGCCTCGAGATCGTCAAGAAGATCCGGCAGGGCGAGGTTGAGCTGCACGACCGCACCATCGTCCTGTGCGACATCAAAGCCAACGTCCGTCCAGCTCGCTTTGCGAAGCTGAGGGCCATCAAGGACGCGAAGAAGCCAGGCAAAGCCCCCACCGCGATCCCCGCTGTCTCAGGTTTAAAACGCCTCCGCGGCCGACATCGTGGCGGCGCAGGGGAAAGAGGCGGCGGTGAGCGGGGGCATAGGCGTGGACGAGGACAGAGACGGGGTCGGGAAGGGAAAGGTTAGTCCCTCGAGGATCTGTAGATAGTAGAAGTAGAGGAAAAGAGAATGAAACATCATGTATCAGTACATGCCCTCGGCGATGCAGAGGCCCATCGTCCGTTTGCAAAGCCGAGTGCGAGAAATAAAGGGTACAATAAGATATAATAAGAACATACTCACAGTGCAGGCATCTGTAAGGTTAATGCTCGTAGGCTGTCTCATTCATGTAGAGTCGAGTTTGTGCAGGTTTTGTGCTTGTTGGCACAGCGGAATCCTGATACGCGGCTGAGCCGCGTATCAAGACTCAGCCAAGCTGATACGCGCCTGACATGACGAGCCTCTCCAGCCGCAGCGAGGCTCGTCATGTCAGGTGTGTATCGGGACTCAGCCCTGTCAATACGCGGCTGACATGACGAGCCTCTCCAGCCGCAGTGAGGCTCGTCATGTCAGGCGCGTATCAGGACTCAGCCCTGCCAATACGCGGCTGACATGACGAGCCTCTCCAGCCGCGGACAGGCTCGTCATGTCAGCCGTGTATTGGCATGAGTGGCTTCTTCACCTTTTAATGGCCTCTTTAGCCCTGCCATACCCCTGTCCTACCCTGAACCTTCTAGCTTTTCAGGTTAGAATGGCATGAAGATCGAGGGGATTGAGAGGGCAAGTAGATGGGCGTGAGTGGTGTCGAGGAGACGAGTGTGGATGGATATGAATCGCCGGCGAAAGTGGGCGCGTGGACCTGAGGGGACGAGGGCGAATGTGGGATCAACAGTCGAGCAGGGCCAGCACTCGAGCACACGAGTGCCCATGGCGTCAAGCAGGAAGTCCGAATGTGTCGAGTAGGAGTCTGGGCAATGCAGACGATGTGCGGAGGGGACGTGGACGACACAAGCAAGTGGGCATGGTGTCGAGCGGGTCGAGCACGAGAGCGAGCAAGTAAGCAAGCGGGCTAAGAGGGTCGGGCAAGCGGGTCGAGAGGGTTGGGCGAGCAGGTCGAGAGCAGGACTGAATGAGGAAGAGTGGGCGTGATGCCGCGCGGGGGTGGGCAGATAAGTCGAATACAAGAGGTACGTGTGCGGGAGAAGAACGGGAGTAAGAGACGACGACATACCTACATCCATTGTGGATAGCTTCGTCATCCGTGCCCACTCTTCTCAGCTCGTCTCTCCGACGCACTCGTTCCTCGTCCTCCGTTGCCAGCTGGGTATCATCCTTCTCGTCGACACTAGAATGGTTGCGATGCTTTGCGTGTAGCACGCGCGCGGAGGCGTCGACGGAGCAGCTTCGCAATTCAGCCCTCAGTGATTGAAGATGTTGAGGGTGCTGTATTGCGGGGGTGTCGGGGGATGAATGCATACGGGATCGATGAGACGAGCGGGAGGGCGCTCGGTGGATGCTGTGTGAGTATCTAAGGGAACGAGTGTGCGTGGTTGTACGTGACAGGACGCAGGCGAGAACGAACACATGGGATCGAAGGGACGGGCGACATTTGATGGGATCGGGGCCACCGGGGGCTCTGGGTGGCGAGCGTTTACGATGTCGAGAGTGGGGACGTCGACAGCAGAGGAGATGAGCACGAGGGTTCTGGGTGCAAGCGTGCGAGGGTGCTGGGTGGCAGGGTGGCGTGGGCTCAGCGGACGACAGGGCGCGGGATCAATGGCAGGAACGTCGCCATCGAAGGGGTCGAGGGGACGCAGGTCGAATGAGGGGATTGAGGTCGTGATAGAAGAGCGGGATGAGCAGGTGAGTGGCGTCGAGTGATAGATGCGGGCGTGTCGAGCGGGGGTCTGGGCAACGCAGACGATGCGCGAGGGGGCGTGGACGATGCGCGCGAGCAGGCCAGTGGGCCAGTGGGCATGGGACCAGCGGGGGGACAGCTGGAAGAGCAGGAGGGAGAGCAGGAGAGGAGGAATTGGGGCGACTGACGATGTACCTATGTAGATGGCCTCGTCGTCCATTACCTCCCATCTCCACATGGCCGATCCTCTTCCTCGTCCTCCGCTCCGTTGTCGTGATTGTCCGCGTCGTGGAGCAGTATGGGTGCGTGGACCTTGGTGGAGCGGGACACTGCCGCCATAGAGACCGTGGAACACGTTCAGGAAGGGCAGAGCTAAGTGCATGGGTGTGGGGTTCCGGAACTCGTCCAGCTCCTCGATGGTCTTGTACGACTGCAAACGCACATGCCTGGCATGCTGACGGGCCTCGAGCTTCTTCCGGTGCTTGTTGTCGAGCGAGAGATAGCAGGCGCGCGCGTGGACCAGGTGCTGTGAAGCCTCTTCGAGGGGTGCTAGGCGGCGAGGGTGTGCAACGTCGAGAGTGGGAATGTTAACAGCAGAGGGGATGCACACAAAAGTGCTGGGCGTGAGCATGCATAGGGCTGAGTGTGCGCGGAGTCTTGGCAGCGACGCAGCGCAAGCAAAGTGCGAAATCGTGAATTGTGAAGGGGATGAGTGCGAGGTTTGCACGGTCTGAGCGTACGACTGGGTACGGCATCAAGAGTGGGAATATCACCGTGGAGGGGGTCGAGGGGACGCATGTCGAAGGAGGGGCTCCAGGCCGTGATAGAAGAGCGGCGTGAGTGACTGGCTGTGGCATCGAGTAGGGGATGCGGGCGTGTCAAGCAAGGATCCGGGAAACGCAGACGATGCGCGAGGGGGCGCGGGCGATGCAGGAGAGCGGGCGAGCGGGCCAGTGGGTATGATATCGAGCAGGTAGAGCAGGGAGAGCGGGGAGAGCAGAAAGGCAGGGGATCGGTTTGAGAGGGTAGGACGGGAAAGAGGAGAAACTAGGGCGAGTGACGTACCTCTCGTAGATGTCCTCGTCGCTCGTTCCTTCCCTCTTCTGTGATCATCTCCACTGGTGCCGAACCTCATCCTCATCCTCATTGTCATAGATGCCTGCGTTGTTGAGCAGTGCAGGCGTAGGCGTATGGGCGTTGGTGGAGTGGGACGCCTCTGCGGTGGAGATGGTGGATAGCCCATGGGGAGAGAGACGACAGGAGTGTGAGCGTGGGCATGGACAGCGAGAGAGGACACGATCGGGAAGGGAAAGGTCAATCCCTCGAGGATCTGTAGATAGTAACAACGCGCTGTTAGCAATGTGTGGACGCGACGCGACATTGCAGCGTGCTTGATCACGAGACATTGGAGGGCACTGTGTTCCGACACAGTCGGACTGTGTTCCGACACAGTCGGACTGTGTGCCGACACAGTCGGACTGTGTGGCGCGACAATCAACGGACTGTGTGCGGCACGGCCGGACTGTGTGGCGCAGATTCACCGCCAAATCTCGGACTGTCACCGAGAATCCGGACTGTGTGGCGCTGAACCAGCGCCAAAATCCGGACTGTGTGCGGTCTCGGCCGGACTGTGTGGCGCAACAGAGAGACTATGCGTGGTGTGACAACAGTGTGACGACTGTGGGTCCGCAATCTCCCGACTGTGTGCCGCCCTTTCCCGATGCTGACTAAACTGTGTCTCCGGGTTGCAGAATACCCTCAACATCACAAACAATTACATATCTCTCGATCCCCTCATCCAAATAATAAAATTAGGGTATAATCTGAAAGGTAGTGTATGTAGGAGCATTCTATTAGTTTTGCAATGGAAATTCAAGGACAATTGTGGACTGGAGACTCAGTTTTTTGAGGTTTTCCCTCAATTCTGTATTTTGCCTGTAACATCTTCAGTACTCCATGTCTACTAATGAAAATATTAGGGTACCATGACAAATACATTTTAAGCCTATTGAATCAGACAGAATTGTGTGCAACTTCGGATTTGGTTCCCAAAACCCAGACTGTGCTTCACACAGTCTGCTTTTAGGGGGTAGACTGTTTAAATCCATATCTATTGAACCCCATATTCAATCTCGCTGCTTCTGGGCCTCAAAGTTGAAGCAGGGTATGAAGATTACAGAAAGGATTTTTTCATATTTATAAATGCATTTAATTGGCAACACAGTAGTTTCGGATATCGGTGGACTCAAAAGTGTCGGTAATACTACTAGCAATGTGTGGACGCGACGCGACATTGCAGCGTGCTTGATCACGAGACATTGGAGGGCACTGTGTTCCGACACAGTCGGACTGTGTTCCGACACAGTCGGACTGTGTGCCGACACAGTCGGACTGTGTGGCGCGACAATCAACGGACTGTGTGCGGCACGGCCGGACTGTGTGGCGCAGATTCACCGCCAAATCTCGGACTGTCACCGAGAATCCGGACTGTGTGGCGCTGAACCAGCGCCAAAATCCGGACTGTGTGCGGTCTCGGCCGGACTGTGTGGCGCAACAGAGAGACTGTGCACAGTGTGACAACAGTGTGACAACAGTGCGCCCGCAATCTCCCGACTGTGTGCCGCCCTTTCCCGATGCTGACTAAACTGTGTCTCCGGGTTGCAGAATACCCTCAACATCACAAACAATTACATATCTCTGGATCCCCTCATCCAAATAATAAAATTAGGTTATAATTTGAAAGGTAGTGTATGTGTGGGCATTTTATTAGTTCTGCAATAGAAATAAAAGGATAATTGTGGACTGGAGACTCGGTTTTTTGAGGTTTTCCCTCAATTCTGTATTTTGTCTGTAACATCTTCAGTACTCCATGTCTACTAATGAAAATATTAGGGTACCATGACAAATACATTTTAAGCCTATTGAATCAGACAGAATTGTGTGCAACCTCGGATTTGGCTCCCAAAACCCAGACTGTGCTTCACACAGTCTGGTTTTAGGGGGTAGACTATTTAAATCCATATCTATTGAGCCCCTGATTCAATCTTGCTGCTTCTGGGCCTCAAAGTTGAAGCAGGGTATGAAAATTACAGAAGGGATTTTGTCATATTTATATTTGCATTTAATTGGCAACACAGTAGTTTCGGATATCGGTGGACTCAAAAGTGTCGGTAATACTACTAGATCCTGCGAGATATTAGCCGCTGAGCACACTATTATGCTCACGGTAGACCCTTCCTCTCCTCCTTTCAGTGTCTTGCCTGCTCATTTTGTCTGGCCTCCAGATCATGACCTCTTCTTGCGAATCCCGCTTCCGCTTCCCCCCACTCCAAGCTCCTTGTCCATGCTCAATCCGCTCACACTGGAGATTCTGGTGCTGAGGCTCAGTTAGCCAGTCGGACATCCTTGCTTCTAGGCCCCCTTTACACTCTCTATGCTCGGCTTGTCGCCTCGCCATCTTTGCGTCCTGATACTGTTGCGTCCGTAATGCATGCTCTGTGCGCCTTTGCGCGTCTTCCTCCCTTGCTCTGTTAACTGTATTCTGGCTCCAATTAGAATATGCGACACCAGCGTTGTGGACATATAGCGTCCGCGAAGCTCTTCCAGTATCGTGTCTAGATTCAGTTTTGTAGAGGTGGGGAAGACCTTGTGATGTCCGAGGCATATCCCAGTGCTGAGACGGTGAGCTGATGCGAGATATCAAGTCAGGCTTGGAAATGCGATTTGGTGCTTCGAAAATACCCGAGATTGAAGTAGAGGACAGCGTTGCAGAGGGGTTCGGCATTCTAAAAAGGCGATGAGAAAATATTTGGGCTACCGGTCCGGCGACGCTCCGAGGGCCCTCTCCGAATCGCCCATATCGCAAAGATTCTCTGCGACGAAGACCTATGTCATTAAGCTCGGCTAAGCGCCTTGCACGATAAGCCCGTTGATATGCTGCCTCTTGCTCCTCTTTGAGCTTCCTAGCATATTCATCTTCGCACTTGGCACATGAGTTGGGCGAGGGTTGATGGCACTTATAGCTCCGTGGATGGTTTTTTGGACAGAATGAGATCATGGCGGCTTCACACCGAATATCCGAATGATCGTAGCGTGGATGGCACGTGAGGGTGCAGCCATGGATGCCGCAGTTTAACCTGACTCTGCTAAAGGAAACGTGGTAAGAATCAAAGTCTGTCAAGCGTCAGGCGAATATGCAACAGTCGAACTCACCAAGGTTGTCGGCATCCCCCACGTGGGCAGTACCTATCAAAGTCATGAGCACACCTCAGGAGCGTGGCTTCATTTGGGTGTTGCTCGCATTTCGCTGGGAAACCCTCGTAGAGATGGCCCTTGCTTCTGAGCAAATTCAATAGTATCCTCCAAGATTCGCTACCCTCGCGGGCCTCCATGAAGGTGTCTACATTGCCGATCATGATCATAGCATCCCGTGCACGAGAGAGAAGGACGGTCAAGCGCTCTCGAGAGGACATGAAACCAATATTGTGGTACCAGTTGCTCCTCGTAAGAGATATTATCACGATGTCGCTTTCTTCTCCTTGGTAGTTGTCTATGTACGTTACGTTAAATTATGTGTCATACGAGGGATTTGGCGCAAGAACTAAACAGGACCAACCTATCGTTGCAAGGCGAATGAGACCTCGATTGTGCCTCGCGTACGATGGAGAGAACAGCCCGGCACGAATGAGGTCAAACGTATCCAGATCATTTAGCACAGGATCATGGTCCGTCATCGCCATCTGCAACGCTCGAAGCTGCCCAAGATATGGTGTCAGAATCACTAGTTGATTAGTTCCGTAGCCTTGCTGTTCCAGATACCGAATAATTTTCAATACAAGTTCCACTTCGAAACTGTCCCAGTAGCTTTATCAATCCACGTAGTCTAACTAATGTCCAAGGACATACATGTTTTGTTTCGAGGTCGTTGAAACCATATCATCGTGTGGAAGCCCGTCCTCAGGTTTGTTATGATTGATAAAGACGATGTTGTCTTGAACGCCCCGCAGATTTGGACGGTTCTTAGTTCGGTCAGCGTCCAGGAGGTCAGGGTACGTCAATTGTCGAACGAGGTCCGATATCTCTGGACGCATCCTGTGTTGCTGGCGGAGCGTCTTGTGGGGATATCCCTTCAAGACGAGACGCTCGAAGAGAGATCTGTTGAACTCTAGCCCTTCACCCTTCTCGACCGTGAGGCTATAGTTGTTGGCCTTCGGGCGCAGCTGCCTAAAAGTGAAACTAAACACAGAAATGATTTGGGACTTTCAAAGGAAAAGCGTACTTGTGATCTCCGATGAGAATAAGTTGTTTTGTATCCTCATTGATAGCTGTGAGGATATGCGACTCGAGAGTTTCCCCGGCTTCTTCGGCCAAAACAATACTTGGCCGTGCACTATTGATCTGCTCACGATATTTAGCCGCCGCAGTGGTCGTGCATCCAATGATACGCTTGCTTTTCAGAACCGCGGTATCTCTCTCCACATATTTGGCGCGAATCCGCGCCAAGCATTCATTGTACTTCCTTCCAGCAGTCAATACGACGTCGACATGGTCCTTGAGCATGTCTTCTTTCCACTGGGAAAGTTCTGCCTGCCGTTCAATGAAAGATGTTCGCCAGATATTTTCCGCATTGACAACGTTGGCCGCATCCATATACACCCCTGCATTTTGGCCCTTGGCCCAACGATCGAGGAGATAATCCGGCCTGACATCTCTGCCGCTCCGCCCGATTGTGTATGTCCCATCGTACGACTCTGGGAGGCAAAGCGCATCAAAGTAAGGGCGTTTCTCGAAGCTAGACTGTAGATAATTCAGGATAACTGCAGCGTTGAAATCGAAGGATATATAGGCCCCGAAGCTGCTCTCCAGGTGTGCGCGAAGGTCATCAGCTTTCGACCTGATGCTACGAATCTCAATCTGATCGGCTCGCTTGATTCGGTTTACTTTCGTCTGCTTTCGTAAGGCCAGAGACGCCGCCGTGTCCGTCGTTGATCTAGCACCTAAACGGACGATACTCTTTTCGGGAATGCCAATCTTCAAGAGGTCTTCGAGGAATTGATCAAGTGCATGGTTCGTACAGCATACGACGAGGATGGTCCCAGAGGAAAAGTCGTGAAGTGTCTTAGCAAGGAGCGCGCCGATGAACGATTTGCCAGTACCTGGAGAATACATTTACAGTCGCGAAAACGACGGGACAAGACGTATTCGTACCTGGAGGCCCTTGTATCAACGAGACTCTCTGTGTAAGACCTGAAAGGAGAGACGCAGACTGCGCCTCGTCGAGAACGATGCGACCTGGTGTGTTGAAGTACTCTTGGAGATTTTGTGAAGGGTCCGTTTGAAGAGCCTCAACGATCTGCATTGGCGGGTCAGAGATAGACTCTATCTCGTCTCCATTTCCCCAAAATAGCAGTTCAGGTGCGAAGGTGATATCCTGCTTCTTTTGCAGCGCAGTCAGTACGGGCTCGTATGCGAAGACGGCAGTACTAAGTTGGACAAGAGTGATGTGCTTCGACGTCTGAAGCTTTAGGAGAGCGTGAGTGGTGTTAGCTGTGTCCTCGAGCTGAACCACGATGACGGGTGGACACTTCGCGAGCAGCTCCTCTTCTCGATTAATTGTTGCAAACGCCACGATATGTCCATCGACAATGAGACATGTCATAGACTGGTGCCGGAATACTTTCTGGTTCTTGTGGAGATACGCAAGGCGGAACTCTGGCGGAACTGTTTTGAACCAGTACAGGTCCTCGTGACACCGCAGCCTAATACCCCACTTGCACGCTTTATCCGGAGAAGACTGGCAATGAACCCCAAGGAGGGTGAGGCCGTTGATGACGAGTCCGCGAAACCTCCCCTTCTTCTTCCCAAGTACAATATCCAGCTCCTCCCGCATCGCATACAGCATGTCCTCCCTGAGCAAGCGGAACTGATTATCGAGATGCATCGCGACGCGCGTCTCGGCCGTGTCCGGATCGTCGAGTGCGGCGCTCGGGCGTAGGAATGCCGCACGCTTGCACGCGAGCTCATCCACGGTCGGGAGGATCGTGATGTCACGAAAATCTGCAAAATCGTTGTCGTGCCGTCCGCCTGGACCACGTGACGGGTCGATACCTGCGGAAGCGCCCGACACGCTGGAGGGGATCGAGTCAAACACGCTCTTGATCTGGGTTGCGAGCTCACGGACTTCATCATGGGGGGAGGAAAGGAGGGCGGCAGAGATCGTGGGGTTGTTGGCGAGCTCACGATGAGTGATAGTGAATTCTCCGGGTAACGAGATCAGCTGCCGGAGCAGCCAAGCAAAAGCGAGCTGGCCGTCTTGACTTAACTCCCCGGCTTGAAACGCCTTTGTGAACGGGGACCAGAAGACGGGTGGATCGACGATCGCAATGATAATCTTCGTCAGAAAGCTGCCTCCACCGATGATCGTAAGATTCGGAGCCGAAAGATACTTGAGCAAGTCTGTCATAGGACCGTTGAAGAAACTGGGGGTCAAGTCAAAGCGCATCGCGCTCTGGACGCATTCGAGTCCTTGCGTACTGGAAACCAACATGCTGATACAGCTTGCGGCGTCGTCTTGGGCACAGATAGCCTCGAGGAACCGCGCGCTAGAGTTTTGGACCAACCGCTGTTCGCCATCGATGAAGGCCTTAAGAAACCTGAGATATTCTGCTGCTCTGAGGTCGTCTTCACTCATGGAAGGAATGGATAGATGGAGGTTGAGAAAGCACAGTTAAACGCCGCACAGACGCGTGTACGCAGGACACGACTTCGATTGCCTGCAGTTCTGCCTCGTGTACCAAGCTTCTCATGCCTTTCCCGTTCTGGGTTCATGATGACTGCCATTAATCGGACCCCGGCCGGCGGTCTGCATGTGGCATCCACCTCACCTATCGTATGCACACTGTTAGTTACCAGCCACCAACTCAATTAAGAGCCCTTTCCATACTTTCAGACTACCCTGAAACCGCTTGGACTGTTTGGAAGGCTCGTGCAGTCAACTGCACTAGGAACGAGAATGGAGAAAGAAATCAATCGAAAACGAACGCTTGATGTCATTGTGATCTATCCGGGATCCTTTTGGTAGCTGAATACGATATGCATAGGCCAGTCCGCGCTAGTCAGGGTACAAGAGCGATTTTGTATCGTAACACAAGTCTTCTGAAAACAACTTACCTCGATCCGCACCAACTCCCTCCTAAAACAGCTGTCGTGACTATTTCACTGCTCTATTGATGGGATACACCTAGCCCTGGAACTGCGAAGGACAGCGCATTCTCAACGCGCGCACGCGATATGGACTTCATCCAACGCGAAACTGCATGCGGAGGTGTCGGAGGGAGAAACGGCACACGGTTGGCGTTGGGCGCGGATGGACGTACTAAATAAATAGAAGTACTTGTATTCTTCGGGTCGTCAGCGCTGATCAGCCTCTCTCAAATATCACATTATCACCGAGTGCTTTGTGCTATGTCGAAGGATTTGGTGAGTATGGTGTGGAATATGACCGAGATTGGAGAGGAAGGCGAATGAGTTCGAGTAGAGGGAGTCACGGTAAGCATGTGGCTCCGCTGCTTGCTTCGTATGAGCCAATGGTGCGTACCTTCAAGCTGCATCCTATCGTGACCATATTCACCTATTCCAACTGCCCACACAAGCGTTTCTGTAGGGTCTCTCTGCCGATCAAAGCTTCAAGTGAAACCGAAACTTGAACCAAGTATCGGGTAGTCATGATATCGAACAAACTGAGAAGTAGGGCATGTAAACAGTAACACAAGTGAGGAGGAAATGAACTCTATCATGAACGCTGGACTCACCGGCCAAGCAGTCCAGAGGATGTCATGCGATGAAGATGAGACAGAGACATGCATAGTCATGCATACCTACATGTCCATCAAGGAGATGCTGGATGGAAAGGCTAGACAGTGATATCGAAAATCAAGGACAATGAAGGAATGGGAAGAGCTATGGCAAGGTTGTGGCAAGCGAGCCGAGACAGAGTGACAAGCTACCGGAGGTTGCCGGACCGCTTTTTCTTGGACCATACCTACTGTTTTTCGTCGCTGATGCCTTCAGACTAAATCACTGGCTCTATTTACTTCTCTAGACGTTTAATCGGTCCAACTAGTTGTGTGGCCTCAACGATGGGCCCTTGACTCGCCACCTGCACGAAACAGTCAAAGCTGTCCTTATACAAACATTACGGCATCACACTAGGCTGGATTGGTCTTCCTGAAGAGCGTTACTCCTGCACTCCCCTCTCCTCACAAAGGCTATGACCCACTCTTTTGTCGTTGCAAGATTTCTGCCTCAGCCTTCTGCACAGTGGACCTCGATCTATGGTCTCGAAAGGGCAGCCGATATCATTACCCATCCCTTTGTTGCGCTCCGCATGCACCTTAAGGACATTGGATTTAGCAGCCGCCCAAACACGCCCACTTGTTCATATCATTCATCGTTTCATCCGAGAGGTCGACTGGAGCTTCCGAGGATCGCATTTCACTCTAGGGCCTGTTGCAGAGAAGACAGACAGGGTTTTGACCGTAAACCCCCCTTTCAGCTTGAGCGGACGCCCAGTCTATCTTTACGCATTCCCTAAGCTCATCGCAAAGTGTACTATCTCTGATTTCGACATCTCGGGCGACCGCTTCAGCAGACTTCACAAGCTGGATGAAACTGACTTCAAAATATTCTGTGAGTCAGTCATAGAGGACAATTGTCGAAGGATGGTGAGAGTTTGCACATCGGGTGGCGATGGGGTAGTAGAGGATGGATGGGAGATGTGGAGCGGTAGAAGTGCCACCGGCACCGAACAGGGGCGAAAATCTGATAGCTGCATTTATGAACTTCTCGATTGGTAGGATCCTTCGCCACTTGCCCGTCCTTCGATCTACAACGAACCCTTGCTATACAAGCAGTACGTCGCGTTGCGTGCACTTCTATCAATTATTCTGGTTAATTTTATGTCTTCATAGGCTCGGATCTGATTACTCCTGGGCGGGTACGACTAGATCTATCTTGTGGGTCAAAGAAGCGCGTGTTGTGAGTAATTATGTGTACTCGAATCAGGCGAAATGCACGGGGGACGTTCTTCTCTGTCTATTGGAAGACAGTGAGGTCGACACTCGAGGTAAAGAAGCCGCGAAGCTCCACTCTATGCCAGTCCCTTGCAACGGCGACCCGCTTGAAAACCAAGAATCCGACGAAGAATCCGATTTGGAATGGGATGATGGCCCCGTCCCTGACGTTCAGCGGCTTCCGAACCCACAGCGTGCAATGCCTGCTATTGACGTCAAAGTCGTTGCCTTCGATTTATTGGGTACGATCTTCGTCAGTGTTGTACCACTTTCCTGTTATTCGACCCCATATTAACCATGCCCTCGTGCAGGCTCGCGAGGCGGGCATCCGCGACGCTCTGGTTTCTCTCTCTCCGCTTGATTGGGAGAGACGCACGTCGCGACAGTTGATAGAGATATATATCGAGTGCGAGACACTTCGATTGAGGGAATCGCGCGACGGATGCTACTCCGTGATCGCCCACAAAGCATTGGTTGAAACCTGTTTACATCTCGGAGTCTCGCCAGAGAAAGAATCTTTGGATAAAGCAGTCGGTATCATATTAAAGCCACGTTTGCGTGTAGATGCAATTGAGGCGATAAGTGCATTGCACAGGCGTGGATATACCCTTCTGGGTATCCCATCACTCCACCCGTCCACATTTTTCCAATGCTTCCAACCCCATATCCCTCCAGAACTCACCATCGACATTCTGCCCTCAGCATGGGCATCTCCCCACGCACAAAATCCGGTGCTCTTCCCTGCGCTCCTCTAGCGCTCTAAACGGAGTTATACGGAGATCACGTCTCCTCAGATCCTTATAGTGAAGGCCGGCCCATATCGCGTCGTGGAACCCGCTTGCACTGCGGGTGTCCCGGTAATTCTCCTTCAAACCGCTCTCGACATGGAGTCGAAGGTTATTTTGACACAGCTACGCCCACCTTGATCGTAGAGAACCTATCGGCTCTGTGCGACGCAATGGATGGGCCTGACCTTAGCAATTCGTCTATTGTCCCACCCGTCCGCCCGTCTTACATGTTCCCTCCATATCGTGTATGCGACCACTACCAGGTGACATGTATCATTGGCTCTGGTATTTTCAGTATGTGGACGGCTCCTCATGACCAACAGCATGGCTGATTTTTTTCGTAGGCACCGTCTTCTCCGCTTTCCGCGTCCTGACGGGGGAAGAAGTTGCTATCAAGCGGGAGATGCCAAAGGCGGGCAAGCCGGATGAGGAGGTATTCCTTGCAAGCTGCGAGAGTGCATCTATCAAGCGGAAAGAGTTGAAAAGGGAGGAAATATGCCTTTTGCCGTACGAGGCGCAAGTGTATCGGCAGCTGCGCGAGTATCAGGCCATCCCTTCGCTTTACACGTTCGAAATGTACGGCGGGGGTTACTTCTTGATTCTTGACGGAGTCGGTGTGACGCTGGAGCAACTTCACAAGGTGTGCCGAGGGACACTGTCGCTCAGAACAGTTGCGATCCTGGCCTTGGAAATGGTAAATGCCTTTTTTTCCCTTGCGTGTCCTCCCCTTATATATTCCGATCATCCAGATTGAGAGAATCGAATTCGTTCATTCACGAGGGATCATCCTACGCGATGTCAAGCCTCAAAACTTGGCCATGGATCTTGGCAACTGCTCGAGCTTGCTCTACATGTTTGACTTCGGACTCGCCAAGCCATATATTGACCTCACAACAAATGATCACATTCCGTTCAGAACCGGTCTAGTCTCGGTGGGCACTGCTCGCTATATGAGCTACAATGTCCACTTTGGTAGAGGTATGTCTTTTATTGATTCATCCTCACATTCGTGATTGATTGATGTCTTAGCCTACAGAGCCTTCCCCCTGCGACGATGTGGGGGTGTTAGGGAACTACTTGCTTCATCTGTTCCGTGGCCGACCAGTCCATAATATAGAAGAATGGAGCTTCGTTGGCGAACAAAGCATCACCATAGATGATTATGTGATAGGAACGAATGACAGCAGTCTTATCGCCGCCAACACGTCGACTGCGGTGAACAGTCATGTCCCAGATGATTCGTCTACAACTCCAAGCGAGCCTGGAGATCTCATAGACAATCTTGCTGTTACGTTCAGCGGCTCCATCCATGCCGCAGATCATTTGAATGATGAGCAGGACGATTCCCGTGATGCCTATGGTGCTGTTGATACTTCTCAGTTCGAAGAAACCTCTTTCGATGAAGGCGAAGTGGCTTACTTCTCACCGCGCCCCAGGTCTTTGTCTCTTCCTAGCTCACTAGCCTCCAACGACCAAGACGATCTACCCCTTCTCCCACTTGGAAAAATTCTATCTGAGGCGTTGTCTACAAACATCTCTGGCGCATCGATCGAGTTACAACATTTATCTCAGATTCTGCCGAATATGCCACCTGGAGTCTCGCCACAGGATAGCCGCTTGTCGCTCCCTACTACATCTAACCTCACAAATGGCTTGATTCAGGATTTCTTTCTCGCTGCATCCGAAGGACCAGCGATATCTCGGCTTCAGGAGATGCAGAACCTCATACAGGAGCCTATACCATCCCTAACAGTGTTCTGCTGGACTAAGTAAACGATGAGGCCACAACACACAATCACATTGCCAATGGCGAAGGACACATTCACGGCTGACGCGGTGTGGAATCGTGGAGGGTCGATAAAAATCCAAGTGGAAACGATACCTGAAATGAACGAATCGATGATGAGCACGAATAATTCAAATGAAGATGATCGCATCGCGTACCCCCCATGTTGGTGCATGCAAAGGCGACAGCAATGGCTGTGGCTGGACGGAAATGCGGCTGAACATTGTTCGCATTCCAAGTGGCGGTGCACGGAGCTAGGCCGTAGAATCCAATGATCCGCAAGAACAGAGCGCCGTAGTTCGCGTGCTTGTTCGGACTGCCTGTCGAAGCTGAATCAGCAAAGGAGTTATACAATTGATGAAGCCACAAGTAGCATGGCTATGAAGATAGCATATCCGAGGATCGCGAGGAAGCTGAGAATATTGAGTGAGAGATATACCCCGAAGGTAGCACAGTGCTTGGTATACTCACGGTAAGAAGCTGGGAGTGTGTCGATGAGAATCCGAGAGCATTAACGATGGTCGGAGTGCTGACAATAGTATACCGAATGAGAACCTTTAATCTCTTGAAATACTACGCAACTTACAACGTCGCCAAACCGAATAGGTGATTCACATGCAACCACAGATCAACGACAACACTCTCGGTGAAGACAAAAATCAAGGAATCACCTTCAATGAAGAAATGCATGCAGAGTATGGGGACGTGCGGAGCATCCAAAAACACGCTCCAGACTTCGGCCCAGCTGAATTTCTCGTCCTCCGCATCCCCGCTCCAGTCTTCTCTCAACATGTCGACGTAGACGGCTTTCTCGTGCCGAGTCAGCCACCGAAGCTTCGAAGGTTCGCGTGGGAGCAGAAAAAAGCCCAATATTCCGCATAGGACGGTAAAGACCTCTTCCTAAAATGCAACCAGCATCTCTCTCCCGTGATTGGAGAGCCAAAAATAAAAGGTCATGGTATAAACTATAACGCACCAGCACGAATATCCACGCTCAGCTTCCAAACCTCTCAATCCGTCCATATCCTCGATGGCCGCCACCAGCAAACCAGAGAACGCGCCGACCAAAGAGGTCATGCTGAACATCATCAATAGCCGAAGCTGCAGCGAGTGCCTGGGATAGAAGTTGGAAAGATACAGGACAAGGCCGGAAAAGAGGCCACCTAATGTCCCCATGGGTGTATTTTCACGCAGTCCGCTCCGTGCGGACGAAGCAAGGCTCAGACTAACCTTCAGCCATGCCCAGAAAGAAACGACAAGCGATCAAGCCTCCATAGGAGGTGACAGCACCTGTTCATGATGAGCACAATCCATTGCTTAAACAACCGCGAGCTGCACCTTGACATGCACCGGAGAAACCCCACAGTACGACCATCAGCGGGATGGTGATGTTTGCGCCGAATCTTCTCATTACCAGATTAACAGGAATTTCCACCATAGCGTATGGCACGCTGTTGTATCATAGCAGAGTGAATACAGTGAAAAGCGACGGCACAAGTGGAACTCACTAGAAGATGGTCAGAGAGACAGAAAACTGATGATCAGTCATATTAAGATCTTTCTGAATGCCAGCAATGCGCGCGTTCCCGATGTTCCTATGAGAGTTCAATCATGCGCAAGACTTTGACAAGCGTATCCTGGACCTACGCGCGATCCTAAACAATCATCGATCGGCACTCAGAAATACTACCCATGCACAGTGGTAGATACAGTCAACTCACCAGGAACGATACAAAGTCTGAAGAAGGCCCATTAGTTATGATGATGCAAACATAAATTTCCAACGTACAAATGATGCCCACAAGCGGAATAATCATAAGGTCGATCTTTGTCATCACAGCAGCCTGTGCATCGCCGCTGCGTGTCTTGGTTATGTGTTCGAACATTGGACGGTCCGAAGCAGGACCATCAACTTTTGATTCAGCGTCAGGGACAGAAAGCTTCGCAGGGACTTCATCGAGTTGCTGGGGGGAGGTGTCAACGGACGACATGATTTGTGGGCAGAAGTCGAGCGTCTCAACCCAGACTGCTTATCGTCAGCTTAACATCTCATCTGGCCGCGTACCTGATTGGGATTGAAAGGCAGACAATGAAATGCGCGCGCAGCAGGACGAGGATGGGAACGAGAGACCAGAATCAGCGAGTACATGGTTGGCATTGAATTGCCCCTGGGCTTCGATGACGGGCCTTGAATCTAGGTTGTACGCGGTCAGCAATCCAGACATGTTGAAAGCTACGATCAATCTCGCGCAGAGAACGGATCTAGGTTTGACGCTGAGAGGTAGCGCCTTACTTACTGACAGATCCATGTACGGAGCAAGAGCAGGAGGTGGCATGACATTCATCTCCTGATTGTTCTGTGACTCGGGAGCTGTGGGATTGCATCAGATATGTCGAGCGTTCGTGTTTTGGCCTTGTCCTTCCCTCTTTGCCTCACGAATCATGGTGCCCGGAGCACTCGTAGACAAGTCGGTTAGCCTCGTTGACGCGTAGCACCCACAAGTTGTCCGAGAAAGCATTGATCGCGAATATAACAAAACAAAATATGCAGCAGTATTCATTCCAACTGCCGGATAAAAAGAGGAGCACATGATCATTCGGCACCTGCCCACTTGCGAATTGAGCAGGGATCTCCGCCGTATCAGCGCGAAGCAGCGATGTGCTCTAAAGAAGGTTTGATGAAAGATTGATCCAAAGTCGATCAAGGATAAAAATACTCACCCGCACGATAGCAATCAGCGTGTCATTGTTCACAACGTATAGACAAAACGTGGATGCCGATCCCCTAGACGCTGCCGTTCCTCGGGAGAGTCCCAACCCCCTTTCTCAGTGCCGTCGCCCTTCTCTCTGAGCAGTACAGCGACGTGCGCTCGCTTGGCAGCGTTCCGCCGGACTAGGTATACGATGAGGCCACCACACGCTAGGACATTGCCGGTGGCGAAGGAAACATTCACGGCCGACGCGGTGTGGAACCTTGGAGGATCGATGAAAATCCAAGTAGAGACGATACCTGCAAGCGATCAGTCGACTATGAGCACGACTGTTCTAAATGAAAACATTCACATCACAAAAGAAAACGTACCCCCTACGTTCGTGCACGCAGAAGCGAAGGCAATGGCTGTGGCTCTACGGAAATGCGGCTGAACATTGTTCGCATTCCAAGTGGCGGTGCACGGAGCTAGGCCGTAGACTCCAATGATCTGCAAGAACAAAGCACCGTAGTTCGCGTGCTTATTCGGAGTTCCTGTCGAAGCTGGATCAGCAAAGGAGTCCAACGGCCGAGAAGCCGTGAGTAGCGTGCCTATGAAAATAGCGTATCCGAGGATCGCGAGGAAGCTGAATACTAGGGCTGTGACTCCACGGCGCTTGTATTTGTCGGACAGATAGGCGGAGACCAAGCTCGTGACAAAGGAGCAGGCGAATGGAGGAACCTGAGACGATCGGGTAAGAAATTGACCCCGAAGTCAGCATAGTGTTCGTATAATCACGGTAAGGAGCTGGGAGCGCGTTGTTGAGAAACTGAGAGCATTGACGATGGTGGGCGTGCTAATAACAGTACACCGAATTAAGATGCACAATCTCTCAAGATACCATACAACTCACAAAGTCGCCAAACCGAATAGCTAATTTTCACGCAACCACATATCAGCGACAATACGATCGAAAATAACGATCAATGAGTGACTCACTGTGATACCTCCAACGAAAAAATGCACGCAGAGTATGATGAAGTGCGGAGCATTCAAAAACACGCTCCAGACTTCGGCCCAGCTGAATTTCTCGTCCTCCGCATCTCCGCTCCAGTCTTCTCTCAGCATCTCGACATAGACGGCTTTCTCGTGCCGAGTCAGCCACCGAAGCTTCGAAGGTTCGCGTGGGAGCAAGAAAAAGCTCAATATTCCGCATAGGACGGTCAAGACCCCTTCCTGAGATACAAGCAGTGTTTGTCTCCCATAAATTGAGCACCGAGGAACTATAACGCACCAGAACGAATATCCACGCCCACCCAGACAAACCTCTCAATCCATCCATATCCTCGATGGCCGCCGCCAGCAAACCGGAAAATGCGCCGGCCAAGGAGGTCACGCTGAACGTCATCGACAGCCGAAGCTGCAGAGAGTGCCTGGGATAGAAGTTGGAAAGATACAGGACGAGGCTAGGAAAGAGGCCGCCTAATGTCCGCGCAGGTTCATTTTCACGCGGTCCGTGTGGTACGGATGGAGCAAGGCTCAGACGAACCTTCAGCCATGCCCAAAAAGAAACGACACGCGATTAAGCCTCCAAAGGTGGTGACAGAGCCTGAGCATGATGAGTATCATTCATTGCTTTCACAACCGCGAGCCTCACCTTGGCATGCGCAAAAGAGGCCCCACAGTACGACCATCAGCGGGATGGTGATATTTGCTCCGAATCTTTTCAAGACTAGATTCACGGGAACCTCCGTCAGAATATACGATACACTGTAGTATCATAGCACGGTTAAAGTTAGTGAGTAGCGACGATGCAAGTAGAACACACTAGAAGACGGTCAGAGAGACAGAAAATTGATGATCAGTCATGTTCAGATCTTTCTGAAGGCCCGCGATGCGCGCATTTCCGATGTTCCTACGGGAGTTCAATCGAGGGCAGGACGCCAACAACAAAATCTGGGACCCACGCGCGATCCTAAACAATTATCGATACGGTGCTCAGATATGTTACCCTTGCAAGATGGTAGAGATAGTCCACTCACCAGGAACGACAAAAAGTCTGAAAGAGACCCATTAGTAGTGATCGCGTAGATACAGACGGTCAACCTACAGATGACTCCCACTAGCGGGATAATCATGAGGTCGATCTTTGTCATCACAGCGCCCTGTGCATCGTGGTCGTCATAGGTCGCGATTGCGAGGCCATACGTAGGAGGATTCGAAGTGAGACCGTCCACTTTTTCAAGGACGGAAAGGGTCGCAGAGACTTCATCGGGTTGCTGAGGGGACGACATGATCTGTGGATAGAGGCTGAGATCCCAGCCTATTTATCGTTTCGTCTGGCTGCGCGCCTAGGACGATGAGAAGCACGTGCAGCAAAAGTGCGTACATGGCTTTCATTGAATTGCGCCTCAGCTTCGCTGATGGACCTCGAATCTGATTGTGCGCGCTCGTGAAGTCTAAACATGTTCAAACCGACGATCGATCCCGCGCAAAGAACGAACCCAAGTCGACGATGAAGACGCTTACCGAATGAGACGTGAATCAAGAACGTATGATCAGAAGCAGGAGATAGAGATGGTGTGGCATTCATCTCTTGTTTGTTTCGTGACTCGAGCAATGTGTACATACAAAAGATATCTCGACGCGTTTAAGTTTTGACGTTCTCTTGCAGTCTTTGTCTCGCAAATCGTACTCTCCGGAGCACTCGTACAGAAAGCGGCCTCGTTGACGCGCGGCGCCGCCGGCCCACAGGTTGTCCGATAAGACGTTGTTGATGAGGATGGGCCAACGATCTTAAACGGAAGGATGGCCAAAGAAGGAGATTTAGCGGCGTTCATGTTAACTGCCGGGCGAAGAAGAGGAGCGAATCAAGTACTTACCCATCCAAGAACCTCCGCCGCATCAGCGCAAAGCGATATTCTCGACGTGATTTGTCGTCCAGCAAAATGACAGTAACAGTGAAAGCACGGATTCATGGGAAGGTGAGGTCGTGTAGTTTCGGGGCATAAAGTTGAGATGACTGATCGAACCGCGCTCAGCGTTTATTCATAGCGGACGTGAAGCTGCGTAAAGCGAGAACCCCAGTCGGTCGTTCAAAGATAGCTCGATTGTTTACTGGCTGGGAACAGGCGTGGGAACGAGTTGAGAACGTCCACGATAGGGCATGACACGGGCTGTGTCCGTCGCACGTCATCATCTTCAAATGGCCTGTTACTGTAAGCGAGTCCCTCGAGGGATGCTTTCTTAGGATTGATTGCTACTTCGTACCCGACAGGTCAGCGAAATCACAACTTTGACTCAAGACCGCGTAGAAGCGACCAACTGATCGATGGCCGCTCGCCGCTGGGCGTCTCACAAACATCCATCTGCCTCGTGCGAAGAATATCACTCAGCGCTTCAACACGTATCTGTAAGTCCAGTTGTCTCCGCCTTTCTTTCAGAGCAGATAATTGATACACCACCTAGATTTCTACCCGCGCGTGGAGGCGTCCGGGATCGCCGTGAATGCGAGAGATGGTATTCCTATGATTAGATGCCTGTCGTATGTGCTTCAGGGTGGACTTTGAAAACCTCCTACCAAGATCGTGTTTTTTTTTTTTTTTGGTAGGTTTGCGGTACCTTTTCTTGCTTCTGATCGTGATTCCCACCTGACACATATAATCCTCACAAGATCAGAGCCAGACATTACACAGTCACCCCTGCAAATTCTACGCGCCAAGCGATATGGGTGGTATACCCATCTACAAGGCCGAGCTACTCGCTCTCTTCCTAGAAAGCTTCTTCTTTGGTTTTTACACCTCTTTATTTATCTGCGCGGCCATTCATTTATATCCCTTCATCATCTTGTCGAGACAGGCGGATTTTTTGTTTTGTTTGGGGTCGTCCTCGTCCTCTTTCATCAGCGCGTCACCACGAATCGACCACAATGGTGCGTTCTCTTGTCTGTATCGATCCTTATGCTGGCAATGGCCACAATGGTAAACTCCTCTGATTTTCAACATTCTGTTAGATGGTTCTGAGATAGGCTGTATATCAGCACCTCATCATTGACATTGTGCGAGTTATGGAGGCATTCATTACACAAGCAAACACCTCTCTTCATGGCGCGAGCAAGTATTATGGGGACCTTGCCAGCCCGTTGCATCTCAGCAAGTCGACAATGTACGGATTGCAGACGCTCCTCGGCGATGGAGCCATGGTGCGTCACAACAACTCCAAATATTGTCTGAAGCGCACTCATCTATTCATTATCACAGGTATGGAGATACTACATCGTATACGACAAGAGGAAAGCAATCATATTCGCATACGGACCTCTCCTCCTCGGAAGCGCTGGTGAACACTCGGCTCCGTATTGTGCTCTTTACATTGGCTTTCACTGACAGCTGGTCGTCGGCTCTCAGTCACAGTTTTCTCGATCCCGGTGGTGTTTTCATGGTATACACCAGGGACTGAGATATTCGATACTGCTTATGCATGGATCACGACGTGAATCGTATTGACCATGACCATCAATGTCACCAGTACGTTTTCCTGCTTGAACATTGTTCGCAACGTGCAGTCCTGTTTGATTATTATCAAATTACAGTCGCAATCGCGTACCGTATATTGTCAAGAAGGCTCCCAGAAACTACGCGACAAAGCATCCTTCCAGTGGCAGCTATCATCATCCAATCTGGGGCCTTATATGCCTCAGGCGTGCTCGAACTACTGATCACGTATCTTGCGGGAACCAATGGACAGTACGCGGCTTTAGACCTTTGCTATCCTTTGGTGGTCAGTACGATCTTCCTCCCTCACCTGAGACCGTCTAGACTAAGCTAATCGCGATTCAAGGCATAATCTTCACCCTAACCATCATACGAATCCGCGTTCGCTTTGACTCGTCATCAAGCAGCAGAGACCAGATATCTCATCGAACACCCTCAGCGGGCGCGTCTCTACCGCCCGCGGCTCGCGCACGCGCGCTAGGGGAACTGGTATGCGCGTCAAGAACGGCCGAGTGGACGCAGAGCCTTCGTATGCGATGCAAGCGAGAATCGCAGAGGAGAGAATGCAATACGGAGATGATCTCGACATGCCAAAGGTCGACGGAGAAGGGTCTGCGAGTCAGGACCCTGCTTCTCTGTTACCGGAGCAGAACGAGCGGGTAATTGTCATAGACAACAGCGCCAAGCACGACAGCAGGGAGTTTGATCATGGCGCAGTCTGACGGTGATTGTCGTTCGCCTGCTTTCCATTCTCTCCTGTCTTAACATATCTCTCTCACTCTGATGGCCAGGGCTCCATTCATTCTATTTAATCCCGAGAATCCCTACACAACTATATCAAGGAGCTTTGATATCTGTAGGGGTGTCGATGCGGGCTTTCGAATATCCCGGACTGAACACAGCGTTACTACTCGACGCTGTTGCTATAACTATCATGATCAATGTTTGAAAGGATGAACGCAGAACAATTCTCAGTCAAAGCTTCATGCTGGCTTGGAAGTATTAGTGCGCTCAATCCAGTGTTCGCAAACTTTAGAGCAAGCATGAATATTTGTTCCCGATAGCGTAGACAGTTCGAGAACATCGTCTCTTTTACAGCCTTGAAGTGAACAAGTATGATAGAGACGTATCGTTAAGAGCACAGGCTGCATACATTCGCAATTTACTTCTTTCATCAAGAGCTTTTGCATAGAATCTAGGCTCCGTTCGTAATTATCCAAGGAGATCATGAACAATAACGGAGGACAGCAGCGAACTTCGATGATGCGTCGCAGAGGAATTGCCATACAACAGCCTGTGGCATACACCTTCATAATTATCGCGAGACCGCAGAATTCAAAGGGAGCAGATCAAAACTAGCAGATGTGCTGAACAAAATGTGTCCTGGCCCAGAAAGCGATAATAGGTCGAAGGCCATCACCATAGATAGCCGTCGTATCATTGTGAGTATGATACAGTATGATACATGGTTAGGGGCTGTGGAGAGCCCAATCTCTTCGAGCTGTGCTTTGTGCACGACATAATATCGCCACTCAAGTATATCCAGTATCCGATCATTGAGGGCCTAGCTTCAGCTCTCTAGGACTGGGTGTTGAACGCCAGACAGGTGAGGATTCAGTGGCTCACCTTCGCAAAGCTCAAATGACAAAGGAAAAATTCAGCAAGTAAGATATCATACAAGGTACTTCTTCAGACGACTCACCAGGGTGAACGAATAAGGTCAATGCTGACGTCTGAATGAATCTTTAGGCCTAACTTATGTTGCGAATTATGTCCGCGCCCACGCCTCGGAGTATGAAGTGAGCTTCCTCGTCACTGCGGTCGTCGCAGGCGGGGTGCTAGGAGTGCTACATCTTGATGGTCAGCCATTGGTGAAGCAAATCGAATTCCTCCATCGCGAAGAGGACGTAGAGCGTCTGCTCTGTGCTGCAGCCGACGCAGCATCCCGGTCCTTCGAGTGGCACAATGATCAGTGGCTCAACAATAACAGTATTTTGTGACCTTGACGTAGTACTGAACGAGATACTCCGTGTACGACAAGGCGCTCCAGCAGAATATCGTGATGTGGCAGATGCCGGGGGTCCTGAAGCACATAGCAGCGCCATGGAAGTGGCAGCTTCACAACAAGCTGACGAGGTTGATAAGGATCTACAATAGAGATAAAGATTTCGAGGACGCCGTCTCATTGGTGCGCATTATGATCTTGCAGAGAGGGCGGTCGCTGACCGCGACCGAGATCAAGGGGTGGGACTATGGACGGGATAGGCCATTGTTTATCACGCCGCAGTTGCTAGCGACAATCCAGGTATGTTGTGATGATTAGCTACGATGATGCTTGCACTCACCATTCGTATGATATTTTTAAGGAGAAGTATGCAGCGAAATATGGAGAAATAGGGATAGAGCTGTGGTAAGCGCGCACAGAGGAGTTATTCGATTCTAGTGGTCGAACTGAAAAGAGTTGTACGCGACGATCTCGCGTTTCATGAGCGCCGAATATGCTGGAAGTAGAGATTACCGCCTACTGTCAAAGCCGTGGAAGTATTGAAAGTAATATCGCAAGTGAGCTGTCGCATGGACAGGATATTTCTCCGCATTGAGCCAAGCAATCAAAGCCACTTGGAGAAAGGGTAGGAAACCACCCAAAGCGATCGCCTAGCTGTTCTTATAGGCATTGAGGATATCGATGATGGGGTATTGGAGGGGGTCTGGAGAGTCTTACGGGCCGAAAGCCTCAATCTGTTTAGGTCAAAAGTAAACACTGGCTCACGAAAATCGCCAGAAAATCGCAGGATGATCCGGACCGAAAATACCCGGGACCTCTGGGATCCGCTCAGAAAAGTGGTGTCGCGGCAACCGTCACACACCTCCTCTCAGCACTTATTCTATGTCTGCTAGTCTGGTGTACACTGCTATATCTGATCTCTTGCATCGAAAGACATCTGCAGGGTCCGTTCTCATCATCTCTCATCATCTCTTCTCGCTCTGCCGACGCTTCACAATCTTTCTTCACCGCATGTGTGTTGGCTAGTCGTAAATGTCATTGCAGCTGGTTTCCCTTTCTTATTTTTTTTTGTCTAATATCGCTAGGGTGATAGCTCAATTGAAACAGAAAGGCTGCATACCTACACATAGAACGACCTGTCTTCTGTGCATAAGGTCAGCAACGGAAAATCCTGTATACTCACCCTCATGATCAGAGGCAACTTCACGCTGAAGATCTATTCGTCAGATAAGATGAGAGCAGGCACACATCATGAGGCATGGACCTTGTCCTTAGCATTTAATATGTAGAGAAAATTCCATGAGATAGACATCGTTGAAAGACGCCCAGATAGGCGAGTATTACACATGTGGCCCCATCAATCAATCGCCCACTGCGTCGCGCCAAAATGCTCTTTGAGTCTCTGAAGGTCTCTGACACGCCATCCCCACCGCCTCGCCGCTCAGGTTCGCGACCGCAACGCGCATCCACCTGCCCTCCATGCTCAAAAGTGGCAGCTCGGCAATTGCCGTTTAGACACTTTTCGCGGGCACAAGTATTGTACACGAGGCGGAACTGCGCGATCAACGTCGTGGCTACGGTACGTACCTCAGTGCATACGTGCATTTGTATAGCGCTTAACTTCGTCCTCCCAACCTCCATCTCCCCGCTCCCTCCATGAGTGGAGACGATCTCAGAGCTGCAAAACTTCTCAAATTTCTCAAGGTCTTCCTTGATGGCGAACAACCTCTGGTCCAAAAATTCAGCGCGCGCTTTTTCGAGGCTATTTGTGCCCAACGCGATGCGACAACCTGCATCAGCATGGTCACATCGAGCAAACATGGGCTTCAATGCATACATATCGCAATGGGACTTGACTTGACCATGACCTTCTTCAACGGTCCTGCGACAGACCTGTTTAGGTATATTTCTACATCAGATGTTACTAGGGAAGGCATGGACAGCCTGACCAAGATGATCATGGCGATCATCGAGCCGCCCGTATTCTTGTCTGCGTTCACAAAGGCATTCCGGGATGGACAGTTGAGCGATGATGGACAGTTTGGATTTGCATGGCTACTCCTTCAGCTGATCTCGCTGCCCGGAGAATCGGCCATCCCTCATCGTGAGCTCGCTAATAACCCCGCGATCTCCGCCGCCCTCCTTTCCTCCCCTCGTGACGATGTACGTGAGCTTGCAACTCAGATCAAGAACATCCTCGACACGGTCCGCCTCGGCGTGTCTGGCGCCCCCTCAGGCATTGACCCATCGCGCGGTCCAGGCGGACGACACGACAATGACTTTGCAGACTTCCGCGCAATCGCGATCCTCCCGACTGCAGACGAACTCTCATGCTCTCACGCATCATTCCTCCGCCCAAGTGCCGCCCTTGAAGATCCAGAGACGGCAGAACTACGCGTTGCCACGCACCTAGACAACCAATTCCGCTTGCTCAGGGAGGACATGCTGTATGAGATGCGCGATGAGCTTGCCATTGCTCTCGGGAAGAAGAAGGGGAAGTTTCGCGGACTCACCATTGATGGCCTCACTCTTCTTGGCGTGCATTGTCAGTCATCTGAAGACAAGGCGTGCAAGTGGGGTATTACATTGAAGAGTCATAAGGATCTTTACTGGTTCAAGAAAGTCAAGCCAGAGGCCCGCCTTGCGCATCTCCGCAAAAACAAGAAAATATTTCGACACCAGTCTATGACATGTCTCATCGTCGATGGAGAGATTGTCGCGTTTCCGACAGTTGATCGAGAAGAGACACTGCTCGCGAAGGATCCACCCGTGATCGTGGTTCAGCTCGAGGATGCAGCGAGCACCACTCGTGCTCTTCTAAAGCTTCAGACGTCCAAGCACATCAAACTGCTTCAAATTGATACTGCCGTCTTCGCATACGAACCCGTCCTGACTGCGCTGAAGGAGAAGCAAGGACTGCCTTTTGCGCTTGAACTGCTATTTTGGAACGATCAGAGCCAGATGAGGTCTCTGTCTGCCTCGCCATCGCATATTGTCGAGGCTCTTCGAAGGAATCCTTCCCAAAATCTCCAAGAGTACTTCAACACACCAGGTCGCATCGTTCTCGACGAGGCGCAGTCTGCGTCTCTCCTTTCAGGTCTTACACAGAGAGTCTCGTTGATACAAGGGCCTCCAGGTACGAATACGTCTTGTCCCGTCGTTTTCGCGACTGTGAATGCATTCTCCAGGTACCGGCAAATCGTTCATCGGCGCGCTTCTTGCTAAGGCACTTCACGACTTTTCCTCTGGTACCATTCTGGTGGTATGCTATACAAATCACGCCCTTGATCAATTCCTCGAAGACCTCTTGAAGATTGGCATTCCCGAATCAAGTATCGTCCGTTTAGGCGGCAAGTCAACAACGATGACGGCCTCTTTAGCATTGAGAATGCAGACGAAGGTCACTCGATTGAATCGAGATGATTGGGCTGGGATTAATCGCATGCGATCCGAAGCTAGTGGACTGCGTGTACACCTGGAGAACAGCTTTCAAGCCTACACATCAGTCAGTTCGAACATCACGAGTACCCTGGATCATCTTCGATCTAGCTTTGATAAGCGGCTGTACTTTGCTGCGTTCTGCGTCCCGGAGTCGGATGACGGGATGTACACAATCGGGCGGAGCGGCAGAGATGTCAGGCCGGATTATCTCCTCGATCGTTGGGCCAAGGGCCAAAATGCAGGGGTGTATATGAATGCTGCCAACGTTGTCAATGCGGGAAAGATCTGGCGAATGTCTCTCATCGAACGGCAGGCAGAACTTTCTCGATGGCAAGGAGACATGCTCAAGGAACACGCCCATGTTGTATCGACTGCTGGACGGGAGTACAACCAATGCCTGGCGCGGATTGATGCCAAGTTTGCGGAGAGTGACACTGCAGTCCTGCAAAGTAAGCGTATCATTGGATGCACGACCACTGCGGCGGCGAAATATCGTGAGCAGATCAATGCTACGCGTCCAAGTATCGTTTTGGTGGAAGAAGCAGGAGAAATTCTCGAGTCGCACATCCTCACAGCTCTCAGTGCAAATACAAGACAGCTGATTCTCATCGGAGATCACAAGTACGTTTTTCCATCTGAACTTTTTCCGTGCTCTCTGTGTTGAAGCCCGTCTAGGCAGCTGCGCCCGAAAGTAAACAACTACAACCTTACGGTCGAAAAGGGCGATGGATTGGATCTCAATCGATCTCTCTTCGAGCGTCTCGTACTGAAGGGATATCCACACAAGACACTGCGCCAACAACATAGGATGCGGCCAGAAATTTCGGACCTTGTCCGGAAATTGACGTACCCTGACCTCCTAGATGCTGACCGAACGAAGAACCGTCCGAATCTGCGGGGCGTCCGTGACAACGTCGTATTTATCAACCATGATAAGCCCGAGGGCGGGCTTCCGCAACTTCTAGAGCAGGAGGACATGGCTGCGAAGGCCTCGAAACAAAACATGTATGTCCCTAGACAATGCTGTGATTACGCGGATTGCTAATGCTACTGGGATAGCTTCGAGGTGGAACTAGTTTTGAAGATCGTCCGGTATCTGGGGCAGCAAGGTTACGGAGCAGATCAATTAGTAATCCTAACACCATATCTTGGCCAGCTTCGTGCGTTGCAGCTAGCGATGAAGGACCACGATCCTCTGCTAAATGATTTGGACTCGTTTGATCTCATTCGTGCCGGGCTGTTCTCTCCACCTTCCGCAAAGCACACACGGACTCCCATTCGTCTAGCAACAATAGGTATGATTTCTTTCTGTTCGGCCCGCATTCTCATACCAAGCTTAGCTAAACACAACGCGCATAGACAACTACCAGGGGGAAGAGAGCGACATCGTGATAATCTCTCTTACGAGGAGCAATACGAGCCATGATATCGGGTTCATGTCTTCTCCGGAGCGCCTGACCGTCCTGCTCTCTCGTGCACGGGATGCGCTGATCATGGTCGGCAACGCGGACACTTTCACGCAGGCTCGAAAGGGCAGCGAATCTTGGAAGATGCTGCTGAGCTCGCTCAAAAGCAAGAACCATATCTACGAAGGTTTCCCAGCAAAATGCGAGCAACACCCAGATCAAACCATGCTCCTTAGATGTGCTGAAGACTTCGACAAGGACTGCCCACAAGGGAGGTGCCGAAACCCTTGGTGCGTCAGACTTGTTACATGTTTGCCTAATGAATGTCAGATTGTTGACACTTGCCTTATTTGCTGCAGCGGCATCATGCTAGGATGCGGCATCCATGGCTGCACCCTCATATGTCATCCGCGTTCAGACCATCCCGGTATGCAGTGTGAGGCAGTCGTCGACTCATTCTGTCCGAAGAATCATCCATGGAGCTATACTTGCCATCAGGGCCCGCCTCTCTCCTGTGACAAGTGTGATGATGCTGAGAGGCTCGAAGAGCATAAACGACAGGAGCAAAGGGAAGCATTCGGATGGGCCACCCGTGAAAAACGCCTGGCAGAGATCAAGGAACGAATGACCCGTGACAGGGAATCCAAGCTCCGGAGCGTCACCACTTCCCCATCTTCTCTACCCCTCTCTAGATTGCTGACTCCCGCTGCTAAGCCATCTTCAAATTCAATCTCGAGTACGATCGAAGCGTCAAAGCGCATTGCCACGATACCTTCGAGCTCGGCCTCTGCGAACAGCTCACTATTGCAGTACAGGAACATGTCACAAGCACTGCCTCTCCCTCTTGCACCCGAACCTGAACCCGACATTGAATCGACATCACGGTGGATCCAAGATGTAACCTACACAGCAAAGAAAAATGATGAAGCGAGACGTGCACAGCAGGAAGAAGTGCCAACGCGAGAACGTCAGGCCGCCGGCATGGTGACGCAGCAGGCAGTCCACAGAGCGCGTCGGGCGCAAGTGGAAGCGGAGATTGCTGAGCGGACATCCGAGTCTCAGCGCCAGGCGCAGCTGAAAACGAAGATTCCCAAGAGAACATCCGATTCTCAGGGTCAGGATCGCTACCACGAGTGGATTGAGCGTGAAGCAAGGATACGAGAGTGGAGGGAACAAGAGGCGAACGTCGCGAGAAGAGCCACTGACTGGGAAACGGAACGAAAGGAGGCAAGACAAAGAGAGGAGGAGAGGAAGCGTCGAGAGGAAGCGCAGACTACGGTCCCTAGAAAAGGATTGCTTTCTACACTGTTTGGCGGCTGGTTCAGATGACAGCGCGTTGGGTTTTCTATCATTTTGTAGTCGCTGGATTTGTAGTCGCGTTGTAAGTTAGCATTGTGTTTGGCCAAAACACAGTGTGCAGCAAATCGAAATGGTGCGGCACTCTGTCATCCTGCCCAGAGCTATCTATGATCTATCGCGGCTTTTCGTGTTCAACGTTAGCACTATGGCAATGACGAGACGAGATTTGCAACTTACTACTAATGCATCGAAGGCCTTCCAGCTTGTTGCTACTCTTGCTAACCAGTTGCCATGACGGTATCCGACCGTTTCTATTGTCTGAGGTTTAGGCATTGCGAATAAATTCGTACACCCGAGTCAAACTCAGAAGCGTGTATGAGCAGTATCGCAGATTTGTGCTCCGATGAACTCACGGTTGATGGTTCATGCGGAGAAGTAGAAATAAGTACAAGAAGACCTATCAACATTGAATCAGTTGACACTGTGCATGACCATGGACGAAATGATGAAAGGACTGAAGAGACTCAGAACAAGGTGGCTATGGGAGAGATTCGGAAAAACGTTGTAGATTTATGGCGGGCCGGTTGTCAGCACGAGTACAGACATCCAACGGTATTGGTGAGGGCAAGTTCAAAGAAATTGCGCAAGCAAATATGTACCTAAGCCTGCACATGATGGAGATGGTTGAGTCCAACTTTGGCGGGCCGGCTGCTAGAGTAGACCCGGGACAAACATGAGACCACAACTCATTTGCCACTTGACCAATGACCACTGCTGCAACACAGTGCAGACACACATTGTGCAGTCTAGGGAAATTTTCGGATATCATCAAGCTCCCAAGCATACTGGGAACTTTGCGGGCCGCCATGGTTTCATATGGAATCGTTTGCTAGGAACTGACTCTGGAGCTTTGTCACTTTTATTTCACTGTCATTTGACCAATCGACTTCGCTCTTCATGATCTGGCACTAAGCCCTAATCTCGGAGAGTGTTTGTGCACATGAACATGTTACACATCTCGCTGGATCCGACATGGATTCCGACTTGAGTTTGGCCAGATTGTCACCAACTGTCGGAGTCTGTCTTCTTGCATTTCTACCGGAATACTTGACCCATGATGCCTCTTCGGTCCTAATGCTGAGTCGCCAGGGCGTATGGAGCCTTCTAGTCGAACGGGGGAGGATGTATAAAACGACCAAATCGAGATGCAAGCTCACTGATCGATATACCTGCCATCATGTTTCGACCAGCTCTCGCCTTAGCTCTCGTTGCAGCCGCGTCGCTCTTTCCGAAAACCCGTGCCGTGGGCACGCCCTTCGGCCTGGCTGCTGGCACGACTGGCGGCGGTAGCGCTACCGCTCAGACTCCAAGCTCCAACGCAGAGCTAGCGTCTTGGTTGAGCGACAGTACTGCTCGCGTCATTGTCCTAACGTCCGTTTATGACTTCACAAATGACGATGGGACCACTACTGGTACTGCTTGCAAACCTTGGACATGCTCTCCTAATCCCCAAGTAATCGCACTCTCACCTGGGTTGTCAATTCGACTCTGATGAGTTGAAAACTCTAGCTGGCCATCGACGCCAACAGTTGGTGTGAAAACTACGAGCCGAGTGCAGCTAAAACAACTGGCAAGTCGCCTGTTCTGTCTGTTGTGCCTTTATCTTTTCGAACACGCTTCTAGTGACTTACGATGTCGCCGGAACAAATCCCCTCAAGGTCGGCAGCAACAAGACGCTCCTCGGTAAAGGTAGCAACGCCGGAATGTCAGTTGTCCAACCCATATCTCTTGACGGTCATGTCTTACAACTGTTTCTAGCAAGGGAAAAGGCCTGAAGATTACCGGCGGAAAGAACATCATCATTCAGAATATCAAGATCACGGATATTAATGCTCAATTTGTTTGGGTACGTTTCATTGTCGTCGGACAAATGGTTTCCCGCACTAACCTAGTCTTCACAGGGCGGGGTAAGTCACTATTTCGGACGCGCTCGCAACGTTGGTCGTTCAAATCTCTGTTCAGGATGCCCTTCAAATTGATGGAGGTAGCAATATCTGGGTAAGTCTCGTTGAATATTTACGCTTTACAGTCATCTGGAACTCACGTATTTTTCAAAGATTGACCACAACTACGTAAGGTCCCTACCTTCGAGTGTTTGCCCATCAACTTATACTCGGACAAAAGTTCCAACATATCGGCAGGCAGATGGTCGTGACTGTAGGCACCATTCATCCATCTAGCTACAGTCTTGCCGTGCTGACTATCGCATATGATAGGGTTATGGCGCCGTCACTAAAACTACTGTTCGTCAACAGATGTGTGTTCTTTCAAAATACATCTGATCATATGATTCCGTGGTAGTTCTCCAACAACGTCTTCAATGGAGAGGGGACGTACTCGGCCACATGTAACGGAGAACACTATTGGGTATCCTCAAGTTACCTGATCCATATGTGGTCTTTTTAACACCGCGTCGTAGGCTGCTCTCTTCACAGGTGCCGGCGACCAAATCACTCTGGCCCAGAACTAGTAAGATGATTTTTCTGCATGCTGAACGGTGCTGGCATTCTGTTCATTGTAGCTTTTACAAGTTTGTCTCTCGCAAAAAAGGATTGATGTAATCAGGCGAGTGACGTTCTCCTTTAGGACCAGTGGTCGTGGACCCCACGTCGGCGGCACAAGCGGCTATTACCAGGACGTCCACATCTACAACAACGTAAGCGATCCCGTTGTTCTCTGAATGTTTATCTCATCGATCTTTTGATGCTAGTACTTCGGTAAGGCAACTTTGATTGCTTGCTGGATATTCAAGATTGGTTTACCTCCCTTCAGTTTCTGTTGATGGTCATGCCATCGACCCTCAAGTTGGATCAAAGGTTCTCGTTGAGGGCAATTACTTCAATACCGTACGATATCATCTCTCCCTCACTAACTGATTGCTGACTACGTATATCTCAAGGTGACTACTCCGCTTCTCAGTGATGCTGGGCAAGCTTTCGCGCCAACCACTTCCACGCAAGCGGCCAGTTGCTCCTCACTTTTAGGGCGCAACTGTGTAATCAACACTCTGTGAATAGCTACATAATCTGGAATATGAGCAATAGCTGACTGTATGAATAGACTCTCGTCTGGGTCGTTAGCGACGGGAACAGATACCAGCACTCTGAACGATTTCACTGCCGTGCGTCGCTATCTCCGTTGCTTCTTGATCCGTCAATGACTATTCTCTATGGTATCCAGTCTACGTACAAGTCTACTACGCCCATGTCAGCTTCGGATGCGGCTACCTATGTCCAGGCGAATGCGGGAGTCGGCATCATCAATTGATGTAGTTTTGATCGTGTGTATTACTTAGCGGATGCGAAGCAGGGGCGCTGGAGCATCCACCGAGGTAAATGTAAAGACTGTTATACTGCTTATCAGACGAAACTAGAGTATGAACATATGCAACCTACCCTATACCCCCTGAGCGCCTGAGCTTTAAATCTCAATACAAACTCCTAGAATTCAATGAAACTATGGCAACTCCCTGAAGCTCCCCACTGCATTGGTTCCGCGTCCTTAAGACTCAATTATATGACTGTGTTTGCTAAATGCTGATCGCGAGCTCTCGCTGTTAGTGTCCGCATCTATTTCGGCATTATTAGCAATATACACGAAGCTGAAACGAGAATAAACGGAACCTTGCCACAAGCCCTTTCGTACACCCTAGATAATAGACATTGCCTCGCTGAAGGTTGGCCGACGCAATTCATCCACGCCATCCCCGCGCAAGGTCAACGGCGATTGCGGCAGACGGCGGCACTTAGCCAATCGGAGACTTGCGGAGATTACCACATTTGGCACTGTCTCCAGCTGTCTCTCTCAAACTCTTTCTTGCGTTCCAACCACTCGACACAGCTCTACACCTCTTTAATCACTCTCATGTTTCTCAACAATACCCATGCTCTTCATCCTCAGGCATTGTTATCAAAACAGAGAACCCTGACTGGCAGTGCGTCCATCCATGATCATTTGTTTTCGACTCACCTTTTTTTTTGTTCTGTGTACAGCACGTCATATCAGTCATAAGAGGATGTATCATGCTTTTTTCAGGGCTTCGCCATTTCCATTGTTGTGCTTCGACCCCTTTCCTCCCCTCCCCCTCCTTTACAACGGGACCATGATTCAGAAATCTACTTAAACTAGACAAGTCAGCTATTTCCGCCTCTGACTGATCGGCCTCGGCTCAGTCTGAGAACATTGCAGAACAGCGCATATCGCGATTTTAGCCCTTTTGAAAAAGCATACACGTATCGTATCTGCCCGTGCGCGTGACGTTTTCAAGAAGCCAACGATCGGTGTCGCATCAAAGCTAAGACAACAGGAAGAGAGGTTCAAGCAGCAATGTAGTGTGATGAAGGAATGGACAAAATGCTCCGTTTTAGGGCAGCTGGTGTCGAGGCGCAGGCAATGTCCGCCCTCGCATTCACTTGACGGTTGGAGCTTGGAGGCGCACGAGGTGCGTTGACTGTTGTGCCTATCCTTCGCGCCAGAATTCATGTACTTTGCTATATTTTGTTCCATCTCGGATATGCAGAGCGAACAGGTTCCAGAACGGCGATGATTCCAGTGTGATATATGGGACGAGTGAGAATCGAGGGAAGTTTGCTGCATGAGGCGGAACTGCGGAAATATCGTATATGGGTCCATATCTGGTCAGATCTGGTCGCGTCTGCCCGGCGCTTAACCGCTCTCTCTCGATCTCCATCCTCTTCCGCCTCATGAACACCGACGAACTCAGAGCTGGAAAACTTTTCAAATTTCTCGAAGCCATCATCAATGGCAAACAACCCCTCACATCAAGATCCAGCGCGCGCTTCTTCGAGGCCATCTGTGCCCAACTCAATGCCGCGACCTGTATCAGCATGCTGATCTCCAGTACACAAGGAATCGAATGTGTACAGACCGCGATGCGCTTTGATTTAACCCCCACTTTCTTCAATGGTCCTGCGACAGACTTCCTCAAGTATATTTCGTCTCCAAATCTTACGAACATCGGCGGAGGCGCTTTTCTGACCAAGATCATCGTTGCGATTGTCGAACCACCTATCTTCTGGTCCCCGTTCACAAAGGCATTTCAAACGGGCCAGTTGAGTGAAGATGGCCAATTTGCCTTTGCGTGGCTGCTCCGGCAGCTGATCGCTTTGCCCGGAGAATCGGCTGTCCCTCATCGTGAGCTCGCCAATAACCCAGCGATCTCCGCCGCCCTCCTTTCCTCCCATCGTGAAGACGTCCGCGACCTCGCATCCCAGATCAAGAGCTATCTGGACACACTCCGTCTCGGCGTGTCGGGCGCTTCTGCGGGCGTGGATCCCTCTCAAGGTCCAGGCGGGAGACATGACAACGACTTTGCGGACTTTCGCGAGATCGCTATCCTCCCAACTGCGGATGAGCTCACATCCACACGTGGATCATTCCTACGCCCGAGCGCCGTGCTCGAGGATCCGGACACGGCAGAGACGCGCGTCGCGACGCACCTCGACAATCAGTTCCGCTTGCTCAGGGAAGACATGCTATATGAGATGCGGGAGGAATTAGACATCGCGCTGGGGAAGAAGAAGGGGAAGTTTCGCGGACTCATCATCGACGGCCTCACCCTCACAGGGGTACATTACCAGATGTCGGTCGACGAGAAGGCATGCAAGTGGGGCATCACGCTGACGTCTCATACGGACCTGCACTGGTTCAAAGATGTCAAGCCGACGGCCCGTCTTGCGCACATACACGACAATAAGAAGATATTCCGGCACCAATCAATGACGTGTCTCATTGTCGATGAAGAGATCGTTGCGTTTCCGACAGTGAACCGAGAAGAAGAACTTCTGGCGAAGAACCCACCCGTGATCGTAGTTCAGCTCGAGGGCGCAACGAGCACAACTAAGGCTCTGCTCAAGCTTAAGACATCCAAACATATCAAACTACTCCACATTGATACTGCGGTTTTCGCATATGAGCCCGTCCTTACTGCGCTGAAGGAGAAGCAAGGACTGCCCTTCGCGCCTGAGCTGCTCTTCTGGGAGGATGGCAGCAAATTGTGGCCATCGTCGGATATTCCGGAACGTTTTGTCGACGCCCTTCGAAAGGATCCTTCCTTGAATATCCAAAGCTATCTCGAGACCCCCAAGAGTATTGTTCTCGACGACGCGCAGTCTGCATCGCTTCTATCAGGGCTTACACAGAGAGTCTCCCTGATACAGGGGCCGCCTGGTACGTAAAGTGTTTAAATTATGTCCATAATCTCCTTCAACCTTGACCTCCTAGGCACTGGGAAGTCCTTCATTGGCGCTCTCCTTGCCAAGGCCATCCATAACTTCACCGAAGGGATCATTCTCGTCGTCTGCTACACAAACCACGCATTGGATCAATTCCTCGAGGATTTGTTGAATATCGGCATTCCTGAGGCAAGCATCGTCCGTTTGGGTGGCAAGTCGACTCCAAAGACGGCCTCTTTGGCCATGCGGATGCAGGCGAAGGTGCACAATATGTCGAAGGGAGATTGGAGCGCAGTTGACAACCTGAAGGTCGAGTCAGCACAACTCCGCACGCGTCTCGAGAATAACTTCAACGCCTACAAGGCGTTCAATCCAAACACCGCGGCCATACTTGATCATCTCGAGCTTGAGTTTGAGGAAAACGATTTCTTTGACGCGTTCTGCGTACCCTTGTCTGATGACGGAATGCAGAAGGTCGGGCGACGTGGGAAAACAGCTAGGCCAGATTACCTTCTTGATCGCTGGTCCAAGGGCCTCAACGCAGGAATGTACAGCCGTGCTTCCAACGTCCTTGACGCGGCAGCTATTTGGAGCATGACTGTTTCCGACCGACAAGCTAAGCTCGCGCAATGGAAACAAGACATGCTAAGGGACCGCGTCGATGTGTTGTCCACAGTAGGATGGCAGTACAACCAATGTCTAGCGATGCTCGAAGCCAAGTTTAGTGAGAGAGATGCCGCGCTCCTGCGAAGCAAGCGTATCATTGGGTGCACGACCACCGCAGCGGCGAAGTATCGCGATCAGATCAACGCTGCACGACCGAGTGTCCTTCTGGTGGAGGAGGCTGGAGAAATCCTTGAGTCGCATATTCTTACAGCCCTTAGCACGGAGACAAAACAGCTTATTCTCATCGGGGATCACAAGTGCGCTGCCCAATTCAATCCTGCTAAGCCTTCTCCATACTAACAGCTAGGCTAGGCAGCTGCGTCCAAAGGTCAACAACTACAGTCTCACGGTCGAGAAGGGCGACGGATTGGATCTCAATCGATCGCTCTTCGAGCGTCTCGTCCTGAAGGGATATCCCCACGAGACGCTTCGCAAGCAACATCGAATGCGCCCAGAAATCTCGGACCTGGTCCGCCAGATCACGTATCCTGATCTCTTGGATGCTGACGGAACGAAAAATCGTCCAAAATTGCGGGGTGTACAAGACTATGTTGTGTTCATCAATCACGACAAACCCGAGGGCGAGCTCCCGCAGCTTCAAGGGCAGGATGACATGACTGCCAAAGCCTCCAAGCAAAATCCGTACGTCTGAAATCAGATCTGAAGGTACGGATATCACTGAAGATATTGTAATAGATTCGAGGTAGAGCTTGTGTTGAAGATCGTGCGATATCTGGGGCAGCAGGGCTACGGAACCGACAAGCTTGTGATCTTAACTCCTTACCTTGGACAGCTGCGAGCCTTGCAAGAGGCATTGAAGAAAGATAACGATCCTGTACTCAATGATTTGGACTCGTTCGATCTCGTTCGCGCCGGAATGCTTTCTCCCTCGGCTGCGAAACTCAACAAGAAGCCAATTCGTCTGGCTACAATCGGTATGGTCTCCGTCATCTTTATACGATTTCTGCCTACTCAGCACATACAGACAACTACCAGGGAGAAGAAAGCGATATCGTCATCATCTCTCTGACACGAAGTAACTCTAATAACGACATCGGGTTCATGTCCTCTCCTGAGCGCCTGACAGTTCTCCTCTCTCGTGCGCGGGACGCAATGATCATGATCGGCAACGCGGACACTTTCATGAAGGCTCGCAAGGGCAACGAATCTTGGAATATACTGTTCAAATCGCTTAAAAGCAAAGGCCATATCTACGGAGGTTTCCCGGTCAAATGCGAGAAACACCCCGATCGGATAGCGCTTCTGAAGACCGCTGATGATTTCGACAAAGATTGCCCGGATGGTGGATGCCGAGAACCTTGGTATGCTCAATCGGTAGCTTCGGCGCTGCGTTGTCTGCTTTAACTACCTTTCTTTAGCGGATTGAAACCGGCATGTGGCATTCATGATTGCCCACTGAAGTGTCACCCAGATTCAGACCACTCTAGCATGCCGTGCGAGGCCATCATGGATACACTATGTCCGAAGAACCACCGACAAAGTTATAAGTGCCATCGAGGCCCTCCCGCCTCTTGCACCACGTGCGACCACGAAAAGAAACTAGAAGAGAAGAAGTTGCGGAAGCAGTTCGAACGACAGGAGCAGGAGGCTGCGAAGCAGCGGGCCCACGCGAAAGAATTGGCGGAGCTCGACGAACAGATTGCTCAGCAGCGAAGTGCCCTCCGAGACGCACAGCTTGATGAGGAAAGGAGCAATGCTATTGCACAGAAGATTCAAGACTTACAGGATGCTGCCGATTTTGCCGCTCGAGCAGCGGCTTCCCGATCAGCTACTATTCCCACTGCTAATTTTTCACCGCCCGCCAGTTTTACTGCTCCTTCAACCTCTCCGGATATCGTTGGCTCAAAGCTGCCACCAAACCTACCACCGAAGAGTGCAAAGCCATCATCAAGCAAGCAAACCAGGATAGACGATACCTCAAAATCGAAAAAGTCTACACAACGACCGAAGACCCCACCGCCCCCGCAGAAGTCTGCTGCTCGAGAACAATGGGAACGCCAGAAGAGTGCGGAGGGCGCGAGCAATCCTTCGATCGACGCCATCATGGCAATGACAGGACTTGAAGAAGTCAAGGTCCAGGTTCTCACAATCAAGGATAAGATTGATACAGCCGTCCGCCAGAATATCTCTATCAATGAGCGATTCAACGTCACTATGCTCGGGAACCCTGGTACCGGTAGGTTCAATCACAGCGATATATATCCTTGTTTCTAACCTCGCGACCATCAAGGGAAAACTACTGTTGCGAGACATTACGGGAAATTTCTTGCGTCCATCCAAGTCATCCCTGGAAATATGTTTGTCGAGACTACCGGATCGCGTCTCGCTCATGATGGCATTGACGGCGCCAAGAAGCACATTGCCGAAGTCCTTGCTGCGGGAGGAGGAACGATCTTCGTCGACGAGGCCTATCAATTGACGGGCAGTGGCGCGTATACTGGTGGCCAAGTGCTAGACTTCTTGCTAGCCGAAATTGAAAATCTGGTGGGGAAGGTCATATTCATCTTCGCTGGATACGACAAAGAAATGGAGAAGTTCTATGAACATAACCCAGGATTGCCGAGCCGCATACCGTATACCTTCCGCTTCAAGGATTACAACGACGTTGAGCTTCTGGATATGCTCGAGGGCACGATACATAAGGCCTATGGAGGAAGAATGAAGGTGGAAGATGGGAATGGTATCAGAGGACTTTATGGCCGCATCGCTGTCCGTCGTCTCGGCCGAGGTCGGGGAACGCCTGGATTTGGGAACGCCCGTGCACTGGAGAACATGTTCGCACAAATACGTAGCCGACAGGCCAAGAGACTTGCAAAACAGCGTAGCGAGGGTTTGATTCCCGATGATTTCCTATTTTTCAAGGAGGATCTGATTGGACCGGACCCATCAAAGGTGATGGGCGAGAGCGCAGCATGGAAGAAGTTGCGTTCGATGATTGGACTTGGAGCGGTTAAGAAATCTGTGACCGAGATGTTTTCCATGCTCGCCACAAACTACCAGCGGGAGTTGCTGGAAAAGGCACCTCATCAGATTTCGCTGAATCGTGTATTTCTTGGATCTCCGGGCACTGGCAAGACGACAGTAGCTCAACACTACGGTCAGATACTGGCTGATTTAGGAATGATCAGCAACGGCGAAGGCGAGTTAACCTTTGTCATTCTCTGAATATAGACAGGCCCCGATAACTATTCATCTAGTGGTCATGAAGAATCCGTCAGATTTCATCGGCAGCCACATCGGACAATCAGAGGCTCAGACAAAAGCTATCTTAGCAAGTACTATTGGGAAAGTCCTTGTAATTGACGAGGTTTGTCGCCTCAAAGAAGTCTTGCGGATGGTCGCTCATGATATGTGATCTTTAGGCGTATATGTTATATGGCGGAGCCGCTGGGCAAGGCGCGGATACATTCAAAACAAGTGTCATTGACACCATCGTTGCCGAAGTTCAAAGTAAACCAGGAGATGACCGTTGTGTGCTATTGCTAGGTTATACGCACCAAATGGAAGAAATGTTCCAGGTAAAATGCAATGTGCTCGACGAAGAACGCTAATTGACTCTATGTTTGAATAGAATGTGAACCCAGGATTATCCAGGCGCTTTGCGATGGAGAACGCATTCCGCTTCGACGATTTTTCAGATGATGAATTGCTAGAAGCTTTGGAATGGAAGCTAGACGATCAGGACTTGACAGCTACGGATGCAGCAAAAAATGTTGCCAAGGATGTTCTGAACCGTCTGCGCAATCGACCAAATTTCGGTAATGTCGGAGAGGTAGAGAATTTGCTTGGACAGGCCAAACTTCGTTACCAGCAGCGTCAAGGAACACTCCCTGTCGAGCAAAGGTCGCCTGACGCCCCGTTCGAGCCGGAAGATTTTGATCCCGACTACAATCGAGACGAGCATGCCGCTACGAACCTTGTAAAGCTCTTCGAAGATATCGTGGGCTGTGATAATGTCATCAAGAAGATGGAGGGATATCAGCGAACGGCAATAAACATGAAGGCGATGGCGATGGATTTCCGCGGGCAGATTCCTACAAATTTTATCTTCAAGGGTCCACCAGGTGAGTACACGCGCTTGCATTGATGTCGTCAAATGTTGGCTGGAACTACGTTTAAAGGTACGGGCAAGACCACCGTCGCACGCAAAGTGGGTCAAATATACTACGATATGGGCTTCCTATCTTCGACCGAAGTAGTCGAGTGCTCAGCCTCAGATCTCGTTGGACAGTATGTCGGCCAAACGGGTCCGAAAACAAGAAAGCTCTTCGAGAAAGCATTAGGACGAGTGCTCTTCATCGATGAAGCCTACCGGTTGAGCGAAGGGCACTTTGCTCAAGAAGCCATGGACGAAATGGTCGGCCTTTTGACTCAGGAGACATTCCGCGCAAAGCTCGTGGTCATCCTCGCCGGGTACGACAAAGATATGAATGCTCTGATGCAGGTCAACAGCGGACTATCTAGCCGATTCCCAGTTGAAATCGCTTTCCATAACATCTCTTCTACACAAGCGCTCGAAATACTGAAGCGGAAGCTGAAGAAACAGAGCATCCGTCTTGATGCCTTGGATGACCAGACATCTACGGTTTATATCCAAATGGTGGCCCTGATCAAAGAGCTTTCGAGTCTTCCATCCTGGGGGAATGCGCGGGATATTGAAACGTTGTCAAAGCAAATGGCCTCCCATGTCTTCACGTCATTGCCACCGCCAGTCGGCCCCCATTTGAAAGACTCCGACAATCTACTCACGCTTGTGGGTCAAGATGCGATAGTATGCATTCAAAATATGCTTTCAGAGCGGCGTGAGCGTATTGCAAATGTGCCTAAGCATACCTACCGCGGTCATCAGAGAATGCCTGAACCCCCCGCCCAGACCTCCGCACCTCCTTCTGCCATGTCCACTTCCGCCCAAGCAAGTACAAAGCCGCCGCCGCCATCAATACCGAAAAAAGAGGAAGAACTGGTTCTGCCTACACACGACGGCCGCGATGATGGCGTCACGGATGCTGTATGGAATCAGCTTCAAACCGACAAAGCCAGAGAAGAAGATGAGGCTAGGCGTAGACAAGAGGCGATACAGATGCTAGAGCAGCGGATGGCTGAGATAGCCAGGAAACAGGCTGAAGATCAAGCGCTCAAGGAGAAGCTAGAGGCAGAGCTCGCAAAGAAGAGGAGGAGAGCTGAGGCTGAGCGACAGGAACTTCAGCGCAAGCTGAATGAGGCGAGAATCCGCGAGCAGAGGATGAGAGCAGAAGCTGCGAAAAAGGCCGCTGAATTGGAGGCTAGGCGAAGGGAGGAAGAAAGACAACGCCGAGAAGAAGCGCAGGTTCAAACTAAAATACGTCAGATGGGATTGTGTGTTGCAGGATTCCGTTGGATCAAACAAGCGACAGGGTATCGATGCGCCGGCGGTAGTCATTTCATCAGCAATGCGGCTCTGGGGATATGAATCAAAGGTAATTCATAATTTTTACTTGCGATTGATCCTACACGACCCGTGCATAGTCAGTTTCGTTCATCACTGCGGCACAAAGGACGAATATGGTGACGCCTCTGTGGATCATTCGAGACGGAGGTGTCATAGAAAATGAGGAAACTCCGCTGTGGCCAGTACCTGTGAAGACAAATTCATACAAGCCTCAGTGTGTGCGATGTGTGTAAACGCGATAGGATCTAAGCCTGTTCCAGTACGAACAATCCCAAGGACACGCTGGTGGAGAAGCGCGGAGGGCGCGTCGCGTGAAAGCCCCCGACGTCATACATCACGGGCAGTTCACGTGGCACGGTAAGGTCCGTCGAGCGGAGCTGAGGTTCTTCTATGCTCGACCAGTCCTGCGGACTTTCGCTATGATTCTTAACTTTTCTTCGCTTCGTTGAGCATGCATTATCTTCAACAGCGAGTTGAATCTCCATCGGCAGCAAGACACTAGCCACGCGGAGGCGGACTAAGGTCCGACTTGCATCTCACCAGGCAATAACAAGTCTAGCACGGTCCTTCTGAATCTCTGGAGTGCAATTGTTCTTTACTTGGGGTCGATGAACTTTGCAGGGAAGCTGTTTAATTCTACAAACAACCTCATCATTTTTCAAAACCAAGCCCTAAAATACCAGCATGCTAAACATTCATCCCACCTGACTTGTACTCGTGAGCATTCCGCGTCTGCTTCTTCCTAATAATCCATGTTCAGCTTATGTATTCCGACCTTCTTTCTCTGTTTTTTCGCACACGCGGTGCCGTCAGCACTCGCCACGGCTGCACATGCACAAACGCTCTCCCACAAGAATGCTTTTAATAGCCTCGAACATTCAGGGCTTATCTATTCGAGTCTAGGGCATCCATGGACGGAATGCTGGATACATTGAATTTGTGCGCCCGCATGGTCAATAGTGTTGTCGGTCACCCTCGCTGGGCCTTTCACAGCTCCAGCCTCCCCAAGCCGCTACAGAGCTGAACTCGAGCGTCCAAGATCATACCACACAAGTGATACTATACGAGTTTTGTATTCAGTCCAGGCGCACCTAGTCCTAACCAGTATTACGTCTCGTCCGATGGGTCCGAGAACTGTATCAGTGCCGACACGAACGTGAGTGCCTTCTCACAGGTGACCGGCGACAGTAGACATTCGCCGCCCTCGTGAGAAATATATATAGGCCCCCTTCGCGGCTGCTGCGGCTCTGTGTCCATGGGAGCTACGTTGAACAGAGCAACGATGTCTTTGATCAAGCTCCCCCTGTTACTTATCGGTTCCCTTTGTGTCCATCGTAGCGTTACCCCTCCTAACGCTGCACCACCCTCGGGAGAATTGTCGAAGCACAAAGATTTATGGCCAAGTTCGTATTTTTCTTGGGGCCCAGGTGTGACCAAGGTAGAGACCCTCTCCCCTTATACTACACTGTCCCTCTCACCGTGGATTACAGGGTTTGATGTGGGCCGTATCCCTCTGCGAAGCACTGGCCATATGTGCCAGCTACTCCGAGCACCCTAATCCCATCGCACGGCTTTTATTCTCTTATATTTCGAAAGAGTCAATTGGATCGACAGCCATCCGAATTTCTCCATCGTTCCTGGTCAGCATCACCTTTCTCGTCATCTCAGCAATCATTCGCACCTTGTGCTATCGGGCACTCGGCCGTCTCTTCACATTCCAAATCACCATACGACCCAAACACACGCTCGTGACGAGCGGCCCGTACGCTTGGGTTCGCCACCCAAGCTACACTGGGAGCATCTTGGGATTCACGGGATCTGTCTTATGCGCACTCAGCGAGGGGTCGTGGATCAGAGAGTGCGGATGGCTCGAGACCTGGCGGGGAAAAGCGTTCTGCTTATTTTATCTGATGTGGAACATCCACGTCACGCTTGTCATGCTTTGGAGGACGAGTCAGGAGGATAAGATGTTAAAGGAAAAGTTCGGCGCGGAGTGGGTGGCTTGGAGTAGGAAAGTCAGATATAAGCTTGTACCTGGCATTTATTAATCGCGGAGACTCGTCCCTTATAATGTCGGTATGTGCGTTTTGGATGTTCCTGTGACAACTGTCGATTATCATCCATATGTTCACCCCCACAATTCCTCCGAGGACGGCTCTGATATCGGTGAGCCGTGAGTCTCATTTTGGGCTCACTTTCAATGTCGGGCGCTTGAGTATATTGATCAATCTGATCGAAGCCCGAAGCATCACGAGCATGTAGAGGTTATCTGTCCACGGGACGTATTGTGAAACCGCGTGTCCTCATACATCCTAGATATCCCGCTGCTGGTCACTTGCAAACTTGCCACTGGAGCCGGCGCGTTGTGCACATAGCGAATCAATATCAGGGGAACCAGTAGAGCTCGCTGGTATGTAGGCAGATGTAGGCTCGTAAAGTGGCTCGGTCAATAAAAGAGAGAACATTGGTGCCTCGTGCCTCGGCGTTCGACGGCTTGATGGTGGATCTAGCAACTATCTGGCACCTGACTATTAGAAGTCAGCGTGCTTCTTGGACTGACTGAGACACAACTATCGCCGTATTAATTAAGCTACCGAGGTTTTGCGATTTGTGAGTATCCTCGACTCCGGCCGTCTTTGACTCCCAGAATGCGCGCCCACATTTCCCCATTGTTTCTGTTGCTTTTACCGCAGAATCTCATATTTTCTTCCTTTGCCTTTGCACCGAATCCAATCCTAGTATCAAACGAGCTCGAACACCTCCTCGTCGACACAGGCGGTGCCAATGACGGTGGTTTCAAGCGCGCAATCACACCATGCACGAACTACGTGGAAGGGAGTCAGCTTCTGGGACGGGAGACAGCGGCGCAATGGATTCGAGTGGCCTTTCGTACGTGTTTAGCTCTGAGTTTTGGTGCCAGGCAGAGCCAGTCGCTGACAGCTGTTCCACCTTAATGCATGCAGATGACTTTGTTACTGCAGACGTGGGTACTGGCGTGGGCGGTTTGGACGCGTCGATTGGGTTCGAGACGCTTCGTGCCGAGAATAGTGGAACGGCTATGAACGACTCGCTCACATTCTTCGCGCCCTTCGTTAGCGCTCAGGTATCCAGTAAGCGATGCTGTTTCTACAGATGTTTGCAATGGATTTCTCAAGAACGTGTCAGTGGCGGATATGATAGCGTTGAGCGTAGTGATGTCGGTAGGCGGTTGTGGCGGCCCTCATATTCCTCTTCGCGGAGGGCGTATCGACGCTACACAAGCCGGAGTGTTCGGTGTCCCAGAGCCAGAGACCGATCTTGAACAGACATTGGAGGAGTTTTCCGGCGCTGGTTTCAATCAATCTGATGCCATTGCTCTCACGGCATGTGGGCATACGATGTAAGTTGTATGCTGCTCCTTCACGCTTAACAAGCCAATGACGACGTTGGTAGGGGCAATGTGCACCACGGAGGATTTCCCCAAGTCGGTATGGCAGCCTATTGATCCATCACCATCCTCAAACTATGACACGTGCATGCAGTACCGGAGTCTGCTGTTACACCAAACAATACGGGTGGAGGCGTCCATTTTGATGTCACGCCAGCTAATTTCGACATAGACGTGTGAGACCTCCATGTTATAAACTCGCCTAACTCGCACTAATCATTTTCAGTGTTCAAGAATATTTGTCAGGAACCGGTCAGCGGGGAGGGCCTCTCGTGACAACAGACAATGTCACTGTACGCTCTGACCTTCGCCTGTACACTTCCGACAATAACCAAACACTCCAAGCGTATGTACTACTATGATGGGTCTGGTCCCAGTCAGCTTTGACTCACCTCTTGCACATCATCAGATTGTCGCAGTCCTCTAATTATTTCAGGAAAGCATGCGCACAGCTTTTTTCCCGCATGATTGACACCGTCCCCAAAGATGTGAAATTGACCACGATTATTGAGCCCATGGTCTATAAGCCGGTGAACGTCAGTTTGGGACTCACTTCAGACTCGAACAGCTCTCTGTCTATTGTTTTCTCTGGCGCCGTCAGAGTAAGTTTCGAGAATGCTATTCGGGTCTTTCTAGCTTTGCTCACGCCGATCAACCAGTATCTGGATACCTCGTCATCATCAAATGATCCTGCTCCAACTCTTTTCATCTCGTACGAGACCAGACTTGGGTCACCTGCTTCTCATAGAGTGATTGCGACATATACCCCGGACGTCGAGAACAATGGCACGAGTATATTCGGCAACACATACTATTATCGTTTCACCGCTTCAATCGATTCGTCTGCCGGGATCTCTGCATATACAGTAGCAAATACCAGTTTTGCCTTGCGGGATACAATATTTTTCCTCCCAGACTTGAGTTCTGCACAAGACAACGGCAGTGACACGTGGAGTGTTAACATCACCGCAGCCGTAAGTGCGCAATTTTCTTACAAAAGTTTCCAATGCTAAACTATAACGCAAGGCCTTGACATCGTCCAACCCCTCTAATGTCCGCGCCGTGCTCTTCACTCCTACGGGGCAGCTTGGAACGCTTGCTCCGCGGATTGTAACGCAGAACGTCACTCTGAATGAAATCGGATCCGTCGGCGTATACAAAATCTACTCCGCAGTTGTTGTAGTCGAGACTATCAATATCGGAGGCGCCAGCGTCGACATCGTAGGTTCATTCGCAGGGGGTCGGGAAGTCATAGATGAATTCAAGAAGCTCAGTTTAATCATATAATAATACGCCAGCGGAACCAGGCGATAGGCAGCACTACTTTTGAAATGTAGAAGGTCGTTTATATGGAGAAAACAACCTTGTACTATTGTCTATCAGGCCAGGTTCCTTGATCATATTTTCACGAAGAGAGCTACGTCCTTCGATTTCTCTCACGAAGCTCACCTCGACGAACTTGACCTGGTCAACTGTATCAATGCAGTGTGCACATCGAAAGGTACGACTCCCCCTATTCTCGAGTTGGTTCGGGTCTGTCATCAGGATACAGCTAGGGTCATTTGAGTACTCAGTCTCCAAGGAGAAAGAGGTAGGCCGTACTTTACCGGGATTGAACAGGCCCAGAGGATCAACTGCTCTCTTGATAGTCTTCATCAGCTCGACCGTGCCTTCCCCCAGCTCCTCATACAAGAACTCTTTCTTGCCAATCCCAACGCCATGCTCGCCGGTACCTGCGCCCACGCATTTACTGACTACGCATTCAACGAGCAAATGATCGCTGCTCACATGTTCCGTCGAGGGCGATAGCGCGTTCGACCATCCGATGCACAAGCCCTCGCACAACCTTCAGCTCCTCGTCCGTCTTGAAAAGAAGCAGGCTGTGAAAATTTCCTGCGCATATATACGACCGGTCAAGACATGAGCCAGATACACACAGGTGGCCGTCACGCACCATCGCCAGCATGCCCGACGATCGTGTACTTTATCCCAGACTGCTCGATATCCTTCTGCGTCTCATACACCAAATCCGGAAGCTTGGAGATTGGCACACTGACAGAGAAACACCGTTTCAGCATCGACCATCACGAACTTTAACTTTAACCGGCACCCACCACACGTCCGTGCTCCATCCTTTACACCCAACGCCGCCGTATGCCAGGCCCGAATAATGTGCGTTCTTGCGATCCGCCCATAAGTCGTCAGCCTCCTTCTCGTTCTCGGCGAGGCTCCAGTTCGTCCCTCCGTGCTTCTGCACCACGGTCTTCACGATGCGCGCGGTCTCAGCGAGGGAGGATGCAGAGGGGCCCTGCAGCTTGAAGAAGAGGTGGTCAGCGACAGTGTACTTGCGGGACGAGGGGCCGTAGAGGTTCGTCGCATCCATGAAGGCGGAGTCCAGGAGCTCGACGCATTCTGACAGACGGCGTGTCGGTGGGTGGATCGTCGATAACGAGACATCAAAGGAATGATGGGAAGGGACGCACGGATGCCGACACCCTTGTTGAGGATCTCGATGACAGCCTCTGTAGCCTTGCGCACGTCCGGGAACTGGGCTATCGCTACGGTTGTGGGAAGGGCAGGCGCCAGACGGATTGTGACTAGCAATGACCATATTGAGCACTATGGGGTTGAACGAGGCAGGGGCATATACCCTCGGTGATTATGCCCAGGGTCCCTTCTGCACCAATGAACAACTTGGTTAGATCAAACCCTGCAGATGATTTACGAGAACGACTCCTAGTTTTGATGACTTCGCCTGAAGGGAGCACAACGGTCTGTGCAAGTCCAACGCTCAAGGAAAACTCTATAACCTGAAGCTAGAAACTTACCGCGTTGAGGAACCATTCTGCCTTTGCAGTTCCATATCGGACAGCGTTGGCTAGCGGATCAACAAAGGTGAGTGATAGACTATATCTATAAGAAGAGAGCGCACTTCCAGAGCATCCTGTGCTCAACATTCCGCCGATCGTAGCACTGGGTGCAGGGTCGAGCTGTCAATATATGTCATCCATACTCTCCAACGGGAACAGTTCAATGCCGCGCACAGGAAAGAAAAGGGGTGTACCGCTCTCTTTTAGAGTCTCGTTTATTTCCATCCAGCCCACGCCGGGTTGGCATATTAGATCTGAATCAGCCTCTACAGATGGATAGGAACATCAGTCAGTCGAAGAATGCGCAGAAATGCGTTGTAACATTTGTGCAGGCTATGAGAGCGTGAAAGGTCTAGAGTTGCCGCAGGGATACCCATTGATGCCTTGCATGAGGAAACGAAACAATGAATCCTCAACTCACCATGTATCTCGAGAATTTTGTCCATCCTAGATACGTCGACGCATATGCCCCCACCAACGTGCTAATCCGAATGCTCTGATCATCGTCTCCTAGAGCAACACGGACGGGGAAGAGGAGACTGACGCACGCCGACGAACTGCCCTTCCAAGCTGGTAGCGCCAGAGTAAGGTATGACCGGCATTCGGTACTTGTTTGCGACCTTCACGATCTTCACCACATCTTCTGTAGACAACGGATACACGACAACGCTGTGTGGGACGCCTGGAAGAGAGGGATATGGCACGGTATATTGCGGACCCTGACGCCATGACGCACCTGGATGCCAGACATTTGGAGAGAAGCCGTGGATGAGAAGGTCATCCGGGTTTGTCGACACCACGTCTTCACGATCAAACGACGCCTTCAGCTCCTCGATACCGCGCCGAAAGTCGTCTGGCGATCCGTACTTTAGACTGCCCATGGAATCGGGCACAGTCGTGGATACCTGGATGCCCCGTGCGGCGCAGTAGCCTGCGACGCCGCTAGCGACGGACGCAATCGCGAGAGCATAGTACAAGCTAGCACGGGAAGGTGTGACTGCTTTAGAAATAGTGCTCTGCGAACGGCCACTGACAGCGCGCGGTGAGATATGAGCTAGCCTGTTCAACGCGATATGCTTAGGCGATGAGAGAACGGCCGACTCGAGGGCGGGTCTTCCAATGCGACTGAACAACATCCCTTGCTAGAGGTGAGACGTGCGAAAGCAAAGGGCTTGAGGAAGATATGGGGCACATTGCGGGACAAAGGGAGGAGGAAGGCCCGGAACACAAGTCATGGGGTATTGTATTTTGTCGCAGTGATCATGGGGTATTCGTCGCAGTGATGACACACCGGCGGCGTTGCGGAAGTCGGAATCGGTCTCAACAGGTCGCAATCGATCACGAAAATCACACAGATTGAACATCTTCCCAGCAATTCGAGCATTTTCAGACCTTTAGTGGAGGGCTTCAAGACACACTTTTATCGCTGTTAAAGGATGGACATAAATAAACCAAATTGTAGTAATATACACAAAGCGCAGGTATCACAGCAGATCATAGCATTCGACAAGCATTGCCTGAATTGAGTCCCAGTAAGACCGCATCACACAAAAATCAGCCTTGTAGGACTCACCAGAACCATCATGTCTTTACAGCGTGCTCTACGCACGAGCTAACCCTTCATCGATGCAAGCACTGAGATCCGAGGGGCACGCCACACATTAGTAAATAAGATGAACAGATGCATGATGAGACGCACCAATATTGGATCTGCGACTTGACCACGTTGAGGTCTATACTGTAATAACACGACCCTTGAACAACTCCACTTCCATTCGGAGAGTGGCTACATCGTCCTGCATCCTAACAACCACCTTGTCCTCCACCTCTTGGGCTACCTTTGAGAGCTTAGAAATAGTGTAAGCATGGTTGTCTTGCGCGGTCTCGTCCAGCTTGGCAATATCCAGGCGCAGGCCCGCAACCTCGCCCCTGATTCCTCCAACGTCCTGCTGAAGGTCTGCAACATGAACCTTGATTCCTCCAACGTCCTGCTGAAGGTCTGCAACCTGAACCTTGATTCCTGCAACGTCCTGCTGAAGGTCTGCAACCTGAACCTTGATTCCTGCAACGTCCTGCTGAAGGTCTGCAACCTGAACCTTGATTCCTGCAACGTCCTGCTGAAGGTCTGCAACCTGAACCTTGATTCCTCCCACGTCCTGCTGAAGTCCTGCAACGTCCTGCTGAAGGTCTGCAACCTGAACCTTGATTCCTGCAACGTCCTGCCGAAGGTCTGCAACCTGAACCTTGATTCCTGCAACGTCCTGCCGAAGCTCTTCAACCTGCCCGGTCAGCTTCTCCTGGACGGTGGCCAGCTGGCGCGTGAACTGAGTGTTCATATTCGAGAACATCTGTTCGATGCTTCGTATGAGCTGTGCGTTGTCCATGATGTATCAGAGTGGGAGGGCGAGGGATGAAAATATAGTGTGGCGATGAAAACGAGGGTTGAAAGCAAGGACAAAGGAATGTGGGTGGTTGTGGGCTTTTATTGTTGCAAGGCGGGCGGACTTGCCACCCATCGATATCGATCGCCCGATAACAAAGCCATCACGTGATCCAAACATCCACACCTGGATGCAACATTTCTGCGCTAATGTCTCGCGAGGGTCCTTTCTTTTTTTGTACAATACTGATCAGAGCTCTATTCACGTCTGGCCTCGGTCAACGCTGCAGAGCGCTGAGCGCTCACGTCATTGTGAGAGAACGATACGGGTATGCATCAAGTCCGGACTGGTATGCAGCCAACAGCATGTCCATACACAATAATAGGACAACAACATGCAATACAGTCTCTGGACAGACACACAGACGCCTCGCCTATCGCGCCCCCTCGACGGGCTGAGTGTTCGCGCGCGCCATGGCGGCGCCCAGTGCTTGCGTGCGGATCGACAGGCCGCGCGTCTTTTCGATGACGGTCTGGTAAACGGGGAGCGCGGGCCGGTGAATCTCGATGACGTTCTGAACGAAAGACGCAGGCGTGCGGGGTGAGCGTAGTTTGCGTGCGGAGGAAGAGAAGGAAAAAGAGGCGTACCTTCTCGAGATCGATTTTAGCGTCGGCGCCCATGCGTGTTTCTCGGATGAGGTTCACGATCCATTTTTCGCCTTCGTCGCGGGAGAGGTTGAGCCGCTCAGAAAGATCGCTGCATCGCACGTGAGTCACGCTAATTGAGTAAAAATAGTTATACGCACCCAATGTCGATCCTTTGGTGAATCCGACAATATGCCTCACTGATGAGGTACCGCGCGTTGTCCAAGAAATCCTCCCTGAACTCGTTCAAAAAAAAGTCGTCCGCGACGACGCGCTCCGCTGTCTGCAGCTCGCGCTGCGCGGCCTCAAAGTCGAACTCGACGTAGAGCTCCTTGAGGAAGCGCGTGACGGGGTCCGAGTACTGGTACTCCTCGAGCTGCACGATCTTGACGAGCTCGCGGATCGCATGGCGCACGCGCGAGCTGGTCGATGCACCGCCCGGCGCGGTCTGCTGGGCCTTGCGCGAGAGCACGGCGGCGACGGCAAGGTAACGGAGGATCCAGGGCGAAGCGGACTGGATGGTGTTGAGGTACGCGGGGGCGAGGAATGTCTCGAGGAGGAGGGTGCGGCCCGCGGGGTGGTTGAAGTAGACGAAGAGCGACCAGTGAATGAGCCATGTGCGAGAGTGCAGGGCTGCAAGGGGCTCTGCGGGCGAAGAGACGGAGGCGGTGGTGGAGGTGGAGAGAGGGGCGGAGGAAGCGCGTGCGTCGATGGCGTCGCGGAGGGTGTTGAGCTCTTCAAGGGCGACCTCCCACTTGCCGGTGAGAATGTCAGAAGCAAGTTTGCCCCAGTGGGCGGAGGTGTTGAGATCTGTGTCGGTGGAGAGGACACGGAAATGGTAGAGGTAATCTGCGGCGCCGGAGTAGTTGCCGTAGGTATATTGGAATTGGCCAAAGTTGTAGAGCGCAGTTATTTGCTCGAGGGTGAGCTACGGGGGATTGGGCTGGGATGCGGACGCAGATTGGGAGGAAGAAGAAAAAGACGCACGCTATAATTATCCTTGAGGTACTGCAAGTTTTGGTTCTTATCCTGACGAAGCGCCTGGGCGACGTCTGGGTTTTCGATCACATCGAGGACGGCCTGTGCCTCCTGCTGCAGCCGCTCGTTCGTCGACACGGCTTGATCCCTCTTTGCAGCGAATTCTATCCATCAAGTATAAGCGGTCAATCACGGAGGAAAGAAAGCGGAGAAGTGAGCGCACCATCAGGGATCTCGGTATCCGGGTTCAATATCTGATACAGATTGACCGCGTAATCGACCATGTTCGTGCCCTTTGCGAGCTCATACTGGGCGACCTGTACTTCCCCCTCGTTGAAGAGATTGGTTTCGGCAAGATGTGTGAGGAGAGGGAATGCGAGATGTCTGTCGAGGTAAGGGATAACCGTCTTTGTGAGGTCGTATTCTGCCATTTTGTGGAGGGCGGAGGAGGAGGAGCGGACGGTCGCCGTCGATCCGTCCCGCAAAATTCAGCCTCGCTGACTAAGCAGCCCCGCCAGCGCGCGGCTCTCGACGCCACGCCGTTCTCCGCTCCTCTCCCAGTCCTCTCCCTCCGTCGTCCATGTCCGCAATCACGAAGAACCTGCCCTGGTTCGTCAGAGACCTCGGCGTCACCGTCGTCGGTGAAGTATGCTTTGCGTTTGCGCTTGCTACGCGTTCTCTGATATTTTCCCGCAGAAATGTTACGTGTCATTAGTGGAAAACCTGCACCTTGAGGATGTGGAGTGTCTCAAGTACTCGCTATCCAAGGGCCTCGGAATAGGTATCGTAGTCGGAGGGTCTATTATGAAAATCCCCCAGCTCTTGCTTAGTCCGTATCTCTCCGCTTTTTTGCGAGCCCGCAAACTAACTCCTCGCAGTCCTCAATGCCCGCTCTGTTCGCGGTCTCTCTCTCCCTGCTTACGTTCTGGAGACACTTGCCTACGCCATCACTCTCGCATACTCATATCGCAATGGGTTCCCCTTCTCCACATATGGCGAAAATCTCTTCCTCACCCTCCAGAACGTCGTCATCACGCTCCTCATCGTGTATTATCAAGCCGCTTACACCCCACACCGCGCCCTCACCACGAGTCATCCACGACCCACGACGCGCCTTGTCTCCCTCTCCCTCGCTACACTCATTGCTGGTATCGCCTTGATCGCAGCACCTCCCGCTCTCCTCGCTCTCCTTCAGCTCGCCACGCTCCCGCTCTCCCTCTTCTCCAAGCTTCCTCAGATCGCCCAGAACCACCGTGCGCGCAGCACAGGCCAGCTCTCCGCCTTCGCCGTGCTCGCCCAAGTCGGTGGCTGTGCCGCGCGCCTCTTCACTACCGCCACCGAAGTCGGCGACATCGTCGTCTCCGCCGGCTTCGCGCTCGCCCTACTCCTCAACCTCGTCCTCGGCATGCAGATGTACGCGTACTGGGGCAAGGACCTCCCATCAGAGGCGCCCATACGCCAGCCCTTCGAGGAGAAGACATTAGAGAAGCCGACGAGTCGCGTCGACATCGTCGTGCCGCCACAGTCGCCCGCTGCCCATCAGACCGCGCACCTCCAGCCTCAACCCGCGTCATACGGAAGGAAGTGGGCCCGGAAGGTGGATTGAGTGCCCATTGTAGAGGTTATGTATGGGTGCCCGTGCTTGATATAGGGCGATCGTGTTTTCTGCACGCGGCTGCGTAATTATCTTATATTCTTCTGCTGCCATCTTTCTTGATGTGATGGACTGGTCCGATACAAGCCCCCCTGCTACAGCTTCGAAGCTGAGGACTGGATATTCCCTTGGCAGGCTCATTAGCCCTTGCCGCTTCGCCTCGAGACTGACATCACGTTTCGCGGATTGTCTTCGAACTCAGATCATCACACTAGGATCCCTGAGCAGTGAAATTCATTCAGACTGCCCCTCTTCAATGATACTGTGTTCTTCCCGCGCGGCCCCTGTCTTTAATAGGTTGCGCCCCAGGACGTCTGGACTTGAACACGAGCTCCTATTATCACTCATTATCCACAGCCTGTGATCGCGGCGATATGTCACTGATATCTTGACGTTTCCCTCGAATGACGCATCGTTCCAGGTCAGTCACAGTGTATAAAACCACTGTCTGAGCGTCGAAAGAGCGGGCAACAGATTCTTTTGCCACGTTTACTATCATCTCATCCTATGAGGTTGTGGTTTTCCCTCATCTTTCTTGCCTTCGTGCTATCATTGACGACTGCTCAAACGATCGCCATCGGGCCTCCTAGCACCGGAGACTCTGTTTCTTCTGATGCTGCACTGAACGTGCAGGTTTTGCGTCCAGTAAATAATTTCTTCTTCAATTCACATTGAACATATCAATGGGGTTTCGTTCAGAACAGCATCATAGGCTGCCAAGAGGTCGCCATCGTGATTTCTATGGCCCAATGCACCACATCCATCAGCTGCCCCGACCCTTCCGAGCGTCTGGGCACGCCGCTGTACATAGGGCCCTTCAATCCTCAACCCCCGCCGTCGCCGTCATTCGTCTATCAACAGAACTTCACGGTCATGGTGCCTGAGTACCTCGAACACGGGAGCTCTGCGATCCTGAGCTTGACTCACTTGTGTCTCATTGGGGTATGGTCTGACATCGCCTTCTGCATCGTATCAGCACTGTTGACGGCTCCGTGTGCACCTTTTTCAGGCTAGTCCTTTCCCGCTGTTGGAGTTCAGGAACGTCACACTGAGCGTTGTTTGAGGTGTATAGTCTATGCACATAAGGTTCTACTTGTACCGAACGACTTTTTTGATCCTATGGGCACCTGGCTAACGTCGACTACTAAGACGTCAGAGCATTTGAAGGGAAGTTGGGGTGTTCCTGCCCGCTAGGTCATTGTATCCCTTCCTAGCCATGCGTCAGCGGAATCCGCATACCCAACGCATATGTGATCCGCAATCCTGTCCCCTTTCGTGTTCATGTACCACGCGTTACTGTTAGATTCGGCAGCGATCGCTACACCTTTCTCTCCTGTGTGAAACCGGACATGATGCATGATACGTGGTATCGCTCCCCGGGTAATAACAGGAACTGTTCTGGTCGAGATAGAAAAGGACCCCCGACAACCCAGCCAGAGGGTTTTTCGCTACCGAAGTTGTTATCAGACCTCTAAAAAAGCGAAAAAAATAGCAAAAAAATCACAAAAAATCGTCATGTATCTTGATACATACCAGGCTGTCATGAATCGTGTCCGAGCATTGATACATATCTTGTACACTTCCACTCCCTTGAGATTGCTCTTGATGCCATCAGTTTCTACCTCGAAAGTCTTGTGATGGACATAGTCTTGTTCTGACATGAGTAAGGTGACCGCACAGTGCAATTTGAAGCAGGCCACGACAACCAGTGCCAAATTTTTTCGAATGGATTTCCGCCAAAATTGTAGTGAATTTGAAATATATCATGTGTTCAAACCAGATTCTGACTACCGGAACCGTATCATGCCTCACCAAAACAGGCGAAACTACCGGGAAAAAGCATAGACTTATGGTCCAAAAATGGGCCCTGATACTACCGGAAATTTTCAGAGCTGCAGCGCTACGCTATCGTGGGAAAAACATACCTTTGGCGTGGTTGTCGGGAGTCCTGATGGAAATGATCTCAGCATCCTCCGGCCTGATACCGCAGATACCGCCCAGCTGAAGGGAATCTGCATCGATCTGAAACCTCGACAGGTGGGCACGTCCCGGTATCGCGGCGCAAATTGAGCCAGGTGTGCCTGCCGCTCACCAAGAGCTTAAGGCGAGGATATATGCTCACTTCCGCGGAATTTTCGAGGCATGATTTGCATCGCCGGAGAATTGTTGATGCCAGCATATTCCCGACTCATGTTCTCTATTGTGTGTGTCGTAAGTGTGATGGCCGAGAGAGCGAGACAGCTCGTCAAAGGCACTGTCTATTACATGCTTCCACCGAGCTTTGTCCTAGCTGACCGTGCTCTCTGATATACCGTGATGTAGAGTTTGTGCGAAAAAGGCTGATTTCAAGGTCTAAAAGGATTCCGTAGTACATGCTATGCGAGTGACATTCGGCCGACACTCCCTAGGCGGTGACTACAGGCCATCCGCTGGAGAAGTCTAGATGGTTCAGACCAAGCTGAGGCGGAGAGAAATTGTCAGATACGAAAAATTATACACTAGTTGTAAGATAACTTACGAAGCTTCCAGACGACGTGTAGTAATCTAGATTCATGGTCAAATTTCATTGCCCCCATTCATTGAACATGCCAATACTCACGGTAAATCAATAGAACACCATCTGAATCAGTCATGATATCCTGACCGCCGGGACCAATGATCTGGATGATGCAACGAGCCGTGAGAATTTACCTTCGGAGTAGAATGAGAGCGACAGTTCGAGCTTACACTTCCGTGAGATGCCAGGACAAGCGTTCCTCCTCCACTGGTCAGTGCAACACCTGCCTGATCAACGAAAGGGCCTGTGACACTGTCATGAAAACTGTCAATGTCTTTCGAGCACATTCGGGGGTGGTGTAAGTACCTGCTCGAGCGTCCTACACGGATGTTATACGTGCTACTGGTCCCCTGGCAGCAAAGATCCCACGAAGTGAAGAGATAGTAGAAGCTGCTCTGCTTCCAAATGACACTCGCTTCGATGGCACCGTTGTTAGCTGTTCGCTGAGCAAGAGATGTCACGGTAGAAGAAGACGGTTTTCCAGTTGACGAGCCGAGACTGATAGCAAGAATAAGTTCAAAATCTGAATACGGAACGTAAAATATATCCCTCACGTCATTCTAAAGATGAACACTGCGATTGGCGTCATTGAGGCCAGAACAGTGAGAAAAAGATACTTGCTCTTTGATACCTGTCCAAAAGGAGCCAAGCGATAGATACCACTTTCCGGAATCTACCAAGTGCATATGTTATCAAATTACTCAAAGCCCGTTAACCAAGATCCTCACCAATTATCAGGCTATGATTGATAATGCGATAGTCAGACGGGAGATGCGAAGCATAAAACTGGAACTCACTTCGGGTCAATAGCCTTCAGATGAAATATGATGAGAATCGTTATACAGAGATAGGAGTCGATGAAGACTACACACATTATAGTTGTTCGAGCTACTCGAAGATGTGACAAGTCCTTCATTCACCCAGCTCCCTGTTCAAAAGCGTTGATGAGTGCAAATGACTGCCATGCTGAAGCCACTACAACACTAACCCGGCTGTCCAGTGGTAGATTTTGCGAAAAAGATAGCAGACTGAAATGCGTAAACATGAGAAGGCGCGTATATGAAGCTTCATCGAAGCGTACATTTTGGGATCCGAAGCTTGACGCGGCATAATACAGCTACACAACACGATCAACTGAGATTGGAACACAAGGAAGAGAAGATCATACATAGAATTGCCCGTTGAGATATGTGCAATCAGGTGCCCACAGTGCGCTTGAAACGCCATGCACTAACGTTGCTGGATGAAACCATCATAACGAAAAGAGCACGAACCCATTTGAAGTGCCAGTATAGCTATCAGTCCAGGAAGCACCATCTGGCCAAACGGTCCCGATCAAAGTCCATGCTTTTCGGTCAGTGGATGTTCGAATCTCAATGCCGACGCCAGTACCTGCCAAAACGTCAAAACAATCATTAAGGAACTCAAACTCAAAAATGTAATCTCACCAAAGAGCCAGTACTTTCCACTACTGTCTTTGCACAGGGACGGGTCATGAATTGCAGTGTTACCAGAGACTGCCTGAGGGTTCGGGTAATCGGCTACTACACCGAGGGCGAGGGCAGACAGGACGCATAGAAGTGATCTGAGAAACATAGTGGCAAATCGTTACAAAAAGAGCAGGGGAGAATACACAGCACACCTGACTTTATACTTTGAGCGAAATTTGTCGGCAAGGGATGGCCAGAAGCACCTGGTCGTAGAATCAAAGGCTATGCGGACCGCGGATAGTTAGCCAGGCCGTTCAATTTCCTCCCATGACCATGGATACAGACAGGAGAGTCAGGTGTAAATGGAGATCCCGACCTTAATCCTATCTACGAAGATCTGGTATGATTAGGGGTTGGAAAGGTATTCAAAGGAGGTTTTGACATACTGCTATGGTAACTAATTTTGGCAGAAACCTTAGCAGAGCATATGGATGTCATCGTTCACGGGTCGAAGTCAGCGGACTCATACTACGGAACGGGTCAATCTACCCGCCCAGGCCCGCTCGAGAACTTGGTCTGAAGTGCCTAATGATCACTCTCAGTCCGACGTTGAGCCGCGATCATAAGTGATGTATATTTGCACTCATCTTACATAGCATTAATTGGACTGGACCGCTGTTTCCCTGAAGATGAGACGATGAAGAACGACGACTGTTGCCAGCGCGTGCACTTAACGTTTCAGAGGTTTTAAAAAATCGTTGATCAACGTCTAGTCGTGGCATGTCGCGCGTCTAGACACGTATCTACCGTTTCAGAAGCGCTGGTTAGATAGAGTAATGTGGTTGTCTTGGGAATAGTTGGATGGCTCACGCTTTTCATTGTTTTACTCTGTAATTCCGCCGCCGTGTGCGGAAACTCGAGGCCGCGTCTCCAGTTAACCGATTTGAAGACGGATGTTAGTAGAGGCGATTACAAGTTATTATTCCCTATTCCTAGACAGCCAACGGTGGAAATGTCAATTCAGCTGACCCGATGCCCTTCACTTCTCGGAGTGGCTCATCGGTGAGCTGAAGTAGCCGTCCATGATCTCATAGAGCACTGCGTAACAGCTGATCGCATCGCAAGAAATCAGGAACTCACCGGCTCACCACGATATTGAGGCTCCGCCTACATAAATTTGATTTCCGCGGCGTAAAGTAATCGTAAAGTCCCAGCATCAGCGCATCACCGACACTACGTGCACCGCAGGATTTTTCCCGGGATAAACCGTGGATAAAACTCTGGATATAGATAAAGTTTTTGTTCCGGGCTTTCCACTGAAACAAAAAACTTAAGGTTTATCTGATATTTATTCATATCTCATAATAAAATATTAAAAAGACCTTAAGTTTGTGTTTTGGTAGTTTCCTCGGATAAACCCAAACAAAAACTTTATCTATATCTAGGGTTTTATCCACGGTTTATCCCGGGAAGAACCTTGCGGTGCACGCAGTGCGAAGGTATATAACCCGCAAGGCGATAGGCGCGTAAAGCTCAAATGTCAAAATGGTCAATCATTGGGGCTGACTTCTTCGCACGTATCCGGAGGCTCGCAGTGACCAAGAAGAACGATTCGCAAGAAATAACTAAGATAATAGCTACTCCAGTTTTGATGAACGCAAACATCCCCAGCTCGTGGCCTTCGAGAAATCGATGTATATGATAAAATTAGAATGAAGGCCAAGCATAGATCGCAATTCATCTGGAGAGAGTACAAGGAGTAGCCAAATGGCACCGGTAGCCTCCGAAAGGACATCGTCCCTTCTCAAAGTTGACATTTGATCTATCGTCCTCACAGGCTTTGAAGTAGCTTGGTGCTTGATACTGGCACTTGTCCATTATAAAAACATAAGAACTGGTAGATTCAGAAAATAATCTGTATGAACCAAATAAGTGTTAACTAATGTGCGAAGAGGAGATTTTGATAGAAGTATACCAGGGTTTCCTCCAAATCCCACCCGCATTTGATGAGATGTGGCTTGGCAGCGCTCTCTATCAGGCCAGGCTATAGAAATTGTTAGACAATATAATGCCATAACTGTGTATGTGATGAGCGCCTTACTGGGCCACATATAAAGACCACGGCGTCTCCTCCGGGAGGCGGAAAATTCTCTCGGAAGTGTTGCTCTCGAACGTACCCTTTCGAGCTATCGAAGTCAGGCGATACTCCTGAAAGAACATGATGGACTTGGAAGCGTTCGGCTCTCATTTTTTCCCAATGCTGGAGTTCTTCGTATAGCAATATATCCTTCTCGGTGCTGTGGCATGCAGACATCAGTTGCAAGTAGAGAATAGCGTCAGGAAGTGTTTACCGATTTGCATCAATCAACCACATTTTTGTATCTGAGTCAGTCTCATCTTCCAACACTGCTCTTATGACCTGGATAATAGGCGTGATCCCGGAGCCGCCACAGATGAGACCAAGTGTTCGAGATTGGCGCTCACGGCCGCGCCATGAGAACTTGCCATTGCCTTTCCATACGAAGGATCCAAGAGGACCCTTCAGCTCAATAGAATCGCCGATTTCGAGCTCGGAGAGAGTACCAGTCATGCATCCGCCAAGAGGAAAATGTGGACTAGGGAAATAAATTCTACCCATGACCGATGCTCGCAAATCAATCTAAAGCGTGTGATAGGCTGTATACGCACTTGATCAGGAGTTCAACGAATCCTCTTGCTTCTCGGCTACTGATCGGCGTATACGCTCGCTGGACAAGATCACCTCCTGAGTTCGACTTCGCTCCTTTGCTATTTCGTCTTACTCGAGCGAAAATGTGCTGTCCTGTTGGCAATCCGAGCATCTGATCAGGCGACTGAAGCGCAAGTTTGAAAATACGAGCGTCAGGGGAAACATGCGAGATCGAAATGATTTTTGCGCGTTTCCAATATGTTTTGGACAAGAAGACGGCGTCAGGCTCCTGTTGAGTATTTCCAGGACTTTGTGTGTGTTCCAACGTGCCAATATGCTGTAGTATACACTTTAGTTTCGGCTGTCAGGCTATTGCGAACAGAACTCACAAAATCTGCAAGCTGCTTCTTCGCATCGGGGGAGTGTATAGCTAAAAAGTCTTCAGAAGCGTCTTCGCCAGCGACTAGGGTAATAGAGTCAGGCCCTCCTGGGTGCCTTTCAAGAAAGCTAGGTGTCGTTAGATCTGTGTGGGTGATATAGTTTGAATGAAACGCACGCAGCTCCAGCATACACTTCGCCATTGACCACGAACCACGGATCGCTTTCTACTTTGTGCATCTGCAGGTCTTCCCATGTAAACAGCTTCTTGATGCCATCCTTCGTCATCTTTATTTCTTCCAACTTTTCTGTGTAATTCCCTGCCTCTGCGCGCCTCGTACTAACCTTAGCACCAAATGTTGGAGAGAGAACAGATGCAAGTCCAAATTCATCTTTCATGCGTTGCATCCATCCACCCTCCTTCACGCCTGCTATCGTCGGATGCTCGAACTTTAAGAATAATCTCCTATCCTCTTGAAATCTATGGATGGCGACTCTGAACCACCAATTACTAGAATGCAGGTTACTCCCACGACTGGTCGCTACAGAAAGGGAATGGAACTCACTTCATCATCCCAGTTGCGTTCCAATACATGTCGCTTGGCTGCAATGCTAAACTCTCGTCCATTGCTCTCACAATGATTGCGCCTACTCCTTCCGTCGATAATAGTTGTAGCTCCACCTCGAACTTCCAAAAGCACCAACAAAAGCTGGTCTCTTTCTCGCTAGAATCCATAGTTCCCCAGATTGGCATCTTCTCCACCGAGCAGGCCCTGTATAGGTCTTCGGGGTACATTATCTCGGCGAGCTTCCAAGTAGCTCCTTCGTCGAGGGAAAGCTCAACGCGACAGACACGTCTACCACCTCCAGCATATGCATACCCTTGAATAGCATATGCCGGAGCGGGGAAAGTGCCTTTAGGGTCTGAGGTCTCTTCAGGGGGCGTCACATCGACAGTTTCATCATGCACCGGGTGGGCGATGGCGGAGTTGACGTTCAAATCATTGATGATGTATTTTGGATCGTACCACCTGCGAAAAGAGTCAAGGGCGTCAAGTTTGTTGCTCGACTTGAACGCTTACCAATGGCGCTCCTTCCTGGCCTCATCTGGCATGACCTGCGTCGGCAGCAGTTTATTATCCTGTAATCCAATTGGCGTGGTGTTTAATTTATCGTCGTCATCAATGCCCTGAAAACAGAAGAACGCACCCAGAAATGCAAGTGATGCTGGCTTTCCTGCTCTGACACTTCAATTTTCTTGAGCCATTTGACGCTCCTGCCACCAATCTGGCCCGGAACGACCAGTCTTACTGGATACCCATGATCTGGTCTAGATATACAATTACACGTATCAGTTAGAGGTATCACAAGATCAGTTGCAAACGCACTCGAGCGGCAGCCCATTCATCCTCCAAGCAATCATCATTCCTTTAGATCGTTCTCGTGCCCATATTAATCTCTGGCTGGTCCCATACGGCCCATTTGGCAGTGTATCGCCTCCTTCAAAAACCACGTGCCTTGCAATCTCCCCTCTCTTACCTTTCGTTATTCCAACGTATCGCAATATATCTGCCAGATACACGCCGGTGAAAAGAGCCGTAGATAGACCTGCAGCACCCCAATTAAAGCCCAAAGATCTGCGGACAACATTCTGTTCTCGACGGCGATTTCCTGCGCATACGAGAGTGATGGGAACGGTAACGACTGGCAGCCTTCCTCCGAGGCCATTTTGTAACTCAGTAAGAGACAGAATCATGGGACGTTTCACTAGCCTATCAAATCCAGCAAGTTGCGTTAAGAAAAGGGAAAATTCTGAGAGATTGTAGAAATACGCACCCACTGATCTCAATTTTCCAATGGCGACCTTCATTAATGCTGACGCGTGGAACTGGGCCATGATTCCGCACATAAAAGAGCGAGGCTGGTGTGAGGAACCCAGCGTTGAAAAGTGTCTCAAGCGGAGCTTCACAATCTGGAACGATAGTTTTATTTTTCAGCGACGCAACGACACATATGGAAACCCTACTGAATGGATGTTTGCCGGTCAGTCTGATCAACCTCTCATCTCGCTTTAACCATGCGTCTGGTGTGTTCTCGTCTTCTTCACTGACTTCGCGTGGTGTTTTCAGAGATTCGTCTGGCATTCGGGGATACTGCGCAGGTAAAAGAGGAAGCTTCTCCTTCAATTCGGCAGCACGAAACGAAAGAGGAACAAGAACGGTCGGTTGCGAATGCGAGAAAGAGCCATCTTCGCTATCGCTATCCGAGTCGTTACTAGTGATATTGGTGGACAGTTGACTGCCTGAATCAATAGTAGTGCTTGATAAATCAACAGCATCGGAATCTTCGACATCGTTTGAGAAACTTGACCCGTCTTTCCTATCAAGGGTGGGCGACAAATGGTTGGTATGTCTGGTATGTCTCATATGGACGACGTAGGTTTGAGCTGAAAGAATAGGACAAGGGGGTGGAGAGGCAAAACCGATGTCGGGAGCGTGACAGGGATATGACTGGGACTCGTTAGCTAAGTGCGTTCACTTTGCGACGAAGGAAGAAGCTATATGTAGATAAGGATGCGTATTCGAAAGGGGGATCGGTACGCACGATAGGGGCAGCTCTGCTAAGGAGGATATGGACCGAGGGTCCTTATCTGAGAGCTCGACCCTGGAATCAAGCAATGCGACTAGATCATTGGGACTGCCAGGTCATGGGAGTAGGGCGAATTGACTAGATGCCGTTGCACGACCAAGAATAGTATTATTGGGCTTGCAAGTGATGGTGGGAAGTCACGTAGAGCCATGTCGGGAAATTCGCACCGCGAGGGTAAAGCGAATTCGACGAAGAGGCCTTCTGTATTACTCCATTTTGTATGTCGTAAGAGAATCACGCCCTATTAGACGTTAGTGTAGATATTGATAGCTACTATGCTCGAGTCGCATCAAGAACACTGGGATGCCTGCGCGGGTAGACGAGCTATCTGTGCAATACTACAGCAGATGCTGAGGCGTAAGGAGTCACGAAACAAAGCCAACCATGCCGATCGCAGAGAATCTAGGACTGGAAGACGCGGCGATGCATCAGAGCCATACCCGGAAACATGTTTGACTAATGAGTCTAACAATACAAATCACTGAATCACCATTTCGGGGTAGAAATCCACACGACCATCAACTAAAATGGAAGATTAGAGCATAAATTATTCAAGCAGAAGACAACACACGTTGAATACCATGCATACAGCACCCATGATCCAGAATGCTTTTCCGATGGGTACAGGTTGGTACCTGAAAAGAAGCGTAAACCAAATCCCGCCTGCACGAGCATAATGTATATCAGTCTGATGCTATGTGCGATGAAATAAACGGACAGACCAAGATTACCCATTCCGCCAACAATACCGGACATGACGCCGTTTGAATATGCGTTGCAGTGAGGAACAAGGGCGAAATTGGCTCCGTTGGCCATCTCGCAGAAGATAGCGATGATAGTGAGTAATATCATAATCACAGCGACTGGAAACGAAAAGTTGGCATTGTGAGAGGGAGCATAGCCGATGCAGCCCAAATCTAAGACCTACGGGACGGAGGAAGCTGGGCTTGAACGTGACTTTCGATGTAGCGTCCCAACCCAATGGAAACCATGCCCATGCAGAAGGACAATCCAAGGGTGAGCCACTTTTTGCCTGGGACGCCGTGCGTTTTGTAGATGGCATCCGCCATATATCCACCCAAAGGTCTGGTGAAGACGTTGAGAAGGCCGAAGAGAGCGGTGTAGTAGCCCGCAGTGGTTTGACCAAATGCACTATCGCGTGCATGGAACAAGCTGTACAGAACGCTCGTCAAGTTGGCATCAATCGCCAGTTCTAATCCGAACGAAGCCATATACGAAGATGCGGGGAGCCAAGTGAGCGGGGAAGAGATAATTTGGATGGCTGTTGTCATAGTCAGAGCTTCGTTGATCGCAACATCAGTATCAGATGATAGCTCCTCGACTTAGACAACGTCAAGACCACTTAGTTTTAATCGCAAAAAAAGATGAAGGGAACTCACTCATTTTTGAAGCCTTTTCCTCATTTACTGTTGCGCCCTCATTTCCTGGGTCCGCCGTTTCTCTCTCCGTGATCTTTGGATGGCTCGAGTGGTTGTCAAGCCGACGCACAAGCGCCGCCGCCGGTATCTGGTGTCTTTGCGACCATTTTCCAGCAGGATGATCCGTGCCGAAAACGAGCGTCAGGATAGAGACCAAAAGAAGGGCTGGAACGGGGACTATAGCAAAGGAGGCTCTCCAGGCGGAGTGTGGAGAGAGACCGCTGGAGATGAGCCGTTGATAGACTACAACAATCACAATTCAAACACGAGTGGTGAGATAGAGGAGAAGGTGGATAATTACGAGCTACCATAACCGCAAAAGTGACTCCCTTGTTGGCAAGTCAGCATACACGATAAAACGCGATTACCGACCATGAACAGTAGGTCATAAACCTACCCCTCCCATATTGCCCCATCCTCCAACCAGCGCATTGGCACGTCCCACAATCGATTTATCAAACCAAGCCGTCGTCCACGCCTGACATGGAACGAATGTACCTAGATCAAATTCAGATCAGCGGACACATATAAATAGGATGTGGCTCACCTCCCAGGATGCCAATGAAGAAGCGGACGGCATAGAGGCCATTTGCTGTTGAAATGGTTCCAGCGAGACCAGAGGGGATGGCTCCGGCAATCAAGAGGGCGGCCATGACATAACGAGGACCAAACCCTTCAAAAACCGCGAAATTCGAGCTTGGAAAATGATGTGATAAAATGGATATTACTCACTATCGATCAATGGACCGACGACCCAACGAACAACCAAAGTCGCGCACAATGCGACAATGTTTGAGTTATTGATTTGTGCTGTGGAAAGCGCCAAATCGCTTTTGATGGCCTCTGGGATGAGGGGTGGAAATGCAAACCAAGAAAGGAACGCGACAAAGAAGCCTAGCCAGGAAAGGTGAAAGTTACGCGAGTACGGGTTACTGAGGGTGAAGATGGGAAGAGTGTAGCTCTATCTCATGATGAATAGAATTTTTGGAAAGAAGGCGGAATAGACAAAGTACTTTGCCGTTTATGTGGTTCAAGACGGGTGGGCTCCATAACGAGCTGATGTGAAACAAGGGAGGGCCAAGGAGTTCCTCAGCTGCATCATTGAGATGTGACCTTCAGTGCGTCACTTGAGCATACAGCATACCGTAAGGAGAGGGAGACGACACACTGCTTTTCAGTCTCTTTCTCCACGCCGCCATGAAGGCGTTCGACAGAGCGGACCGACAACGGCATAGGGGAAATCTCGATGACGCACCACAGGAAGGGCGGCTATGGACGGACGCAAGCCGCAGTAAAGACGTGTCTTATAAACCTTCGAAGAATGCTCCAAATCGGTCGCAACTATCGCTGGTTGGGAAGAGGGGATGTAATGAAGCTAAGATAGGAAAGATAGGGTGAAGCGCCGTTACACTTGCATGAAACATTTTGGCAAAGCGCGCAATCGCAATCAAAACGCCCCCGCTAGGAAATGAGGACTTCTTCAACAGCATCTCGAGAAGCCAAATCAGAGCAGGAGATAAGAAAATGAGTGAAAATGAGTGGGTACCTTGGATGACCCTAGAACGTCTGTCTACCGATCATGCGCAGTCATGGGGTCGATTTTCCCCGAAGAAGTCCAAGTTCCCCGCCATGTTATATGTAGAACGCGATTCGCGGAAAGAAGGCCTTATTGCGGAGAACGTCTGGCAAACGCCGACGATTGATACTGCAGATGTTTCCTTTCCTGGTCCTAACGACCTTATACTCGAGACATCATGGACCCCATTCCCTCAGATTGTCAACGCAGACGCGTATTTGTCGTTGGCCTGGGCATGGTCGGCATCGCTTTCATCGAAAAGCTGCTGAACCTCGATATAGCCCAAAATTACCACATCACCACCTGTGGGGAAGAACCCCACTTCGCGTACAACCGTGTTGGCCTGGTGTGTTCCTGTACTGTCCCGGGCTACCCACATACTGACAGACTTTGGTGTAATGGTCCATCTAGACGGACTATTTCCAGCATCGGAGCATCGAGAACTTGTACTTGAACAGCCCATCGTGGTATGCCGAGCAGGAACCCGATCGGTTCCAGTTCTATATCGGAGAACAAGTCACTGACATCGACACCAAAGCCAAAACGGTGACGACTAGCAAGAACGTACGTACCAATTCCATGCTCCGGTTCGGCTTCTAATAGCATCGCTCTGTATACAAAACAGAACACATTCTCGTACGACATCCTTGTTCTCGCGACTGGTTCTGAGGCCGCATACCCACCTTATATCACTCCAGCACAAGCCAGCTCCACTGATGGTATCTACGTTTACCGATCGATCGCAGACCTCGAGAAGATCATTGAATATGCCAGCCGCGAAGGTGTCGAATCAGCGAGCATTGTGGGCGGAGGGCTTTTGGGTCTGGAAGCCGCGAAAGCGGTTTATGATCTCCATTTGCCGCGGTACGTTCACAGCGAACATATTCTTTTGCAGAAAAGGTCGTTGATTTGACTGTCAGCAGAGTCTCCATCATGAATCGTCAATCGTACCTACTGTCCAGGCAACTCGACGCTGACGCCGGAGAGATGGTCCTGCGCAAAGTCGAGGCAATGGGCGTCCAGATCGTAACCAATGCCAAAGTCGCTGGAATCACCACTAATACCGCTTTTGCGGGTGACCACGAGCGCTTCACTGGGTTCCAGATGGACGACGGCTCTCACTTTGCTAGCGACATGGTCATCTGTGCTGTAGGCATTCGGGGTCGAGATGACTTGGCGAAGAATAGTGGTATCATGTGCGAGGCCAAGGGAGGGGTTAAAGTGGACGACGATTTACGAACATCAGCTGCAGATGTTTACGCTATAGGGGAGTGCGCAAATTGGAGAGGTAACACTTACGGATTAATTGCTCCCGGAATAGAAATGGCCGACAGTACGTTCTATAAATTTAATTTGTCCTCTCGCAGGCTGAACACCTACTCAACAGTTCTCTCGTTCAATCTTACACAGACGAACACTTCAATGGGAACCCACTTACCTCGCAAGATGAATGACCCGGACCTGTCGACCAAGCTAAAGCTCATGGGCGTCGATGTCGCGTCTTTCGGTGACTTTTTCGCGGACAAAGATCCTTCTCGAATGCAATCTTCGATCGAGTTCCACAGGAGAAAACAAGCAGAGAAACAAGCAGAGAAGAACGGTGCCAGAAAGGAAGGGCAAGCGAAACTGCAGATCATATTGGAGGATGGTGGCGTCGAAGCAGTGCACAAAGACCCGACCCCGCCAAAGATCAAGCATAGGGGGGTGAACTTGCGCGACGAACCGATCAAGTGTCTGACATACAAGGATCCTTTCGGGTCCGTATACAAAAAGTAAGTCGATACAATACGACCGCGAATTCAACTGAACGGATTACCTGCAGGTACATCTTCACTGCTGATGGCAAATATCTGCTTGGTGGTATGATGATCGGAGACGTTTCCGACTACACCAAGCTCGTCGCGATTGTGAAGAAGCGCAAGCCCCTCGATCAGCCTCCATCACAGTTCATCGTGGGTTCCAAAAGCGATGGTGGCGACGACGGAGCAGATTTGGACGGTGACGCACAGATTTGCAGCTGCCATGTAAGAGCACTATGTTTCGTGTCCCGCCGCTACTGACCTCTTCATTTCATCAGAATGTGACCAAAGGGAAAATTAGCGCGTGCGTGCGCTCGGGACGCGACAACTTGAACGACCTCAAGGCCTTGACCAAGGCTGGAACTGGGTGCGGTGGTTGCATGCCGCTCGTTACCAGCATCTTCAAGACGGAGATGAAAAAAAGCGGCAAGGAGCTCAGCCCAGCGCTTTGCGCTCATTTTGACATGCCGCGCGCTGACCTCTTCAATGTCATCCGGTGCGATTCGTCTTTTGGTCTTTGAACGATATACACTGACCTAATATGTGACCCAGAATCAAGCGACTAGAGACATGGACCGACGTCATTCGCGAGCTGGGGAAGAAGTCGGTGGATACCGTGGGGTGCGAGACCTGCAAGCCGGCGGTCGGAAGCATCCTCGCCAGCCTGTTCAATCGTCACGTCATGGAGCCTGACCTTCATCAACTCCAAGACACCAACGACAGGTACGCTCTTGCGCACATAGAAATATCGACCAGAGACTGAATGACCTCTAGATTTCTCGCCAATATACAGCGGAACGGCACGTTCTCTGTTGTCCCACGGATTGCCGGCGGCGAGCTAACCCCTGACGCACTCATCACCATCGGGACGGTGGCAAAGAAGTACAAGCTGTACACCAAGATTACCGGCGGGCAGCGCATCGACATGTTCGGCGCGAAGAAGGCAGACCTGCCCGATATCTGGGAAGAGTTGGTGAAAGCGGGCTTCGAGAGTGGGCACGCGTATGGCAAGGCGCTGCGGACGGTGAAGAGCTGTGTTGGGACATCGTGGTGCCGTTATGGTGTCGGCGACGCTGTCGGGATGGCCATCGAGCTCGAAAACAGGTACAGAGGCGTGCGCGCGCCGCACAAGATCAAAGGAGGCGTGTCAGGATGCATCCGAGAGTGCGCCGAGGCACAGAGCAAGGACTTTGGGTTGATCGCTACAGACAAAGGGTGGAACAGTACGTGTCGCATGCCCACTCATGGACTTTTCCCTTCACGCATACTCTTGTGTACAGTTTTCATCGCGGGCAACGGCGGTGCCAACCCACGCCATGCTTCGTTGTTTGCCAAAGATGTCCTCCCGTCCCAGGTCGTCCGAATCCTCGACCGGTACTTGATGTTCTATATCCGCACGGCGGACAAACTGATGCGGACAGCACGATGGGTAGAGAGCTTCGAGGGCGGCGTTGAGGCAAGCTCTTCCTGAACGTCAGAAAGATGTGTGTTGACCGCCATCCCTCTCAGAAACTAAAAAAGATCATCCTGGAAGACGAACTAGGGATTTGTGGAGACCTCGAACGCGAGATGAGCGAACTAGTGGGGACCTTCGAGTGCGAGTGGACCCAAGTTGTCAAGGACCCGAAACGTCGGAAAGCCTTCCGGCAGTTCGTGAACTCGGATGAGACCGTCCAGACTATTGACAATATCGTCGAACGTGGGCAGTTACGTCCTGCAGATTGGCCCAAGGCATTCCCGCCGTCGAAGATGGAAGTAAGTCAGATTGCAACGCCGAGGTCGCAGTGGAAATGGAGAAAGATGGCGAAGGTGGAAGATCTTGTCCCCAGTGATGCGGGAACGACGTGAGTTTGGTGTCACAGTGATCTTGATTGTCGTTCAACTCTCTTGACTATCTAGGTCGGCAGCAGTCAAGTACGGTGCCTCTGCGTTAGCCATCTTTCATGTGCCTCGGCGTGGATACTACGCCACACAACAGGTGCGAGCTGAATAGGACTCACAAGAATGTTCCGACGACGCATTTACTCGGCCCTCAGATGTGTCCCCACAAACATGCATTCGTCCTTGACCACGGTTTGGTTGGAGATGACGCGAACGGGAATCTCTACGTCTCCTGCCCACTGCACAAGAAAAACTTTTCCCTCGACAACGGCGACTGCTTCAACGACGGGCAATACAAAATCCTCGCGTTCGACGTGAAACAGGACGGGGAGGACCTGCTCATTCATCTCCCCGAGGCGGACGAGTTGGACGCGGTACTCAACACCACGAAGTGGATGGTAAAAGCTGCGACGGCAGAAGCGCTGGAGAGGAACGATGCGACTGAAGTGGAGATCGTCGGCCCTGATGGCGAGAGCGCAGGTAGCGATTTGAATGTAGGAGAATGCGCGTCTGCGGCAGGCGGGTGTGGATCAACAGAGCTGGATTGGTAGCTACCGCCATTGTGTGTGCGCTGCTACGTTGTCAAAGTCGAATTGAAAGTATATCAGTACAATCGTCCACGTTCAAAGTGACCATCACGTACAGTGAACTACAGGTTTGGATAGGGAACGATCCGACCTTAGACGGCGCAACTGTGAGAAGATTTGCGCGTGCCTTCATCGAGAAGACACTAGCCAGCAAGGTAAGAAGCAAAAGATCGGAGGCGTTCGTATTCCAAGCGCAAACATCGTATGGTTCGAGGAGGGGCAAAGAGGGTGTAAAGGCTGAGGGTAAGGTTCGTCGTCGACGTCAGGCACGGAAAGCATGCTGCCCTCCAACTCCGCCAGTATCAAGTCAGGTCAGTGTCAGGTCGAGATACATATACCACCCGTCCATGATTGCGCCCTCTCCTGCTTGTCGACTCCCCCAAGCCCAGTAACGTCGTCGTTCTCCGCATCAAATGGCGACAGACAGCATCCTCGACCCGGCGAGCCCGACGCTCCCCACCCCCAGCGCGTCCGCCGCCAAATCCCTCGTCGAGCACGGCTACGACACCATCGCCCCCGCCTACCTCGCCTGGTCCGCGCCCCGCCCGACCTCCACCCGCCTCGCCCACCTCACGAAGCTCCTCGCGCTCCTCCCCCCGGGCGCGCGCGTCCTCGAGCTCGGCTGCGGCGCCGGCGTGCCCAGCACCCAGGCCCTCGTCGCGCATGGACTCGATGTCACCGCCGTCGACATCTCCGGCGCGCAGATCGCCCTCGCGCACGCGCACGTCCCCCAAGCGACCCTCGTCCATGCGGACATGGCCGCGCTCTCCTTCGCGCCCGCTTCCTTCGACGCCGTCGTCGCCTTTTACTCCCTCTTCCACCTCCCGAGGGACGAGCAGGGGCCGATGATCGCGCGCATCGCAGGGTGGCTCAAGGACGGCGGGCGGCTGCTGTTCAACCTCACCACGGACGTCGGCGATCGGATGATGGAGGACTGGATGGGGGTCAGGATGTTCTGGAGCGGCTTGGGCGTCGACGGAAACAGAGACATGCTCAAGAGGGATGGCTGGGCCCTGACGATCATAGAAGACGAGGTGGCGGTAGAGAAGGTCGGACGCGCGGAGGAGATTTTTCACTGGGTGTCCGCGGTAAAGAACGATCAGCGCACGCAGGCCGACTGATTGGACAGCATCTGTCGGACACGAAACGAACTTTCCTCCCTGTCGAGCTGTATTTATTTATTTCGCATCTCTGCACCCCTTTATACTACCAACGTTTGTACTCTACATCGACACCAACGCCGCCAAATATAGTGCTACAGTGCGTTCACGAGAGGTCAAATCCGGCACCCGAGTACACGGCTTTCAGCAGCTTGTCGCGCAAGACCGCCTCGCTTCGGTAGACTGGCAGCTGTCGACCGCGATCAGCGTTCAGTCCCCGCGCGACTAACACCGGAAAACCCGCCTACCTTTAAAAGATTCACGCAGGTGCTGGACGTGGGCAGACGCGCCTGGTCCATGCCCGCGTCCCTGATGGAAAAGTTGGGATAGAGCTCCTTGAACCCTCTACACACCGATCGTTAGAAAACGTCCAGGCGCAGATGCGCAGAAGGGCAACTTACAGCAGCGGCGGACGCCCCACGCTCGTGACGAACCGAAGCAGCGCGCGGCGCTGTTCTTGATCGAACGACTTGACCACCTATATGACAAGGGCTACCTCTTGACCGGAACTGCGCGCAAAAAAGGGACACCACTCACGTTCCAAAAGGCGACTATCGTCGGGTTGTCGTCACCGTACACGCCGCCATAGTGCGTGTTCGCCCTCAGGTCGTCGAGGTCGACGGGTGCGTTCACACCGCCAAGCAGGACCTGAAGCTCCTGCTGATTGAACATCCTGCATCGTCTTGGCCTCAGCCCCGGTCACCCGAGACGCGCGCGCGACGACTCACCGAAGCCATTTGGGGTCGATCACGTCCGACAGCCCTTCGAAAAACGCCTCGCTCTGACGCTTGATTTGTGCCGTGAGGCGATAATGCGACATGCGGTAGATGTACTCCAGCTTGTTCTCGCGAGTGACGGGCGTGTTGCTCCCGTTGGGGCATAAGTCAATTGTTTTGGCGACACCGAACTCTGACAACGGAAGCGGCATCAACATCAGCTCGACATCAGGATGACGCACACGCACCCTCCTCGGTGACGGCGAAATTCAACGAGAGGTCCTCTGGATTGCCTTGATAATGCTTCAGGAACATGAGACCCTGATAGAGCTCTGGATCCAGCGAAGCGAGATCGTCGAGGAAGCTCTGCCTGCCCAACCACTGCACGCCCCGGTTAACCTCCCGTCACGCGATCATAGCGCAGCTGAGCCCACCTTTGCTAGGAAAAAGCCTGCAAACGCGACGTCGACCAGGATGCCCTCGTAGAGCGCCTTGCCGAGGATGCGGCCGATGAAGCGGTACCAGTTCAGGCTGTGAGCTAGAGGAGGCCGATGAGCCTACGACGATCGAAGCGAGTGTCTAGACGGCGTACGCTCAGTCGCATACGAGTGCGGATTCGGATACAACTCGTTCTGCTTGTTGGTGAGCCACAGCCCGCGGTCGCTGTGAAACACCTCCTTGCACAGATCCGTGAGGAACTCCTTGAACACGCCGCCGCCGTCGATCCCGGCCCTGTGCGGCGCAAGGTCAGAGTGCACTCGACGAACGGGCGATCCACACTCACTCGACCTCGCCGAACTGGTCGATAAAGGTGATTTTGATCCGGCCTTTGAGGTTCGCCTCGCCCAGCTTGTCAAAGCCGTCCTCGGCGATGTGGCCCCTGCGCACGGTCGCCTCGGTCGCGTAAAGGAACGTGTCTGGACCGTGCCCCAGGTTCCTCTCGTCGTTGTCGATGAATTGACGGAAGATGGCGACGCGAACGTCAAAGGGAATCGCAAAGGGGATGTTGTTGAGGATCCCGAGGCGCGGAGAAAGGTAGGCAACTTGTCGCTTACTGAGCGGCCGGGCGCCCACAGGCTGCGAAAGCTGCTGGTCCTCGAATCTGTCGCAGATGATCAGCAAAGACGTCGAGTCGAGAGGAATGGGCGCTGCCTACACTGCGGCTTCAATGAACGAGGACAAGTCGATCTGCGAGCTGATCAGCCAATGGTCGGGCGGCGTGAACGACTTGCGAGAGCTAGACCCACAGGAATGAGGCCCCATGCGAGCATCGACGAGCACAGCACTCACTCTCTGGCATGGATGGCCTGAAGGCACTTTGTCACCTTCTCTCTCAGGCCCTCCCATCTAAGGTGAACCCCGGGCACCGAGCCCTGCTGCACGTTCGTTTGATCCTCGCGCCAGTAGAGCGTAAACGCGATGTTCAACAACTGCCGTGAGAACGAGGAGAGCTCGTCGAGCGAGAGGGGGTTGCGCGCAGACTGCGGCGCGGCGGCGGCGGACGAAAAGAATTCGTCGTCGCCCATGGTCACAAGAGACTGAGTGTACAGATCGACGAGGAACACCAAGGGAGGCCATGACGGCGCATGGACGGGATCTGGAGGGAGCGTGAGCAGGGACGATATGAAAAATACAGACCATGACGTACCCATGAGGGTCGCAGTAGTCTCGTCGCGTCCCAAAGGCGAGCCTCGAACGTACGTCTTGTAAAGCTCTCTCACCATGCCGCCATTCGTGGAGGTGACGACCGCGCTGAGAATCTCGGTGGATCGCGACGGCCACGCTGCGCATACGGCCAGGAGGAACTCATAAATCAGCGGGCGCGTCGACGGTTGGTGTTGCGTGGCGACCAGGATGGCATTCAGATGGGACATGGCCGGGACGGTCTGCAGCCGCTTGAGCGTGCGAGAGTCCACCACGGGAAGTGGCTCAGGAGGCGGTGCAAAAGACGAGACGGAGACGACGCGCGGGCCCTCGTCTTCAGAATCAGACCCTGCATCAAATGCGTGCTTGCCGATTGTGGATGCGGCGCTGGGAGGAGACTGGTCAAGCGAGCCCACAGGCACTGAATTCACGATGGCGATAAGGATGCGGATGTAGGCGGTAAGAGCGGGGGTGGGGAGCCCAGGCTGTTTGGAATAACGAGGGGGGACAAAGGCACTGAGGTTAGCGAGGAGGTGAATTCTGCTATCTACGGAGGAGAGAGACGCGACGAGCTGGGCGGGAGAGACGACGTGGATCGAGGAGATGGGGAGACGTGCGGAAAAGGTAGTGAGTGCGGTCAAGGGAAGACGATTAGGGAGGAGAGGGATGGACAGGATGTGCTCCAGGAGCTGGGCGAACGATCGCGAGTACAGATCGGACAAGGCCTTGAAAGTGTACAGTGGATGTGTTGTGAGGGGAACGAGGAGTACAAGAGACGGAGCTTTCTTCGATTCAACAGGCTGTGGGATGAGCTTTTAGCGCATCGTATGGGCAGGAAGTGAAATCTCGGGCGCACGATTGTGGAGATCGCTCTGGACAGGAGTGGGTACAGATCGTGATGGAGGAGGTATTCTAATATCTTTGCGTTCAGGCTGGATCCGAGTGTCCCTAGAAGATTAGAGAGAGAGGTGGAGGAGAGAAGGATGTCGAGCACGCGGAGGTGATCGACTGCATAGGGAGATCTGGGCGGAGCTGAGAATACTGCGCGCAGGCGCCGAGACGGAAGACGTACTGTGGGTCGTCGGCGACGGACCGGAGAAGGAGGAGAGCGGCTTGACGGGTGAGGACCAGCCAGCTATGTTGATCGGACGAGGTTGCGTTCTTAAAGAAGGCCTCTGAATCTGATTTAAGCGAAGACGTCAGTGGAGGCATCGGGGGGTCGCACCTTGACCGCCATTCAAAATGGCAGCGGACCACTGGCCGAGGACGGCCTGGTCTCTGCCGATGAGGACCAGGCAGCGCAGGCCGGTGATGCTGAGCACGTCCTGGTCAAAGAGGGACCTGAGCTGCTGGCGCACTGTCCTTGACTGGTGTACGCCTCTGAACCAGGCCTGTATTCGAATCACGCTCTCGAGGCGTTTGCGGGAGTTCTGGCGCTCGGATCGCAGGGCCTTTGCCTGGTTAATGATGGCGGCGTGGGACGACGCGGAGTTTACGCCGCCGAGATTTATTCTGCGCCGCTTCTCGTTTCCAAGGAGGGGAAACATGGTGTGGATGGGAGAGGGGGAGGGAGAGTCAGCGAGAGTGCGCGGCCCACAGACGCGTAAGTAATGCACCCAGGTCACGTGCGAGGCGCCTGCGCCGTGCCGCCACAGCCTCTCTCTCCCAGCCGCTCACTCTCCTCCGATGCGTCGTTCATGGAACTCTACAAGCTACACACCTATCCAGAACCCCGCCTCCGCATCCTGCCCCCGAGGCAGTCAGACTCGCCAGATCCGACACCGTCTGGCTCTGCGTCGTCCTCGGGCTTGGCTAGCTCGTCGGCCACCGCGAGCACGCCCGTCACTGTCTCCTCCAGCGTGAGCGCGAGCGCGTCCCAGTCGACGTCCCAGCGCTCGTCCGTGGTCACGTCGGGCAGCAGCTCAGACTCGTCCTCTCAGACTTTGTCGTCGTGCGTGTTCTCCTCTCCTCCTCCGACGAGAAACGCCGCCGTGCTAACGTGCCTCTAGTTCTAGTTCCAGCGCGTCAGATACCACCACCCCGCCCTCCACCACAGATACCCCCACCTCGTCCTCGCCCCCCTCGTCCTCCTCCACCTCCACGGCCACCCCGACCACGACCTCGGACCCTCCCACCAGTTCTTTTGTCACGAGCACGAGCACGAGCACGAGCACGAGCACGCCCGAACCCACTTCTTCCACAGACACACCCACCTCCACCTCGGAATCCACCTCGGAATCCACAACCACCTCCACCAGCACGACCAGCAATGGTCCCTTTACCACCTTTACCTCTCTCATAACCACCAACATCAACGGGACGCCCACGACCGTAAGTGCACCGCCTCGCCGGCCCCCAAATTGAACCTCTTGATCCCCGTTTGTTCTCCCAGATCCCCACCACCATCGTCTCGTCCACCGCCTCGCAGCACACCACGTCCTCCCGCACCGCCGTCATCGCCGGCGCCGCGCTCGGCGGCCTCGCTCTCTTCATCCTCGCCCTCGCCGTCCTCTGGGCCCTCCGCCGCCGCATCAAAAACCGCGAGTACGCTTCCCTCCTCCACCGCCACAAGCCGCCCCCGCGCGCCGTCTTCCTCGCCGGCGAAGACATGGGCGATCCCGCCGCCGCCGCGCGCGCCCCGTACCGCGACCACGACGACCGCGACCCGTTCGCCGCGCACCCCGCCCACGCACAGCAGTACGAGCTCCCCCCGCGCCTCCTCCGCGCGCGCGCCTCCGACTCCGGCTCCATCTTCCAAGAGTCCGTCTGGCCCCCGCCCGCCCCCGGCAGCCGCCTCCGCGACCCGCTCGCCGCCTCCGCCGCCGGCGCAGACGACCTCGGCTCCATCGTCGACCGCGTGATGGGCCCGCCCACGCCCCCGCGCCTCCGCGGCGGCGCAGCCGCCCACGCCAGCGTCGACTCGCTCTCGCTGCGCTACGCCGCCGGCTCGGACCGCGGCCACGACCGCGGCGAGAGCCTGAGCTCCCAGGTCGAGCTGCTGCCCTTTGGCGCGCACACGCCGAGCCCGCTCACCCTCACCAACCCCGACGCCCACACGGACGACGACGCGCCGCCGACGCAGCCGCCGACGCCGGCGCCCAACAGGACTTGGGCCGGGCGCCCGCCGACGCCCACGAAAACATGGCTGCAGCGCTCCCCGAGGGATCGGAGCTCGGGCGGCGGCACGATCGCACACGGACACGAGGCCAGTTTCGGACAGGCGATATAATAGACCGCGCTCTTGCTTTAGTGTACACATCCTGTATTCTTCCCTCGTGGCGTCCAAGGTGACGAGATAGTATAGATAGATACCCGGCTATCGTAATGTGAGCGCCGGTCGTGCGGGGACGGCAAGCAAAGAGAGCGTCAGAAATACAGGCAGAACATAATAATCGTGAGGCGCGTAGTATAGCAGGAGAGGAAAAGGGGGTGCCGCGACAGCGTCCGTCTAGGCCGAAACGCGCTCGGTGCTCAGTGCTCAGCGGGCGCCCGCCGGGATCGAGTCGTACGAAGGCGGAATCTCGTTCGGGACGTCCTCAGGCGCGCGCCCGCCGTCTCGATGCTGCACGACGCCCGAGCCGGACGCGCCCGCGCCCGCGCCCTCCTCGCCGTGGTTCGCCAGCACGAACCCGCCCGGCCCCCCCGGCGCCATCTGGCCGAAGCGCTCGCCCAGCGCCTCGCGCTCCTTTGCGCTCCGCGGATTCTGCCACGCGCCGGGAGCGGGCGCGCTGGAGGTGTTGCCGGTCGAGGAGTGCGTCGTGGGGAGCGAGGGGCCGGGGGACGGATGGCGGTAGTCGCCGTACGGGAAGGCGCTGCCTGCGGGGCTGGTGGGCGGGTAGTGCGAGGACGCGTCCGAGCGCGGGTACTCGCTGGGGTCGCTGTTGGACGGCGGGGCGTAGTGCGAGGCCGAGTGCGGGGGACTCCGGCCGTATGCCGCGCCGGCCCCGGCACCGGCGATGCCAGCCGTGAGCAGCGAGGATTTGCCGTCTTGGTGCTGCCTCATCGCTGTGCCGTTTTCGGCGGCGGCTGGACCGCCCAAGGCGGTCTGGGGCTGTGCGGGGTTGTACGCGTATGGGGTGACCTCGGGGGCGTCTGCGAGGTCGATGGGGCCGTGGCCAGAGTGACGGACGACGCGGTCGGGGTCAAAGTTTCCGTCAAAGTCGTCCTTGCGGGACTTGCGGCGCCAGAACCAGGCGAGGAGCACGAGGAGGGCGAGGCCGACGACGCCGCCGACGACACCGCCCGCGATGGCGCCCGTATTGGATGAGGACGATGAGGAGTGGGAGCCGGCGGCGGCGGTGGCAGCGATCGTCTCGGTGGTCGCGATGACGGTGGTGACGGTTTGACCTTGGGCATTTGTTCCGCTGAAAAAAAAAAAAACTCAGAGAAGATGAAGGAAGAAAAGTGGACGGGGCAGACGTACATGAAGGTCGAGGACGCTATGGTCGTTACTGGGGGCGCAGAAGAGAGTGCTGCAGAAGAGGCGGCGGCGGCGGAAGAAGAGGCTGCGGCAGAGGAGGAAGCGGCGGCGATGGAAGATGATCCAGATTGAGAGAGGGAGGTGGCAGAAGCGGGGGTGGTGGCAGGGGTAGTGGATGTGGCAGGGACAGAGGAGGAGGAGGAGGCTGTCTGTATGTCTGAAGACGAGGGCGGTGTGGATGTGGAGACGGGAGCAGCGGATGTGCTGCTGTCGGGGGTGGAGGATGGAGGGGCGGAAGTGGAGACGATGGATGAGGATGCCGGGGCAGATGAAGCTGGAACGGAACGGGTCGTCAGCGAGACGGACGAGGAGAAGACGGACGAGGAAAGCGGAGGACCAGAGGACGATGCTCGGGCAGAAGAGAAAGAAGAAGAAGAGAAAGTAGAGAAAGAGAGAGAAAACGAAGAGGAGGCACCTGAAGACGCGGCAGGACTGGTCGCGGAGGCCGAGTCCGACATGGTGCACCGGGAAGGAGGGAAAGCAGGCGGGCGACAGGAAGCGGGAAGCGACGGAAGCGACGATCGAGTACTGTAGGACGAGGGAGGAAAGGCGACGGCCACTCGCGGCGCCGTAATCGGCCACACGCGGCAGCCACGCTCCCTCCAGCCTTCCCACGCCCCTTCGTACTCGTACATCCAGGCGCGGTAGTGTCTATGCACAGCACCGCTCCAGCTCAACCGGAATCAAATATATCCACGTCTGTCTGAGATCGACAAGACACCGTCGTCGACGGCCATGCATCGTCTGTAGGCATTCCTGTTGCTTGCCACGCTTATTTCACGCGTACTCGCCTCGCCTCGACGCGCTTCCAGGGTTCATGTCATCTTTCATGGCTCCAGTCAAACTGCCCTGGCGTCGCGAAATGTTTCATTCCAGCACAATACATACATCAACGAGCGACGCTACACCCCAATATGAATGAACGGAACCTGCGCTCAACAGTCAGCCACATTCCACCCGACCTCGCGAATCGCTTACCCAGCGGAACATCTGCGCCCCCGACTGCTGCAGCGCACGCGCCGCCCGATGCACCCCAACGGCCGCGTCAGACGACCGCGCAGGCCGAGCGTCGTCTCGAAACAGGTACTTGTACACCTCCCTCGCCACAACCGGCCCGTCCTCGTCCCCGATAGAATACATCGTCGCCACGATCGACCGGAACCCCGTCACCTGCAGCGCAGCCGCCAGGCTCATCGACTCGTTCCGCGCGACAGATCCCACCGCCGTGTGGCACGCGCTCAGATACGCAAAGTCCGCCTGCGGCAGCCGAGCCTGCATCAGGGCCTCGATGTTCAGTTGCCCGACGTGACCCAGGTGAAACGTGCTCAGCAACGGCTGTCGAGCGTCGACGGTCCCGTGGCAGCAGAGGTGCACCCAGCTGTGCGTCTGGAGGTGACCTAGCACAGCGGCTGCCGAGGCCGCGCTGTCGACGAGCGCGGTCACAGGCAGAGACGCGAACTCTCGAAGAACCTCGATCTCCGTCTTCGCGCAAGGCAGATCACAAAACCCGGCCGTTTCGCTCTGCGCCACGGCCAGTATTCGCGCAGAATCAGCTTCTATGGAGTTCCTTGCACGGAGCAGGGCTGCGAGAGTAGGCGTGTATGATGACACGACGATGTCGGGCAAATTCAAGCACCCGCCTTCATAGGGTCCCGCCGCGTGTATGGGCATGTCTGCCGCCCCAGCCATGCACCAGAACAGACGCTCCGCCATGGCGCCGAGCTTGTGTAGCTCCTCAATCACGGGCTTGGCGATCGTCTTCCAGAGAAGGCGCAAGGTCTTGAGAAGTACAGAGTCCATCGCACGCATGGTGTCCCTTGTAGGATCATCCTCGAGAGACTCTGCAGCGAACGCCAACTCTTCCTGCGCAGATTCGAGCCGTCGAAAGTCGGCGTCGGGCAGAGGGACGTGGCGGATGCCATGAGCGACAGTCAACACGAGCGCATCACAGCGGTCTTCGCACAGGTTCACGACCACGACGGGGCCATCGCGCGCGATCCCCTCCAGGTCCGCAAACCTTGTCAGTCGCATAAAATCGCCGAACCCATCCAGCTTTCTCACTTCAGCGAGCAAGCCCTCGTATCTCTCCGCGAGCTCGCGGTGGTGCCGCTCCGTGCGGTCAGGATCCCTGATGCTGTCGATCGTGGCAAACGTGTATGTCACAGATTGTACCCGCATGATGCCTTCGAGTTCATCGATGGTCGCAGACAGTCGGCCCGCGAGGGCAGGCGAGACCTGGTGCAACTTGTCCATGGACGGCCGAAGGCGTAACGTCTGCTGCCAAACGACGGACCGGCCATGCTCCAGCAGCTCTATAGCATGCTCTAGCTTTCCCTCTTTGATCGCGTGTGCGGCCGCGCGCGAGCTTTCGATTGGGCTCTTCGCGAGAATGTCGTGTCGCGCCTGCACGGACCGCCCCAAGTTCACCGTGCGAAGCTGTTGCTGCAGGCGCGCGTCGAACACGGCACCAACATCAGAGGCGCGATGGTATTTCGTGGCGACGGCCTCCCACGTCCTAGTGTGCCGCAGACAGTGACCGCTCGGAGCAGTCGTCGAGGTTGCCGCCTGAGCGTACATGCGCAGGCACTCATCCAGGTCACTCACGTCTCCTCGCGATTCGTACCTCGCGTATACGACATCGCCCCAGGTGACCATCACGCCCGCCAACCCCGGGTGCATCTCCGGGACCAGCGAAACCGCGAGCTCGGCCCATACCGCCGCCTCGTCGAGCGCGTCCGCGTTGGCTTCTTTTTTCGAGACCTCTAGCAGACACGCAGCAAGACCCGCGGCCCAGAAGGGGTACCGTGGGTGCCGTGTGTCCGTCTCTGCTCCCAACGCGTCTCGACAAAGGCAGATGGCTTCGACGAGATCCCCCTCGGCCTCCTGAAGCTGGTACCGTCTCTTCAACGCATCTCCAAGTCTGAAGAGCGCCTCCGCTCTGTCCGGGTGCGTCTCACGCCGTTCTTCCGCCACGCCTCTAAAGAGCGCAATTGCCGCATTCAGGTCCTCCAGCTTGCCCCCGTCCTCCCACATCACCAAGGCGCACATCCCTTTGGCTGCCACGGAGTCCATCATGTTCTGATCTTCGCCTTTGAAGGCCTCGTGGGTCGCCACAGCAGCACATGCAAGTGTCCAAGCGGCCTTCAAATCCTCCTCGTTCCCATGTACGACGAAGCGCTGTCGGAGAATCGTGCCCTGCAATGCCAGGATCACAGCCAGCAACGGATGGTCCGCACCACAGAGCCTCAGAGCGTCACGACCGACGCCCGCCGCCTTGTCCAGCACCTCGCCGTCCCCGGTAGCATCATGATATGCGACGAGCGCCTTGGAGAACCGCCAAAAGACGATCATCTGGATCATCGGATCATGGATTCCGCTCTCTGCCAGGAACGCGCGGCAGGCCTCGATGGCTAGCAGTATATCTTCTTGTTGTCCCAGACGCCGGAAGCGGGCCTCCAGCGACATGCTCAGCGAATTGTAAAAGGCGAATCGCTCGGGACCCGTGAAGCCTGCGAGACATATCTTGAGCGCGCTCACCGACTGTTCGAGGTCCAACAAAGCGCCAAAGTGCGTGTAGCGCATGTACGAGGCGTGACTGAACGCTGAAAGCGCCCTTCTCAGCGATTCAGAGACAGGCGCAGATAGTCCAGGTCCATAGCCGAACCCGCGGAGCGCCTCCCAACAAAGCCCGACCGCTTGGTCCAATACATCTAGCCTGTTCGTCGCGACTAGCGCCAATGCATGTGCAACGCACGCGCGGGCCCTCTCCTGGCTTCCATGCTCCATTGTAGCGATGTCTCCAAGCGCGAGCGCCGAGCGCCTGAACGCGCGCGCGTAGTCTTCCATCTTATCGGCGGGGTTGCTGAGCGTACGATGCTCGACACGGAATGGGTTTACCCAGAGAAGTTGAGGGAGGACGTGCCGCATCGGCTGGGCGGTGGCATCGAAGGCGAGAGCTGCGGAGTAGAGACTGGAGGTGCGGGACTTATCATGAGGGTCGTCGAACGGGTGTGGTAGTTTTTTACGCGTGAGCTCGGTAAGCTTCCGCACGGTATGCCAGGAGCCCCTGATGAGGCCTTGTGCGGCTTCAGTGAGCCGTGACGCCTCTCGTGCAGCATCCTCCGTCTCGATCATTCTATATTGGCGCACGAGCTCGTTCAAGACCTTCAATCGGCTACTCACTCCGATACCTAAGCCCGTCAGCCTCTCAGCCTCCTTGACCACCTTGATCCGGTCCCTCGCAGATGAACCCCGCTCCCTCATCGCGGTTTCGAGCGTCATCAGTCGTTCGGGGCAGTTTACGTGCGTGGTTGGGGCAAGGGTGGTCATCCTGCAATGTAGTTTCAGCCACGTGTCGATGTCGGGCAAGAAGGAGCCTGTCTCGTTCAGATGTGTCTCCATCGTGCTCAGCACCGCACAGTCCAACCCTGCCTCGCGCTGCCTTATTTCCTCTGCGAGCTGCTTTGCCTCTTGGAGGTGCTCCGGCCGCGAGCTGCGGTCATACATCATCAACAGAACACTCGCAAGGGAGGTGATAAGGTGTTTGTCGGCATGGGAAAGCACGAGCGCCTGTCGCATCAACGATGCACGCTCCTCCAATGCCAACGTGAGATACCACAGGTCCGAACACTGACACAGGGCCTCGAGGGCACGAAGGAGGCCGGCAAGGTCTTCTCCCTCGCGAACGTAATGTCGTGTGTGAAGAACATCACGATAGACGGAGACCTTCTCCTCCAAGACGCTGAGTGAAGGAGGAGAGGCGCAAAGGAAGCCCAAAAGCTTCGCCGCGGCGAGGCGGTGGTTGAGTGAGAGGGCTGGTGAACAGTAGAAGATCTCGCGCGTGAGCGCTGTGAATATTTCTTGTCTGTTCTTCGCGACAGCTGACATCGACTTGCCAAGGCCGCTGTCTTGGTCGCTTTGCTCTTCCAGCACTTCCAATGTGCGCCAGATCTCTCTATGACATTCGCTGTGCGCTCTCAAGTCCGTCAAAGCATCGTCGCGATGGCTGGACACCCATGAAAATATATCCGTGCTCTCCAAATTCGATACGAGCTTCTGTTTGAGTTGGATGACAGCGTCGCAAGGACCGATGGGTCGGTTCTGTGCATCGTGAGGTTGTCAAAAGAATAGGCAGTGTGTTCAAAACATACTCACTGGGGGTGCCGTTTCGATGTCCTTGTCTTGTCCGCTGCGGTCACTCGGCGTGATCTGATCCGCTGTAAACAGTGCGTTATGCTCTGGCGGCCACATGACTCCCTTCCTGTGAGCTACCGACTTACCTCTCTCATTGTCAGATCTCTCGATAACGTCTGCTCCCATTGTACGCAGCTCCTCCTCCTCGCGGCGCTGCTGATTTTGCATTACTGCAAAGAGCATCTGTAGCATTACCTATGGCATCTAAAGTGAATCGAAAGTCAGCTATCGGTAAAAGGCTGTGCATACCTGTGCGCGGAAACTGCGTCCATCGTCGTCGGGCTCGTCGTCCATAGTCCTGTAGCCTCCAAGCTAGTTAGTTTATGAGTTAACTATCTCACTCGATGTGGAATGTCCTCTCGGTCACTGAGGAGCGACTGGTCGTAGGGCGTTGAGAGGAAGATATCAACCATTGATGAGCGCCCGTCGTTGGCTAGAGACACGATCAAGCTGTACAGAAAGCGCAGTCATTGTACGGCACTTCTTATCGTACCGCTAGAGATAACGAGAAACCGACGGAGCGGGGGAACTTGTGAGGCTGCAAGAGGTGGAAATTATCAGTGAGAGTGCCCTGCATGAGGGGAGTTACGTGACGTCACTTGGTCGACGCAAGTTTTGCGCTGTCTTTGCCACCTTTGCTTCTCACACGCTCGTCGTCCTCCATGGCGGAGGAGTTATCGGCCAGGTAGAAGGCATAAACGGTGGTTGGGGGGCGTGCGGAGCACTCACCTCGATCAGAACACGGACCATGTCTTTCGAAGCAGCCCAACTGACGCCCAGTTCCTGTCCTGTCCATGACTCGTCGGCGCTCCGTCTGCGGGCGTTGGGCAGGATGCCGGAGGCCACGCGGAGGAAGTGTGTACTAGCGGGACAGAGGATGCCGCAATCGTCTGTATGTATGTGTGTCCTTGCCGGTCCCACGGCCTTGCCCATAGTCCTCGCATCATGTTCAGCCGTTCTTTGCCCTCTACAACCATGCACTTATCATATTCTCTGTACAACCTCTTCTACAGCGCATTCCACTTCCGCTTCCTCTGGCGTTCAAACAACTCTTTCCCCAACGACCCTGCCTACTTCCCTGATTGCCCACAAGGTATCAAGCGTCATGTGCTCAACTGGGCGCAGCTTGTCTCTGCAGATACCATTCCCTACGACCGCCCGTACATCGCCAAAATTAAGCACTGTAAGCGGGAGCGCGGTGTCTGGCACGAATTCCTTATCATCGAGTTTATCTACCCCATTTCAGCCAGTGCCACCCGCATCGTTCCCGTCATCGTTGAGCGTACAATCGAGACCGGCCAGATCCCCCATGAGATGATCCGCCCAGGGGTCGTCGACCTTTCCGCTCAGACTGGCCAAATGAATGTCAAGTCTGAGCCCGCCTTGTCCCACAAATCGTCCTACACCTCGGTCGACTCGTCCATGACCTCTTCTACCTACGCCAACATCGAATCCTCCTCGATACCCCCTATGGGGGCGCCCGCGCTCGACTACATCTACGTCCCGAAAAATGGTGCGTCTATCAACAGCATCGACAAAAAAATAGGCGGCCCGTACCAGGTCTGCCGCGAGCTCACGTTCACCTCACGCGTGACGGATTATAACCTTGCCGCCCTGCTGGTTGCGGTGCATGAGCACTCGCCTATTTACAACATTGTCTCTCGACAATGTTACTGGTATGCGGCCGTCATCTACGACGTCTTCTGCGCCCGCTTCGGTGGCAGATCAGTTGATCATCCACTCCGTGGCCCTCTCCGTGCCGGGCGCTTCCTCACAATTTTCACCATCCAGCCCAAAGACCCACCGCTGGAGTACATTCTGCCACGTTACGATTACCATTTCACGAAAATTGTGGAAAAGGCGAGGACTAATCCGAATACTGTGAGGTTACAGGCAGCGGAAGCAAGGGCGAGGGAGGAGGCAGCGGCGAGGGTACAGGCCGACGCGAGGGCGAGGGAGGCAGTGGCGAGGATACAGGCGGCGAGGGAGGAGGCAGCGGCGAGGGCACAGGCCGACGCGAGGGCGAGGGAGGACGCAGCGGCGAGGAGGAGGTTAGAGGATGAGATTGCCTTCCTCCGACAGCAGCTGGCGGCGCAGGGCAGCCATGCTGGCCTATCCCATGGGGCAAGATAGACTCTATTGGTTTGTTTCCGATCTCTGTTCCGCGTCTGTTTTGGTTCGAGTGCTTTCGATGCTTTCGGTGCTTTCAGTGCATGTACCCGTTCTGTACGCATAGTCTTTCTCTCATAACATGCGATGTTTTCCGCGGTCCCACATCACCGGCGATCAAGTGGAAGGACCTCTTCCGCCCTCAACACCACGACTGCTCGTTCTCTTTCCGCCTGCACCTTCTCGTCCTCGTCAATGGACATCTCACACCCACACCCACACCCATGACCATCCATGGTCTCCGCGGGCACGGACTCGAGGACGAGGCCATCGACGAGGGATAGAGGTATGTTGTTGTCTCTCACTCCAGTCCACAGACGTACTTCTCGTATTTGACCTGTCTGCCCTACCCTTCTGATTCTACGACCCCTCGCCCATGCCCTGTCTGTGCCAACGTCGACATCCCCTGCTAGCCTGCAAGCCTGAGACTTTCCGACAGGCCATCGTCCACATCCTCTTCTTCCTACGGGACGATCGGTCGCAAAACCAGCACTTCGAACCTTTCATTGTGAGTTACCTTTTGTTCCTTTTACTTCTCGATACCCGTTTCCTTCGCGCTCTCTTTCTTTTGCACTCTCAGTGATGCAAGCGGACGACAGGCCTCCGCCGAGGCCCTGAGAAAGCTTGCATCTTCAAAAGCCCTGTTATCTGCTGCCTTGACTTTCTATCTACTGTATTTTTTTGATTTAGCTTGCAAATTTTCCGTAGACACTCACATTGTTGAAAACCGACACCACGCCCGCCCGCCCACTCGCTCGACCTCCCGAGCGTCGATTCCGCCCTCGCGCCCGCACACCGGGCTTGACGCACTCTGCGCGCACGCCCCCGCCCTCGCCTGGGACCCAAATCCGCATGCGCGCGTCCCCTCGTTCCCTCGAGTCCACGCCCACTGCCCACCCAGTGCCCGACCGCCTTGGCCGTTGACGTGTATGCTCCCGCCGCCAAGCCTATGCGCGCACGCACGTCTCCTCGACACCACGGAAGATCCCCTCGTTCTCCATCCCTCGTCTAGCGCCACTGGTGACTGTCCCTACACCGTCGCCGAACCTCCAACCCCCCGCTTCCGCTGCACTTGCGCTCCGCGCCCGCGCACAGAGCGTCGCGAATATCACAGCACGTCGAGAGGAGGCCGAGGAGCCGCTGACGGCGAAGAGTGAGCTAGGAAGGAGGAAGGAGGCCGAGCGTTACCGAGGTCCGTACTTCCCTCTCTCACCCTTTCCTTCTGCCCCTTGCCCGCCGCCGAGTGCCCTCGACCCACTGGAGTTCTTGAGCTCTGTTAGAAGTTAGCCCATCAGCACTGTACTTACGATACGGTATTTTCCGGATTTCGTTACTTATGTGACCGTACCGTTACCGTGACACCTCAGCGTCTTCTGTTCATACGCTGAGGTGAGTATCCTGCGCGCTCTGGTAGCCTTATTGTATCCTAACGTATCATCCTAGGATTATCGTGCAGGTACATAAATACATACACAGCGTCTTCTGTTCATACGCTGAGGATTATCGTGCAGACTTCTGACAGGTTATGGGCCCTGCATTTGCCTAATGAATCCCCAGAAGCACGCTCACTGATCTTACAAGATCTTCCCACATCGAAGCTGATCCAAGATGGCCACAACTACGAACTCAGTCATCCCCATCGAGCCAAAGTTGAAGGACCGAAAGAGTTACGGTCTTTGGGCTTTTAAGATGGAGAGAGTACTAGAGGCACGCGGAATTTGGAACGTCGTTGGTGGCGATACCGTCACGACGCCATCTACCGACGACCCAGCCTTACCATCGTGGAAGGAGAGAGATGCGAAGGCGAGGGCGCAGATCGCTCTCTACGTCGAGGATGCACTGGTAATTTCAATCATGAAGGCAAAGTCGGCGCACTTGATGTGGGAGATTCTCCGCACGCTCTTCGCCGAGCAGAATTCCCTCAATCAGTCACTGGTCGAATCACAGTTCTACTCAGTCCGTATGTCCCCCGGCCAGGACGTGAAGCTCCACCTGGACCTACTACAGGACCTCTACAACGAAGCCGTCGCCGTCGGCTCCCCACTCGAGGACAAAATCCTCGTTCACCGGATTATCACCTCCCTTACCTCCGATTACGACTCCCTCATCAGTTCCATCACCGACACGTCCAAGGTCACGTCCGAGCAATTGATCGCTCGTATCATGCTGGAAGACCAACGCCGCCGAGTCCGCGATGGCACCGAAGCAAACAGCGGCAACGTCGCCCTGCGGATGGGCGATAACGTACGTGGAAGAGGGAGAGACAGGGGAAAAGGATACGGAAAGCATCGCGGCGGGGGCCGAGGCAAAAGTAAAGGCGGCAGCAGCGGGAGACAAGTCGAGTGCTACAACTGCCACCAGCTAGGGCATTACGCACGCGACTGCCCCACAGGCAGCAGTAGGGGAAGACCTGTAAACAAAGACCAGTCAAATCTAGCAAGCGAGCGCGAAGCGTCGCTCTTTAACTTCTCTTTGCCGCCCGAACAAGCCCTCACGACGAACGCCAAGCCAAACACCTGGGTCGTTGACTCGGGATCATCATCCCATGTTGCAAAGCGGGAGGAGATGTTCGCCGAATACTCGCCAGGCGAGCGCACGATTGAAACGGCCAAGAAGGGCCACACAATGCGCGCTGCCGGCACAGGCTCCGTCACCATTTCGACTGGGCAAGCCAGCAAGCGGGTAGACTCGGTGCGGCTGCGTAATGTGCTGCACACGCCCGACGCGACAGAGAATCTACTTAGCGTGAGCAAGCTCGACCGCGCCGGGGGATCAGCTGTTTTCGGAGGGGGCAAAGTCGTCCTGCTGAACAAGGATCACAAACGAATCGGATCCGGGTCTCTCGTCGGAAGTCTCTATTACCTGGATACGATCGGCCGCCCAACGACAAACGATCAGCCTCCTACACCACCACCCATCACCCCCGAGACCGCTTTCGCCGCCACCTCACTAACGCGAGCCTTATGGCACCGGCGTTACGGCCACCTAGGGCAAGGGAACGTGGACCTTGTCATTTCGAAGGGTCTCGTCGACGGGATCAAGCTCACATCAAATGAAAAGGCGCCGACGTGTGAGGACTGCGTCTACGGAAAGCAACACCGTAAGCCTTTCCCGAAGCAGGCAGACCACCGGGCAAACAACTTACTGGAATTGGTCCACACGGACGTATGTGGCCCAATGGACAAGAACGGGATCGGGGGCGAGCGGTACTTTGTCACCTTTACCGACGACAAGGCCCGTTTCTCCACCGAATACCACATGCGGCAGAAGAGCGAGGTGCTCGACCGCATGAAGCAGTTTAAGGCCATGGCGGAGAAGCAGACCGGCCAGCCGTGGAAACGCATCCGGTGCGACAACGGCACGGAGTACCTCAACAAAGAGGCTCTTGACTGGTTGAAAGCAGCGGGCATCGCCTTGGAGATGACGGCACCATACACCCCGTCGCAGAACGGCGTCGCGGAACGCCTGAACAAAACGATCGTGGAACGCGGCCGCGCAATGATGCACGAAACCGGCCTTCCACGATTCCTGTGGCCGGAGGTGGTGTCAACATCGACCTATTTAAAAAACCTCGGCCTGACCGTCGCACTCGAGGGCAAGACGCCCCACGAGGTATGGACCGGCCGGAAACCGAACGTCAAACACCTTCGCGCATTTGGCTGCAAGGCGCTCGTGAAGATACCTGACGAAAAGCGCCGCAAGTGGGACGTCAAGTCAACCGAGTGCGTGCTGATAGGGTACTACAGTGACGCAGCCTACCGTTGCTACGAGCCGCGGACCCACAGGATCGTGAAGTCGCGCGACGTCGTCTTCTTGGAGGACGACTTGCCGCTGGCGCCGCGGAAGCTGCCCGTGGCCGAGAGGGGGGAGAACGACTTCCATGTTGCCCAGGAGCCGCCCACGGACACTCCCCCACCTCCCAAAGCGAGCCCTGACAACCCTAAAACGAAGTCGCCATCAGCCCAACAACCACCACCACCCGTCCATCCTCCCGACCACCCACCTTCAGAGGGGGCACCAGGAACGCTGAAAACGCGCCCAGGAGCCGCCCAGCAAGCGCCGCCCGAGCCGCCTGAGCTCAGAACGAGCACACAAACAACGGCACCCGCCCAGTTCACTCTGAGAAGGAGTGAAAGGGCACGAGAGCCCTCGTCATTGAGGAAAGCCGCAGACCTGCAGGAGGCGACCAAGCGAGCTCGCAAAGACACGAATAGAGAGGCGAGGGAGCGACGGAAGGACCGGGAAAAGAAACGAGACGAGGCAGCGCGCGACGAGAGGGAGGAGGCAGAGGCAGAGGAAGACGAGGCAGCTGTCGAGCGCTCGTTGTTCACAGCGGCCGTCGAGGCAGCGCTGTTGACGGCGGGTGAGGAGCCCCGCAGCTACCAGGAAGCCATCCGAAGCGCAGAGCGCGACGACTGGCAGAGGGCGATGGAGGAGGAGTACGACGCCTTGTTGAAGAACAAGACGTGGGAACTCGTCGAGCCGGCGAAAGGCCGCAAGCCGATTGGCTCGAAGTGGACCTACAAGGCCAAACAAGACGGGCGCTTCAAAGCCCGACTCGTCGCCCAGGGTTTCACGCAACGCCCCGGCGTCGATTTCCACGATACTCACTCCCCAGTCGCTCGTTTCGAGTCGTTTCGACTTGTTTTCTCACTTGCTGCCAAGGAGAACTGGCTCCTCGAGCAGATTGATGTCAAATCCGCCTACCTTAACGGGAAACTCGATGAAGAGATATTCATGAGGCAACCCGAAGGTTTCCAGGTCCTCGGGAAAGAGGACTGGCTGCTCCGCTTGCTCAAATCTCTCTACGGCCTAAAGCAATCTGGTCGAATCTGGAACAGGATGCTTAACGCCGAGCTCCTGAAGCTCGGATTCACCCGCTGCCGCTCAGACTCCTGCGTCTACCTCCGGGTTTCAAACAAAGGCCGTACCATCATCGTCATTCACGTCGACGACATGATCCTGGCTGCGAGCACAAAGAGGGCGATGACGGAACTCAAGGAAGACTTCTGCGGGCTCCCATTCGAGACCACGGAACTGGGGGAACCGCGCACACTGCTCGGTATGACAGTCTTCCGGAACCGAGACAAGGGCATCATCTCGCTCTCGCAGACGCACTACCTCCGTAACGTCCTGGAGTGTTTTGTGATGATGGACTGCAAGCCCGTCTCGACGCCCATGGACCCTAGCACCCACTTGTCAAACGAGCAGTCACCCCGGCTCTACTCCGCGGAATGGGAAGAGATGCAGAAATATCCGTACGCCGCCCTGGTGGGGGCGTTGATGTATGCGGCGCTCGCTACGCGCCCCGACCTTGCCTACACGGTCAACACTCTGGCACAGTACATGTCAAACCCCGGAATGGAACACTGGCATGCCGCAAAACGTGTCCTGCGGTACGTGAAGGGGACGTTGGACTTAGCTCTGACATATGGGGGAGACGAGAACGACTGGATCCCCGTTGGCTACACGGACGCCGATTTCGCAGAGAGCCGAGATAACCGCCGCTCGATCTCCGGATACGCTTTCTTCCTTGCCGGAGCAGCGATTTCTTGGAGCTCGAAGAAACAACCTACCGTCGCTTACGCGACCGCCGAGGCAGAATACATTGCCATCTCGCACGCCACAAAAGAGGCACTTTGGCTTCGCTCACTGCTCTCGGAACTCGGATTTCCCCAGTCTTCCCCCACCCTTATCCGCTGCGACAACCAGGCTAGTATAGCCATGTCGAAGGACCATGTCTACCACGCTCGAACGAAGCACATTGACATCAAGTACCACATCATCTGAGAGAGGGTCGAGATGGGGGAAATCCGTCTGGAATATGTGCGGACGGACGAGAACGTGGCGGACGTTTTGACGAAGGGTTTAGCAAAAGGAAAGCACGCCTCATTCTCCACTAATCTAGGCCTACTGCCGGGCTAAGGGGGAATGTTAGAAGTTAGCCCATCAGCACTGTACTTACGATACGGTATTTTCCGGATTTCGTTACTTATGTGACCATACCGTTACCGTGACACCTCAGCGTCTTCTGTTCATACGCTGAGGTGAGTATCCTGCGCGCTCTGGTAGCCTTATTGTATCCTAACGTATCATCCTAGGATTATCGTGCAGGTACATAAATACATACACAGCGTCTTCTGTTCATACGCTGAGGATTATCGTGCAGACTTCTGACAAGCTCGCGCACTCGCCCTTGCCTGCGACCCACACTTGCTTACGCGCAACTCCTCCAGCTCATGCACACACGCCCGACTTCTAGTCCACCCCTCCGCTCACTCCTCCCTCGTCCTGCATCATCGCGGACACCGCATACGCGCTCGACCCCGCATCCTCAGATCGTCACTTCACCTCGTCCTCTTGCTGATGTGACCTCTCGACCCTCGCGCACGCTCGAACTCTCGTTCGTCGACCGTCCCGTGCTCGATTGAACCTCATCGGCTCGTGGCTGAGAAAATGGAAGAGGAACGGTGACGGCGGCGGCGGCGGCGGCAGAGAGACAAGCTGGGAAGAGGGATGGGCGCGGACGACGACGACGGGCGCACGCTCGATGAGGATGCCGAGCGGTACAAAGGTGCGTGCCTCTCGCCCTCATCCTTCCCGCCCACCTGTTCCTCAGCGTCCCGTTCCTCAGCGCCCCGTTCCTCAGCGCCCCGTTCCTCGACCCTGCGCATGCACATCCCTTCCGCACGTCCCTTCCCCAGACATGCAGCCTCATCAGCTTTCCTTCTTTCCCCTCTATCCAACTCCGCTGACTCCTGATCGCTCTAGAACACCTCCTTGCGCAAGTCCTCTGGCTTTCAGACACAACCTCCATCCACAGCCCTTCCATCCATCCTACCTCCCGCCCGCACGTCCGATGACCGGTTGCAACCCTCTCGCCTCCTCCATGAGCGCCCTCGCTATCAGTCCCGCTCCACATCCCCTCACCTAGGCCCAAAGCTCCCAGAACGGCAGCCTGCTCTCGTTAACCGCGTCCCTCCCTGCCGTCGCCTCGCCTGCCGCTGCTCTCCCCACAATCCAGACCTCTGCTGTCCAGCCGCCTCCGAGCTCACATGAGCCCACGATACCCTCTCCCTCGTCGATCGCCTCGACACCTCGTTGCGCTCTCTCTCCATTGCCTCAGAGCCCCCGCTCCCGGGTCCCGTCAACATCGCCGATCAGCGCCTCGTCCACCCCGCACACGTCGCCATCCAGCTCATCATCTAGCTTGCCAATCCCCAGCTCCCGCACACCCCGCGCCTTCTCTACGTCACAGAGGCCAACTGCCGCCGCGTCAACCTCGCCGCGTCCGGGTCCTCCCCCAGTTTCCTCCCCGCTCCGCCTCCCACGACTGCGAGCGCACATTCCGCGCAGGCTACGGCTACGAGACCTTCGACGATGCCCCCCGCGTCAACGACTGCTTCGAGTGCGGACTCAAGTATGGTGATGAGAACTTCCTCTATGTGCGTACTTGTCTCTGCCGCTTCGTCCATCCTTGACCCTCCTTTCCTCCGCAGCACATGGGCATGACCGACGCATGGGCCATCGGTCTCCTTGCCATTCTCCTCCTCCAGCGTGCCGCAACCGCAGCGATTATCGGTATCCCCCACCCCGCATCCGTGTATGGCCCCCGCACCTGTTCATGCTCTTGATCCCCATGGGTGATGCCAATGAGGGCGAGGCCTACCGCTGCCTCGAACGCGCCGCCTACTTCAACTTCGTGCCTACACTGTACAAGCTCGGCCACACATAGGAGCTTGCCCAGCTGCCGTTTCCGTTCGATCCCGCCGTCCTCAACGTCACCTAGCTCGCACGGCTTATGCGGGTCCTCCTGGGGCAACGCGAGCTTTGCGCTAGTGTACCCTGAGCCCGAGATGAGCCGGAGCGGGAGGTTACGGGTGGGTATAGGTTACAAAGGTTCTACGTCTCCCGAGAACTGTAGGTGCCGCTTATGTCCTCGGGCACATCCAGCTCGCTCATGCCTCTGCTGCACCCGCTATGTCAAATGTGTACTCATGTTTCCTGTTCTTTTTCTAACTGTTGGCGAAGGTTGTTCCCAACCCCGCTTCAACTGACGATTTCCTCCTCCCCGTTTGCACCTATACCCGCCCTCCTCCACCATTGCCATCCCTCTACGCACCCCTACTCCTGTCGCATGTGCACTCTGTGCCCACATACAGAAGGTATGTACCTCCTGTTTGTATCCTTTCCACCAGCCCTCCCTCGACCTGTGTCCTCTTGATTCCCTTGTCCCCTCAACTCTTCGACCATCAATCCTGCCCTCGAGCCCATAAGCATACGTGCATTCTATTCTGAAAAGCTAGGAAGTTCAGGGTAGGATAGGGGTATGGCAGGGCTAAAGAGGCCATTAAGAGGTAAAGAAGCCATCCATGCCAATATGTGGCTGATATGGTGAGCCTGTCCATAGCTAGATAGGCTTGTTATGTTAGCTATGTATTGGCAGGGCTAAGTTCCAATATGTGCCTGGTTAGGTTATAAGAGGCCATAGGTGAGGGTTTTTGTTGTGAAGGCATGTTATAAGCTCTATATGGACTAGCATAAGAAAAGGGCAGCAGTGCTGCCTGGGTCACTACATAGACTAGTACAAGGAAGAGGGCAGCAGTGCCACCCAGGTTACTACATGGACTAGTACAAGAAAGGGGGCTATATTTATTTAAGGATGGTTGTGCAATAGATCATGATGTGCTTGTCACAATAATTGCATGATTAGCAATGTTTTAGACATGATTTACTATATACTATTACTAAGTAAAGTAAGGTGACAAAGGTTAGTTAAGAGGGTGAGGAGGTTCCAGAACAGATCTCCTTGTTTAGGAATATAGGATAATTTTGTTGGGCACTTTTCAGTGTTTATGCAAGGTAGTTATATGAGGACAATTATGCAATAGTTCATGATATGCTTGTCATGATAATTATGTGATTGGTGACATTTCAGATGTGATTTGCTGCATGCACATTACTAAGTTGAGTCAGAGACAATTTGTTAATAGAGGAGGCACAAGAATATATCTCCTTGTCTAGAGACAGAGAATAATTTTGTTGGACGCTCTTTAGTGTTCATGCAAGGTATTTGTATAAGAATGATCACACAATATTTTGTGATGTGCTTGTTATAATAATTGCATCATTGGTAACATTTCAGGTGCAATATACCATATGCTGTTACTAAGTGGAGTAAGATGATAGCTATCAGTCAAAAGGATAAGGAGGTTCTAGAACAGATCCCTTTGTCTAAGGGTAGAGGATAATTTTTTTGGACACTTTTTAGTGTTTGTATGAGGTATTTATATGATAATGATTGTACAATAGTTTATAATATGCTTGTTGTGATTATTGCATGATTGGTGACATTTTAGGTGTGATTTACTATAAGCATATTACTAAGTCCAATCAGAGATAGGTTTTCAGTTGGCCAAGTTAATAAGTGAGCCACCAACCTCATCTGGAAAAACACCCCCTTGTATTAGCTCTGGATTATATCTAATAGTGTCTAAAAGTATCTAAAAGTGTTAATAGTATCTAAAAGTGTCTAATTTCCTAATTGGGAGCAACATATTGTGAGCATTGGATTGGTTTCTAATTTCATGATATTAGCACTAATTCTATACTAAGAAGTCTTTAATTATTAGTAGGAAATAGTAAGTACTACTGCTCTATCAGTGAGAAGGTAAAGATGTGGCACATTCTATACTATTTTAGCACATTACCTCTCCTTCATATATGCCTATACCATTATCTTGTAGCTCTTTTGCTGACTTTCCAGCTGCTTTTATAAGGGATATAGAAAGAGAGAAATGTGCATTGATGCCCCCAGCCACTTTGTTGACAGCTTGGCAGCTGTCACAAGAGGCTATAAAGACCTAGGTACCTTGTCCTTGCACACAAGATCATTAAAGTTGTCATTGTTAGCCAATGCCTGCTACCGGTCATTAAAGAACACAACATGTGGGTTGGACTTAGGGATATGCTATATGCAGCCTTATAGACCTTGTCTATCAGTATAGTGGCTAATACTGTCTTGTGCAGCATACAATCATCATCACTATTGATATTATAATTTTTAGCACTATTTATATTGTTTATTGCCTTGTTATACAGAAGATGCTCAAACTTGGTGTTTTCTTCTAGCTATTAGGTTGTGGAAAAGACAGTCATATTAGTATGTGGTGCCAGAATAATATATTTGCCTACCATATAGGAAATATATGCATTAAGCATATTAAGATCACCTCCAACAATCTTGTGCTTATTTATATATAGGCATGCCATACATATACCCTTGTCCCCACCCTCTACCTCATTAGTGGCTATCTGGAAAATCCCTCTCTCTTATTGGGTCTTAATTATTGATAATCATGTTTTTAATCAAATTTGCAAATTTAGATAGCATTGTCTATACTAGTAGAGTCCCATTGAATATTACACTCAATCATAATTTTACACATTCTCAGTCTAAATTGTGTAAGTGCCATAATTTATTTTTATCCTATATAAAGTGTATTATTTGTTTTTCATTGGTTTATTATCTTCTTAGCTGGTGTTCAAACTAAATCCTGAAAGACCTGACTTTTTAGGTATTTATTGACCTATTTATTTATAAGATAGAGGAAAGATACATGTTGAATAAGTTCAGAGATGTTGAGGTTGCCTATATTATGTCTACTTATTTAGATTACCAAGTTCATATCTTAGACCTTGTGGCTTAGTGGCTTAGAGCATCTGTCCTGGGTACTTGTATATATGAGGTTATTGGTTTAACTCTGGCAAAAGGCAAGTTTGTTATAAGGTATATTCTGTGTTTAGGTATTTAACTAGTGCTTTAATAGACATAACTCTATAAGAAGGCTATAAAAACTATGATGCTTGATTTATTATTATTATTCCAAAATTCCAAGTTATAATCAATCCTAATAATTCTTAATTTAGAAAAATTATGTCTAATTAGAACAAATTTAGAAGGGGGGTAAGCTAAAAATGTCTAATCCTAATCTTTCATAATTCAGTATAGTAGGGCATCAATTATAGCTAATTAGAGCTTAATACAAGAGGGTGGTTTTCCAGATATATGCTCTTGGAACTAGAATCTTGCACTATCTGTCCTGCTTGTCCCACTCTGTTACTCTTTCTACTTGTCCTGCTCATCCTGCTTGTCCTGCTTATTCTGCTCCTCCCACACCTCTTATCTCATTAGGAAAACCTCCTCTTTGTATTAGCTCTGGATTATATCTAATAATGTCTAAAGGTATCTAAAAGTGTTAATAGAATCTAAAAGTGTCTAATTTCCTAATTGGGAGTAACATATTATAAGCATTGGATTGGATTTTAATATTAGGAACCACCTCTTTTTATAGCTGAAAAGATAGTTTCTAATTTCATAATATTAGCACTAATTCCATACCAAGAAGTCTTTAATTAGCAGCAGGAAATAGTAAGTACTACTACTCTATTAGCAAGAAGGTAAGGATATGGCATATTCTATGCTGCTTCATTATATTACTCTTCTTTATATATGCCTACTATTATCTTGTAGCTCTTTTGATAACTTTCCAGCTATCTTTACAAGAGACATAAAAAGAGAGTGTAATATATTGATGCCTCCAGCCACTTTGTTGGTGGCTTGGCAGCTACTATAAAAGGCTATAAAGACCTTGGTACCTTGACCTTGCATATAAGATTACACTATGTGCACCATGGGTTTTTCTTAGGATAAACCATGGATAAAACCATAGATATGGATAAAGCTTTTGTTCTAGTTTATCTACTGAAACAAAAGCTTAAGGTTTACCCAATATTTTATCACACCCTATAATAAAACACCGAACAAACCTTAAGTTTTCCTTTTAGTAGTTTCCACAAACAAACCCAAGCAAAATTTCTATTTACATTCGTGGGTTTATCCATAGTTTATCCCAGGAAAAACCCTGTGATACATGCAGTGTCATTGAAGTTGTTATTGTTAGCTAATGCCCATTGCTAGTCAATATAGGATACAACATGTAGGTTAGGCTTAGGGACATGCTATATGTAGCCTTATAGACCTTGTCTATCAGTGCAATAGTTAATACTGTCTTGTGTGGCACACAATTATTATTGTCATTAATGTTATAATCTTTAGTGCTATCTATATTGTCTATCACCTTGTTATGTAAAAGATGCTCAAATTCAGTATCTTCTTCTAGCTATTGGCATTAGGGAAAAGCTCTATATTAAATTAACCATAGTTAAGAATAAATATAGCTATATTTTTACCAATTACCATTGAGGATTTTTAGCTTACCCCCTCTCTAATCCTGATATTATAAGATTTAATTAGAGCTAATTAAAGCTAATTTATTATATGGATTTTTGGAAAAATATCAACCAACCCAGTTCTATGCTTTCTCTACTATTACTACACCTCCAATCATAGATTATGTATAGAGCTTACTAATCAAATTCAAGTCATACCTTATTATAAACTTGCCCATCACCATATCTGAAAAAACCTTTTCTCTTAATTAGATCTAATTATTCAAAATACTAATCTCAGCTAATCAGAATATATTATCCATAATCAACTTTATAATCAAATCTGCAAGTAAAGATAACATTGCCTGTACTACTATAGTCCCATTGGAATCTACAATCCAATTACAATTTACATATTCCAAATCCAAATTGTGTAAGTGCTACAATCTTATTTTTACTGTATTCATTATTTTCTATTAGTTTACTATATCATTACCTAGTGTCTCAATTCAAATGTCAAAAGCCCTGATTTTTAGGGTATTTATTGACCCTTTTATATATAAAATAGATAAAAGATAAATATGTAAGAAAATCAGAAATATTGAGATTGCCTTGTTTATATGAATATATTTAGGTTACTAGATAAATAATTTAGACCTTGTGGCTTAGTGGTTTAGAGCACTAGTCTAGGGTGTACAGGCATGAGGTTATTGGTTCAATCCCAGTGATGGGCAAGTTTATAATAAGATATAACTTTAGTTTAATTAGTAAGCTCTATACATACTCTATAATTGGAGGTATAGTAGTAATAGAGAAAGCATAGAACTGGGTTGGTTGATATTTTTCCAAAAATCCATGTAATCAATTCGCTTTAATTAGCTCTAATTAGATCTTATAATTTCAGGATTAGAGAAGGAGTAAGCTAAAAGTCCTTAATAGTAATTGGTAAAATATAGCTATATTTATGCTTAACAATGGTTAATTTAATATGGAGCTTTTCCTTAATATGAAATTGAACCAATAACCTCATGCTTATATACCCTGGACTAGTGCTCTAAACTACTAAGCCTCAAGATCTAAATTATTTACCTAGTAACCTAAATATGTTGATATAAATACATCAGAGAAAAGCTCCATATTAAATTAACCATAGTTAAGCATAAATATAGCTATATTTTACCAATTACTATTAAGGATTTTTAGCTAACCCTCCCTCTAATCCTGAAATTATAAGATCTAATTAGAGCTAATTAAAGCTAATTTATTATATGGATTTTTAGAAAAATATCAACTAGCCCATGTCTATGCTTTCGCTACTACTATGATACCTTCAATCATAGAGTATCTATAGAGCTTACTAATCAAACTAAAGTCACATCTTATAGTAAACTTGCCTATTACTAGAATTGAACCAACAACCTCATACCTGCACACCCCAGACTAGTGCTCTAAACCACTAAGCCACAAGGTCTAAACTATTTACCTGATAATCTAAATATATTAATATGAATAAGGCAATCTCAATATTTCTGATTTTCTTACACATTTATCTTTTATCTATTCTATATATAAAAGGGTCAATAAATACCCTAAAAATCAGGGCTTTTAATATTTGAATTTAGACACTAGACAATAATATAGTAAACCAATAAAAAATAAAGAATACAGTAAAAATAAAATTGTAGCACTTATATAATTTGTATTTGGGATATGTAAAATTATAATTAGGTTGTATATTTCAATGGGATTGTAATAATATAGACAATGTCCTCTGAATTGCAAATTTGGCCATAAAGTTGATTATGGATAATATATTCTAATTAGCTTAGATTAGTATTTTGAATAATTAGATCTAATTAAGAGAGGAGGTTTTTCTAGATAATTGTACCTCACTCAATAGATTATGTCAAATGACACCTAATGATATTCTGTAAAATACATGTAACATTGAATAGTATCATATGGGAATGGGGCAGGTTATGTGTATCCACCAGTAGTCAACAACATTCCAACATATTGCCAATCTCTAGACTAGGAATGCATGTGCTTGATCGTGGATAGTTGTGAGCAAATATATCACTCTCATTCACCCACATCTATTCTGAATCTTGGGCATTCTCACTGGAAATGAGCAGCAAGTGGGCGGGCCACTCCCCTTTCTTTTCCCTCATGCTCCTCATACAAAACTGAGTTGTTTTACATTTAATCTACAGTTGAATGTCTGTCTGCTATGACCTACAGTAATACATGAAAGTGGCAATGTCCAGAAAGAACAATCAATGATCTAGACTCTTTTACATATGGTGGGCTCTATGATCAATAAAGTTTAAATAGGACATGTTTGTAAATTTAGACGTCTGCAGAGTTGTATGGGTGCGATATTCCGTTTCCGGATGGTGAGAGATGCAAATCCTGCATCCTGATTTGACCAATGCGATCCAGCACCACCTTCGACGAGTCTGTAGCAAGATGTGGGTTGTTCGAGGACATGATACCAAATACTGTTGGGGAAATGGACGGCCCCGAGTCAGATGTGAATGATAAAACCATTGAATGACCCTGCGGCAGCCGAATCGGGTGGTGCTCGTTAAATCGGATGGTGGACATTATGGTTGATGGGTCCTTGTTATAGTTGACATCTGCCCAACGCTCTTCTGCAGCCCAGACTGTCGCAAAAACCAGCCCGATGACATTAACATGGAAGTTGGCCTCGTTGATGCAGATGGCCAGAAGATAGTAGTTCGGCTTCGCCATGTATATGACGAGCTGAATGATTCCAAGCATGACGGGGAAAACAAAATTGGCCACAGAGATCCAAAACAGCGTAGTGATTCGTTGCGATACGGTTTCTGCCAAATGTTAGCATGCAGAAGACACAATGTTTCATAAACACTCACGAGGTTTACTAGACATGCCGTGGCGATAAATTCGAGACAGAAAGATAAGCGAAACATACCTGTATTGCGGGTCATGGTTAGCGGGTATTACATGTCATGAACTTCTGACCTACTAACAAGTTGTCGAAGACCTGAAGAAACCACTCGATCTTGACGCAGGGCAGATGTGATCTAATCAAGATAGATGCAGACCCGAGCTCTGTAGTGGTGTGAACACTATGGGCATAGCTGTTAATGTATATTATGGAATTGATGAATCTGGCGACACTGATGAGGATCGGAATGACCATGACGAAAAATAAATGAATGTGTGGTGTTGTGCGCGGCGGAAAGACGCTGTAGATCCTCAAGAGCAGGATGGAGTCCACAAGAGTAGGTCCAATCCCAATCAGAACGCTCATTGCCATCATGATCTGTGGGCTCCCGGAAATGATAGGATGTTTCAGAATACGAATCTGATTCATTATGAGCACAGCAGAGTAACATGAGACAGACAGATCGCAACGAAACTCACCTCTGCGCAAATATTGACGATAGCGACAGTGATGCCAAGGAGGAGGGCAACGACGTTGAGTATAAATAGCGGCTTTCGCCTGAGAGTCGCTGTTGAAAAGAAGAGGAGGGCCAAGAGCATTGCGATCGTGACAGCACCCATGGTGGCACTAATCATAAGAAATACAACTGCAGAATCTATGACCGCAAGCCAATTTGTGCCTGGTGGAGGCAACAGGTTAGCCGGTAGTTGGCTGGTCATGTTCGAAGTGAAAGACATCGATGAGGTGGAAGTCTGGAACAGAGAAGAGGACATACCAGCGCCCGGCACTTTATAGCTAGCACGGCACTGCCCCATCAATCATGGTTTTGACAGTCTCATCTGAATCGCCTCCATTCCCAACAAAAAATTACTCTCTTGGTGTGACATGAAAGGTAAAACATTTGTTGTAGAAGATGCCTGGGTAACAATGATATATATACTTCACGCGCCGGCTTGCAATTGCCAGGCTTCTGCAGTGCACCTTCGAATCAACAGAGAGATGAACATGAAAATCTCCGCCGGCGACCAGTACGCCTTCATATCCAGAGGTTCAGGATTGAGGTCAATATGTCCAGCTCTGATGTAGGTAATGTCGAGACAATCTTCACGACTTCGCCTCATTCCTTATCAATCACGCGCACTCACAGTCAGCGCTCTGATCAGAAATTGTACGGCTTCATCGAATACCGCTCCAAACTTCCCTGCCTGGTCTGCGCCCTCCTGATAATCGAACGAATGCTCCGCGCCTTGTACGATCCTCAACTCGACATTAACGCCCGCAGCGTCAAGCAATCTAAACATATTGCGCGAGTCAGCAATGGGAACCGCGCTGTCGAGCTCGCCGTGCACAAGGTACGTCGGCGGCCAGCCTTCCGCTACCAGGAGCTCTGGAAAGACTGGTCGCAGCTCTGGCGGCACAGATGCCGTGAGGACGTCCGTATCCTCCATAGCAGATCTAAGCGCCGCACTAAGAGAAGGCTCGTGCGCGCCCGTCCAGTAGTCGAGGAACGTGCCCTGTTGGAGATACAGCCTGCCGAGCAGCATCCGACAATTTGCGGGGTATCCTGGGGTCGCAGCGTCCGGTGGGTGATACGCGAGTTCCGACCCAGCGGAGGGATCGAGGGATGCGCTGTCAGGGTATATAAATGGAGAAAACATGTTGGCATGAATGTCGAGGAGTTCGCGATTACGGAAGAAAGGTGTGAGTTTGGGTGTGAGGTAATGTGGCGTCTGGTGCGTTGAGAAGACAATGAAGTGTGTGAAAATGGCTCGAGGTCCAATGACGCACCATGAATGACCCCCCTAGACCGTACATTGAAAGAACGGCTATAGGTTTGGGAGCTGCGTGAGCAGCGGCCAAGTACGCGCATAGCCCTCCAGCACTTGATCCGGCAACTGCAATACGAGTGGGGTCTATTCGAAGCAACAAAGTTTCGTCCTGAAGTCGTGGGTTGAGCGAGGTTCGGAGAAATTCGAACAGGACGACGATATCAGAGACGATGTCATGTCCGTTCGAGGGGGGCATGAGCCTGTAGTCAGCAGATATGAAAGCGACACCGGCCGAAGCCAGACGCACTTTCGGCGCATACACAGCAGCCATCAGAATCACCCTCAACGGCAGTCCGCGGCAGTAGACTAGGACGCACAGTGGAGCCAAATTGGAAACCAGCTCTTCCGCGTTCCAACGGTCATTCCACCTCCATGGAAGTATACTACTACGGGAACGTCGTGAATGACAGTATGATGGCTGATTTGTTGGATCTGTACAAATTCATGCTTTGGTTTTGAGGGCAGAATCGGCAAGTAAAGATTGAAAGAAATATCGACACCGTCAACCTGCTTGTACACGTAGGTCCTAGGTGACATTGAATCAAAGGCGGCCAGCACTAAAAAATTGCGAAGAGTTGCACAGATTTAAGAGGTATCCGAAGTCGAGGATGGTGGTGAACGATGGTGGATGTCTGATATTGATCGACACGACCAGAGGAAAGATGGATTGGATGAAGAACCGCTTCTGGCTCGATGCGTGATCATCGCGGTCACGTTCAGCAAAATTAGGCGTTCTCCGCTGTGCACAACTTTCATTCGACTGTGCGCACGCCCTTTGTCGCGGTTTTCGCTCAAGACATGTATTTGACAGAACTAGGCTTCGAAGTATCGCACAATATCAGAGCTACAGATGCACCACCGTGAGTCAAATCGCATCGAGTCGTGTAAACTCCTAATCGGAGGCTCAGAATTCCTCAGGCATCCGAATGGGCGCGAAAGTACACCCCGACCCCATCGCGGCCGCTGCTTGACATGTCACAGGGAGTCCCCGGAATTCCTCCACCGCTTGAGTTCTTCGATGCCTTAGTTGGTGCATCGCAGTCGCCTGAGAGTGTCAAATATGGATCCATCGCGGGCGACTTCGGGCTCCGCTCCGCTCTGGTTGGCGAGATGAAAGGCGTGTATGGAGAGCACATCGATGTCGATGCGAATGATATCTCTCTGACGGCAGGGTGTAATATGGCATTTCTTGCGACTATCATGGCGGTTTGTGATTCAGGAGACGAGGTCATCCTTCCCGTACCTTGGTATGTACCTCTTCTTCGCAAATTGCCTCGAGGTTCAATGCAAAAGTCTGTAGGTACTTCAACCACCAGTAAGTCAAAATCTCTCTCTCTGCGCTATTCTGTAACATCGCTCTACCGGCGGATAGAATGAGCTTGACCATGCTGGGCATCAAGCCCATCCCGCTGCACTCCTTCCCTGAAGACGGATTCATCCCCTCTGTGGAACGATGCTCGAGACTCATCACCGAACGCACGAAAGCCATCGCGCTAGTAACACCGAACAACCCTGTCCGTAACTCTGCCTCTGCATATCGAAATATCACTTCACAGTTCTCTTCAAAATAGACTGGCGCAATATATCCGCCGTCTATCCTCCTTTCTTTCACCCTCCTCGCCCAAAAGCACCGCCTCCCTCTCATTCTCGACGAGACCTACCGCGACTTCATCACTACGGGCCCACCGCACGCCCTCTTCACCGACCTACCTCTTCTCTCCTCCCCCAACTCCTGGTCCTGGCGCACAAACATAATTCACCTCTTCTCGTTCTCCAAGAGCTACTGCATTCCAGGACACCGCCTCGGCGCCGTCGTCGCCGCGCCCGCGCTGCAGCGCCACATCCGCACCGTCCTCGACTCGATGCAGATCTGCCCCCCACGTTCTGTGCAACTGGCACTAGCACCGCTCCTCCCGTCCTTCCGCCCGTTCATACGCACGATGGCGAGTGAGCTCGAGGCGCGGCATGCGCTGTTCAGGGCCTTGTTACCGGGGGAATGGCGCGTCGGCGCGCAGGGGGGCTATTTCGCGTTTGTGCGGCACCCGTTTTCCGGCGTGAGCGCGAAGACGGTGTGTCGGGTCTTGGCGGAGGAGTGGGGAGTCGTGTTCCTGCCTGCTGAGTTCTTTGGGTACGGAGGAAGCGCGGATGCGGAGGAGGGCAGGTGGATGCGCGTTGCGGTCGCGAACGTAAGCGATGAGGCGGTGAGGATGGCGTGTCAAAGACTGAAAGAGCATTTGGGCGCGACGCAGTGGACGATTGATTGATGGGGTCACATGTATAATACTCGCTTGCATTCGCCGAGAGATGGCTATGGAACTGTCGTGGTTAGTATCTCATCGATATTTATCTCATGATATCTAGAACTACATATGCTATCAATCATACGCGGAAATGGTGAATCCCTGATCCTGATACAGCTTGAGAGGTGTGCAGCGCTGATTTTACCCTCCAGAGGTCTAGAAAGGGTGCACTACATGACATCAAACGTCTCCGAAACTGCTGTGAAACGTTGGAGCAAGAAAGGATAATGAGAACAACCGTGCAGCTATCTTTTGATTTTTGAGGTCAGATGTGATGCGGTTTTGGTAGTATATGCCAGACTGGTAGACCTAGAATATACACCGAGAGGAGGTGTGTTGCTGTGACATTTTTTCGGAGCAATTCCAGAGGTTCCGGCTATCTCCGGTCCGGATCATCCTGGTGACTTCGTGGCGACTTTTTCTGTTAGACGTTCGCGTCAGCCTCCACGGCCATCCCCTTCGTTCTCCTTTGCTTCTTTTCCCGTCTAGTATCTACACCTCTCTTACCATCAAGCATTTGGTGTTTGGGATTCTAGTATTCAGTGAGTTACACATATTCTAGTTGAGCTCTGGATGTCACGTTTCGTATACAGACCCGGATCAATGTTTACTTTTGACCCAAACAGATTGAGGCTTTCGGCTCATAAGGCTCTCAAGGCCCCCTCCGATATTCCATATTCAATATTTTCAAAGCCTATAAGAACACTGGACGATTGCTTAAGATCATAACCTTTCTCCTGGTTGCCTTTAATTGCTTGGCGCAATGCGGGGAGTGTCCTGTCCATGCGACAACTCACTCGTGATATTGCTTTCAACGCCTCCACGACTCTGACATTAGGCAGTAAATTTCACTTTCAGCATGCCTCATCCGGTGCTCATAAAACCCGAGATCGTCGCATACATTTTTTTCTCAGTTCGATTACCAGAATCGAATAACTCCTCTGCACACACACTCATTACAGTTGTATCCCTATCCCTCCATACTTCGCCACATACTTCTCCTTGGAAAGATGACACTAATGGTGAGTGCAAGCATCATTGTAGCTGATCGTCACAACATACCTGGATTGTCGCCAGAAACTGCGGCGTGATAAACAATGGCCTATCCCATCCATAGTCCCACTCCTCGATCAGCGACCGCCCTCTCTGCAAGATCATAATGCGCACCAATGAGACGGCGTCCTCGAAATCTTCATCTATATTGTAGATCCTTATCAGCCTTGTCAGCTTGTTGTGAAGCTGTCACTTCCATAGCGCGGCTATGAGCTTCAGGACGCCCGGCATCTGCCACATCACGACGTTCCGCTGGAGCGCATCGTTATACACGGAGTACCTCTTGCAGTATCATGTCAAGGTCACAAAATATTGGATGTCGTTGTTGAGCCACTGATCATTGTGCCACTCGAAGGACTGAGATGCTGCGTTGGCTTCAACACAGAGCAGATGCTCTGCACTCTCTTCGCGATGGAGGAATTCGATCTGCTTCACCAATGGTTGACCATCGAGATGCAGCACTCCTAGCACCCCGCCTGCGACGACTGCAGTGACGGGGAGGCTCACTTCATGCTCCGAGGCGTGGGCGCGGACATAATTCGCAACAAAAGTTAGGCCTAAAGATTCGTTCAGACGTCAGCATTGACTTTTTTTCGTTCCCCCTGGTAAGGCGGTGGTCATCTAAAGCAGTACTCTGTACGTTATCTTGCTTGCTGAATTCTTCCTTTGCCATTTGAGCTTTGCGAAGGTGAGCCACTGAATGCGTCAATATTTTGAGGCAAGGGAGCGAGTTGAAACTACAATCTTATTTATAGCATTCAGCTCGAGCTCGAGCCCAGTTGCTGATGTCGTGGGAGCAGACAGTGCACCGCATGCCTGCCTGCAGGCTGTCGCAAGTCTCTGAATGGGTAGCAATAGACATGCAGAGGTCAGTGAGGCATCTGAGCAGAGATCTCTTCATTTAGACAATCGTTAGTGATTGCGAGACGCTTCCTTTTCTCTTGCACGAGGCTGTGCATTGGTGCTTCATGGAGCGCAACATAGACATCAGGAAAATGCTGCGAAAGCGAACAACTGACATCGTCGCGCTTTTGTGCTAATGTTGGCTGTCATCAGATCCCGAACTCGTGATCCTTTGACCTTTTCTTCTGTCTTTCCTCGATCTGTTCCATTCATCACGAGGATTTGAAACCCATACCTGTCTGGCACTCAACACTCAGTCCTCGTGAGCTGAAGCTAGGCCCCTCCATGATCAGATACTGGATGGACTTGTGTGGCGGAATACTGTCGTGTACAAAGCACAGCTCTAAGAGATTGGACTCTCCGCAGCCCCTAGATATGTATCATACTCACAATGAAGACGATGGCTATCTATGGTGATGGCCTCAATCTATTGTCGTTTTCTGGGCCAGGAAAAACATTTTGTTCAGCACGTTTGCTAGTTTTGATCTGCTCTGTTTGAATTCCGCGGTCTCACGACAATTGTGAAGGTGTCTGCCACAGGCTGCTGTATGACAATTCCTCTGTGACGCATCATCGACGTCGAAGTTCATTACTGTGGTCTGTCATTAAGTCATTGTTGATGATCCTCTTAGATAGTTACGAACGAGGCCTAGATGCTGTGCAAAAGCTCTCGATGAATTGCGAATGTATGCGGCCTGTGCTCTTAACGATACGTCTCTATCATACTCGTTCGCTTCAAGGCTGTAAAAGAGACGATGTTCTCGAACTGTCTACGCTATTGAAAACAAACATCCATGCTTGCTCTCAAGTTTGCGAACACTGGGTCGAGCGCATGGATACTTCCGAGCCTGCGTCAAGTCTGAACTGAGAATCGTTCTGCGTTCATCCTGTCAAACATTGATCATGATAGATATAATAACAGCGTCGAGTAGTAACGCTGTGTTCAGTCCGGGATATTCGAAGGGCCGCATCGACACTCCTACAGATGCAAGACGCTTGATATAGTCGTGTAGCGTCTCTTGGAATGGGGTAGAATGGCCTTCAGAATGAGGAAGATGTGTCAAGACAGGAGAGAATGGAAAGCAGGCGAACGACAATCACCGTCAGACTGCGCCATGATCAAACTCTCTGCTGTCGTGCTTGGCCCTGCCGCCTATCGCAATAGCCCGCTCGTTGTGCTCCGATGGCAGAGAAGCAGGATTCTCACCCGCAGACCCTTCTCCGTCGACCTTTAGCATGTCGAAACCATCCCCGTATTGCATTCTCTCCTCCTCTATTCTCACTTGCATCGCATACGAAGGATCTGCGTCCACCCGGCTGTTCTTGACACGTAGCCCAATGCCCCTAGTGCGCGCGCGCGAGCCGCGGGCGGTAGAGACGCGCGCTCTGAGGGTGTTCGACTTATCAGGTATCTGGCCTCCGCTGCTCGATGACGGGCCGAAGCGAACGCGGATTTGGATGATGATCAGGGTGAAGACTATGCCCTGATTCATAATCAGATTGGGATAGAAGGCCTCGGGTGAGGGAGGAGGATCGTACTGACCACTAGAGGACAGCAAAGGTCTAAGACCGCGTACTGTCCGTTGGTTCCCGCAAGATACGTGATCAGCAGTCCGAGCACGCCTGAGGCATACAAGGCCCCAGACTGGACGATGACAGCTGCCACTGGAAGAATACTTTGTTGCGTAGTTTCTGGGAGCCTTCTTGGCAATATACGGTACACGATTGCGACTATAAGTTGATGATAATTAGACAGGACTGCATATTACGAATGATGCTCAAGCCGGGGAAACGTACTGGTACTGGTAACGTTGATGGTCATGGTCAATACGACCCACGTTGTGATCCATGCACGCGCGGTGTCGAATATCTCAGTCCCTGGTGTATATCGTGAGAATGCCACCAGGATCGAGAAGACCGTGACTACGAGCCGACCAGAAGCTGTCAGTGCAATCTAAAGCAAAGGGGGCAGCACGGAGCCAAGTGCTCACTCGCGCTTCCAAGGAGGGGAGGTCCGTATGCAAAAATGATTGCTTTCCTCTTGTCGTATATGATGTAGCATCTCCATACCTTTGATAATGAACACATGAGTGCACTTCAGACAACATCTGGAATTGTTGTGACGCACCATGACTCCATCGCCGAGCGTCTGCAATCCGTATATCATCGACTTGACGAGATGCAACGGGCTGGCAAGGTCCCCATAATACTTGCTCGCGCCATGAAGAGAGGTGTTTGCTTAGGTTATGAATGCCTCCATAGCTCGCACAATGTCAATTATGAGGTGCTGATATACAACCTATCTCAGTACCGTCTAACAGAATGTTGAAAATCAGAGGAGTTTACCATTATGGCCATTGCCAGCATAAGTATCGATACAGACAAGAGAACGCGCCATTGTGGTTGATTCGTCGTGACGCGCTGATGAAAGAGGACGAGGACGACCCCAAACAAAACAAAAAATCCGCCTGTCTCAACAAGATGATGAAGGGATATAAATGAATGGCCGCGCAGGGAGATAAGGAGGTGTACAAACCGAAGAAGAAGCTTTCTAGGAAGAGAGCAAGTAGCTCGGCCTTGTCAATGGGTATACCACCCATATAGCTTGGCGCGTAGAATTTACAAGGGTGACTGTGTGATGTCTGGCTCTAAACTTGTGAGGATTATATGTGTCAGTTATGGATCACGACCAGACGCAGAAAAAGATACCTCAAACCTACCAAAATATTGAAAAAGATTTTGATAGGAGGTTTTCAAAGTCCACCCCAAAGTTTATACGACAGGCATCCAATTATAGGAATATCATCTCTCACTTTCACGGTGACCTTGGATGCCTCCATGCGCGAGTAGACGATGTACCAATCATCTGCTCCAAAACAAAGGTGGAGACGACTGCGCTTACAGTTACGTGTCGATACATTGATGCGCTGAGAGTGACGATGATATTCTACACCCGAGGCAGATGGACGTTTGTGGGACGCCCAGCGGCGAGTGGCCATCGATCAGTTGGCTGACTGACTCATGCATCCTATCGCTTCCATGCGTCCCTGGGTCAAAGTTGTGATTTCGCTGACCTATCGGATACGAAGTAGCTAGAACCACAGTTCTAAGAAAGCACTCCAGGCTTGAGGTAAGTAGTAACCCTCTAAGAGGCCATTTGAAGATGACGTGCGACGGACACAGCCCGTGTCAGCCCTATCATAGACGTTCTCACGCCTGTTCCCATCTTTGAACGACAGCACTGGTGAATCCAACAGCACCGACTGGGATTCTTGCTTTACGCAGCTTTACGCCTGTTGTGGATAATCTCTGCGCGGATCGATTAGACATCTCTGGGCAACTCGATGCCCCGTAGACCTCACATTCCCTATAATTCGTGCTTTCACTGCCATTTTCATCTTGCTAGAGGACGAATCACGTCGAGACTATCGTTGTGCGCTGATACGGTGGAGGTTCTTGGATGGGTCAGTGCTTGATTCGCTCCTCTTCTTTGTCCGGCAGTTGGCATGAACGCCGCTACATCTCTTCCTTTTGTCATCCTTCCGTTCAGGATCGTTGGCCCATCCTCATCAGCAACGTCTTATCGGACAACCTGTGGGCCGGCGGCGCCATGCGTCAACGAGGCTGACCGCTTTATGTACGAGTGCTCCGGACAGTACGATTCGCGAGATAAAGGCTGCAAGGAAACGTCAAAACCCAAACGCGTCGAGATATATTTTGTATGTACACATTGCTCGGGTCACGAAACAAACAAGAGACGAATGCCACACCATCTCCATCTCCTGCTTCTGACCATATGTTCTTGAACCATGTCTAATTCGGTAGGCATTTCAGCGTCAGACTTGTCTCCGTTCTCTGCGCGGGATCGATCGTGGATTTGAACGTGCTTGAATTTCACGAGCGCGTACAATCAGATTCAAGGTCCCTCAGCGGAGCTGAGGCGCAATACAATGACAGCCATGTACGCACGCACTCGGTTCTCTCGTTCCCATCCTCGTTTTACTGCACGTGCCTCTCATCGTCTGTCTTCTTGTACTCATCAGGTATGCAGCCAGATGAAACGATAAATAGGCTGGGATGCTCAAACTGCACCCACAGAGCATGTCATCCCCTCAGCAACCCGATGAAGTCTCTGCGACCCTTTCCGTCCTTGAGAAAGTGGACGGTCCTACTTTGAATCCTCCAAGGTATGACCTCGCAATCGCGACCCATAACGACCACGATGCACAGGCCGCTGTGATGACAAAGATCGACCTCATGATTATCCCGCTAGTGGGTGTCATCTGTAGGTTGACCGCCTGTATCTACATGATCACTACTAATGGGCCTCTTACAGACTTTTTGTCGTTCCTGGTGGGTGGACTATCTCTACCATCTGGCACAGGTGGCATATCTGAGCGCCGTATCGATAATTATTCAGGATCGCGCGTGGGTCCCGGATTTTATTGCTGGCGTCCTGCACTCGATTGAACTCACACAGGAACATCGGAAATGCGCGCCTCGCGGGCCTTCAGAAAGATCTGAACATGACTAATCACCAATTTTCTGTCTCTCTAACCGTCTTCTAGTGTGTTCCACTTGGATCGTCGCTGTTCACTAAATTTACCCGTGCTATGACACTACAGCGTACCGTATATTCTGATGGAGATTCCCGTGAACCTGGTCCTGAAAAGATTCGGAGCAAACATCACCATCCCGCTGATGGTCGTACTGTGGGGCCTATTCAGCGCATGTCAAGGTGAGGCTCGCGGTTGTTCAAGCAATGAATGATCCTCATCATGCGCAGGCGCTGTCTCCACCTATGGAGGCTTAATCGCTTGTCGTTTCTTTTTGGGCATGGCTGAAGGTACGTTTAGGTCTTGCTTCGTCCGCGCCGAACGGACCGCGGAAAAATAAACCTGTGCGGACATTAGGCGGCCTCTTTCCCAGCCTCGTCCTGTATCTTTCCAACTTCTATCCCAGGCACTCGCTGCAGCTTCGGCTGTCGATGATGTTCAGCGTGACCTCTTTGGCCGGCGCGTTCTCTGGTTTGCTGGCGGCAGCCATTGAGGATATGAACGGGTTGAGAGGTTTGGCTGGGTGGGCGTGGATCTTCGTGCTGGTGCGCTATATTTCCTACCATGTCTCTCTAATTGTCGGTGCTCTAATTACGGGAGACAAATGCTGCTTGCATTTCAGGAAGGGGTCTTTACCGTCCTATGCGGGATATTGAGCTTTTTCTTGCTCCCACGCGAGCCTTCGAAGCTTCGGTGGCTGACTCGGCACGAGAAAGCCGTCTACGTCGAAATGCTGAGAGAAGACTGGAGCGGGGATGCGGAGGACGAGGATTTCAGCTGGGCAGAAGTCTGGAGTGTGTTTTTGGATGCTCCGCACGTCCTCATACTCTGCGTGCATTTCTTCATTGGAGGTATCACAGTGAGTCACTTGTTCATCATCATTTTCTATCGTGTTGTCGCTGATTTATGGTTGCAAATTAGCTATTCGGTTTGGCGACTTTGTGAGTTGTATGGTATCTTGAGAGATTGTGCATCTTAATTCGGTGTACTGTTATTAGCACGCCCACCATCGTCAATGCTCTTGGTTTCTCAACGACACGCTCCCAGCTCCTTACCGTGAGTATACAAACACTATGCTGACTTCGGGGTCAATTTCTCACCCGATCGTTTCAGGTTCCTCCATTCGCCTGCTCCTTTGTCGTGAGCTTGGTCTCCGCCTATCTGTCTGATAAATACAAGCGCCGTGGAGTAACGGCCCTAGTATTCAGCTTCCTCGCGATCGTCGGATACGCAATCTTCATAGGCACGCTACTCGCTTCTTGGCCGTTCGACCCCTTTGCTGATCCAGCCTCGACAGGCACTCCGAATAAGCACGCGAACTACGGCGCTTTGTTCTTGCAGATCATTGGCGTCTACGGCATAGCGCCGTGCACTGCCACTTGGAATGCGAACAACGTTCAGCCGCATTTCCGCAGAGCCACAGCCATTGCCTTCGCTTTTGCGTGCACGAACGTAGGGGGTACGTTTTCTTTTGTGATGTGAATGTTTTCATTTAGAACAGTCATGCTCATAGTCGACTGATCGCTTGCAGGTATCGTCTCTACTTGGATTTTCATCGATCCTCCAAGGTTCCACACCGCGTCGGCCGTGAATGTTTCCTTCGCCACCGGCAATGTCCTAGCGTGTGGTGGCCTCATCGTATACCTAGTCCGGCGGAACGCTGCCAAGCGAGCGCACGTCGCTGTACTGCTCAGAGAGAAGGGCGACGGCACTGAGAAAGGGGGTTGGGACTCTCCCGAGGAACGGCAGCGTCTAGGGGATCGGCATCCACGTTTTGTCTATACGTTGTGAACAATGACACGCTGATTGCTATCGTGCGGGTGAGTATTTTTATCCTTGATCGACTTTGGATCAATCTTTCATCAGCCCTTCTTTAGAGCACATCGTTGCTTCGCGCTGATACGGCGGAGATCCCTGCTCAATTCGCAAGTGGGCAGGTGCTAAATGATCATGTGCTCCTCTTTTCATCCGGCAGTTGGAATGAACACTGCTGCATATCTTTTTTTGTTATATTCGCGATCAATGCTTTCTCGGACAACTTGTGGGTGCTACGCGTCAACGAGGCTGACCGACTTGTCTACGAGTGCTCCGGGCACCATGATCTGTGAGGCAAAGAGGGAAGGACAAGGCCAAAACATGAACGCGTCGACATATCTGATGCAATCCCACAGTTCCCGAGTCACAGAACAATCAGGAGACGAATGTCATGCCACCTCCTGCTCTTGCTCCGTACATGGCTCTGTCAGTAAGTAGGGCGCTACCTCTCAGCGTCAAACCTAGATCCGTTCTCTGCGCGAGATTGATCGTAGCTTTCAACATGTCTGGATTGCTGACCGCGTACAACCTAGATTGAAGGCCCGTCATCGAAGCCCAGGGGCAATCCAATGCCAACCATGTACTCGCTGATTCTGGTCTCTCGTTCCCATCCTCGTCCTGCTGCGCGCGCATTTCATTGTCTGCCTTTCAATCCCAATCAGGTACGCGGCCAGATGAGATGTTAAGCTGACGATAAGCAGTCTGGGTTGAGACGCTCGACTTCTGCCCATCATGTCGTCCGTTGACACCTCCCCCCAGCAACCCGATGAAGTCCCTGCGAAACTTTCTGTCCCTGACACTGAATCGAAGGTTGATGGTCCTGCTTCGGACCGTCCGATGTTCGAACACATAACCAAGACACGCAACGACGATGTACAGGCTGCTGTGATAACAAAGATCGACCTCATGATTATTCCGCTCGTGGGCATCATTTGTATGCTGGAAATTTATGTTTGCATCATCATAACTAATGGGCCTTCTTCAGACTTTGTATCGTTCCTGGTGAGTTGACTGTATCTACCACTGTGCATGGGTAGTATTTCTGAGTGCCGATCGATGATTGTTTAGGATCGCGCGTAGGCCCAGGATATGCTTGTCAAAGTCTTGCGCATGATTGAACTCTCATAGGAACATCGGGAATGCGCGCATTGCTGGCCTTCAGAAAGATCTCAATATGACTGATCATCAGTTTTCTGTCTCTCTGACCATCTTCTAGTGTGTCCCACTTGTGCCGTCGCTTTTCACTGAATTCACTCTGCTATGATACAACAGCGTGCCATACGTTATGGTGGAGATTCCTGTGAATCTAGTAATGAAGAGATTCGGAGCAAACATCACCATCCCGCTGATGGTCGTACTATGGGGCCTCTCCAGCGCATGTCAAGGTGCAGCACATGGTTGTCAAAGCAATGAATCGTGCTCATCATGAACAGGTGCTGTCTCCACCTTTGGAGGCTTGGTTGCTTGTCGTTTCTTTTTGGGAATGGCTGAGGGTACGTCTGAGCCTTGCTTCGTCCGCGCCGAACGGACCGCATGAGAATACCCCCACGGGGACATTAGGCGGCCTCTTTTCTGGCCTTGTCCTGTATCTTTCCAACTTCTATCCCAGGCACTCGCTGCAGCTTCGGCTGTCGATGATGTTCAGCGTGACCTCTTTGGCCGGCGCGTTCTCTGGTTTGCTGGCGGCAGCCATTGAGGATATGAACGGGTTGAGAGGTTTGGCTGGGTGGGCGTGGATATTCGTGCTGGTGCGTTGTAGTTTCTACCATGTCCTTTTATTTCTGGCTCTCCACCCACGGGAGAGAGATGCTGGTTGCATTTTAGGAGGGGGTCTTTACCGTCCTATGCGGAATATTGGGCTTTTTTCTGCTCCCACGCGAACCTTCGAAGCTTCGGTGGCTGACTCGGCACGAGAAAGCCGTCTATGTTGAGATGTTGAGAGAGGACTGGAGCGGAGATGCGGAAGACGAGAAATTCAGCTGGGCCGAAGTCTGGAACGTGTTTCTGGATGCTCCGCACGTCCTCATACTCTGCATGCATTTCTTCATTGAAGGTATCACAGTGAGTTATTCCTTGATTTTTGTCTTCGTCGAGAGTACTATATTGTCGCTGATCTGTGGTTGCGAGCAACTTAGCTATTCGGTTTGGCGACGTTGTAAGTTGCATAGTGTTTAAAGATTGAAGCTTCTCATTCGGTACACTATCATCAGCACTCCGACCATCGTCAATGCTCTCGGATTCTCAATGACACACTCCCAGCTCCTTACCGTGAGTAGACAAAGCACTATGCTAGCTTCGGGGTATATGTCTCACTCGAGAGTCTCAGGTTCCTCCATTCGCCTGCTCCTTTGTCGTGAGCCTAGTCTCCGCCTATCTGTCTGACAAATACAAGCGCCGTGGAGTAACGGCCCTAGTATTCAGCTTCCTCGCAATCGTCGGATACGCAATCTTCATAGGCACGCTGCTCGCGGCTTCCTCGGTTGTCGAGCTCCTTTTCTGATCCAGCTTCGATAGGCACTCCGAATAAGCACGCGAACTATGGTGCTCTGTTCTTGCAGATAATTGGCGTCTACGGCCTAGCGCCGTGCACTGCCACTTGGAATGCGAACAATGTTCAGCCGCATTTCCGCAGAGCCACAGCCATTGCTTTTGCCTTTGCGTGTACCAACATGGGGGGTACGTGATGTGATCATCTTCATTTGAAGTATTCGTGCTCATAATTGATCCATTCAATTCAGGTATCGTATCCACTTGGATTTTTATCGACCCTCCACGATTCCACACCGCGTCAGCCGTGAATGTGTCCTTCGCAATCGGCAATGTGATAGCGTGTGGTGGCCTCATTGTATACCTAGTCCGGCGGAACGCTTCCAAGCGTGTGCAAGTTGCTATACTGCTTAGAGAGAAGGGCAACGGCACTGAGAAGGGGGGCTGGGACTCTCCCGAAGAACGGCAGCGTCTAGGAGATCGGCATCCACGCTTTGTCTACACGTTGTGAGTTTTCGTGCGTGCCTCGTGGCTCACACTTTCTGTGAGTTACATATCGAATGAGAGAATGTTGTTAAATCATTTTTGTACAAGTGAATGAGGAGATGAGACAGTCTGTGCTGGGGAGAAACTAACGACGATTGTCTCCCAAATTTAGTGTCAAAGTGAGGTATATTGATCCAGTCAGACACCTCCATTTTTGAGAGCGAGACGGCTGTTACTTGTCGGACTCGTCAAGAACTTAGGGATTAAAAACGATACAAATCAGGGATGTGGGCTTGCCTCTGCAATTTGAGCCTCGTGGCCGCAGTGACTTGAGCGCTGCCGGTCGACCGACCGATACCGACCGGCCATTGCCGACCTTGTGCCGACGCCGTCGTGATCGTTTCTCTCTAGACTCTCAGTGTCCCACAGCGCAGTGCCTGTTGTCGTTGTCAACAGACTTGTTTCTCAAGGAACATCGGCTCACAGTGCTCTGGATGTCCCGGTGCTTTCCTTTGGGAGGGATGGCATTTTTCTGTGGATTGTGACTCGTGAAGCATCCCAGAGTGGAATGAGATCGTGCTATAGGCATCGGAGAAAGGTGTGTGTTGTCTGCCATCTCGTCGCTACGACTTGAGCAAGCATATTCCTTGCATTTGAAACCACGCAATGCAGGATGCGGTAATTTCCTGACACACGATAATGCATCTTCCCGCAGTCCTGAGCACAGATTCGCAGACAGAGGCACTGCATTCCCATTTCCTCCTCGTTCTCGTTATCCCCGAGCGAATCTGCAGACCTTCAGGCACCACCACCCTTCAACGTATACGAGAAGCTATCTATTTTCACCTTGGCGAACGCTCGAGCTCGCGGATATCTAGCCATCTGTACACTGAAAATATATATCCAAGGTCTACGATCGTTGTTTGATGTACCAGGAGTCCTGGGTCCTCGTCAGATGCACATTTATGACTTGAATAATCTACAGCTGCTATGCACGTATGAGGATTCCGCAGTCCGACAGAGCCTTCACTGACTGTTTTGGGTCACAGAAGCATGGCCATTCACATCAACCCGTCGCCCAAAGCGCCAATGGAGCACGAGGCGTGCTTGGTCAAGGACCCTCACATCTTCCCTTACCCAACCGCTCAAAGCCTCTATGGACTCGAGACAGCCCTGTCGCTTCTGGCTTCGGGGTGAATGCACCTTTGGAGACCGGTGTCGAAACTCACACCAAACCCATGGCGTTCTTGTTAACGAAATAGACCGACAACATGCTCCCGCGCTCCCCAAGCGTGGTGCAGTGACGATGGCTTGTCCTTACTTCTCGAAGGGGATCTGCAACTTCGGAGATCAGTGTCATTATTCTCACTTGTCACGAACAGAATTACCTTCGCCTGACGGTGAGTCCTCCATTGATCAAGCGTGAAGTATTGCATGCAGCTTACATCTCATGCAGCCTCGCGTACAAGTCGGTTTCCAGCTTCAACCCTCTCGGCATTTGGGTCGTGCAAGTTCTTCAAGGCTGGAAAGTGCACCAATGCCAAATGTCCCTTTCCTCACGTCGGAAACCCCGTCGCTCCTACTTACATCAATCCACCAATCAAGACGATCACTGGTGTGATTCCTCAAAGAGAGGTATGTCATCCAAATCACAATCGTATGATAAATCATGACATCTTACATGCGGCCACTAGAACCTATTGATAGATACTCCACACTCGAGCGAGAAAGACGACTCAAGGCTTGAACTTTCAGCGATGTCGACTGACGAGAAGCTGCACGCTGTGGGTCATTTTTTATACTGTGTTCATCATGGACTGATCGTTCCTTAGAATAGCAAAGACCCTGACTTAGCTAGTGATAGGCCGTCCATATCTCTTGATGCCTTTGGCTGCAAGGCTGAGTTTGGTGACGGGGCGTCTGTTCTCCGGGTCACCACCGCCTTCGAGTCATGCGCGGTGATAGTATTCAATATCCCTCCAGACACCTCTCGGGACGCGTTGATTGAACTACTGGAGTCCTTTGGACACATCAAAAACCTGACACTTCACCTGGAGGATGGGTCCGTGCGCGTGGAGTATATGAATTCCTCTCAAGCAGCTGCGGCAGTTGAAGGTCTTAGCGACCGCCACTTCCGCTCAAGAACATTGTCTGCAAGGTTTGACCTCCGCGCGGTTGAGGTGGGCCCTGCAACGCTTCGGAGCACCAAGGTCAAAGTCAGTTGGTTTGCGCCGTCTGTCATCGCATGGGCGCACTACGACACCGTGTCCACTGCGAGAGCCCAGGCACAGAGGCTGGATGGGACGATGTTAGGCACTTGCAAGCTTGTTGTCACATTTCAGATGCCCACTAGGAACCAGCATGATTCTTTCTCTATCGTTATCAAAGGTTTGCCATCCTCAGTCGCCGCGATTCCTGGGAGATATGTTGGAGCCTTGAAATCGTTCACGCAATCCCGTTCGATCACGCTTGGCCGACTGACCTACGATCAAGAGGTTGCCGTCTCATCCATACGAGTGGCGCTCAGTCGCTTTGGACTGTTGGACTCGTTCGACGTCATGCACACCAGCGGGAAGAAATGTGTCGCGTGGGCTCAGTTCTCAACCGCCGATGAAGCCGAGAAGGCGGTCAAAGAGCTAAATAATCGTCCTCAGAACTGTCTCGGGGGCAAGAGCCCGTTGTGGTTGGAGCAGATCCACTCCTTCAAGTTCACACTGCCTGCTATCCAGTTTGCTGCTGTACAAGCTGACCTCGATCGCTTGCGAGCCACTTCGGACGTTCAGTGTAAGCTTCGTTACTACGACAAGGACGGTGAAGGCAATATGGTGGACCCGGTCTGTATTCGATTGTCGGGTTCGGATGCCAAGGCCCTCGGACATGCGAAGGCTGAACTGGAGGAGATCATACAAGGGGAAAGGCTCGTGCGGCCGGGAGACCTGCCAATTTGGGACGACTTCTTCGTTGGGCCTGTAGGCAAGACCTTCCTGCTCAATGTGCACGAGCGCACTGGCGCTTGCGTCAAATGCGACGTTCGCTCTCGTACAATCCAGATCTACGGGATCGAAGAGGCTCGAAGTCGTGCCAAGGACATAGTATTTATCCGGTTTGATGAGATTAGGGCTCGCCGCCACATCATCGTCGTCGAGAAGGCGTGGTTGCGCGCGCTGGTATCTGGTGGATTCAAGGACATGCAGGACGAACTTGGACATCAGAAGCTTGTGCTCGATATAGCAAGTCGAACCATCTTGGTCCATGGTGATGAGCAAGATGTGCTGATGGCTCGACGGAGCTTAGAGCGCATAAAGACTGGCGAAGTCGATCCATTGGAGGACGACGACAACGACAATGAACGTTGTCCCGTATGCTTTTGTGACGCGACCAATCCCACCGAACTTCCTTGTGGGCATCTCTACGATACCGAGTGCCTCAGACATTTCATCAAATCGGCTATCACCACCGATTTTCAACCGCTCCGATGTGTCAAGGATCTAGGTGAAGGTCAGACATGCGCCGTACAAGTGCCGCACTCGATCATCCGAGACCTTATCACCCCGGGCGAAGAACGTCTACTCCTTGAGGCTTCTCTACGTGCATTTATGCACTCCCGCCCACACGAATTTCACTACTGCCCTACGCCGGACTGCCCTACCGTCTATCGACCCGGCCGTGCAGGAATAGTCCTTCGCTGCCCCGCCTGCATGGAACGTGTCTGCCCTAGCTGCCATGTCGAGTACCACGAGGGGTTATCCTGTGAAGAATACAAGGACAGCATTTCTGAAAACTCGGAGATATTTGCGAGGTGGAAGGAGGCGAATGGCATCAAGACGTGTCCGGGTTGTAATGCCGATATCCAGAAGAACGGGGGCTGCAACCATATTCGATGCGCGCGCTGCAAGACGCATATATGCTGGTTCTGTATGAAGAGCTTCGGTGATGGCAGCTCGGATCGTGGGATATATGCGCACATGAGGTCGGTCCATGGGGGCATCGGCATTTGACCCAGTCAGAAGTCAGAAGTGCTAATGGTATCTTCTATACTTCATCTTGCCTGATTATAGATACGATGAAATCTACTACTGACTCTTTCTCATCTACACCATTGACATGTTCCGCGACTATCGAGAATGATTACTTCACTCGGCTACTAGCATGCGCCCCAGCAATGCAGCTCGCGCGCGAGCATCAGGCGCCGGAAGAAGGGAGGGCATTGAACTTCCAAAATGGATCAGCGCACGGCGATAGATGAACAACAGACATGATCACTGGGGGTATCATACAGAGTGAAAGAAACATGAGAGCAAAGCGTGCATCAAAAAAGATGAGAACGAAAGGAAAGACAAAGCATGTGGAAACATCTCAATGATGGTACTGCCACGTATAAAATCCTGCGGCGATGTACCAGAGCGGTCGAGCCTCGGGACCCACTTCAAGGGCTTTTTGCATCCGGCCTAGCGAGCATAGAATGATGAGTAACATCGCCAATTCAGTTTCTGATGCCACAACATCGAAAGCAAATGACGAACGAATATGGTCTCTAGTGGGGAACTCGTTGGTCTTCTGGCGTTCCTCCACAGTATGATTTTCAATCAGACACACAGCGAAGGGTGTGTTGGGTGCGTTCAGCACGCGCTCCAGATAAACTGGCCAGCCGATTTCCTCGGACAAACACTTCGCTGCCAGTTGTCGGACTGTGAGACTGACGAATCCGAGCTTGATAATGATCTCTACAGTTGGCTCGCGCGACCTGGCTAGTGATGTCATTTTTTCGAGAGAGATAGGAAGGCCATAGTGTAGATATGGTGGAGTCTCCCTCCCACGTTTGGGGATAAGAGCCCGAGGGAGACTTAGCAAAGGCGGGGCACTGGCCACCTCTTCCATCGACTTTTAAAGGATAGCGATAGAGAAAGTGAGTGATGGTGGGCACTATAGAAAGGGACATTGACATAGAAGTGGTCTGACAGACTGAATCGAGGCCGGAGCTCCTTTGGTACACATTTGAATATTATAGCGATCCGCTCCTCTACAGAGAGAGGCCGAGATCGAGACAGCTTCCCATGCTTCGGTGTAGAACCAGTCTCTGGAGAGATGGCGATGTTTGGATGACGTTGAGTCTCCATGTTGCTAGTGAGGAAAGAAGATACAGCTTGGGAAGGGATGTGGAAGAGGAGGAACCGAGAGCAAAAGCTCTTTATAATCGAGAGCCCACGTGATTGTTCAACATGCATTGTCGCCACCAGGACTCTGACCTAGACTAGCACTGGTCCATCCTCTGATGGGCGGTCTCCAGGATCAATTTACAAAATACCTTGAGATTAGGTTCGCCCAGTCCGCTGAATTGGTCGCCCGAGACGTCGAGGTCGGAGATAGTAGACTCTAAAATGAGCTCAGAGGATGTGTTAGGCAAGAATAGAATTTGTCCGATCATAGGACGAACGTTATGATCAATGCCCTGTCCATTTTCTTTGTGATAGGCACGTAAAATGAAAAGCGATCCTTAGAAGTGGCGGCTAGCCTGTCGGAAGAAACAACGAATAGCATGATAAGGCGAGCGTGTCTGCGTTGGTTTCTAAGTGCACTATCCTATGATAGGTGGATGCAGAGTTCAAGGCCAGGATGGATAGAGATACATACGTCCACTGAACTGATCGCTGGCGACGCTGAGGTAGGAATCTTGCAGCCGAAAAGAGTGTGCCGGAATCATGGTGGAAAGAGAATTAGGCTGTCCGTCAAACCGATCTAGTTGCGGTGCTGATAGTATGAGGACATCGTCAAAGATCGTCAAAGATCGTCAACAGGCAGGCTGCAAGCGAGCCGTGCTGAGGCCACGCAACAAAGTTCAGACCCCAACGATCCGGCCACCTTGACCTACTTTGACTCTGTCAAACAAGCGACATCTTGACTTTATTGACAAAAATCACGAGTTTTATAGCTCGATCATCTTTCGCGGCATGGAGGCTTTAAGGGATCCAGACATCACCATCACTCCAGCGATCAGTGTTGTGCAGAATCATGTAAAGACGTCTAGATCAGAAGAGCGGATAGCCACAATCTTCAAAGGCGTACCGAAGGAGCTTTGGCCTCGGTTCAGCGTATCAGAACACTTCTACGTTAGCATCTTTTCTTGCGCCAACTCCTGTGACTCACGATTTCCTTCAGTCGAGGGAAGAGGTGGCAATGGCTCCGCCTATGCTGAGTCTCCCTCGGGTTCTTATCCCCAAACGTGGGAGGGAGACTCCACCATATCTACACTATGGCCTTCCTATCTCTCTCGAAAAAATGACTTCATTGGCCAGGTCGCGCGAGCCAAACGTAGAGATCATCACCGAGTTTGGCTTTGTCACTTCGCAGGCCAGAGAACTGGCTGCGCAGTGTTTAGCAGAGGAGATCGGCTGGCCAGTCTATGTGGAGGGCGTGTTGAACGCGCCTAACACGCCTTTTATCGTGTGCATGATTGAAAGTTACACCATGGAGGAACGCGGGCGGCTTCAAGACTATCCCACATGGGACCACATTCGTTCGTTTTTTTTTTTCGATTGTGTGGCGACAGCAGCTGACTAGGTGATGTTTCTTATTATTCTACTGGTGTTAGGCCAGATACAAAGAACCCTCGAAGTTGATCCCAACGTTCGACCGCTTTGGTACATCGCCTCAGCATATTACACATGGCGGTAGCTTCAAACATGTTTTACACATGCCTTCATTCTCGGTGAATCACGCTATGCTCTGATGCTTCACATTTTAATCGGTACGATGTGTCTCAATCAATCTCGTATCTGTTGCGCATCAGTTGAATACGATTCACAGACATCTTGTAACGTTATGCCATAATTATTTTCTTCCCTGAGATGGTCTATTAAGCATGCCGATAGTTTTCGTCAGACGCGCCAAATCGAAGCGCAAGCTTGGGGAGTCTGTCTCGTAGCCTTGGTTCACCATTATGACTCTAGATCGCGAGTTTTAATAAAAAGAATTAGGCGCCTGATGCACGCACGAGCTTCAGGACTCCTGCAGGAGCTGGGTCTGCCTCGTTAACTGCGCTCGTATCAAGAAGCCATGGCGGGGGCGGGATCCGAATTGACTCCCCGGATTTCTCAAGTTGACAACGCAGCGTGGTAACTCGGATATCACAATAATAGCATCAGAGTGATCCACCGCCAGTTTTTGTGACGGCGAAGTATATGCTATGAGGGTAGGTCCTGCATACTGAAAAGCTCTACAACACTGGTGATCTCTAACAGGATAGATCTCAGATGGAGCGGATGAAGAGTCGCGAGCATGGCATATACAATTGTGCTGAGGTCCCGTGTGGTGGGGTCTACGCAGGAAGAAAGATGTGAGTGCACGGGTGAAATGACAAATTCTCGGCTGGCCAAGGATGAACAAGTCGCGTTCGACTATGTCACGGTCGGTGCGTGCTGCTTTTTTCTGCCTTTTTCTACCTTTTTCTCTTCTGCTCACGTTGTTTGCCGCTTGCGTAGATGATCATGGGGCGGTACCGCTGGGTTGACTCTTAATGCAAGGTGCGTTTATGATTCGTGTTATTTTCTTCTCTTCCCTCGCAGCGTTGGCTGCTCTGGATTTTCCCCGAAGGCTGAGAGAAATACACAGTCATAGTCAACATCGTCGAGGGAGGATCGTCCCGGATGACTCTTTGAACGACTGTCCAGGTGCTTATGCGGACACAGACAGTGTCAGTTTCTCTAAGATCTGACCTTGTGTATGACTATCGGCATTACTCCTTGTAAAGCAACACATGATTGGCATTTCATGACAATCTCCGAACCTAACAATCGGTTGGTTGCGGTGCCCGATACGCTCTTGCTCCGGTTCTATGAGCTGAAGCTCATGTGTCGATGACGCATTTCAGAGGGAATATGCTTGAGGGCTCCTCTGGGCTCCTTCATTGCGTAGAACTGCGCTTCTGCTGTGTAGTACGACGCGTGGAGCTTATTCGCGTGGTCCTCCGAAACCGATTCTTCCTGGACCTGGGCTAATAATTTGCCCATTTTTAAGAAGAGTATGCCATTTTCCCCGAGCAGACGAATCCGTTCCCTGGTCTCGCATAGGACGGGACGGACGGGGCCTCTAATTCTGTCTTTGAGGGTCTGCGGGGCCCAGTGCAGGCGCGTGGTGCTTTCGATGTTCAGAACAGGAGACGTGATATGCTAACGCTCCCGCACAGAACTCGCTGAAAATGTGATATCTCGACACTATCCGGCCTTACGTGCAGACTCTGAACATGGTCGGGATTCCAACCAATCCCAACCTGGTGCGCATCTTGTCTCGCAGTGGTTGTCGCTGGCCCGGTGCTGGCCGCGCTGTTCCATGAACGACAGGACTATGGGCAACTTGCGCGCGAGCGCAAGTTGATAGAGCGAAGGGCGTGTGGTTGTACGCTGCGCCGGCGTATGACTGTGTCACATGGCAGAGAGAAAATCGGCGTGTACTCAGTCGCGCATTGATGGGCCCAAGGTTTCCTGATCATCTAGGCAGGTTTGGGCCACTGGGCGCGCATCTGTCGTTCACAGGGGTGGTGGACGCAGAGCTGAAGGTATACGGGACGTCGAACCTGTGCGTGGTCGATGCGAGCTCTATACCAGTCATGCCCTGAGCGCATAGGAGACGTGTCTGCTATAGCGGAGAAGTTGAGTGTGGTCGCATTCGTAGACAGACGGTCGTCGATGGACGCTGACTTGGATTAGACCAGGCTGCAAAGATACCTGTGGCGACGACGGGACTATCTGAGCCACACATCATCAGGTACCGAAATATACGTGGTATTTCTTGCGGTGCGCCGCCACTAGGCGTTAATATACGACTTCACACACACACACACACGTGGTATTCTTGAGCCGCCTTCTAATGTTTTCTCTTTCCTTCAAACCTCGACTCACAACCCACAACCTCGAGCTCCTTTTCCGGATGCTGCGCGCCAACTTCAATTCCTTGCATCATCACTTTACATGCATGGCCATACTGCCGAAGACGTGTTGAGAGAGATAATCACAGTGTTCTCCACGGCAACTTCTTCTACCAGCGGAAGGAGCTGAATTATCCTCTTGCTGCATCTCTCACTTGTTAGCGCCAGTCTGTGCTGCGGAATCAGCCACGATGAACTGTTCCAATACGAAATGTAAATGCAGTCTTCGTCTCTCACTTTACCGTTCTCCGCCGCGACGTGTCGTTCCTGAAATACTTGATCAGGAAAATTAGACGGACCATCTATTCATGGATGACAATCGGACCTACTAGAGCCTACATTTCATGATGCTCATTCAAATAGTCGGCATCGTACGAGGACTGTCATAAGCATACAATGGGATTAAGCATATATCTAGCGAAGGTTTTATCATACATGAGTGGAAATCTCACTGGCTTCACCACTCGAGGTCGCGCTGCACGAAGCGAACGTCCATTTTGTATTCATCCAGAAGCAGCGTCCCCTTCTCCAAATCCTTCGGATCTTCCCAGTCGTACTTTCCGTGTACATCCCATCCTTCGGCATCCATCCTCTTCTGAAATATCCCTCGCAACAGGGAATAATCAGGTTCCTCCTCGAACGCCAGGCTCCGGCAATGATCAAAGTACGCTGTGAACTCGGGCGGCGACCGCGCAAGAAGCTCACGGAAGGGCTTGCCCGACTTCATCTCCCCGATGCGCAATGCTTTTGCAGGAACGGAGGGTCCATATATGCCCTGCCACGGCAGTCGTCCATGGAACAGATAGAGTAGACAGTTCCCGAGCGCCTCCATATCGTCGCGTCGGGAAGGTTCTGTAGATTCCGACGCATATCAGAAAATGAGAAAAGGTATCCCGTGGGAGAAAACATACCTCGACCAAAGTGCACATTGTAGCTCATATAGCGAGCAGTGCCAACCCACACGAGGCCGGTGCGGAACGGGTTGTGCTCGCCTGTCATCGGGCTCATAAACGGCTTGGCAAGTCCGAAGTCGAGCATGTAGAGCAGATTCGAGCGATTGCCGCGACCCATCGTCAGGTTGGGAGGCTTCACATCGCGTAGGATGATCCCTCGTGAATGTACAAATTCAATTCGGTCAATCTGTAAGGTAAGGAAACAAACCCGTCAGACTCACATCAACGCAAATTGGGGCACAAGGGTTACTCGCCAATTCCATGGCCAGCATTGCAACCGTTCGCAGCGATAGCGCTCCTCTGCACACCTGCCGGAGGTGGTCCAGCGTCACACCGAGTCGGTCGAGGATCAAAAAGTAGCCCCCGCCGTACATTTCGAAGTGGTGAAGCGCAGGAATGGCCTGGTACCCACGCAGCTGACGATACACTTGCGCCTCGTACGGCAAAAGGCACGTTTCCTCCGCCTGGGTAGCCTTGCGTGTAGACGTGCTCTCACCGTTCAGAGCGGGTCGTTTCTCATCCCGCTGGCCACCCTTTGACATCTCCCGCTTGACTGCAACTTCCTCGCCCGTGAGGACGTGGAAAGCGGCGCACACCGTGCCTAGAACTAAAATCAGACACAGTCGGCTTATGACGAAAGGATATGGTCCACGAACTGAAACTGCCAGAGTCGATGATATGAGTGACCTGGTAATGGCCGCATACGCGATACGGTGGGTACATGCTAGACGATCGTTTGGCGGGAACAATAGATGGATTGCCGAGTTCAGCCTCATCCAGTGCATCGCACAGAGACGACAGATTCTCTATGATCAACGTGGGTGTAGCGGTGTCCAAAATCACCTTAGACTCCACCTCGGACGCAGTTTGAAGGAGAACGATAGGGAATCCCGCCGTGCAAGCGGGTTCTACCATTCGAAACGGCCCGGTCGTCACTATCAGGATCTGAGCAGGCTTGATATCGGGGTGGTCACATTGAGAGCGCTTGAGGAGCTCAGGTAGAAGCGCAGGATTTTGTGCATGAGGAGAGGCCCATGCGGAGTGTGAAATGTCGATGGTGAGCTCGGGAGGGATATGCGGTTCGAAGTACTGAGTAAATGTGGCCGCATCTAGAGATGGAATCCCTACGAGGGTGTATCCCCGCTTATGCAACATATGGATAGTGTCGATGGCATCGGACCGCAGACGTGGAGTTAATATGATATCAACAGCCTTATCCAAAGATTCTTTGTCTGGTGAGACTCCAAGATGTAGAAACGTATCGGTCAATGCTGTGTAGACGATGGTGGAGTAGGATGCGTCAGGCGCTTCCCTCAGTCGGATTGTCTCGCACTCGATGTATATCTCTATCAACTGACGTGACGTTCGTTTCTTCCAATCAAGGGGAGTCAATGATATCAAAGCTTTGCGGATGCCTCCCTCGCGGTCCTGTGTGAGGACGTGGTTAGTACGAGGTCGAGGAATAGCAGTGTAATTCAGGACTGACAAAGATTGTCCCCAATATGTCAAGTGCGACGACTCTGACATCAACCGCAGGCGTTGCGTGCTGAGGCTTTGGAAGGCGTTGAACGTCGGGGAAATCATCATCAGATCCCCAACCTGATCCTTCGTCTGATTCTTCGTCTTCATGCGGGTCACCATTGAAAGGAATAGGCATCGAGTAGAGCCTTGTGGCGTCTTTACCTCGAACATCGACCTTGCTGGGTTCGATGAGATGAAGCAAAATATCTTTCGTGCATGTCGCCTGAATAAGTCAGGTCCAATGAGTGTCGACCATCGCACTGTGAGTACACTGATCGCTTACAGCACGCGCTTCTTTGAGCCATGAGATGGTTTTAGTCGTACCTGTCCAGGAGTAGTCAGATCCGAGCCTAGTGACATGATCAAGGTAATCATAGGCGTTCAATGGAGCATGAGCAAAGCGACATACTGCTTGAACAACAATAGTTCGTTGTAGATCGAGGGACGAGCCAATGTCGAAGGATCTCGCCAATCCAAAAGCTCATAAAAACGGCTTCTGGGTTTCCGCAAGTACTCTGTACCCATGGCACTTCTACCGCTCCAGGTCTGCCATCCATCTTCAACAGGGTCATCGCCACCTGATGATCGAGGTTCCACTTCCCTGCGATGATCGTCCTCCAAGATCGATTTACAGAATATCTTAAAATCTGCCTCGTCCAGTTGATGAGGTCCACTGAAGCGATCGCCCGAGACGTCGAGGTCAGAGACAGTATAGTTTGCAAGGAGCTTGGGAAATGTGTAAAGGTAAAATGGGCGCTCGCTGGAGCTAAGAGGGGGAGTTACGGTCAATACCCTTTCCAAGTTCTCTGCGGCAGGTGCTAGAGTAAAAAAGCAGTTCTTGGAGGCTCCGACGGGTTTCTCTGAGGACACAATGAATAACATGGACAAGTGGGCGTGTTCGGGTCGGTCGCTATACCCCATGTCATTAGCGTAAATGCGGAGCGCAAGGAACGGGTGGGTGTGGATATCTGCTGATTTTTTGGTACCATAAGGCGATATCCAGTGAGCAGATCGCTGAGGCAGGAATCTTGCAACGACGAAAGAGTGCGCCATGGCCTGGATGAAGAGGAACAGGGGGTGACCTCGTTGAGTTGCGCAGGCCCCAACAGAATCTAGAGTCAGCTTAGGATTTGGAAGAACACAGGGTATGCCGATCACGGGCTCATACTCGCTTGATAGTTAGTTACCAGGGTCTATTACAAAAGCGGAGCGTAGAAGGTGAGCGGAGTTTTGAAAAGTGGATTGACGCTTATGAGCGCTGAGCAAGTGCCCACCGCCTACCGCCGTCTGGAATGCATCTCGAAGTTACCGGTAAGAATACCTATGCTACCAAGAGCATGATGTCCCAAACCCGTCATCCAGAATACATTGGCTGATTCAATTTTTTTGCGATGGCCAGGCGGATAACCATATGGTACTTGGAATTCGAAGCATGCCTCGCGCATCCATCCCACCGCGCTTCGAGAAAGGTTCAGCGCTCAGCGCTTGATGGGTCTTCTTCTGAAATGGAAAAATACTTATCCCTCACTCGGTGGATGGGTATTGATGATGAAACCTCTTTTGATTTGCCAGACGTATTCAGTGCTAACAAAGATTTGCCAGACGTATTCAGTGCTAACAAAGTTTCTTTATAAGTCTACCCACAACAGCAAACTCGGGATGTAGGAGACTATCTGACACATATACGGGTATTCCTGATTTTCACTTCAGTGGGAAAATCACTGAGTACCTCTGATTCAGGGAGAAGGGTATCTGGGCGGTGCAGTCCGAAGCACCAATTCTTCGATAACCTGTCTTCTCACAGGATCCAAGCGAGGTGTCCAGAGCCTGTGTGAATTTCACTGAGATCTCCATCCTCGATACTGACTCTGGAACTCTTTATTGGCTCATCATCGTGTGAGTAAATCAACGTGCCAGCCGACGATACAGTCAGTGTCACTATATCGCTTGGCTGCAGGCTGCAGGATAGAAAGTGATTCAGCACCTGATAATAAGGATGTAAGTCCCTTTTTCACGCCCAAAAATCTTCTTTGAACTTCAGTCAGCATATAGATACCTGGACAACTGCGACACAGACACAGACACTTCTTGCATACACCTATATCTCCCATATCCCCCTATGGCATCTGAACTTCATATGAGATCAGTCGTACACTATCAGCCGATTCGCATTTCTTTTGCGCAATCTACAAGATCACGCAAGCCTGCTCTCAAAAAGCGCCCATGTGTTGTTGTTGAAGTAACAAAGATGGGAATCACAATCACGCCTCTCTGTAGGGCGCAGAAAATATCTTCCACAGAATGGGGTAGAAGAGAGGGGGACGTTGAATGGGGGTGGCTCATTTTGTCACTGCGGCCTGACCTTCCTCTTAGATGGTGCAAGAGTGGTGGCAACCTGTTCAGTTTACGAACTCTGAACATCCAGTCCTTTTCGATGGCATCGCAGTTACTCGAGATCCTCTCATTGTAACGCACGAGCCTTCCCTTCCAAAGCTGGAATTTTATGTAGGTCCCAAGCCATCGTATATCTGGGTTGGGGACAACAGAGAATGGATTCCTCCAGACGAAGCCCTGACATTGGGTAGAAATGATCCATACACCAGCATGTCGACAAAGGAGATTGAGAAGATAAAAGAAAAGTGGCAGTATTGTACGTGGATCTCTTACTGCGTCTTTTATTCAATGTTTTTTGCTGCATAGGGGGTATTCATCAGCCTGTACCATGATTGCTGAATACCTTATATGGCTCATTGACACTGCTTCCTCGAGCATTGTTTTGATGTATTTTATGTCAAAGGCATATTTGTGTCACTTTTCTACCATCCATATGCACATGTTTGACTCACATTATGGTATCCATCACATCATGTAACATTCCTGTGGTAATAGCACCTCCCAGAGGTTGGGGAGTTTTGACGGGAGAGGGGGACCAAACCCGTTTCCTTGGCATTATCCAAGGTTTATATCCAACACTCTTGCATTCAATTGCCGAGGAGGCACTGTTACTACGATTCCCATTTTGTTCTATCATTTGTACAAATATATACAACAGTTCACCAACTTAGGTCATCCTGCACGAAGCGAACATCCACCTTGTATTCCACCGGCAGTAGTGTCCCCTTCTCCAAATCCCTTGGATCTTCCCAATTATATTTTCTGTGCACATCCCACTCTTCAGCATCCCTCTTGTTCTGGAATATCCTTCGCAATAGCGCATAATCAGTTCAACAATACGATTGGGCATGGTTGTCATTACAAGAATCTGGGAAGGCTGGATTCCGGAGTTGATCGATTGGGTATGCTTGAGGAGTGCGGGGAAGAGGTTGGATTTTTGTTTATAGGGGGATTTGCAGAAAGAAGGAGGTATGTCGATGCTAAGTTCAAGGGGAAAGAAGGGCTAGATATGTTGTGCAAATGTCAAAGGATCCAGCAAGGGGATGCCGAGGAAGGTATATCCACGTCTGTGCAAGCTGTGAACTGCCTGGGCGGCATCCACGCATATTTTTGGGTGGAGTAGGATTTCTAGAGCGGCAGACAGGGATGCCTCTTCAGGTGAGGTACCAAGATGCTTGCACACATCGGATAACAAAGAGCGCGCAACATCGGTATAGGATGTGTTATTGGATGCATCCTTGAGTTGATGGGTCTCGCATTCGATGTAGATGTCCAGTAGCCGACACGACGTCCTCACCTCCCAATCAGCTGGTGCCAATGCTGTCACTGCACTTTGAATAGCATCTTTACAGTCCTACAAGATCCGACACATGCGCATCAGACAGCGCCGCCAAATCACTTCAAAATAAATTCGGAACGTGATGCTTACAAATATGGTTCCCAACAACTTGAATGTGGTGACCTTGATGTCTGTTGCAGGAACAGCAAATTGCCGCTCGTAGAGAATGTGAAAAACAGGCTGCAGTTGGTCATTGTCATCCCATTCTGTATCCCACAACGCCTACCTTCACGTTAACTACAGCAACTTCCTGGAGGGTTCAAACTCCACAATGGAGGATCCGTACATCCAGCTCCCCAGCCTCACCAACGACACCGCCAAAGCGCACTAGAACTTTGTCCAAGTCCGCCTCGACGGTGACGACCGCACGGGTTTGCAGCACCTCTCCACATCCAACTCATCCTTGATTTCATCCCTGTCCTCTTCCAACGACGACGACGATGACGGGAGCGAGAGTTTCTTCGACAAGCACAAGACTGTGGTGATCATCGGGGCTGTGGTCGTGGGGGGCTTGGTGCTGCTGGGCGCTCTGGTGGGAGTGGCAGTTTTTTGACCGTTGCATTTTCCCAAAACTTGAATTCTTCAATGTGACACGTGGACTTCACATCTCCAATAGCTTCTTGCACAGTAACCACTACCTTCCTAATTCGGACCCCGCCTCGTCTTTGCCTCCTCCATCATCCTCAAATTCTCACTTCCTCACGTTTCCTTATCGACTGCGCTCATACCATGCCTAAAGACCCTGGTGAACATAATGTCCACCAGGTGCGGGTCTCCACCTCCCCGTTAACCAGGGAGTCTCCCGCCACCCGAAGGGCAACACCCCCCGACCCTCAGCCATCCACCAACTTCACAGGCCTTGACCCAACTCCCTCTCAGCCCACCGACCTCGACATGGAAATCTTAAGCCCAACCGACTCGCGCCCAGCATCCCCCACAGCCCCGTCATTGCCCATCATTATGGACGAAGACTCCCAAATTGGGGTCCTTTCCTCCCCAATCTACATATCCTCCACTGATCCTTTTGACCAGCAGAATAACATTGTCACTTCCTCACTTCACTCCATTGCAGACTGGCTGGAATCCATCAAATGGGACACTCTCTTCGGACACAACCCCTTGGATGCCGCTACCCTGAACTTGAACCCCCTTGCCAGCGCAGCAACACGGGTTGTCCAGTACCTCAATGCCGGTATTGCTGGCAGGTCCGTCACAGTCCCCGAGCTCCAGACTCCCCCACCTGTATAGCCACCCCGGACCACAAACCCACAGCAGCAGCAGCCTCCGGCCACACAACCACTCTTGGGCTTTGACGCCCGCTGTCGCGGAGAGGAATGGTTTCTCCCCTAGATACGATCGGGGTTTCCTGTTTTTCCGGATGTACCTAGTGTTCGTTTGATTGCTGCTCTAGATGATACCTTCTGGTGTTGGCACGATACACAGATGCTGGTCACAGTTATAGGCAATGATGAGAATATCTTGAGCTATTTAGCGAATTTCTGAAGTGGTGCCGGACCACTAACAAAGACAATACTCCGTAAATGTTGAGAATAATGAGGAGAGGCTTAAGAACTTTGTGATTCAAGTTGCTGAGGTGCTACACAGATTGAAGGCGAGCTACTAGTTCGTCTAGTATCCCTACAAGTCTTGCAGCTTATCTCCAACTGATATCACTCAAAGAACTTATTGACTGGCACTGACTGACTGAGTAAAAGTAAGAGGGAGAGATGGTCTCTGCCTGAAGCAGGACAATTAGCCTCCTTATATACTATTTCAAGTGGGAATCTCCTTCCTAGTATATACAGGCTGAGTAGAGTCATTGTGAGTCACAAAGAATGCTGTAGAAATAAAAAGAATAGGGAGGAAAGCAGAGGAACAGAAAGGAAAGTAAAAGAAAGGCTCAGAATGTGGTAGAATATTCCTTCAGCTTCCTTCAGAACTGCTCAGAACCTTCCCCTCCTTTCAGCTTGGAATGCCCTAGACCTTGCCCCTTTCCTAAACATTCTCCATCCTTCCACTAAAGCTCCTTTCTATTCTACCAGATTCCACTGCTTTCTTTCCATTCCTTATTGTCTTGCCATGGTCTAGCCCTTTCTGAAATAGACCCTAGGCTCTGGAATCTGTCCCAAAAGTGAATTATGAGTATGAAAAAGGATAGGAAATCAAGTTTAAGTGGTAAAATACTCAAAAAATATGTAAAAAAATCGGAATTAAATGTCCTGTCCCTTCTAGGTTGTTTCTCTTTTCTTTCTTCTAGTCAGATATTCTGCCCTCCATTCTACCATCACTATTTGATGCCTAACAATGTGCGAGCGCGACACCGCTCTAACACTCCTGGCCGCATGTCCTATGCGAGGGCCATCTCATGCTCATCCCAAGCCCCTTCCAACGGTTACACTAACTAGACCATCTCGCGGTCTCCGTCGAGACAGTCTGCCTCCACCAATGATGCGTTCATCGACGAAATCATCAGGCTAAGAGAGGAGAACCCAGACCTCTCCGCAGGTGAACTCTTGGTGCTCCAATGCCATATTGCTGCCGGTCGACCCCCCAGACCCCACCGCACCTCCCTTCCAAGAGGCACCCGTTGTGCCGTCCATGTTGTCTTCTCAGGGCCCAAGCCTGACCCCGCCCCATGCCCTGCAGTTGTTATACAGGCGGTCAACGCCAGACTACCCACCGAACGAAGTGCGTCCCGCACCACTTCAGCCAATTGTTCGTCCCATAATAATGTCACTATCAGATTTGCCCAGGCCCCGGAAGAACCGGAGATCACCGCAGTCCGGTCAGCGCTTGGAACCCTTTTCCCGCACATCCCACCATCGTCCTATTCTGTCGGAAAACAGCACATTATCTCTACGGTGAAGTTTCACTGCCTCCCCTCACCCACCCTGATGGTTCCCCTATCACAGTTGAACAATACACCACAGAACTCAAGGCCTCCCCGGCATGGCAATCTGTGCATATTCTACGACCCCCCTGTCTGGTCCAAGAGAAGGACTCCCACGTAAGCACACTGTATGTCGACTTCCACGACAATGGCCTCCTGTCAACCCTGCACCAAGTCCTACACGATCCCACCCTCCCCTAGGGTGAAGTGGTACACCTGGTCAAATACCACAAGCAGTACTCCACGCCCCAATGCACCGCCTGCTTCCGATGGGGCCACCCCACCCTGCTTTGCCACTCCCCCACCCATCGATGTGCCCACTGCGCAGGCCTCCACTCAGTGCAAGACCACCGCCAGTGAGCTGAATGCTGCCATGGCGACAACCCCACCCCCGACAGCCTCCCGTGCCCCCATCCCCCCTCATGTGTCACCTGTAGCGCACCCCACAATGCTACCGATCGCTCCTGCCCATTCTACCAAAACCGGCACAACGCCGCTTGGATCGAGCAACACCAGCCAAACCCCCTGGATCAACGCCAGTCTCACGACAGGCATGATGTACCGAGCATGCGCATGACCCCAAGGCCCTTCTAGGAGCCACCGTGTGCATTTTCTCCCCATCCCCAGCGCCTCACCCGCTGACCCCCAAAGCCTACAGCATGTAAATGCGTGTGGCTCGTGTGCCCCTCCGTGCCAGGCCATCGCCGGCCCATCTCGCCCTCACTAGCGTAGTAAAGCATGTTGCTACATGTGTTAAGCCAGAATGTAAACCGCTCCCCAGTCGTAACTCATACTCTGCTTGAAACCAAAGCAGAGGAGTATGATGTTGTTCTCATATAGGAACCTTACTGGGGTTTCCTGTGTGATATACCATCGTCCGTGTCCAGTACTAGTGAGGAGTACCGGGGCGCTCAAATACACCCACATTGGACCCTTGTTGAACAAGGGGGCCCCTTGCGTGTTGCCACTTACATTAATAAACACCTCTCGCCTCTGCAGCCTAAACTATGCACACACCTTGTCAACCACCCTGACCTTCTCCTCATTGCTATTCCTGATGGACAGTGGCCACTATATATCTTGAATGTCTATAATGACGCTGATTGCACCGCCCTGCATTATCTCAATGCACATGTTCACGTCCTGCCTATCATCGACATTATGATGGGTGATCTCAATTTCCACAGCGACATCTGGGACCTGGAGTCCGGTCATAACGACCGTGCTGTCACTGAACTTTTGGACTTCACAGATGGCTTAGGTCTTGTATTGCTCAACACGGACGGTCAACCCACCCACGTACCACATGCTTGAGAGACAGTGTGCGCTTCTACCGTTATTGATCTTATATTCGTTGCCGGACGCATTGCAGAGGCACCCACTACTATCTTTTCCATAGACCCCAATGGCCGGCTCCTGTCCGACCACAACCCCCTGCTCCTGTCCATTGACACAAGCCTCCAACTGCCCCCCGGAATTCCCCGCATAAAGAGGAAATCTGATGCAGAACAGATGTTCTTCGCGGACTGCGTCCTGGCCATCTCTGGCCTCAATCCACCCCCTCCTCTGGAATCCATCAAAGACACACAACGCCTCTGCGACACAATATTCTTCAGGATAGATGAAGCCTTTGCCACCCATGTGACCATCCCCTATATCAACCAGCGCTCCAAAACCTGGTAGAACGGCAATTGTTCCCTAGCCCTCGCTTGCTTTCGGGAGACGAGGTCTAGAGAGGACTGGCGGATATACCGGCGCACTATCCGCGAGGCGCAAAGAACCCACTATGACACCATCATCCATGAAACGGCAGACAAGCAGCAAGTGTGGAACCTCATGTCCTGGATGCATCCCCGACCCCTGCCTCTTTACCACAACCTCGTCCATAACGATACCCCTCTAACCTCAATGCCAGAGCTCTTCGAAGGACTACGGGAGCAGTTCTACTCTGTAGCAGACCGTCCTGTTGATATATCCATTGTGAACTCACTCCCAGATCGTCCGGAATGAGACTGCCCTCCCATCTCTCTTCAGGAGTGTCATGAAGCTGCAGCGGCATGCTCGTCCTCATCAGCCCCTGGACCAGACCACATTACGTGGCCCCTGGTCCAGCTCCTCATCTCGACTCATGAATCCGGAACAATCCTCCTCGCTCTATACAACGCTTGCCTACGGCTAGGTTATTGGCCAAATCAATTCAAAATCTCCACCACAATAGTCATTTCCAAACCCAAGAAATCCGACTACTCGAGGCTTAAGTCGTACAGACCCATCATACTCCTCTCGTGCTTAGGCAAGCTAATGGAAAAAGTTCTAGTAAACAGATTTCAATACGAAGGAGCCAAATTCAACATCTTTCACCCCAACCAGTACGGAGGCACTCGCTTCCACTGCACCGAGGACGCAAGTGTCATGCTCACCCAACATGTTCGCACCGGATGGCGTGAAGGTTTACACACCTCATGCGTGGCACTAGACGTTGCGCAATTTTTCCCATCTATGAATCACATTATGCTCATCAATCTTCTGCAAAAGCAGGGTTTCTCATCAACGTACATTCGCTTCTTCGAAGTGCTTCTTCCAAATTGCCTCACCATGCTTTCATGGAATGGCTCCACCTCAGACCCTTTTGTGGTCAACGTTGGCATCAGTCAGGGCTCCGCCCTCTCCCCCGTTATATCTGGCCTATACTTGGCTGCAGTATTACATCTAATTGACCCAGTTGGGCAATGAACCGACTGGGATTCCCTGCTATTCTACGTTGATGACGGCCTGTTGGTCACTTTGTCTATATCACTCGCACACAACTGCGTGGTCTTGTCAGAAAAGTACCACCTTCTTTCTGAATCCCTCGCCCGTCTAGGCTTGGCTATTGAATACAATAAAACTGAACTCATGCACTTCCCTCAAAAAGGCACCACCACTAATCTCCCGGCCATCACCCTAGCCGGACGTGCCATTGAACCCACCACAATATGGTGATACCTCAGGTTCTTCTTTGATTGCAATCTCTCCTTCAAGGAACATATCCGCTTCTATGCAACCTGGGCCCTTAGCACTGTCAAGTGCGCGTTACACCTCGGGAACTCAATACGGGGCCTATCCCCTTTACAGCGTCGCACGCTATATAAGTCGTGTGTCGTACCCCTACTCATGTATGGCTGCCGTGTATGGTGGCACAAACATGGCATCAAAGGACTCATGTCCACCCTGTCCAAAGCGCAACACGAGGGTGTGCACTGGATTCTCTCTGCCTTCCGTACCTCCCCAATCGGAGGCATGGAAGTTCTCGCCGGCATTCCTCCCCTCCATCTGCACATCAAAAAGCTTGTGCAGCGAGCAGCTCTTTGCACCCTCCGACTCCTAAATCAGCATCCAATAAACACTGCTCTCCACCTACAACATCCGCACGAGCACTCGCCCCACATCCCCTTCCCACTACATTGCACTAGAGCATCCTCCAACCTCCCAATCCAGCTGATTAGAGATCTGATCCCCAAAAACACCAAATCCTTTGCTCCCCTACACCCGGAAGTGCAACCTGGCAAACGAGTCATTGACACATTCGCAGACCACATCACCTTCCGACTTTTGCACCCCCCCAAGTCATCCCCTGAATTCCCTGCCTGGGTCCGCGACCTCAAGCGCCGCATAGCAGCGGAATCCTCATCCAACAATACCACGACCTGCTTCTCAGACGGCTCATTCTCCCCCTACAATGGCAGACATGCGGGCTGCGCGTGTCTAGTGCTCCCACCCAACTCCGACCCACCCATCATCCGCAAGCTTGCCTATGGGCAAACTACTGCCTTCAACGCTGAGGTTATGGGCCTCACCATTGCCCTGCACCATGCCATCCTCACTCCCAATACCTTCAACATCATCCTATATGCAGATAACGAAGCTGCGTTAAAATCCCTCCTTGACCCAAGAGTTCATCCATCCCAGATGTGCTCTATCTTAGCATGCCAGAGGCTAAGAGCATGGCTCTCCGCCACCCTCAACCGTCACCTTACCATTGCCTGGTGCCCCGGCCATGTCGGCATCCCTCGCCAGGAGCAAGTCAACACCTTAGCCAAAGCCTCCCTGCGAGATAACCCCCCCCATTTGCCTCCGCTTCCTTCCTCAAACAGAAAGCCTACACCTCCATGCTTGCAGCATGGCAGACCCTCATGCAATCCACCAAATACAGTGGCCGCGACTTCCCTAGGCAACGCGCCTTCCAGAAGGTGGCTTCCACCAAGAGCAAGGTCCTCCGCCAGGTCGGACAACACAATACGCTGGCTGCACGCACTGTCAGATTAATCCTCAATCATGGCCCTATGGGTGAGTACAGGTCTAGGTTCTTCCCATTCGAAATGACCACTTGCAACTAGTGCCACGAGACACAAACATGCAAGCACATACTATTCTGGTGCACTCATTACCAGCGCCCGCCGGACTTCACGGTCACAAGATACTTATCTTGTCATGACCCCCTCTCCGGTCTTATCAAATTCCCTAGAGACAATCCATCTGCTTTCACATTCGAAGACGCCCCGCTCAACACGGAGGATTTACTAGCAATACTGTAACTTCTGCTCCTTTTACCTTTAACCCATTGCCCACCTCCCCAGGGCTGACAGACCGGGTCTTAAATGAACCCTTAACGCGCTACGATACTCGTTGCTTACTCTTGCTTATACACTGCCGCCTCTGGCGTTACGCTGTGCGGGATATAAATGCATTGATTTAAAAATAAAAATAAAAAAATAAAAAGATGCGTGGACTTCAAATTTAGACTTCCGCTAATCCCTTCCCTGTCCCGACGAGTAGGCCGCTTGCTCTCCTCGCACGACAGCACCTCTCGCAAGACTGTAACAACACATTTACCTATACTACAAACTTCCCTGTTGCCATCCAAGGGCCCGTTTATGACCGGAGTCCGAGGGTGAATCCACAAATGCCGAATCTCCTTCTTCGCCTTCCTTCAACTTGCTATTCAAGTGTACTAGTAATATGAGGGTCTCTCCACGAGGTTCGCGTGTTCACTACGGAATCATGTGTTGCGGATCATCTTGCAAGGCCAGAATATTCTCAGCATGCCTTGGGCATGTAACGCTTAGGCATGGCGTTCAGCTCACTGGCGCCATCCGACCCGGAAACAAATTAGCTCGAGCTGGGCGAGTATCTAAACTGAATCCTGTCCCATAGGGGATGCGCGGGTGCGGTATCGATGGGAATAATGGCTATCATCAGCAAATCGGCAGATCTCTTAGGTGGTCTGAGATGTCTGATCTCTGTCTGAGAGTTCTGAGGGCTTCTGTCGCCTCTGGGCATTCTGAACTCAGACATTACTCAGAACTATCCAGAATGATAAACAGGAATTGAGAACTGGCAGTAGCATACTTGTAAAGTACTAGAATGCAAGCCAGTGATCTTATCATAAAGATGCTAATTACACACGAGCCTGCACTTGTCTTGTACGAGCGTGGGCACAGGTGGGCGGCGGCATTGAAAGAAGACGAGCCTGAGCTTGTCTTGTGCAAGCGTGGGCAGGGATCGGCGGCAGCAGCGAGAGGATCCGAGTTGGTAGACGGTGAGATCAGACGAGATAAGGCCGCGCTCTTCTCGTACGAACGCGGGCAGAGATGGTAGGCGGCAGCGGCGGCGAGACAAGAGGAGGCATGCGCTCGTCGTACAAAAGGAGGCGTGCGCTCATCGTATAAGAGGAGGCGTGCGCTCGTCTAACAGGACGAGCGTGGGCAGAGGTGGTGGTGGTGGGTGGCGGCGGCGAGACAAGAGGAGGCATGCACATGCTCGTCGTAAAAGACGAGCGCGGGCAAAGGGGGTGGCGCTGGACGGCATCGGCGGCGAGATAAGACGAGCGCGAGCAGAGGCGGTGGTGGACGGCGGCGGGGAGAGCAAGCAGGGCAGCAAAGATGTGGCAGCGGCACGTGCCATCGCCACGTCAATGCGTCGTCGTTGCGCACGCTGCGCTCTGCCTCTTGCTCTCACCACCGCCCACTCCCCCCGCCCGCACTCATTTTGTCTCATTTTCTCTCGATGCCGCCACCCACCTGCGACCACGCCCATACCCTCTCGCTACCGCTGCCGATCCCCCGCTCGCGCTCGCACAAGATGAGAGCTCTCGATGCCCTGCACCCACGCTCACACAAGACAAGTGTGAGCTTGTATCCTCTCGCTGCCGCCGCCCACCCCTTCCCGCACTCGTATCCTCTCGCTGCCGCTGCTGATCTCCACCTGCGCTCGCCAAGACGAGTGCAGGTGTGGCCTCTTTCAATGCCGCCGCCCACCTTGCCTGCGCTCGTATCCTCTCGCTGCTGCTGCCCACCCTGTCCGCACTCGTACCCTCTCGCTGCTGACGCTGATCCCACCTGCGCTTGCACAAGATGAGTGCGGGCTTGTCTTCTTTTAATACCGCCACCCACCTGTGCCCGCAAGTGTGGGCCTGTATCCTCTTGCTGCCGCCGCCCACCTTGCCTGTGCTCGTGCTCTCTCGCTGCCACCGCCGATCCTCACCGCCCGCGCTCGCACAGGACGAGTGCGTGCTCGTATTCTTTTGCTGTCGCCGCCCACCTTACCTGCGCTCATATCCTCTTGCTGTCGCTGCCCACCTCGCTTGCGCTCGTACCCTCTCGCTGCCGCTGCCAATCCTAGCCGCCCATGCTTGCACAAGACGAGTGCGGGCTCGTGTTCTCTTGCTGCCGCCGCCCACCTTGCCTGCGCTCGTGCTCTCTCGCTGCCGCTGCCAATGCTAGCCACCCACGCTTGCACAAGACGAGTGCGGGCTCATGTTCTCTTGCTGCCGCTTCCCCCCCTGCCCGCACCCGTACCCTTTTGTTGACCCTCTCGTTGCCATGCGCAGACTGTCGAGCCTCAAACAGAGTCCAAGATGGAGGACTATGTGCCACTCACAATCTGGTGTGCTCATTTTAGATGCCGGGCTGTCCTTTGTTCGTAGTATTTTGCATACAGTAGAATGATAATATTTTGATGGTAATAATGTTGTATGAAATACCTGTGTGAGGCTGCAGACAGGGTCTGAGCTAATGACCAAATCTCTGACTATTGTTCTGGATGAGCTCTGACTGGTCTGACATAAGACAGATGCAGAAAGGTAACCTCCTGACGGCAGAGTCTTGTTCTGACCTCTGATTGGTCTGAGCCATCTGAGTTCAGAACAATCAGAAGCTCTCAGACCTGGATCAGACATCGGCCGATTTCCTGATGATGAGGGTCAGCGGGCACATCATTGGTAGCATTGACTGAGAGTGGGATGGCTGGCTGACTTCTGATTAACATACTTTGATCATGCATTGAAAGAAGGCTCCATCGGTCAAGTTTGGAGAGCAGGTATGATTGGTACTCAACTTCAATGCTTCGCAACTGTGACTCGTGGAGGTGGAGATTGTTTCTCTGCGCCTACATAGCAGGATTACGACTGACTTGTCGCGAGCGTTCAACCTGCCCTAGCGATCGAGAAGCAGCTGAAATGCATCAAAAAGACACTGGAGACTTCCCCGTTCTTTGGGGTTGGTCTGGATTGTCTCATCGATGGCCAATTAGGATTGCATGACACATCTTGACTCTTGAAGCCCAGTACGCCGAGGTGCGGCATCTTCGAGGGAAACAATGGCGCTATGGATTCGAACGATGACATGGTATACACCATGCCATGCCGAGACGCATGGCTCTGCTCTGGTGGATTGAAGCCACTGGCAAGACAGGGGCGGTCACTTCGGCAGTACCACTGGCTGTGCTCACATGACCCATTACATAATTGGATGCGCCGAAGGGGTGCCACCGTTGGAAGCATCGTCCGAGTCTTGAGACCCTCTCCTCCTCTCCTCCTCTCCCCCTCAACACACATCCCTCTCATCCGTCCCCAGGATGATGACAAGAAAGAGAAAAAGCAAGGCCGCCGCCTCTGCCGCACCCGTCGAGCCCGTCGAGCCCGAGGTCGCGCCCAGCGAATCCATCACCGACGCCGCAAAGTCCAACCTCTCGCTCTCGATTCCCGAAGACGTTGATTTCGACCTGCTCAGCAACTTGCTCCCCGACGTGTCCCTCGCCTCGCCCAGCTCCGACGAGATCATCTCACTCTATCGTCTCGTCGTCGTCCAGGCTACGGACATCGACGCCACTCAGCGCGACTTGGAGGAGGCGCGCTCGGAGCTTCAGAAGAAAGACGTCGAGCTCGACCAGGTCTTGCAGGACAAGGAGTCGTCGTCGAAAGAGGTCGAGTCTGAACTAGAGACGCTGCAAAAGGAGCTGAAATACCTTAAGCAGGAGCGCGACCAACTGCGTAGGCGTTGAGGTCATTACGCATGGTTGTGTCCGTGACATTGAATGCCCCTTTCTCTTCTCCAGTGACCTCGCAAACATCCCTCCAAGCGCAAATCACGACGCTCTCCAGCTCTCAATCCTCGTCCTCCACTGAAGTCGAGTCATTGAAGCGCAAAGTCGAGGACACCGAACGGGAGAAGCGTGACCTGGTCGGCATCGTCAGCCGGTTGAAAGAGGATAGCAGTCAACGCGATGGTAGGTCCTCTTACTTTATGTCTCATGCCTCCCTCGCTTACTGTCTTCCAGAGGAAATCCAAACGCTGCGCACGAACCTCAAACAGGCCCGCCACGACTACCAAGCTCTCGAGAGCGAACTCCGGGAAGTCCGCTCGACAGAGACATCCTCCAAAGTGAGCATCCATAAGCCTCTTATGATTTCAATCGCGCGCTGACAATACCCCCTTGTATCCCGCCACCAGTTCAAGGTCGACGCCCTCACGCAGCAGCTCCAGCTCGCCAAAGACGAGGCCGAGCGTGCGACCACGGAGCTCACGACCAAGTCCGAAGACTTCGCGAAGCACCGCCAGACAAAGCACTCCGAGCTCGCACAGCTGCAGTCCGCGCACGACGCGCTCGCACAGACGCATGCTTCGACCGAGGGCACGCTCAAGGCGCTGCAGTCCGCGCACGCATCGCAGTCAAAGCAGCTCGCCCAGCAGCTCGCGCGCGTACAGGAGCTCACGGGGCGCCTCGCGGAGCAGGAGGGCGCGTTCGCGAGCGAGGCCGCGGGTCTGCGGCGGCTCGTGCAGGTCATGGAGGAGCGCGAGGCGCAGGCCAAGGCGATTGTGGAGGGCATCGAGGCGGAGTGGGCGGACGTCGGTGCGCGTGCGGAGCGGCGCGAGGCTGTGCTGCGGGAGGAGATCGCGCAGGAGCGGCGGCGCGCGGAGGACGCGGAGGTGCGGATCGAGGAGATGGAGCGCGTGCTGGAGAAGGTGAATCGCGGGGAGTTCCCGGTACCGGTGGCGGGGAGCATGACGCCCGCGACGCCTGCGCGCGCGGGGGCAGGCGCGGCTCCTGATTTGCTGACGCAGGGCATGATGGGGCTTAGCCCGACAGTCGCGATGGCGAGCCGGTCGCAGCGGTCCGGCAAGACGTTTACGGAGGTGTATGCGGAGTACGTGCGCCTCCAGGAGGAACACGCGCACAAGACGGCCGAGTACGACCACATGGAGCGTACCCTTGGTGCGGTGCTCGCCCAGATCGAAGAACGGGTGCGCAATCCCGCGCTCTCGCTTTCCCGTCGTTTCTCTGATAATTCGGCGGCATGTTTAGGCGCCGATTTTGGCACAGCAGCGCGAAGAGTACGAGCGCGTGCAGTCGGAAGCCGCGCAGCTCGCGTCCCAGCTCGCGGCGGCACTGCGCGATCGCGAGGCGGCGTCCACGAACGCGCAAGAGACGGCGCAGAAGCTCGCGCAGAGCGGGCGCGAGAACGACCTGCTGCAGAAGCAGCTCAACGACCTCGCACGCCAGGTGCAGGCGCTGCTGAAGGAAGTCGGGCGGAAGCACGATGCGTCCCTCCCATCGGATGACGAGCTCGAGCAGGACGACACGGCGCGCCCCGCGGAGAACATCGAAGACGTGATCACGAACCACCTCGTGCTCTTCCGCTCGATCCCAGCGCTGCAGGCGCAGAACCAGAAGCTGCTGCGCATCGTGCGCGAGCTGGGCGCGAAGATGGAGGCGGAGGAGCGCGAGTACAAGGACACGCTTGAGCGGGAGCAGAACGAGGCCGTGCGGGAGGCGCACGATGCGATTCGGGAGCTGCAAGGGCGGCTGGAGAGCCAGCGGAAGAGCCACGAGGTGACAGTGCAGGCGTACGTGAAGGAGCGCGACGCTTTGAAGAGCATGCTCGCGCGCACAGGAGGCGGCGCCATTGCGGAACCGTACGTTAATGGGACTGGGAGCGGGGGCGTGAACGGGGCGGCGGCGGAGAGGGTCGCATCGGAATCGCGGGAGGGCGTGCCCGAGTCAGAGCTGGCGAGGGAGCTGGCGGAGATCCAGAGCCAGTTTGACACGTATAAGATGGAGATGGGGGTCGACAGCGTGCGGGTGCGGGACGAGCTCGTGAAGTTGCAGAGGGAGAACGGGCAGCTCGGGGCGTTGCTCGCCAAGGCGAACGCGAAGATCGAGTACACGGCGGGTGTGTTGCGTCTCATTCATACGTGTATCGTCGACCGTGCTCATCGTTTTTTTTATTGGGTTGCAGAGCGCCACAAGATGGCGCTGGAGCAGTACGCGAACCAGGCGGAGGATTTGCGGGATATGAGTGTCCGGCTGCAGGAGCTGCGCGATAAGTACGCGCGAGCGGATATCGAGTGCAATCGCGCGATCGCGGACGTGATCAGTGCGAACGGGAAGATAGAGCAGCTTGTCAACGAGCGCGCGAATTTGCGCGCGGAGAAGCGGATCTGGGAGGTGTGTGTCGCGCCTTTTACTGATTATTCCTTGTTCTTCTTAATTGGATGGACGTCGGTCAGCCGTCTGGGTGGGTGCGTATATGCTGACTGCGTCTATGTCAATAGGGCGTGCAGAACCGCTTACTGGAAGAGAACAAAGCGCTTTCGATTGAGCGGTCGCATCTGTCGGATCTAATGGGCAATGTGCAGAAGATGCATACGGATCTTGAGCGCTCGGGCGAGAATGATAGAAGGCGGCTGGAGAGTCAGATCCAGATGTTGGAGAATCAGACGTGAGCGCCAAGTTTTATTCGACCGCGCCGACTACCATCTGAGTTTGTTGCTGCAGCCAGGACCTTAGGAGCCAACTTAGCCAGGAACGCGATAGCGTTAGGCATCTGACGCTGAAGAAGGAGATCGAGGTTAAGGAGCTGCAGGCGCGCGTCGACAAGCAGGTGCGTGTTGCTATCACTCAGTTCCCGTCCTGTTTCCAAAGTCTTTCATCTCACCGGCGCGCACCAAATTGTAGGCGCAGGACCTATCGCATACCCGCGAGTCGCTGATCGGCGCTCAAATGAGCAAAACCCATCTCGAGGAACGCGTCGCGGAGCTTTCACGCCAGCTCCAGGGCAACGAAGAGAAGCTGGCCGTGTACGAGCGGCGTGGGTCTACTAGCGCTCTGGCGAACGGTGACGCACAGCCAGGGGTCTCTGGCGCCGATCATCTGAGCAAGGAGCAGCAACTTGAGGCTGAGGTGGCAGAACTTCGGTGCGTTTTGTGTCCCTTCATATCCTATGCGATGCTTATGATGCTAATTGACTCATGAACGCAGCGCTGCGTTGAAAGTTACTGAGCTCGACCTGACGAATGCGCGAGGCCATGTGCAGCAGTTCCAAGAGATCAGCCAGGCGAACGAAGCGGCGCTAGCGAGCTTGAATGCGACCTACGACGACTACAAGTCGTCCACGGAATCGCAGCTCGCGAAGCACGAGGTACGTTGCGTTGGATGCTGGACATCTGAGTCGATGGCTGACTTGAGTTGCAGTCCGACTACAACGCTCTGTCGGAGAACTTGCGCGTCGTCCAGCAGGAGCTGACGGCGTCTCGGGAGGCGATGGCGGAAACGAAACGCACGTTTGACGAGGAGCGAGAGTCATGGGCGAACGACAAGCGGACGCTTGAGGATACCCTCGTCGAGTTGACCACGTCGGAGAAGCATATCGCGGAAGATCGGACGTCGCACGATGCGGAGATTCGGCAGCAGGAAGAGCGAGCCAAGGTACGTACAGGACGTTCAAATTCTCGTCTCCTAGCACTCATCTTCTGACGGCGTCTGTTCAAAAGTCTGCCGAGGCTAAGTACAAGAACGAAGTCATCGCTCATGGCGAGTCGCTTCGGGACCTCGAAAGCTTGAAGGAGCAGTTGTCGAAGCTGCAGGCCGAGGCGAGGACGCACCTGGCCGCCGCGGAGACTGCCCAAGCCAAGTTGGTGTCGTCCGAATCTAGCTGGGGCCAGCAGAGAGAGGCCCTCGACAAGGAGATCGCTGATTTGACAGCTAGGCAAGTCATCCGTGTTGGCGCGGCACGCAACGGGGTTCTAAATCTCTGAGTCTAGGTCGAAGGAGTTAACGGAGCAGAACAAGGTACTCCACCAACACTTGGACTCGGTCAGTTCGCAGGCTGCCCGCATCCGTCAAGCTGCCGATGCAAGTTCTGCGCCGTCTGGGGACGCCGAGCCCGCCGGCGACGTAGACGAGAAGCTTTCTGATTTGCGCCGGGTGATCGCATACTTGCGCAGAGAGAAGGAAATTGTCGATATGCAGCTCGAGCTGAGCAAGCAGGAGAATGCTCGCTTGAAGCTCCAGGTAACCCGCCTCAGCCAGGACCTCGAAGACACCAGGGCCACGCTTTCTGAGGTGGGCACTTTTTTATGCGATCAAATCACGCAGTCAGATAATTTGATCTTGCCCCGTTCAGGAACGTGAACGTGCCGTCGCCGCGGTTGCGACCGATGCACAGCACGCGGAACTGGTGGAGAAGATCAATCAACTGACCATCCTCCGGGAGAGCAACGCGACGTTGCGCGCGGATGCCGAATCTCAAGGGAAGCGCGCCCGGGCTCTGGACGCCAAGCTCACGGCCTTGTCCGCTGAGATCGAGCCCTTGCGGGAGCAGGTTCGCATGACGCAGGCTGAGCTGGAGGGACGCCAGGGCCACATTCAGCGCCTGGAGGAAGAGAACAAAATGTGGCAGCAGCGTAGCTCTCAGCTGCTTAGCAAGGTAAGCGTATCAGTGACGTGCATATACATATCTCCTCATATGTACCTGTTCTAGTATGATCGCATCGACCCTGCAGAGGTGCAGGCCCTCAAGGACGAGATAGAGCGTCTGAAATCCGAGAAGGCCGAATTCGATGTTGCGTTGTCTACTCGAGACCAGCAGCTGCAGGAGCGTCAAACATATGTTAGTTGATGGCATTCTGACGAGAGAACACAACACTGAAGATAATCTTTGTACAGGTTGAAGGTCTCGAGAAAAACATCCGAGACCACAGAGATCTCAAGACTCGAACGGAGACCATGTTCCGGCAGAAACTGGGCCAACTCAACGGGGACAAGACTCGGTTGACCGCGGAGAACACTCAGCTGACCAAGGACCTCCAAGCCCTACAAACGCAACTGAAAGCTCTCGGTGCCGAGCGCGACGCGATCAAGGCTACGCCGGCCACCGACTCTTCTCAGCATATTGTTCAAGAGCTGGAAAAGATCCGAAAGGAGAAAGTGGCGCTCGAACAGGCTCTGCAGCAGGAGAAGGCCCAAAAGGCGGAGTCATCCAGCGGTGCGGCTGGCCAAGCTGCACTCGTCGTAAGTTCGCTGTCAATTTGGTACAGAGGCATGGCTGAGCATCCCCATAGGCATCTCTTACGCAGGAGCGGGATCGCTTGCTTGCCGAAAAGGCGACTTGGGCGACAGCCACCCCAGCGGCGTCGGTTGAAACATCATCCAAGGAGTGGGCGGCCGAAAAGGCTGAGCTCGTCAAAACTCGTGACGAAGCTTCTACACAAGCGAAGGTAAGAATGCGGTTACATCTTCAGAATACATCCATCTCATGTACGCTTCAAAGGCCATCCAAACCGAGCTCGAGAAGCTCAAGGAGGAAGCGCGCAACTTGAGCTTGGCCAATGTCAGTTCAACGACCCAATACTCCGAATTTTTACTGACGTGGGAGACAACAGAAAAAATTTCAGCAGAGGCTCCAGGAGAACCAAGCAGCCCGTCAACGGGCTACCGCCGAGCACGAGGCCGCTATCAAGGCCGCAGTCGATAAGGCCACGAGCGAATTGCAAGCCGCCGCCTCATCCTCATCGTCTGATGAGCTTATCAAAAAGCATACGGAGGAGCTCCAGGCACTAGAGCAACGCCTCCGCACGAAGCACCAGGGTGAATTGAAGGCTGCCGTCGATGCTGCGGTTGCTAAAGCCAAAGAGCAATCCTCAACAACGCCAGCCACTGGAGAAAAGGCCGGAGCGGTCAATGCGAAGCACCAGGAGGAGATTGCGAAGGCAATGGAGTCTGGGAGGCTGGAAGGGCAGTTGAAGATGAAGATGAAGGACAGTCAGCTGGTGCGAGCGCAGTCGCGCGTCAAGGCGCTAGAGGCGCAGATTGAGCAGTGGAAGAAAAGCGGTCTCATCCCGGAGACAATGACCACATCTCCTACTGCGCCGACAACCCAGGCATCTGCATCCGCCCCTGCATCTGCCTCTGCACCTGTGGCACCCGCCCCGGCTACCAATACGGCGGCATCGGCTGGGCGAGGCGCGCCTCGAGCCAGTGCGGCTGCTGCCCTTCCCCGCAAGCCATCACTCGCCTCCGCCGCACCTCTAGCCTCAGGGGCGCCTGGCAGAGGTCGCGGTCAGGGCGCTGGTCGTGGACTCAACATTCGCGGGAGCGCCGCTGCAGCTTCCTCCGAGGCAGGTCCCTCCAATCAAGGCGGTGTGTCTATCATAGGTGCTGCGGGGAAGCGCGCGCGAGAGGAAACCGGAGCGCCTGCGAGCGACTCGCTCGCGAAACGGCTGAAGCCCACTGACGGAAGTGCTCCCGGGACCGGCGGTAAACCAGTGACGCTGCAGCGCAATCGGGTTGGACCTTCATGATATCTCAGACTCTCATCTGCATTTTTTTTTTCTTTTTACCCTCGATTGTATTGTTACCTGCACAACTACAGTGTACATCAGATCCTCAGGCTAATTTATCTATACAAGCTTGTACCGGCTTGAAGTTTTTTACTCTCTCTCCCTATCTCTTGATACCGAGCCTCGATGCTCTCGCAGTAAGATGTGCTTCACACAGAAGATTGCCAAGGTGTAACATGTGAGGTCAATAGACAAGTATGCAGTAGCCCAGCTCATAAATAATCGAAGACAGGTCGTAGCGACTCGTCGAAGGCTCGTGAGACATCACCGTGAAAAAATGCGTAAGTAGGTATGCAAGATGGTGATAGAAGAAATGTCAACGTGTGACAAGGACGAAGGCGTGAAGAGGAACATGCGGCGCGTAAAGGAGACGGAACGTGAAGGTGTGAAGAGTCGTGAACGCGTAAATCAGGGTCATGGAGGGATCAGCCTAGGATCGACAGCAGGGCATAGATAGAGACGACAGCAGAGCGACGATAGACAGTGGGACGGACAATAGGAGAGCGGGATGCAGATTTTGGGAGAGGATAAATTTGCGAGGGAGGAGATGCAGATATGATGGTATAAACAGATAGATCGTGAAGAAATATGGGGGGAAGACGAAGAGGACGGGCGATAGATAAGATCCGAAGCAAAGGAGTGGAACGCGCCAGAACGGCTGAGTAGACATGTGATGGGCTTTGTCCGCATCGAAAAGACCAAGAAAAAGTAGAGGAGAGGAGAAAGGAGAAATCGAGCGTTACCCACACACTATAGGACGCACGCGGACGTCATTCATTCCGCCTTGGACGATATTTTTGAAACTGTCTTGCCACTGACGATGGCCTTGATGGCCCGTCGGACATTGCGCACGGTATTCGTGCGCTCGTCTTTCGACATGGGGATGTGCGTGGTCCCATTCGCATCGCCGCTGAAGGACTGCATCATCCCGAGCTCGTCGACGCTCACCGTCCTGCGCTTCTCAAAGTCATCGCTAGACACGGGCGCAGGCATCGCCCGGCGGGTCGAGTGAAACATCCTCGATGCGGGCCGGTGCGATGCCGATGCCTGCGTCTGAGGGACGTTGGTGACGGGTCCGATGTTATCGGACTGGTACCCGCGGCCGACGCGCTTGACGCCCGACGTGGCCATCAGGAAGCGGTCGTACACGCCTTCGACGCGGCGCTGCGTGGTGGGCGACTCGACGATGGGTGAGTTGAGCGAGCACACCCTATTGGGATACGGCTCGACGCTGAAAGGGGATGCGGTGAGGCTGTCATCGCCCCCCAGTTTGTCAGTGAAGATCTGGATAGATGGCGTCTGCGGCATGTTGAAGGTTTCCCGCCTCGCAGATGGCGACTCGGCGATAAAAAGGCTCCTGTCGATGACCGCGCTGAGCGGCAATGGTGGAGATGGCTTGGACACTGATGCAAACACAGCCTTCAATCAAACCGAACACATGTGCGAAGAGACAGAGGGCGGATAGCTTACGTCGTTCCAATTCGAGTGTCAGCGTTTCGATCGGGCTGATGGGCCTCGACAGCAGCTCGCTGTGCGACTTTGACTTTTCCCTCCGTTTCGACGGCGACTCGGGCTCAGCCACGAACACGCCGCCCTGTTCCGGGGAATGTCCGACGACCGTCGCTCGTCGCGAGCGATGCGGACTCTGCGTCAACCCAAAAGCATGGCTGGGCTCTTCCGACGGTATCGTCGGGAGTGTATGTGCGGGGGACGGGGTCGTCAGCGGAGACCGCGACGAGGAGGCGGTCAACAAGCTGTCGTCGGTGACCACGCTGTGGTCTGTGTCTTGGTGGAAGATCTGGCTGGCGGCCAAGATCTTGCGTGGGAGGCGAGAGGAGCGTGCAGACAGGTTGCGCGAAGTGGCGCGCGTCACGGGCGGGGCGATGGGGAGAGGGGGGAGCTGAGTGACGCTGGACGAGGCAAAGTTTTGGCGGGCGTCCTCGACGACCTCTGTGAAACGACGCCGTTAGTTGAGTGTCTCACTGCGAGGAATGTGCGGACGAACTCTCGACGTTCTGAATCCAGATGGTCATGCGGTCCGCCCTGTTGTCCGCGCCGGCACGCTCATTGCGGAAGGCTTGATGCACGACGGGCAGCGTAGAGTTGGCTATCATACGTAAATATCAAGCATACCGTCGCGATGAGATCAAAGTACCTTGTTTCATGAGCTCCTCGTCCTCCCAAGACGGGGTTCTGCTCATATCGCCCTGGTGCACTTCCTCCGCAGAGGTAGACGTAGGCTGGGTGGACCGCCGTCCGAAGTATCCGAGGGTAGACGACTTGTACAGCTGGACCGTCTTGCCTGCACGTGGACTGGAATGAGAAAAGGTTTATTCAACGATCGACGGCGACGGAAGACTCACCCAGAGACATCTTGAGGCTTTGCTTCAAGATGCTGAGTCCAGATTCGTTAGCGGAAACCGACCGAGGGAACGAAGTATCATGCATGAAGAAATTCATGTCTAGATGATGCAATACAAGCGCAAGTGCGGTCCGTCAGCGCCACTCGTCGATAGATATACCAGCACATGGACTTCATACCGGGAGACACCGGCGTGGGCGGAATGCTGTCGGTGGGTGTTTTCGAGACACGCACAGCATCGTGGCGCGCGTGGACGTCCTCGCGCAATATATCCTCGCTGCGCGTCCGCCTCTCTCCCTCCCCTCTCTCCGCGCTCTCCGCGATCCGGATCCGCCACCCCTGCTCTTGCTCGCTCTCCGTGGCCGGCGAAGACGGGGGCGACAGCATGACAGTCTCCCGCAGCCGCTCCCGCTCTCTCTCCCACTCGCGCATCCGATCTCGCACGCTCCCCATGCTCTTCCCTTCCTCCACCTGACTATTCCCCTCTCCCTCCTCCACCGCCGCACTCTTCTGTGCACCAGCGACACCAGCAACAGCAACAACACCAGCACCAGCACCGACCTTCTTCACATTCTCCTTCACATTCTCCACGTTCCTCGCATGCGCGGTCCGGTCTACCAACGCTCCCCCAGGGCGCCGCACAGGCTCCCGATCCTTCGGCGGGACCTTCGGTGCAAACTCCCGGCTCGCCACCTGCGGGACGGGCTTGCGCGGGATCGAGTGCTTGCGCTGCGCCGCGGCATTCTCCTTGCCCATCGCAGAGGTCACGCGCCCGAGCCCGAGTCCGGCACCTCCGGCGGCCCTGTCCTTGCGCGCGCTGACCGGGGTCGGCGGCGGCGAGCCAACAATCGGGGCGAGCACGTTGACGTGCGCGCCCACCCGCCTCTTCGTCGCCTGCGTCTGCGCGAGCACTACGTCGCCCAGGTTACACGCGCAGAGAAAACGAGCCCGATCGTCAGCCCCATGTGTATCGCGCACATCACCACGACGCGAACGCGCTGCTTACCGTCACTACCGGCCTGGACCCGCGGCTGCGACTGCGATCGCGCGTGGCCCGCGCGTGCCGCCCCACCGGGCGAGAGCAGCCTCTGCGCCTTCGGCCTCGCGGCGCCCGGCGTGGCGAACGCGTTTTCCTTGTCCACAGACGACGACGCAGATGCGGAAGTGGCGGCGCCGGCCTTGGGCTTGCGCTCTTTCTCCTTGTCACGTTGGTCCTTGCTGAGTCGCCGGGTCGACCAGGGCGAGATGATGTCGATCAGCTTCGTGCCGTCCTTGTCTTTCTCGGGGGTCGGCGTGGAGGTGGCCGCGCCCGTGAAGGACATGCTCGCGGACTTGCCTGTCAACGAGCTGTGAGAGGGAACATGAGGAAGATGTGCAGAAGCGCCGACGTACGATGGGCGGCGGCGAAAGCGTCTTTGGACTCTGCCCAGTACAAGTCCAACATGGCGTCTTTGGCCATACAGCGGAGGTCTGCGTTTGGCTGGATCATCCGCCGGAGCATCTTCTCTGCGCCCTTGGACATCTTCCACGTGCCGACCCACTTGCCGCGGAGCTGGAGACACCATATTTGTTCAGCAAGATCCTAATCCCAACACTGTCTCTCTTTGTTGATAAGCGTTCACGCACCGTGCGGCCCCAATACTTCTCCAGGTCTTCCTTGGTGGTAAACTGCTCGCCCTCGGCGTTTTCAAAGGGTGTCCGGCCAATAAGGATCTCGAAGAACGTTACGCCGAGCGACCAGACGTCAGACTTGCGTGTGTCATGGGGCAATCCCCGCGCACGCTCCGGAGACAGATACTAGATCGTGGAGATGGTTAAATCACACCGGCAGGACGTCAGCATTGCGCATAAACCTGCCTCTGGCGTGCCATAGGTGAGATTGCTGTGAAAGGCCTTCGATGACTTGACGTCATACTTCTCGGCAAAACCGAAGTCCACCAGAACCGGGACATGATCCTGGGAAAGTAAGATATTGGCGGGCCTAATTTACGCGGTCACGTTTAGCGCGAGCCTGAAAACGGAAGCAATCGAGAGACGCGAACTTGATGTCGTTGTGTACGACGCCCCGCTTGTGGAGGAATTGGACGCCGGACAATAATGAGCGGAACCAATCCTTGGCCTTTATTTCTGGTACCTCTACTGGTATGAGTTCGGGAAGATAGTCCCTGTAAGCGACATGTCAGTACGTCGGGCATGTATGCGGGAGACTGCAGTGTTCCCTCTTCTTCTCAGCGTCGGCTGCGCTCGCATGTTCACATGCGATGCATGTTGTGACCTCACCGGAGCGGCAGGATGAAAGGTACTTACATAGTAATCAATGCGTACGAGGGTGTAATGATGAACGAATGAAACGGCACGATGGAAGGGTGCGGGTCGTTCTTGAAAGAGCGAACGACTTTCATTTCGTTCCATCTAGACGAGGCTGTAAAGAATGGAACCAATGGCTTGTCACGAGAGCACCTACAGAGATCGAACGCGGGCAGCTGTCGTCGTGGTCTTTGACCGGTGAACAAGCTTGACCGCGACCTGGACGTTGTCCTGAGGTTGTTTCGTTCGGGCAGACTTGGGGCTACATAACCATACACTGCCCCAGTTCCCGAAACCAATCTATCGCAGCAGCAGAGCAGTGGTCGTTAGCGGGGGTTTTGGAGAAAGCACGGAGATATCGGGCGTGTTACTTACTTCCCGAATGAACTGTAACCTGTCAGCCAAAACCTGATCGGAGAGAGAGAATATGTCGGTAGCTTCCTGCGGGGGTAGAAGCGGCAACATTGTGTGCGAAGAGAACAAATAGTGATACAGACTACAAAGCGACAAAACAAGACGACGAGAGGGGGGCCAGGGTGAGACAGAACAGAGGACAGCGAGCAGAGACAAGGCAACGGCCCCACATATGGGAGAACGAACACCGTCACAACACCCGCAAACAACGCGCGTCCCCGTGGCCACGTCGCGTCCCCCGATCTCGTCACGTGCTTCGCTTCGTTCCCTCCGAGTCAGCACCGACATCATCATACATAATATCCATTCACTTCCTTCCTTCCCTCCTCCCTCCCTCCCTCCTCCCCTCATCTAGTACTCTTCCTCAGGTCGGTCGTGCTCCTCGCCAGAGTACTTACGATCGCCCATTTGGTCATCGCGGCACCCTTCAGCCGCTGGCATCAAAATTGCCGACAGCGCTGAGAACACGTTTCGCACTGACATATTCAATATCCAATTAGTCCAAGTTGTGTCCTTCGACAGGACCCCGTCCCCTCCCGTCTCGCCCTGTCTCGTCTTATCAAGTGAGTCTATATATCGGACTGACACAGAAACAGCCAAGCGCGTTCCGTTCAGGAATAAGGAAGCCCTTCCTTCTCGAACCCTCCGACCAGCTTGCCCCTCCACCTTTTGTCCGCAAAATTAAGCTCCTTCCATTCCACCGACTCTAAGACCAGATCCGCTTCGTTCATCTCGCATTCCACACCACGACCACGTCTGCGGCAACGCATCGCTGAGCAAAGGCAATCCTCCTGTTTGCGCACCAACCGCGCCCGAGCCCACGTCCTTCTAACCGCGTCGTGAGCACTCCCGATGGCGCGATTTCCTATAGGCGCCGAAGGCTGCCTTGCGCCTTCCAGAGATCATCCTGGCAGCACGGCAGCAGCTCCCTGCATCGACGCGCGCATGAACAGGCAGGAGATCCACACGCCGACTGACTCGTTGAACGTGTTCTGGAATGCCGCTTGGGATCCCGTGTCGAGCTTGATGTAGGAGTCCGCAATGACGCACCCGTCGCGGGTCGTGGAGCCATGGCAATTGTGCCCCATTGTGTCTCACCCTGGGCGGTGCAGCGATGCGATGCACAGCGCGTGCCTGCAGACGTCGTGCAAGAAGTGCTCTGTGCTTACGATGCGAGCGAGACGGAGGATGCGCGCGCATACCTTCATTGTCATGTGCTCGGAGACCACGTCTCGCCCTCCGTAGCCTAGTCGTAGCCTTCCCTGAGAGGCAGTAGAACGTGATGGCAAGCATCGAAGATGCCTCACTATGCGCTTAGAGAACATGCGCAAGCGTACTTCACCTGCCTGCTCCCGAGGGCCACCTGCACGGGGCTGCGACGGTCATCGGCCTAGCGCGCCTTCGGCATGTTTGTAACCTCCCGACGCCGAGTCGTGCGATGCGTGCAGCTTTCTCCTTTCGACTTCGGTGGGCTCAGAAGGCGCACATGACCTCGGCACGCGCAAGTCTTTGAAGGCTGAGGAGATAGATGTGCACGGCAGGCGCTTGAAGACGGCGCGTAACGCATAAGAACCAACAACACTAATTATGTGCCTGTTTTCCGAGAAGTGAGAGATACCACAGTATCAGAGCGAGGTCATGCATGGTCGACTGCGGATTTTTGTGTCCCATGCAATCCCATATGTATCACAGATGTCCAGCAGCCAAAGAGTCCTCTCAGCGCCAGCGTACTGCCAGCGTCTCAGACCTTTTTCTGAAATTCGAGTCACGTTATCTGAGACCATCGTTCCGCCTGGCCTCTCCTTCACCTTTACCGCCTACTGCGACATCGTCGGCTCATTGCCGTCTCCATCAGTCTCCATCTCGAGAAAGCCTTCTGCGATGTTCCCATGTTTCTTAAAAGGCTTGAGAGTCTGCTAATCTCTCTGCCTTTGTCTCGACCTCACCGTATTCGTCACAACCACATCCCTCGTAATCTACTAAACTCCTCGTGTTCAAATCCCTGGCGCAGACTCGGATGTGGTTCCTTGAAATATCCTCTCTCGGAACGTATTGCTCATGGTAAATTTGCATCGACATGGATGCCGAAGGAATGGATGCTCGCGGGCGCCTTTGGGATCCAACCCACGTCCGAGGCGCCGTCAGGCTTGCTGGCCCTGTCCGTGATCGTTGGACTTCCTCTCGCTTTATGGACGTACAAGGTGAGTACGGTGTACCTTCACTCGCTGGTGCAACGTGCCAACGCATTTGAGCAGTGCATCATGATGTACGTCTTCCAGCGGAAGATCATCTACATGGGTGCGTGCTCGCGTGTCCCGCGTGAAGTTTGCGCAGCGTATGTAACTTTGCGTTGACCCACAGGGTATGTGCCAATGGGTGCTAGATCTGAAGCTCTGCATGAAGATGTACGCGTCCCAAAAGGGATCGTATGCCATGAGATCAGGATTCCTAGCGACAAAAGAGTGACGCTATCGGGCATTCTCGTACACCGAGAGAACGCCCATCGTATCACGCACCACCCTGAAACTGTCATCGTTTATTTCCAAGGTATGCACATGTGTATGATGTCTACCTTAACCTCGTACTGACAAAGTAAACAGGCAATGCCGGCAACCCTCTGAACCGCCTCCCCATCTTTGATTCGCTACTCTCCGCGATACCTTCCGCGACCATCCTCGCCGTAGCGCCCCGTTCATACTGGACGTCGTCCATGCGCACCCCTACGCAGTCTGGTCTCACGCAAGACTACACCCGCGTGTTGACCTATGCAGCCGACCGCTTCCCCAACTCAAACCTCGTCGTCTACGGGCACTCCCTCGGAGGCGCCATAGCCCCCTGCGTCCTCGCCCAGATCCCGTCCACACAGCTGCCCCGCGTGCGCGGCCTAGTCCTCGAGAACCCCTTCTCGTCCGTCCCCGCCATGCTCCGCGCACTCTACCCGCAAAAGTGGCTGCCGTATCACCACATGGGCCCGCTCGTGTGGGATAGGTGGGACGCGCTGCGCGCAGTCGAGGCGCCGCCGGAGGGCTCGGTGCTGCGGAGCGTGCTGGGAAGGACGGCGGTGTTCGTGAGCGAAAGGGACGAGGTCGTGCCGCCGGAGATGGGGCGCGATATCTTCGCGAGGTGTCAGGGCTCGATGAAGGGAGAAGTGGGTGTCGATCTAGGGAGGTTGGTTGTGGTGAATGGGGCGCTGCATGAGGATGCATGGAAGAAGCGGCAGTGGACGTTAGAGATGAAAGCGTACATTCAAGCAATCGAGAGGATCTCGCGCATCGGAGAGGGGGATTCTGACCCGAAGAAATGATCGCGCTAAATCGGAACAAAAAAAATAATGAATCAAGTTTATTTATGGGTAAGGCTTGAAGCTCTAATTCTGTCGAGCGACCATTCACAGTCTCTGTACATCATACAGACTTCAACCCTTCCTCATCGACGACCTTCCACTTGAGGAACATCTCTGCCAACTTTGCCCACCTCCCCTCGTCTGCGGCCATCAGCTCTGTCCACTCCTTGGAACCAGTCCCCAACACATCCTCGAGCCATAACAAGCTTGCATAGAAGGAGACGTCTGCGAACGAGGGTGTGTCACCCATGACGAAAACGGTCCCTTTGCTGTTCTCCTGCAACCAGCCATCGATCTCCGTAAGCCCCTTCCGTGCGATACCCCACAGCGCGGTTCGAGCTTCACCCTGCGGCGTATACTGTTCGAGCGTCTTCTCAAACAAAGCCTCTCGCGTACATTAGAAGAACTCCGCGCTAGGAGGATTGAGCTTCAGTGTGCTGGGCAGCGCAACAAGGGTGAAGATGGAACCGCCCACTTTCTGGTCCCAGACGTCGATGAACATCGCGTGGAGGGCATCCGTACCCGCGGGGACGAGGGTGAACGGCGTGCTCGGGTATGTGGTGTCCAGGTGTGTGTGTGTGTGTGAAGTCATGTATTAACGTCTAGTGGCGGCGCGCCGCATGTCTAGACGTGTAGCTGTATGTACTCTGCGGTAGTGTGAATGTATGTAAGCATGATCCAACTCTATGCTCTGCATTGGCCCTCAAGGGGCATGTGTTTACCTCAGGGAGGTTGGGTCGCATGGCGAGAATTATGGTGGTATAGTAAGGTATCGTACTTAACTGTTGTTTGGTCCGGTAGCAGGTGCTGTGTTTAACCAGCTGCGTAACGTGGCCGCCATCTGTCTCTGTTCCGCGGTTCGAATCTGCACGAGTCTCGTCGCTCCTCTATGACCGCCTCCTCCTCGCGCTCGGGGTGTGGTTGGTTGTGTTCGTCGCTCGTTTCGGCTCCTAGGTCCGTCCAGCTCCGTCTCCATGGTCTTTGGCAGGTTCAGGTCTCCGAATGTCTTCTTGAAGCGCTGGGTTTCGTGTATGAACTCGAATAGGTGTTTGAACATCGATGGGTTGGATAATAGTTCGGAAAGGTTACGGCTCGCTCGCCCTACCGCTTGCTCAAGGCGGTGTCGACTGTTGGTAAAGCTTCGGCATTCGAGAAGGAAGTGGGCCACCGTCTCATCGCGCTGCCCACACGCGGGACAGGTGGGGTTCTCGAACTCGTCTGGACGTATACGGTGTAGGTGACGTTGTAATGGTGCGTGGCCAGTGCGTAGTTGCATAAGGGTAGCGGCATGTCGACGCGGGAGAGAAGAAGTGATTTTCCGAAACCTGTTCGAAGGTGCTGTGGGATCTATCCTCTGCAGCTTTTGCCATCTCGGTGACTGTTCCATGAGTTTTTTCCAGCGCTTCTTGAGTCCATCGTTGAACCTTTGCCTTGCCGCCGACCGGCTGAAGGGAAGCTGTCCCCTGATCGCCTTTGGTAGTACTATGTCCATGCTCGTGAGTCCTCTCGCTGCCGCCTTCGCTTCCTCGTCGCTTCTCTCGTTTCCTACAATATCGACGTGCCCTGGTACCCATCGTAAGGTTGGTCGTCCTCTGCCTCTGCCTCCGAACTCCTTCTCTACCTTGTCGTGAATTGCGTCGACAAGATATGATCCTGGGGTGCTCCTGGCTATCTTTGTGGCCTGTATCGCAGCGACGTTGTCCAGTGCTATCGATGCCGAGCGATGCGGTGGTTCGTTTTGTATGAGCTGTAGAGCAAGAAGGATGCCGGTAAGTTCTGCTTCGTATACGGTGTGATGTTCTGCTCTGCCGAGGTGCTTGTGCAGCCTCGCTTTTTCGTTACCGTGTCTGAACAGGACCGCCGCTGCCCCTACTCCCCCTTCTATTAGAGATCCATCTGAATATACCTGTATTTCGTCTCTGTTTTGTTTCTCGGCTTCGATGGCTCCATCTTTGTTGGGTGCAATGCTCGTTTGGATGGCTGACTGCCACTTTGGATCGAGTCGCACGGCTTTGATGTCTTCAAATTGGCTTGGAAAGATGGCGTAGGCTTCGTTTAGGAGCCTATGGAGAGGGGAGCGATCTGGTGTATGGGTTGTCGCGTCTGCGGCCGCTATGGTGTGTCTGTAGAGGGGATGCTCGTCGGCTAGTGTTGCCAGTCTGGTGGCTTCGTCATGGCACTTTTTGTCGACCAGTAGGCTGAATGGTAAAAGATCTGCGTGTGCGTCAAGAATATCAGTAGCGGTGGTGCGCATGGCACCGGTTATGTGTATGGCTGCCTGTCTCTGGACTCTGGCTAGCTTCTCTATCATGCCTTTGGAGCCTTTGCCCTCACGCGATGGTGGGGACAGGAAAATGTCCACCCCATACAGCATTCTCGGCAGCGCAACGCTGGTGTAAAATTGTCTCATGTATCTCGTAGAGACGCCTTTAGAAGGGCGCGCCAGCCGTCTGTAGTGTGTCACCCACTTTGTGCCTTTGGCTAGTGCAGACGCGGCGTGCTCCTTGAAATTTAGCTCCTGATCGATTATAATGCCGAGGAATTTGTGAGATTTTGACGGGTGGATGTGCGTACCTCTCAGAGTGATGCTTGGTCTTTCCAGCGCCCTGTACTCAAACTTCTTGTCTTTCTTTCCCCTGTTGCGTGCCTCCTCTCTCGTGCGAACACGATGTCTCGCTTTCACCTTCTCTTTTTTCCTTGTGAACCCCACCAATGCAAACTTATCGACAGCGAAAGTGCAGTTGTGTGTGTCAGCCCAGTCGAAGGCTCCGCCTGCTCGTTCCATCATATCCTGCAGCTTGTCAGCCGCCTCTGCCATCGTCTCCGCTGTTGCGATGTATGCGGTATCATCTACGAAGGCCACTCCGTCTTCTCGATTGGCCCTGTTTGGGACATCTAGCAGGTCAGCATTGTAAAACTGAAATAAAATTCCGGACAGCGGGCACCCCTGGTCCGCGCCGCAAGGGAATGTAAGCCAGTCTGATGTGTATCCATCGAAGATGAGTTTTGTGCGTCTGTGTCCTGTCTTGATACGAATCCACTCCGTGTACTCCTTTGGGACGCCTCGTTTTCGCATATTGTGGACGAGACGGTTTAAATTAATGCTTGGAAACGCTCCCTTTATGTCCAAGAAAAGGACACATGCCGCTTCTTTGTTGTCCATGGCGTCGTGTAGTTTGCGCGTGACATAGTGAAGTGAGTCTGTCGTCTTCCGGCCGGCTCTGCAGCCAAAATGTGTGTCGGGAAGGAGGTGATGGAGTTCGGCTAGTTGCATTAGTTCAGACGCGATGCAGGCTGAAAGAATTTTGGCGATAGTGCGGAGTAGGGCAATTGGCCTGTATGCATTAGGATTGGAGTAGTCTGGTTTGCCGAGTTTTCGTAGTACGAGCGTCCGCGAGTCTTTCCAGTCCTGAGGGTAGATGCCAAGCGAGAATGTGGCGCGGAAGATGGGTCCAAGAAATGGGACTAGGATGCTTGCGCAGTTTTTGTAGACAATATTTGGGATGCCGTCGTCGCCAGGGGCTTTGAGGCCATAGAGTCTCTCTATGGCTCTGTAGATTTGAGCGTTGGTTACAGGACGGAAGGGAAATGCTGGTTCAGGGTAGCTGTGGTCCATCGGGCTAGGTGCCTGAGTCTCGTCCTGTGAAAAGAAGCTTTCGAATAAAAAATGGCTCTTGGCCTCGTTAGTCTCCACTTCTACTACTACGCCATTCTCTTCTTTGCGCTTGAGCGTCGGGACGCGCGCCTGAGCCCCATCTGATGAAGTTTTATCCACGTACTTATTTGCTATCCATATTTCCTCGCCTTGCAGGTTCTCTAACCATTCCTCCCAATGTGTCTTCTTTGCCTTTTCAATTGCGTCTGCGTAGTTCCTCCGTGCCTGCTCATGCTCCTCATGTGCTGTGTGTTCCGGGTCGGCTCTGTGCCTGTAGGCTCGTCTTGCGAGTGTTTTGTTTGTTTTCTTCATTTCGGTGAGTTCTGTCGTCCACCACCTTTTTGAGTACGGGGATGGCCTGGACTTGGGAACGTTGCGCTCGACAGCTTTTTCGATAGCTTCCGTGACGCATCTGAGTGCAGCATGAAATTCTTGTGGGGTTTGTAGCTCTGGTGGTACGCTGTCCCGTGTGTCTGGGAGATGGGCGCGTAGCGTGTCCTTGAAGTCCTTCCAGTCCACCTTGCGAAAGTTGAATTTCGGGGTGTTGATCTCGAGGTGCCGCTCGATGTCCAGGCTCGTGAGGATTGGGATGTGGTCGGTTTTCGGTGGCCTAAGTTCGGGAAAGGTTTTACATTGAAGTATCCTGTCGCGAAAGTTGTCAGTAATGAATACATTATCCGTTCTCGTGTAATTTCCAGAGTTCATGGCCCGTAAGGTGGGGATATACTTCTCTAAAGCCATCACTAAGCCGTGGTTTGCTGTGATCTCGATCAGTTCCTCCGCACTTTCCAGGTTTGACGACGTAAACAGGTGTTGGTTGCGTGGCTCATCCCACATAGGGTGATGCCGATTGAAATCTCCTACCCATAGGGAAGCGACTCTTTCGTTTGGTGCATCGCGTCGCCTGGTTCGCACATATGTGTCTACTGTGCGTATCGTCTCCGAGTGGGTGCAGTCATTGTAGATGTTGACTATCTCCAACGTGCCTGCAGCGCTCGTTAAGCGGATTGCTGTCGCGTCTTGGGAGTCTATTGGTACTATCGTCCATTGGTCGGTACTGATGCGGGTCCTGATCATAATGACGGAGCGCGTCTTTGTGTGGTCCTTACGGTGTGACGGGGGGTATACCGTTCGCCAGTGTGTGTTTGCTCTCGTGTTACCCCAGTGGTCGAGGTATGGTTCTTGGATGCACGCTATGTCTACGTCTTGTTCTTGCAGGGTTTCTAGTAGATCTTGTTGCGCATACATTGATTTATTCGTATTCTGTTGCCAAATTTTCAGTAGTATGGGTGCGGGTGAAGGTGTGTCGTTCATTGGGAGGGGGTGAGGAATCTGTTACCGTCATTGGGCTCTGTGCTCGCGCCCCTTCTAGTCTCTATCTCTTGCGTGTGTGGCATTGGTGTATTCTGTCTGGACGGTGCTGTGGACCATCCTCTGCCTTGCGATCCTATGGGCGGGTTTGGATCCTGTGTCGTGGTTCCGTATCGGCGTCTTGGTACTGTCGTCCATTCTCCCGCGTTGTGTTGGTGGTGTCCAGGTACTGCACGATCTTGAACGAGTCGACGACGACGGCGCCGGTCGCGAGGTCCTGTATGACTGGCATTGTGTACAGCGGCTCGTCAGCCCTGGTACCCGAGGGCCCTGCGCCTAACTTTTCGCGGATGCCTGCGATGTCGGGGTACTCGACCCACACGGTCTTATACGGGAGGGCCTTCATGTTGAGTGCGAATCTGTGACCGGTCGGGGGCGTGATGAGTGAGTGCGCGGGTAAGGTCTTGATAAGCTGCTTAGGAATAGAAAAATAAACTTCTAAGGGTTTTACCAATGGCATTTGCAAGTTTAATATCTTTGAATCTTTCCATGAGACTTCAGACTTCTGGTAAACAGGAGAATATGTGAAGCTGCGTTGTCGAAACTCATCATCGTACTACCGGGTGACATGATGCCGAAATTAAGATCAAATAGAGCTTGCATTCGCCTTCTGTCATAGGGCGCTGTGTAGAACTCCTAGCTTTTACCTGGGTTGATAACTAATTTCCTATAATAGCAATATATATCGAATTTGTTGTTATTCAGTACAATCTCTAGGTTACAGCTATTTCTGAATGATTGTCAAACCTCTATAAACTAAACCTAAATGTACTAGAGAGGTACAGATGGCTGGAGTGCAAACGGGGTGATTTGAGTGAGCAGTTGCCTAGAGTTGCCTCCCCTTGCGGCGCAACCAGAGAAAAGACCAGAGAGGTTAGGCTAGGACACCCAACTCCACAACCGCTCACTCAAATCACCCCATGTGTGCTTCAGTCATATGAGCCTCTCCAATCCATTTAGTTTTAGTTTCTGTATGCATGCAACTGAATGAGCTATGAGCCATCATTTTGTTGGCCCATTTTCTCGGTTAAAGAGTCCTGCGGAGTTCTACACAGCGCCGAATCTGTCATTCTCCTGCAAAGCGCAGAGATCGATGGGCGTGCATCTACTTAAAGACTATGGATGAATATTGAATGGCAGTGAATTCCAACATCTAGGCACAAGTCTTGGAAAAAGGTGCATTGTATTCAACAATCGCAAAAGATGACTCTTTTTGTTTTTTTATATGGTATGGTTCGAATCGCTACTCACAGTCTTTGTACATCATGCAGACTTCAACCCTTCCTCGTCGACGACCTTCCACTTGCGGAAAACCTCCACCAGCTTTGCCCACCTCCCCTCGTCCGCGGCCATCAGGTCCATCCACTCTTTGGAACCGATCCCCAACATGTCCTCGAGCCATGAGATGCTCGAGTAGACGGCAACATCCGCAAAAGAGGGTGTGCCGCCCATGAAGAACACGGTTCCTTTACCATTCTCCTTCAACCACCCGTCAATCTCCGCAAGCCCTTGCCGCGCCGTGCTCCATAGCGCGGCCCGAGCCTCACCCTGCGGCGTATAGTGCTCGAGCGTCATCCCAATCATGGCCTCACGCATGGGTCGGAAATACTCCGCGCTGCGAGGGTTGAGCGTGAGATTGCTAGGCAGCCCGAGGAGGGGATCAATTTTGGAGCTAATCTTTTGGGCCCAGACGTCGAGGAACATCGCGTGGAAGGCCTTCGTGCCCGCGGGGACGAGGGTGAACGGCGTACTCGGGTATGTGGCGTCCAGGTACTGCGCGATCTTGAACGAGTCAGAGACGACGGTGCCGGTCGCGAGGTCCTGTATGACCGGCAGCGTGTATAGCGGCTTGCCGTTCCTGGTACCCGTGGGCTCTGCGCCGATTTTCTTGCAGACGGCCGCGATGTCGGGGTACTCCACCCATACGGTCTTGTACGAGAGAGCCTTCATGTTGAGCGCGAGTCTATGGCCAGTCGGGGCTGCGGTGAGTGACTACCCGTTGTTCGAGAGGGGCAATCAGTTTGCATACCTCGCTTTCCATGGATTCGGAGACCACGCTTTGGTGGGAGTATTCGAGGGGATATCGTACAGAATAATGGTGCTCGACATGATGGATCTGTGTGAAGTGGATGCCAGAAACACTGCTGGGAGACTCTCTTGCGACGCGCACTTAAATACCCCTCGAACTCATGGTGAGAATATAATGACAGTCATCGATACCGCAGGTGAGTAAGTGGGAGGATAGATTGGTAACGCGTCCAAGATGCTTGTTCAGCGGCAAAATAGCATCTTAAGGGACCATTTGGAATGATAGCCTTCACGCAGGAGGGTGTTCGGCGAAGCTATGGAGGAGCATAATGATTTCCCGGGGTGGCATGACCCCATGTCGAGGTTAGGGTCAAACAGCGCTTGCATCTTCTTTGCGATTCTCCTGCATAGCGCAAATATCGACAGCTACTCAGAGTCTCTGAAATCCACAGGAGGTTCTTAGCGTGCATTGAGACCGTAGACTTTGGAACTATAGATGAATGGCAGTGGACGTCAACTCATGGCACAAGTCCACAACAATCACAAAAAATGGCTCTTTTTGTCCGAGAGAATTGTTCTTACGGTATGGTTCGAATCGCTACTCACAGTCTTTATACATCATGCAGACTTCAACCCTTCCTCGTCGACGACCTTCCACTTGCGGAAAGCCTCCACCAGCTTTGCCCATCTGCCTTCATCCGCGGCCATCAGCTCCGTCCACTCTTTAGAATCAGTCCCCAACATGTCCTCGAGCCATATGATGCTGGAATAGATAGCGGCGTCCGCGAAGGATGGCGTATCGCCCATGACGAACACGGTGCCCTGACCGTTCTCCTTCAACCAGCCATCGATCTCCGTAAGTCCCTGCCGTGCCTTGCTCCATAGTGTGGCCCGAGCCTCACCCTGCGGGGTATACTCCTCGAGTGTCATCCCAAACATGGCCTCGCGCGTGCGTCGGAAGAACTCCGCGCTGCGAGGGTTGAGCTTCAGCGCGCTAGGCAGCCCGAGGAGGGGGTAGATATAGGTGCTAATTTTCTGGGCCCAGACGCCGAGGAACATCGCGTGGAAGGCCTTCGTGCCCGCGGGGACGAGGGTGAACGGCGTGTTCGGGTACGTGGCATCCAGGTACTGCGCGATCTTGAACGAGTCAGAGACGACGGTGCCGGTCGCGAGGTCCTGTAGGACCGGCAGCGTGTACAGCGGCTCGCCGTTCTTGATCTGCGTGGGCTCCGCGCCGATCTGCTTGCAGAGGCCCGCGATGTCGGGGTACTCGACCCACACGGTCTTGTATGGGAGGGCCTTCATGTTAAGTGTGAGTCTGCGGCCGGTTGTGGGCGCGATGAGTGAGTGCGCGGGTTCGAGAGGAGGGATCGGTTCGCGTACCTCGCTTTCCATGGGTTCGGAGTCCATGCTTTGGTGGGCGTGCTCGAGGGAATATCGTACAGGATAATGGTGCTCGACATGATGGGTGTGGATGAAGTGGGTGTTGAAAGATACTGCTGGGAAGACTCTCATGCGACGCGCACATAAATACTTCTGCGAAGACGGTGGCCGGGGATTTGAATTACACCTATCGATACCTCAGGTGACTCGTGGGAGTACGGATTGGTAACACAGCCAAGATGCTTGCTCAGCAGCAAGATACATCTTAGGAAACCATCAATTGGAATGATAACTTTCGCGTAGGATGGTGTTCGGCGAAGCTATGAAGGAGCATAAGACTCTCACGGGGTGACATGACCCCATGTCGAGGTTAGGGTCAAATAACGCTTGTATTCACCTTCTCTGCCATTTTCCTGCATAGCGCAGATATCAACAGCCACTCAGAGTCTCTGAAATCCACAGGAGGTTTTTAGCGTGCATTGAGACCGTAGACTTTGGAACTATAGATGAATGGCAGTGGACGTCAACTCATGGCACAAGTCCACAACAATCGCAAAAAATAGCTCTTTTTGTCCGAGAGAATTGTTCTTACGGTATGGTTCGAATCGCTACTCACAGTCTTTGTACATCATGCAGACTTCAACCCTTCCTCGTCGACGACTTTCCACTTGCGGAAAGCCTCCACCAGCTTTGCCCATCTGCCTTCATCCGCGGCCATCAGCTCCGTCCACTCTTTAGAATCAGTCCCCAACATGTCCTCGAGCCATATGATACTGGAATAGATAGCGGCGTCCGCGAAGGATGGCGTATCGCCCATGACGAACACGGTGCCCTGACCGTTCTCCTTCAACCAGCCATCGATCTCCGTAAGCCCCTGCCGTGCCTTGCTCCATGAGGCGGCTCTCGCCTCGCCCTGCGGCGTGAACTCCTCGAGCGTCTTCCCAAACATGGCCTCGCGCGTGCGTCGGAAATACTCCGCGCTGCGAGGGTTGAGCTTCAGCGCGCTAGGAAACGCGAGGAGGGGGAAGACATAGGCGCTAATTTTCTGGGCCCAAACGCCGAGGAACATCGCGTGGAAGGCCTTCGTGCCCGCGGGGACGAGGGTGAACGGCGTGTTCGGGTACGTGGCGTCCAGGTACTGCGCGATCTTGAACGAGTCAGAGACGACGGTGCCGGTCGCGAGGTCCTGTAGGACCGGCAGCGTGTACAGCGGCTCGCCGTTCTTGATCTGCGTGGGCTCCGCGCCGATCTGCTTGCAGAGGCCCGCGATGTCGGGGTACTCGACCCATACGGTCTTGTATGGGAGGGCCTTCATGTTAAGTGTGAGTCTGCGGCCGGTTGGGGGCGCGGTGAGTGAGTGCGTGGGTTGGAAAAAAGGGGTCGGTTCGCGTACCTCGCTTTCCATGGGTTCGGAGTCCATGCTTTGGTGGGCGTGCTCGAGGGAATGTCGTACAAAATAATGGTGCTCGACATGATGGGTGTGTGTGAAGTGGATGTTGAAATTTACTGCTGGGAGGACTCTCAGGCGACGCGCACCTAAATACTCCTTCGCGAAGACGGTGGGAATGAAATTCCACCCATCGATATCTCAGATGACTCGTGGGAGGGAGGATTGGTAACACGGCCAAGATGCTTGCTCAGCAGCTGAGTAGAGTGGGGTGGTAACTTTCACATACGAGGGCGCCCGGCAACTGAAGCGATGAATGGTCATGGATGAATGCAAGAAGGGGGTCTCGCTGGTTCTTGTCAAACTCCCGGGAGACATGACCCCGTGGCGAGGTTAAGGTCAACGGGTCTTGCATTCGTTTTCCCCATCGTTCTCCTGTAATTCGGGGCAGTCGACGGCCTTTCGCAGTCTTCGAAGTCCACAAGTTGCTCTTAGAGCTCACCGAGACCTCGTTTCGAAGCAGATGAACCCTGGTGGAACAAGTTGTGTGTATCCACTGACTCATTACATAAGGAGCGAGGATGACAAACGCCTCCCTGGGCGAGGTTCTTGGGCGAGGCAAAACCTCTCGCTTTCGCGGCAACCATGCCGATTGTACAATTTGCCCCGTTCTCATCCCTCGTTCAGCCCACTCTATGGCACGAGCTGACACGGTTGAAGCTTGAAGTACTACGCTTGTCCGAGGACTCTGTCCCGCTCACCGCGACGTATTCGACTGGACGAACTATAAAGGATAGAAATACCGGCCAAGAGGTCGCGCTTGGCTGCAACCTCAACGTCGGAGGGGAAGGGTTTGAAAAAGACCATAGGTTTGTTGACTGATTCTTGCTGGATCGCGTATTTGTGTGTTGAATGCAAAGTCAGTTTGCCGTCCTTCTCCGTCGCCGCGCGAGGCGTGTTGAAGAATTACAACACGATCGAAGACTTCAAGAAGGCAGATAAGCACGCGCTATTCAACCAAACCGCAGACGAGGTGTGTAGTACCCCTTCTGGACACACCGATCTAATTTATCTAGCGAACATTGTCAGATTTGGGAGAGCATCACCACCAAACGCGATACTTCTGCCCTCACCCGTTTCCTCGTGATCACTTTCGCAGACCTCAAGAAATACAAATATTACTACTGGTTTGCGTTCCCGGCATTGGTTGCTAAGCCTTCCTGGGAGATCGCGAATGACTGGACAGGCGCTCAGGAAGCATTCTCGGCAGACCAGGTGAGCGTCCTCCGCATAGACGTAGATGATCGATCGAAATTAATTCCTCCAAGTTATCGTCGATTCACGATAGAATAGTCGCATCTCCGTCAGCCTTTTTCCTCGTCCGTCCATCTTCGGAGGGCACCGGCGTAGACATCGCACCCGTGGAAGAATATACCTCTTTCTTCGCGAATGTCTCGTCTGAATCTGTGAGCTCTTGTCTTGCCTATATCCAAGTCCAGACTTATATATGTGTATATGCAGCAAACGGTCGCGTTCATCGATCCATCTCCTCATCTGTCCAACCCAGGCTGGCCCCTCCGCAACCTCCTCGCCTGTCTCCGCGTCTGGTATCCCGACTCGACAGGCACCGTCCGCGTGCTCTGCTGGCGCGACTCTGAGAAGCCCCACGAAGGTGCGCAGTGGCGCAGTCGCTTCGGTGTTTTGAGCGCGGCGGCGCAAGGGCAGGGAAAGCCGAGCGCGGTTGGGTGGGAGAAGAATGCACAGGGCAAGCTTGGCGCGCGGGTCGCAGATTTGGCGCCGATGATGGATCCGACGAGGTAAGTCATTCGCATGATCTATGCGTCGGTGGTGATAGCGTTTGACGGCATCGTTTGTCAGACTCGCTGATCAAGCTGTCGATCTGAACCTGAAGCTCATGCGGTGGCGTATCTTGCCCTCTCTGGATCTGGAGAAGGTCGCCGCGACGCGCTGTTTGCTCCTCGGTGCAGGCACCCTCGGGTGCTACGTTGCGCGCACGCTCATGGTGCGTCTACCTTGCGGTGCTCGTTGCCCATCTCACATGCTTTTGACGTGACTGTAGGGTTGGGGCATTCGCACGATCACACTCGTTGATTCCGCGCGCGTGTCCTTTTCAAACCCGGTCCGCCAGCCCTTGTTCGAATTTGAGGATTGTTTGAACGGCGGAAAGCCTAAGGCACAATGCGCCGCGGACCGTTTGAAGAAGATTTTCCCTGGTGTAGTGAGCATCCGGTGTCCCGTTCTGGGATTTTACAGGGATCTGAATTTGCTCTAGAATGCAACTGGACACTCCCTCTCCATTCCTATGCCGGGTCACCCGATCCCTCCTGGCTCCACCGAACAGGCCAAAGCAGATGTCGCAGCGCTGGAGAAACTCGTGGATGAGCACGACGCCGTCTTCTTGCTGATGGACTCGCGGGAGAGTCGTTGGCTCCCAACCGTGCTTGGTGCGGCGAAGGGCAAGGTTCGCACGATCCCGATGACGAGAGGAACATGCTCCCTGACATCGATTCCAGATCGTAATGAATGCTGCGCTTGGATTCGACACCTTCCTCGTGATGCGTCATGGGGCGCGCAAGGCTCCAACCGATGGACATCGGCTGGGATGCTATTACTGCAACGATATCGTAGCACCCGCAGATGTGCGCGTTTTTGTGGATATGCGAGTCCCAAAAATTCACTGACATTTTGATTACTAGTCGCTGACCGATCGCACGCTTGATCAAATGTGTACGGTCACGCGTCCTGGCCTCGCTTCCATCGCAGCATCTACCGCAGTCGAGTTGCTCGTGTCCCTCCTGCAGCACCCACTTGGGTGAGTTCTTCTGGCTCCTATCAAAACACCACGATCTGAAGGCTTCGATGCTCCAGGATTGACGCGCCTCCCCCTCCTATCGGCGACAAAGGTGTCTCGGATGAGGCTGCAACAGGTGTGCTCGGGCTCGTCCCGCACCAGCTGCGAGGCTTCCTTGCACAGTTCAGGAATATGCCGATCGTGGGCGCTGCGTACTCCCGGTGTACGGGATGCAGCGAGACCGTACGTGCCGTCCCGATCTTCTGTTTCAAACCCACATGATCGTCTCGCGCAGGTCATCAATGCGTATGAGACGCAAGGCTTTGATATGCTGCTCAAGGCGTTCAACGAGCCCGGATACCTTGAGGCGCTGACGGGGCTCGATCAGCTACACGCAGAAGGCGAGGCGGCGCTAGAGGCTGTCGATTGGGAAGAAGATGCTGAGGACGACTTTTAATGACACGATGTGATCATGAAAGGGTTGGGAAGATGTGAATGTGTTCATCGAGCTCTGGAATTTGGATACCCCCGTTAAGTGTTGTAATATACTTACTGTAGTGCGTGTCTTGTGTACTGAGGAATGTAACTTGTTGATCTGCTGAAAGTGCAGCATGCTTGGACTCAATGAAATGGTAGGTTTTGCGATCGCAAAGTACATAAATACGAGATCCCCCGAATTTCTTGGTATTCACTTTCTGCATAGTGCCTTGCTTACATGGATGAACCACGACGATCCAGACGCCTCGACGGAAGATTGGGATTACGCGCTGTTAGAGAAGCTGTCAAAGCCCGTCGCAGATCCTGAAAGGAACTCTCAATGAATCGAAGCAAGACAAATGGCACAAACAGACTCATACCTACTTCGCCCTGACATTCAAGGTGCCCGTTTCGCTATCCACAGAGTCCTGTAAGTGACCGACGAGGGTCAATAATGAAGAACCCCGCTTTCGATCGAGCACAAAGCCCTTACATGGAGGTTAACGTCAACCGCCATCTGGATGGTCGTCACAGACTTCTGTGTACATCGAGCCGTCAACTTGCTTTGGAGAGAACTCCTGCCATTGAATCTGCACGCAATGTCTGTCAGAAAATACAATCACCCCCTCATAGCAGTGTGAAGCGCGAGACGTACGAAGCGAGGAGCGAGTTGGAGTAGACTGTTTGTTATGAGGTGAGCAGCCTGCTATTTCGCCCAAAAAGTAGAAAATGATTGATTACTCTTCGCGTAGAACACTGAGACGGTGGCCCATATGTATATGTCTAAGATGGTCTCAGTTAAGACATTATATCTACAGACTCGTCTGGATACGATGGCTACTCACACTTGTGCGAATCTACCAGGAACTGCAGGACATTGCTGAGTGAAATAACACACAGTCAAAAGTCAGCTTACCAAGACCAGCATCAATATCGCGGTGACGCTAGCGTTTCAAGAACACATGTCAATCAGACAGGAAAACATTTGAGTGGAGAGACAAGCTCGCACCTCATAACAGCACCGGCCTCTGATAATGATGTCAGAAGTTGTTCGGTATTTGATCAGAGAAAAAGGCATGCCCATTGTCCATAACATAAGTTTGTCGATCACCATATTTGTTCTGATGCTGTTTCAGCAGACACAAAGGCAACTTGGCCTCGAGATACGCACCGCTCGAACCCGGCCCTCTCCCGCCACAAGTAATACGACATGGTGACCGCGTTTAATGTGTCCACGCACACAGCCAGAACTAGCGTCGCAGTCGCGAGCCACTGCCAACGCTCACCAAATTCACGAAAGGTCGGTGCCAACGTGCCCACTACGAAGATAGTGATGGAACATGCCAGGCGCAGGATAGATCCGATGCACGATAAGACCGGGACCAGCAGGCTGCCACTTATCAAGTATATCCTGTATGCGCTGTAAGACTACAGAATAACATTAGTGAGTTGTGTAACAGGTTAATTCTCTGGTGAAGACGAGCCTGAACGATGGCGCCGATGACTCCGTCGAAGATAGCCGATGTGTTGAGAGTCCAATGAGTGCCTTGGAGCATGTCGGGCTTCCCATAAAATGTTACTGTGAGTCGATACAGATACATCCACGCGAAAATCGTATGCACTGTTTCCAATGTCCTGTGCATCTCGTCTGGGCTGCAAGCAGATTTGAAGGCAACAAAACAACCAACCAAACTATAGCGATCTGCTAAATGGTTAAAATACATTCAAGTGGGGGTGAAGACCTCTGTCGACCTACCAAGGCACGGATCAGGAGCGAATCGTGTGCAGAGTTTTTATGATATATATACACTTGAACAGTCGTGACACCATAAAGAACTGAAGATATCAATACTCCAAATTCCATGGCACCAATACTAAGGCCAAGCGTTGAAGACATGGTGGGGAAGACGGGTAGTAGTGGGACAAACACTGATGACCAGAATTTATACAACGAGTGAGTGACGTCTGACAGATGGGCAGGTGGAGTATCAAGGAGAGAGAGAATCAAAAAACTGGATACTGGACAAGATGCTTCCATACTAGACAAGGAAGATGTGCAGCTACATCTCACAACACTGCCACATTGTGATTCTCATCAATCCAACACATTGAGAGAGAATCTGATCACTGACACGTGCAGAACTTCACCTCCGCAGACAGGAGACCCAGCGAACCGAGCGGGTTGACCCAATAGCGCAGTTCATTACCTTGGGTTAGGATATCCATGTCTGTGAGCCACTTGAGAGTTTGTGTAAGCACATACGTCAAGTTAAAACATACAACGAATAGAACGATTCGCCAAGGCGCCGGTTTGAATGTTGCGGGCCCACTGAAGATCTGACATGGGCTGTCTGTATCACAGAATGATGTGGTATGGGCGATACTGCACATGGCTTATTTTGATTTGAGTGATGGAACGTATCGAGGTAGGAGCTCGCCTGTGTAGTGCGCTGCAAGAGCAGGTGATAATGTGAGTAGTGGAACAGACACTTTCGGTGAGCACTTCATAAGGGGTGTCGTCTGCGTAAGGCCGTATCACCACCAAGAATAGATGATAGATGTTGCGGTGATCATTGCCGAGTCGTGATCTCACGTCTCAGGGGCGGATGTCTCGAGAGACAGTCAGATAAAAAGATGGGTATCATGGCATTCTCATCATGGCATGCATGAACAAAGCAATGGTAACTCCCTTGATACTGTATGTTTTAAGAATTACGTCTCTTTGAAGAGCTTGCAAGGACTCATCAGGAGACTGAGCGAGGTCAGGAATCTGTGCGAGATCGGGAGCGTGTGCGAGCATGTAAGTGAGAATGAGTGTGGTGACTGTCGCAGCGATGGATATGAACAGGGCGCCGTAGGTGGATACGAGCAGAGCTTTGAAGGCAGATGTTGTTGGATCCAGTTCCTCTGCTGGGATTGCTTTCAAAAAGACGAGCATCTGGGCTTCCAACGTAGCGAATAAAGCAGACTGATGGCATTGGTGGGTTAGCCATTACGCATTGCGGTCGGGCGCTTCCCAACATACTACAGTCGCGGCGCCTTGAAAGATTGGTAACAAGGCCTCGCTGGAGGGTTGTCTCGACTCATCTGTCATCCAGTAGGTTAGCGTACATAGAGAATAAGTGATTGTATTGCATACTGTCAGGTTTCTCCGTCAAACTAGAGGACATTTTCCGGTACTATCGATTTCATTGACCGCTAGTTGGAGGAGATGAAGAAGATGTTGGTTAAAATGGACTGAGTCTGAGTCTTTATATTCGGATGGCTAGGAATAGAGCAAAAAAATGCGCAGCGAACACATCCATACAGGGTGCCGTCTGGACATGAGGGCGCGGCGATGTCGTGCGAGAATGGTAGCAGGTCAACTGTTGGAAGCAAATCGCAGAACGATCAACATAAGTGCACAAGGTCAGATAAAATCAGCACTATGCAATGTATATATCTCCCGTGTCACTGATAGATGCGCAGATGAGTATACATGCAGAGCAATGCACTCACTTCATTCATCATAGGTTTCATTTAGCTAGGATAGCTCCATCACGGAATGTATAGAAGACCTAGGATTGGATGCGTCCTCAAGTAGGCCATGAGCTTAGAAGCGAGTTGCATGAGATCGTAGTGAAGAAATCCGAGACGTTCCGACATTCACAATCACAAGTAGGGCGTCGGAAGCTTGTGTTGACGAAGCTTACATTAAGAGATGGGAGAGGCTACGATAGGGAAGACGAAGGCTTGAGGATACATTTGAGGCTCTCTGAGTTTCACTGCCCGCCATGCGGAGGAGCGAGAGATGAACAGGGCCACGTATGGTCTAAACTCCATATGCGACACTACATAATTTATAAGCGCTTAAAAGAGCTCTGGTACAAGCGACCAGCCTCCTCTCGCCTTTAAAGTCGGCGGCATCTACAAGTTCTTATGTTGATGTGAGTGGTGAGTTTGAGGGTACGGTTACCCTGTAAAATGTCCTGTGACTCACAAATAAACAGCATCAGCGCGATGGTATTTCTGAATCTTTATATACCTTGGGGGTCGCGAATCGGAAATGAGACAAGGAAATCGTAAGAGGGATGGCCAAGGAGCTCCAAGGAGTCCAACTTCCAAGGCGAGGTTAGGGTTCGAAGCACCATCTGATTCGCCTCCATGACAAGTCAGACCAGCGCCTTGTCACTTCCTGACGAAACAAGAAATGCTTGACTATATAGAAGTTCGAGCGCTCTTTTTTTCCTTGCACCACCGCCATGACCAGTTCAGCCTCGCCAGCAGACGCCCAGAAGATGGCGGAAAATGTACAGGAACTTGAGATACAGACAGAGGACGTGTACGCTGGAGACGGGCTCGATCCTGTGTATCAGGCCAAAGCCAGAATTCTGAACGATGCTCTGCAGGAAATCGGCATGGGGAAGTACCAAGTGAGCAACTTTTTCCTGTTTAACACAATAATTCCGTGGCTCTGCAGTGGATTTGCCTTGCCTTGGCGAGAGCTCGAGACATTGCAGATCAAGCTTCAAAGCTTTGTCTGGGCTTATTGTCGAGAAGCGCTGGGAAGCAACACTGCTGTTGGCAAGGTTCTGATTCGAGTGTGAATAGCTAATTGATCAGGGCTATGTGTTGAGCTTGATGCTTTTCTTCGATGAGAACAGGATTCGTTGCTCTTGCATGTTTCGGTTATCTAATCTCCTTCGTGCTCTTGCTTCACGCTGTCTGTGCCGACGTTGACCCGGGATTTGCTCGTGTAGTGGTATCTTTTCGTTGTTGCAGGTTTTGGTTGGTTGTCGTACGTCAATATCTTGTTTTGACTCGTGATCGCGCTTTATTGACGATCTCTCAGTGATAATCTCTGGCCAGTAAGTGTCCTGGACATCTCGTAGAACTCTTCGTTCCATTTCTTTCGAAACCGTCGAATGCGAATAGTCCTTTTACACTCCCTTGAAGCGCATCAAACATCTTCTCCCAGTTGAACCACGTGACATCGCTGTCAACATACACTGTTCCCACTTTCCTTCCCCCCAAAGCTGACCACAAATCCATTCCATGAATACGAACAAGCGATTTGTTCTTTCACTGACCTCTGTTCTCAGATCGTGACTGGGCTGATCTTACCGCCCGTCGTCAACGAGTTCGCCTTCAAAGGCCCGTTTTTAAAGCTAGGTCAGAACATCGGGCTGCTCGTCGGTGCCGCATTTTGGGGCGTTGGGTCAGACGTCTGGGGACGCAAGTTTGTTGTCTCTTTTGCTCCTGGAGCTGCTAACTAATATAATTTTGACAGATGGTCGTTCAATCTTACGCTATTGATCACTGGCATTTTCGCTGTTGCAGCCGGCGGGTCCCCGAACTTCGTTGCGCTCTGCTCATTGGCTGCTGTATGGAGCATCGGGGTGGGCGGGAATTTGCCTGTCGACTCTGCCGTCTTCCTAGGTCGGTCGACAACTCGGATCAAACATAACACCTATGACGCTGACAAACTCGTGCGATTCACGCAGAATTTGTACCTGCTTCGCACCAGTACCTCCTCACCGTCTTGTCCATCTGGTGGGCCCTCGGCCAGTTGCTCGGAAGTCTGGTGAGTGTTCTCGATGCTTCAATTACATCTCAGTCCGGAACATCAGAGAGCATCCGTGACATCCGACCGACTTCTTCCGACTCGGAAAAACTGACGTGTCCTTCCAGGTTGCCTGGCCTCTAATCGCAAACTACTCGTGCCCGACAACGGTGAACCCTTCACCATGCCTCCGCGATTCCAATCAAGGGTGGCGATACTTCCTCTTCACTATGGGCGGGCTCATGCTCGTGCTATTTGCGCTCCGTTTCTTCGTGTTCCATTTGTACGAGAGCCCGAAGTATCTGATGGGTCGTGGACGCGATGCAGAGGCCGTCGAGATCATTCATAGGGTCGCGGAGTATAATTGGAGGAGCAGCAGTTTGACACTGGAAATGCTCAGGAGGGCCGAGCAACAGGGCACCAATGATGAGAAGACAACAGAAAAGGTGGATGAGGAGGACAGGGAAAGGGGTACGGATATGGATACATCCAGAGTCGCCGCTGTGAAGAGGAAGTTAAGCGGCTTTGGGCGGTCGCACGTCTCGGCATTATTCAGGACGCGGAAACTAGCCCAGTCCACTAGTTTGCTCATCGTGCTTTGGGGTACGCTTCCCCCCTCCATTTATTTTCCTCTTCCATCGCGCTCAACTCCTGTTCTAGCTTTGATCGGTCTCGCGTTTCCTCTGTAAGTTTCAATTTTTACTTGCTGGTCGAGTGATACTGATTACAAGCTTGACTCAGTTATAACAGCTTTGTGACTTACTTGTGCGTACTCTGCTCTTGCAAGGATGATATGACCTTGCGTCGCGAACCTGACCGTCCCTCGTTGCCACCCATTCGCTGTCAGTCTCGCTACCCGTGGCGCCGACTTCGGGGATGGCTCCGTCTACATCACCTATCGTAACGTAAGATCATGCGTCGGCTCTTCTGGCTCGAGAACTAAACTAAGCTAACCGCTCCCCTTTCAGCAAGTGATCCTCAGCGTCATCGGTGTGCCTGGTGCCCTCCTTGCTGGCTGGGCTGTCGAGCTTCCTTACCTTGGCCGACGCGGCTCGCTCGCCATATCCACGAGTTCGTCCCTCCAGCCTCCTTCATCTACCTTGATATCATTGACTGTTCTGCATCTGAATTCTTCACAGCCTTGACCGGCGTCTTCCTCTTTGCTTCCACGACAGCGCGTACATCCAATGCGCTCCTCGGTTGGAACTGCGGCTACAGCTTTACAAGCAACATCATGTATGGTATACTGTATGCCCTCAGCCCAGAGCTGTTTCCGACAAAAAACCGAGGGACGGGGAACGCCATCGTCGCGAGCGCAAATCGAGTATTTGGAATCATGGTGTGTACATATGTACATATGTTGTCTAGACATTGTCAACGACCCCCGCTTTCTTCTCAGGCACCTATCATTGCCTTGTATGCCGACCTCACCACTTCGGTGCCGATATACATCTCGGGGGCTCTCTTCATTGTCTCTGGGTTCATCGCGCTTTTGCTTCCGTTCGATCCGCGCGGCAAGGCATCGTTGTAGCCTGCTGTACTGCCTACTCGGCCAACGCGTTTCACGAGCAAGGTCACGAGTATTCTTCTTAGTAGGGTAATCCCCGGTCAGTCTGTATCTACGCACGTTGCGTCTCTTTCTTGTCCGTTTCAGCGTTGCACGAGATGGAATGCATTTACGACCTTCGGCAGTGCATGTGCTGGTTGATTGTTCCACGCACTTGTGGTTACGGGCCGTTTGGCAGTTTTTGGTTAGATCGTGCTCTGGGTTGGAGACGAGGATTTGAGATTGAATTGGAACAAATTTGCATGATCCTTTTCTTCGCTTTCCTCTAGCATAAACCTTAGTCACTGGCACTTCTTCCACTCTTGATGTATCATCATCTGTCGATATCGTCGACTTGAAGCCTCGACATTCGATGGTTCTGTTCTAGGTTGCGACTCTATCTGCCCTCGCGCGCCCAAATTTCTACTGGTGTAGCTTCAGGCTTTCAACTCGCCGCCGTTGTTTGACAGAGATCTTTGTATGTACTCTTGCAAATGCTCCAAGAATGTGGGGTTCGGGCGAATGGTTCGCCCCCGATCCTCGTCGAACGACCCGCCGTTTCCCATTGGCCTATGGTGTGATCAAATTGACCTCGGAAGTCGATCATGCTCCGGTGCCTGGTCAAAAGGCTCAAACAGAATGTTCGTTCGCCTGCGTTGACCACATCTTACAGCATATGTTCGAGGCATGCTTTAGACGGCGAGTGTTTCCGAATTGGTTCCGATTTATCTGACTGAAAGCTTCACACAAGACTTATCATGCGTCCATAAACTCCGCCGGGTGGCCGCGGACAAACCACTCGAGTCTTGACAGACGAACAAGCCCAGACGTGCGCTATCAAATATTGTCATCCTGTATCGATGTCGTTCATAAGGTCCCCGTCTATTCTAATCAAGTCGAGCCGACAGGAAACGGACGGATTCGCGGGAGCTCGTCCTGGCTCGTTTGTGTTCGTCTGCAGTCGGCCATATTAATTTCGAGTTTACATGAGTCGAATTACGTTTTTTCTTGGAGGGCAGCCCGGAAAGTGAGTACAGATCTTCCGATCATCGTTTCAACGATGTATCCACGGTCAGATACTGGGCAGATGCTCCGCTTTACGAGGCCTTACCTGGCTTTACAATACTTTACGTCCCCATTACCCTGGTACCTCATCTTCTTGGTGATCTTCTTAAGCCCGCGAAATACATAAGGGCTGCATCGTTTGGCCTTCTCACCTTTCCATGGCTCCTTTAATATTTGGTATGAGTGGCCCTCGTTCGTCAATTTCTTTTCCCCCTTCCTCGTTACCTTCGTAGTGCATCCGGCGCTTCAACGCTTCTCTCGACGAGGGCAGAGCTGCCTCCTACTGCCCTGTAATTCAACTCATACATCGGATGGTCTCACCGCCAACAGTTCCAGTATTGCGAGGTTAGTCATCAAACCCTCTGAATTGAAGTACCCTTACACTCGTTTCCCCCCGGTCTGGATTCAGGAGTCGTGACAACATTTCACGCCCTAGCTATCATTTCCACCGTTTTCCGACTCATTTATCGCACGCGCGTTCGTCGCCTCGGGTTGGATGATTTGTTTGCGGGGTTCTCGCTATGCTTTCTGTTTGTTTGCCTAGTATGTATATGGGTCCGGACAGATACTCCAGGTGTGTTGTTGTGCTCGTCGATATACTGTCATGCAATTGATCTGTTCGTCCGATACACAGGCGTAGGTCCTTTGAACCAACCACATCGTGCACGGCTTATTGCGTACTGGCTCCTCACTTTTGATTTCACGTGCTGTCTCTGGTACGGTCTTCCGGGCTTGTTTTCCTTAACCTTCACGAGCTCGAACCATGCAGGTCCGTGCGCCTGAGCATCATTTTCTCCATCATGCGCGTCATGCCCCCGATGATGAATATTCGCCGGGTCACGCAATGGTTCTCCGTTTTATTCGTTTTGATGTGGATGGCTCTGATCGTCCAGAAAGCCGTACACTGCACGTTGGACATATCATGGCAGAAGCAGGCTGAGCCTCAGTGTCACCTCGGACGTGCGATTGGCATTACGGAATTAAGCGGTGAGTTTGGTGAGATAATGTGTATTGTAATGATGCTGATTCGTTGCGTGGCAGCCGACTTCGTCTCAGATGTAGTTCTTGTTGTCCTTCCTCTTCGCCTCATGTGGAATTTACAGCTTCCAACTCGGCAGCGCCGCCTATTAATCGCTTTGTTCTCCGCCAGCATGATCATCACTCTTATTAGCATTGTTCACGCCGTATTCGTCATCGGACCCGCCGGTTTCCTTGAAGCCATGTCAGCCAACATTCAGGTAGTGGCATGTTGTAAACTTGCACATTTAGATTCTTGCCCTCACCACATTTTGAGCATTTAGATCGCTGCGTCGCTGATGGTGTGTAACCTCGCTGTCGTGGTCCGCTTCTTCTATCGCTTTTTCGGCTACGATGTGTCCGACGACGTTCCAGTCTTCGTCACGTCAGACACAATTCCAGGGACGAGCGGAGGTCCAGGTCGCAGGGGGGCCCCCATCCGTCTTGGCAACTTGCGCAACGATGCCCGCGTGTCGACACTGCGCTTCTGGAATGACACGAACGTCGACGACGCTGGGATGACACAGTTGACACAATCTAAAGCCCACAGCCATCTGGACTCGCCGGGCTATCGTGATGAAAGACGCGATTTCGAACGACTAGAGTTATCCTTTACACCGACCAAATTCGCTTCGCTCGAGATACCCATGGATGGACAACATAAGTCCGGTCCCATCACTCGAGCAACATTTCCCGCATCTCCAACAGAACCCCAAGCGCGGTGACCATTTACACTTCATTTATCGCAAATTCTCTTCCTTCGTTCTACAGGCATCGTGCCTAATGATTCTTATAGGGCTATTTTATGATCTTCACAATATAGGAGCACCGAGCATCTCGTCTAACATGGCGCACTCTGCAGGAGAGTTGGCCCGTATAAGGATTAGCATATCCTCTGTCCTCGAGGCAACACATGTCCAGTCTTTTTAGGTCGCAGCGTGATGAAGGAGATTTCGTCAGCATAAGTAGTATATAGTGCGAAGTTCCGACAAATTTGGTGTACCAGTACGTCATTATTTGGGTCGTTGGGTTTCTGAGTGCTGCGAATGTACTGGCTACAAAAATGTCCTCTTATGACAGTGCGTGGAGAAATACTTTCAGACGGATTAAATTGTGATCCTCATCGATCTCATCCCCAGGGACGAGAAATGGATGATCGGACATCGCAAGCGCCGAAGACTGCTTGGATTTATTCAATTGACCACTTCCCACTTGCTCAAAGCTTCAGCAAGCCTCGCCCATCGCCCCTCATCCGCAGCCAAAATATCTTTCCACTCCTTCGACTCCGTTCCCATCACCAATTTGATCCAGACCAGATGCGAGCCAATGTCGGCATCCGCAAATGAAGGGGTATCACCCATCACGAACGTCTTGCCAATACCGTTCACGCCCATCCATCCATGTACCTCAGAGAACGTCCCCAGCGACGTCTTCCAGATAGCATCTCGCACCTCACCTTCCGGCGCGAAATCCTCCACCTTCTTGCCAAACCGCACCTCGCGTGTCCGGCGGAAATACTCCATGCTGCGAGGCGAGAGCTGCAGCAGAGTTGCCAGCGCCAGAACCGGAAACATAACATTCTGGATGCGCTGCTCGATCGTGTTTGTAAACATCGCTTGAAAGGCCTCGGTGCCGGCTGGGATGAGTGCCGGTAAAGAAAGGTATGTCTTGTCAAGATACTGTGCGATTTTGAAAGAGTCGGAAACGACAGCTTTCGTCGAAGGGTCGTAGATTATGGGTAGGGTGTAGTGCGGGCTGCCGCCACGGATCTCGGTGTGTGCGGCACCGATCCTTTTGCAAAGGTCGACAACGTCTGGATATTCGACCCACTCGGTCTTGTACGGGATGCCCTTGATGTTCAGCGCAAATCTGAAGTTGCGATATTAATTTCAGTGGGCTTCGATGCTGTACACGATAGATAGACAGATGGACCTCGCTTTCCAAGTATTAGGCGACCACGCATGACCTGCGACAGTACCAGGGATGTCATAGAGAATGATGACGGGAGAATCGGACATGTCGATGGGCCAGATTTGTCGCAATGCGATCACATCGGTTTCTTTAAATACTCCGTTATCTTCTTGGCATGGGTGAGTCACTGCGGGATGTTGACTGTGGACGGAGGTCGACGTTTTCGATAAACATGATTGACGTCGCTTACAGCATCGATCGTGGGCTGATGCATTAACACCGAGATCACATAGCTAACTACAGCGCAGGGAACAACTAGGGAACAATCATCAGGCTGTAATCGAGGAATGGTCAAGTTTGACGGCGAAAAAAGACGCATTTGAGAGCGTATCGGTAGTATATCACTCCGTGGGCACCTAACCAGAGAATGTGGTCACGTGGGTTACAGGGACCGGCATCCCAGCCATCGCCGAGACCGATTACTGTTTGTGCTCGCAATTCCACATGTCAAGCAAGGTCATCATCCTGTACGATATCCCTGGAAATGCAGCGAAAGCATGGTCGCCGAATGTGTGGAAAGCGAGGTAAAGCGCATCACGTATGAGGATCAAACGCTGCGTGCTCACCTCAGACAGATATGTCCTGAATTATAAGGGACTGCCGTACAAGACTGAGTGGGTCGAGTACCCTGACATAGCTGATGTCTGCAAACGTGTGGGCGCAGAGCCAACAGCTATCAGGCGCGATGGGACTCCATACTACACGGCGCCCATACTCTATGACCCGCTCACAAACTCGTATGTCAGCGACTCGCTGAACATCGCTCTGCATCTCGAACGTGCGTATCCTGACACACGGAGACTATTCCCTCCCGGCACGGAAGCGACTATGTCGATGTTCCACGATGCGCTGCGCGACAAAGTCCTGCGTCACATACTCCCGCTCATGATGGAACATACGCACGCACAGCTGAATCCGCGCAGTGCGGTGTACTTCCGTCGCACACGCGAAGCAATGTTCAAGGCTAAATTTGAGGACCTCGCGCCGCAAGCCAAGCAGGAACAGATGTGGAAGAAAGTGCGTACTGGTTTGGGGGTGTTCGACGGATACATGGAAGTCAATGGCGAGGGAAGTATCTTCTTCATGGGTGACGGGGTGACATACGCGGACGTTATTCTAGCTGGGTGGCTATGTTGGGTCAGGAATCTTTGGGGAAAAGATGGGAAGGAGTGGAAGGAAATTGTGAGATGGCATGGTGGTCGGTGGGGAAGGATCATGACGGAGTTCGAGAAATGGGAGCAAGTCGAAGGCACAGAGACTCCTAAGGCAAGGTTCGTCAGACCCAATATCCAACCCATACCCTATGATATTGCTTTCAATATTGACTTTCCGACGCAGACTCTGAAAGATCTCATAGGCAGATATATGACTGGTTGTGTATTGGAGCTGAACTGCCGTTGTAATCAGTATATTGACATGTTACACCCATAAATACCTTTGAAGCCTCCACTACCGTCTTGTCACATTAGATGGCTTCGTCTCGGTCTAAATTGACGCAACACCCACCTTCCAAGTGGTTTGGATGTGTTATGTAGGTCGGATTCAGGTTGAAGGAGCTACGGCTAATTCCGGCGCGTTTTTCCGAGGCAGCATATCGCCATCATCGGCGCATCGGCGCCATTGTCTTCCACAACGGTGAGTGCATTGTGCAAGTTGTTGGGGGGGGGGGGGGGGGGGGGGGGGGGGGGGGAAAGCTCATGTTTCAGACCGTACTTCATGGGTGCATCAATATAAATTGGCTTATTGAGCCCTCTATGGATAGTTGCGTCATGAACAAAGTCACCTGCAGAAGATGCAAGATGTAGGGAAAGCAAACTCGGCAAGCAGCTAGCTCTAAAAAAGTGTGACGAGTTGGAGGCGGCCCGCGAGTTGAGTCCTTCTACAGCTCGCTCTCACCACAGCGCCTCAATCTCCCAATCGTGATCCGAGGGCACGATGTTGGCTGCGATACGGAGACCTCTGAAAGATTGCATTCGGTGAGTGGTTGGCTGTCTGCGCCGCTCTCGGGAATTGTACTTGACAAACAGATGTCTACCCATTTTGAGCCGGCGTGATTTTCTGTGATCATGGGTGAGTCTGATTTAATGATACAAAGCGAGATATCGTCGGCGCGAAGTCTATATGAATGCCTCTCGCAGCGTTTGCGCGTGCCTGTCAAGGAAAACGCTACCTGAGGCTCCTCGCATAGTACCCGGCTTGTTTTTCTAAATCATCAAGCTAAGTCTTACATTACCGATTTACTCTCATAGGTACGGGCTCCATTTATATTCTATTTCATGGCTTTCCATACGAGAGTGGGTCAAATGTCATGAACGCCTTCAGCGCCCTGTTTTTCTTTCTCAATCTTGTCATCCTTATGGTTGTCATGATCACTAGCGTCACTCGCTATCTCCTATTCCCAGAGGTATGGTTCATCATGATGCGGCATCCAGTACAAAGCCTATACCTCGGCTGTTTGCCGATGGGCTTTACTACACTCCTTAACGTTTCTGTGTCTTTGTTCTATAAGCAGTACGGATTCGGAGGTACCACATTTATTTATGCGATTTGGGGCTTCTGGTGGATCAACAATGTAACCTCCATCCTGTGTTGTTGGGGGGCTGGTACATGTCATGTAAGTGCGTCTTAGACAAGTGTCCGCACCAACTTACACATATCGCGTATCTCACAGGGCAACTAGTCATGATCACTCCCTCAGCCAGATGTCGCCCGTCTGGCTTCTCCCTGTCGTTACTCTCATCGTTGCATCGTCTTCAGGAGGCGTTCTCGCCCAAGCTATCGGGCCCGTATCTCCATCTCACGCTCTTCTCACCATCACTTTCTCAATATTCCTGGTTTCTGTCGGCCTCTCGCTTGCGCTCATGATTCTCACGATTTATCTCTATCGCATGATTCTCTACAGGCCTCCTCAAGATATGTCCGTGATATCTGCCTTCGTTCTACTTGGTCCTACTGGGCAGGCGGGCTTCTCAATCATTTTTGATCGGAGAGAATTTGAAGGAGCTACTCCCCGTTGCGAATAGCTCTTCGCCGTTTCTGGGCAGCACCAGTGCAGGCGACATCGTGTACGCTGTGTGCATCTGCATCGTATTTATCATGTGGTCATTAGCGACAATGTGGTTGGTCTTCGCGTTGCTCAGCCTCCAGAGCGTTGTGCGGAAGACACGATTCCCGTTCAGGATCTGTTTCTGGGGGATGATTTTCCCCAATGTCAGTCCATCTGCTCCGCGTATATCGCTTCTTGCGTGTTTGCTAAGTACCAATTATCTAGGGCGTACATGCGAACTTGACGATCACGCTCTACCGTGTACTCGACGTGCGCTTCTTCCGAGTGTGGGGTGCTGTCTATGCCGTGCTCACGTTTGCTGTATGGTCCATCGTCTTCGGACAGCCATGATGGTCCGCACTGTGGAGATATTTGCGGCGCCATGTCTGGAAGATACCGATATGGGTGCCGCGGGTGATGACCTCAGCGAGCGTGAAAAGTTGGAAGGAGAAGCGCGGTGTTCGATACCGCAGCATAAGGCGGCGCACGCTAGTACGAGTACTGTGCGTCCCTGAGCCTGCGTTCGTCTAAGGGTCGCCGGAGACGCGGAAGCTGGCAGCAGTCGTTGCGGCTGACGTGCAACAGCTCCGCTGAGATAGAAATCGTGCGGATGCAATCAAAGAAGAGAACAGATAGACAGAAGCGTCTGGGAAACGGTCAGCAGACGTTGGATGATATGTCCGTAATGCATAATCCGGATTAAAAACGGAAGTCGAGTTTCCCCCGTTCTACATTTACCAGGTCAACTTTTCCTTTCATACCTTAATTGTATCTGTGGTTGTAATGAATGTACCGACTTGGGTTCAAGCGCTGTTGGTGGCCCAGTACTCAGTGTTCGGTGCAAGAGGCGCAACCCCAAGAGAGTAATCGCCGTCCCGCGCGCCGGATCCGGCAAAGACTTCCGGCTTCGCATTTCCGATCTCGAAGGTATAAACACTCACCGAATCGCCATGAGTCCGTGTTCCCCTCTCGTTCGCCATCCCCCTCGGACGACGTTGAACGATGTACTTCAAGTCGCTTTACCCTGAAATCCCACATATTCCAGACATCAATTACGTCGACTTCTTACTTGCGCGCCCGGAGGTTCAGCAGTGGCCAGACTTCCCGGCCTACATAGACGGTATCACAGGCCAGAAAAGGGGGTTTCGAGAATTCGTAAAGCGCATCGAGGATGCTGCGACCTCTCTAGGCGCTCCAATAGAAGAGGGGGGGATGGGGCTCAGAGGGGATCGCGGGGAGATGGTGGGAGTCTTGAGCGAGAATTGTTTAGTTTGTGTCTATTCCTGTCAACGTCTGACCGACGGTCTGACCAGCGCTCAGGACTACCCAACTATCTGTTTGACTCTTTGCAAAATCGCAGTGCCCTTCGCACTGCTCCCCGCATTTTCCACTCCGTCGGAAACGACCGCCCTACTGCGGCTGGCAAAGGTCACTCGAATATTCGTCAGCCCAAGACTGCTTTCCCTCGCAAGGACCGCTGCGAAAGAACTTGGGTTGGCAGATGATCGAATCTATGTTTTGCATGGTCGGGGCGATGGAAGGAAGACTCTCCCGGACCTGATCAATGATTCCAGGGCGAATAAAATTCCATCTGTCGCTACGCGCGCAGTGAACAAAGACACCCTAGCATATCTGGTATTCTCCAGCGGGACAAGCGGATTGCCCAAAGGTAACCTATTTCTCGATTTTGAGGCAAGCGTCTGCTCATGATCATGCAGCTGTCATGATTTCGCATAGGAATATGTGCTACTCTTCTATGCAGCCAGCTATCACGAGTGCCGAGGTAGCGAGGTGTGTTGCGGTTAGTATTCGTTTTTCGTCATATCGTTGTCGTATCATGACAACTTCGGTTCTGCAGCCGAAGCCATTGGATACGCCTGGCGGGTATCCCGTCGCCATAGCTTTCCTACCGCTCTACCATGCGATGGGCTTGCACAGCTACGTCTTCCGTGCATTTTTATCGCCTTCAACAGTCATTATCCTTCCCAAATGGGACGTCGATCTTGCACTCAGCCTGATACCGAAGTGCGTACGCCCTAGCTGCCCGTGCGCTGCTAAAGACCTTGCATTCTGAACCCGGTAGTGTAGGTATCGTGTATCCCACCTCTCATTCGTGCCATCCATCATACAGCAGCTAGTGGCGTCGTCGAAGCTGGACAAGGCAGACTTGAGCAGCATCGCCGTCATAGGAAGCGGAGCAGCCCATCTACCTAGGGAGTTGAGAGACAAATTGGGCAAACATGCGATCAATGCGAGAGATCACTATGAGGGTATGTAATATTTCACGAGGTTTGGGGTTCAAGGCAATATACCTGACTGTGATTTCTGCAGGTTATGGCATGTCTGAATGTGTCCGTGTCCACATTGTTTTTTCATGACGTTTTTGCTCATCATTGGCTTCAGACTATTTCGGCGCTGTTTACACCTTTTGCCGGGATGTTCGACAATCGTTTCAAAGACGCCCGATACATGACAGGGATCCTCCTCCCCGGGATGGAGGCGCGGATCATCCGGGAGGATGGGAGCGAAGCAGATTACAACGAGCCTGGACAGCTTTTGCTGCGTGGGAAGAACGTCGCGATGGGCTACTGGAACAACGAGAAGGCCACGAAGGAGGCTTTCTTGCCCGATGGCTGGTTGGTCACGGGCGATCGCTTTAAGGCAGATGAAAACGGCGCATTCTAGTGCGTGTTGGATTCCCGCTCATCCGCTGCGTCGGAACATTCGAAGCTGACTCTTCGCAAAAATCAGCTATGTTGACCGAGCAAAGGTTGTTCTCGGTCCTGGTGCTTTATTTCGCGGCTAACCCACCTCGCAGGATACGTTGAAAGTCTCGGGGACCCAAGTCTCACCAACCGAAATCGAAGACACGCTCCTCCAACACCCCGAGCAGCTCATTAGCGATGCTGCAGTCGTCGGCGTGAACGGCAGCCGCATGACAGACGAGAAAGTGCCCCGCGCTTGGATTGTCCTGACCGACGCAGGGAAGCAGCGCGGGTCACAGGCGGTGTTCACGGCCCTTGACATATGGGTGAAAGAAAGACTGAGCCGGCACAAATGGCTGAGGGGCGGTTATCAGGCCGTCAACGAGGTCAGCACGGTTTATGTCCTCGTGTTAAATGTATTGACAGCTCGCGTCGCTCAGATCCCGAAGTTGCCTACCGGCAAGGTGCTCCGTCGCGTACTCCTTGAGGAATACCTAAGGGCGCAGCGTGAGGGACATGTGGTTCGGACGAAACTATGAGCTGTGTCATACAGCCTTGTCATCGTCGTTGATGATTTGTAAACCGAAGGACTGTGAAGAGACTTGAATTGTACTATCATACACATGTATTTGGATCAGAAGACAGTCAGTCAGGGGCTGTTCACTAACCTATCGGGACTCATCATATTGGACTAGGTTGGACTTATCGTAGGAAGGTAACAATGTATTGAGGAGTACGAAAAATTGAACCGCGCATGCAACATGGCCTATGTGAGATCGCTAAACACCACCGCCACTCTTCTCGACCGGAATAGCTAATCTGTTAGACTTGGCCACACTCTTCGCAAGCGGCGCGAACGAGACGTCCTTCAGCCCTGCACAAATCTATGATGACCGGGGCTCAGCTGCCTTCTTTCTCGGAAGAAGCGAAGCAAGCTACTCACCTCGACGAACTCATCGAAGCCGACTCTCTTCCTATTTGCGAACCCGGTCTCTTCGAGCACATAATCGAAGTCCTTCGGCCTGATACTCTCGTACCCGGGCAGCGTGGCGATCAGCTCCCCCAAAGCGTCTTTCTCCAGCACCTGCTCGGCGTCAGGAGCACTGTCGACCTGTTGTGCGCGCACAACGAACGCCTTGCGCAGCTCGTCGACCTCACCAGGCTCGAACTGCGCGCGGCTGTACGACCCAGAGACGTGCCGCGCGCGGCTCCTATCCGCAGTACCGCCGAGCTGCAGCGCCCCGCCGATCTTGTTCAACAGCCCCGCCGGCTCGTGGAGCGTGGGCGGCGCGACGTTGGGCGAGAGACCCATGGACTGGAGGAACTTCGTAGCACCTACAAGCTCGGACTGCTTGCGCGCACGGTTCCAGTGGAGTTCCTCGGACATGATTTCGACGACGCGGGGGAGGGCATCGAGGGCGGCTTGTGCGTTCAGGAAGGAGAGGCGGCAGCGGCGGGCGATGACGTCGACGGCGGTGAGTGCATACTCGTGGCGGACGGCGTAGCGCACTTCTGCTTCGATGACTAGAAATCAAAGCGAAATCAGAAAGCAAGAAAAATCGACGAAAAGGAAGGCGTACAAGGGTATTGTGGTGCTAAACGAACGCCGTAGAGAGGCCATGAATCGCCGGTCGGGGAAGCAAGAGACAGGACTGTCCATGCACGGTCGCCGTAGTTGTCCGATAGATGTTTCGCAACTTCCGTGTCGAGACCGTACTAAGGAACAATGCATAAGCTTACAGAATTTGAACGCGAACAAAGTTGGCTTACCCGCTGGATCAAGCCGATGAACATATTCCTACTCCATCCATCACTTCCGACCAGCCTCACCTGCTCCGTCACGCACCCGCTCTTCACTCTTCCCTCCAAACCGAATGCCTTCACAGCTTCATCAACGGTCTCTTGCGCCATAGACCGATACGTCGTCCACTTGCCGCCCGCAATCGTCAAGAGCCCAGAGTCCGAGACGTGAATCATGTGGTTCCGCACAAGACCCTGTGTGCTGCTGGCCGAGGGGTTCCGCACGAGCGGCCGTAGCCCGCTCCATGCGCTCAACACGTCCCCGCGGCGTACTTTGATATCCGGAGAGAGGTAGCGGCGGACCTCCTCGAGAACCCAGCGGATTTCCTCTTCTGCCGCACGGGGCTCGGTTTCGACAGCCGCAGGCGCATCGGTTGTCCCCGCGATGGTGTTACCCTGCCATGGGAGGAAGAAAATGACGCGCCCGTCTGAGGTGGCGGGGTCGAGGAGACCCATTGTGCGTGGGGAGTAGTAATTTGGGAGCGTGATATGTATTCCAGAGGATGCTTGGACTATAGGCTTGTGTTCCGGGTTGTCGAGGGTAAGAAGAGCATCTGAGAAAGGACCTGTAGCATTGATGATACCCTGTCGCGCCTCGTCAGTCGCTGAAACGGGGTGACTGCTTAGGTGAAGAACGAACCTTAGCTTTCACGTCCCATTCTTCACCAGTAAGATTGTCCTTGAGACGTGCGCCAGAAAGCTTGCCGTCAGCTCCTTTGTGCAGTTTTGTCACCTCGACTTTGTTCGCGACGGTTGCACCAAGCTTGACAGCCGTCATGATCAGCGCCATGTTCATCCTCGAGTCATTGTGTTGTCCTAATGACAGTGAGGACCACGTTTTTAGAAAGGGCCAAAGAGAACCTACCATCATAATACACAAGAGCGCCTACAAGGCCGTCACGTTTGAGCATTGGGAAAGTTTCGAGAGCCTTGCCCTTGCTCATGAGATAAGATGATTCCATGTTCTCTTTCCCCGCGAGAATATCGTACATCTTACAGCCCACCCAATAATATGGTACTTGCCAGTATCTGCCAAAAAAACATCACGGTCAGCGCAAGTTCCCAATCGAGTATGTACATATACCACGTTTCCGTGGGGGGCTTGCGTATCTAAACCGAGTGAAAACGTCAGACGCACTTGTATATTGGTAGCATGATTGGAAGCATGTGCGACAGATAGGGCGCGGTTTGAAGGAATATCCGACGCTCGTGAAGTGCCTCCCTGACGAGCTTGTACTGCTCATAGTCAAGCTCCATGACTGCCTTTTGAAGATATCGCACACCGCCATGAACGAGCTTCGTCGATTTCGACGAGGTACCTGTGATTTTGCTCATTGAAGCAATAAGTAAACATTCGAGAGCAGTACGGCTTACCTGCACTGAAATCATCTCTTTCTACCAGCGCGACCTTGAGACCGCGACTGGCAGCATCAACAGCGACACCAGCACCCGTCGCACCTCCGCCGACGATCAATAAATCAAACTCTTGCTCGCCTCCCAACTTCGTAGATTCTCTCAAGAGATTCAGGTTGTGTTCCCTCGACGGGGGAAGCCATGGCGGTGGTGGTCGTCTCGTCTCCCTCGTGGACTCGGGATAGGCTGGCCCGGAATTCAAGTAATAATACCCGCCTCCGGCAGCGGCGGCGGTCGCTGCACCGGCATATGCCAGAGCTCTACGGGAGAAAAGAAAGCGGGTGCGACGAAGCATCGGCCACGGCAATTGAACGTCGTTCGCAACGACGGAGAGGACGGGGAGATGGGGGCGGGGAGAGAGGAAGGAGGGATGAGTCGAGTCGGAGCGAACATAACCTTTAGCACGCATTTCTGAATTTCCCCGTGGGGAATAACTTGTGCCGGTCCGGCAGCCGCTTCCCGGTCCGATGAAGCGCCCAGGCCGAGCAACGTTCGTCTTTCACAGTTTCGGCTCATTCCATGGCCATTCATCACGATGAATGAAAGTCTGGACCTGTCTTATAATGGCCGACAGTTACATGATGGCATAGCACTGGCATAGCACATATTTTTGAATGGGAGTTGCTGTTCAGGTAAACATCTATTGCGCGCCTTTGACACACCGTTTTACGATCCCCCGAACAAGCATCGTCGAGGGCCGATGAAAGAGTATGCAAGTTCACACACTGTTCCGGTAACCCGTTATTCCATCATTGAGCTCAATTTTGAATCGAAATCGTCCCGATATGCCTACCCAACTCGAGTCTCGGGCAACACACATATGATCTCTGGGAGAATACTTTGCTAAACCGCATCATAAGGGTCCTTCTCCCAACCGTGATATGGATACACAGGCCTCGGTGCCTCGAGGAAACGCGATCGTTCGTGTGCTCGTCCCTCTGCATGACCCCGATCTGGGGTTAGGGTCTTGCAAGATTTTGGTACCGAGAGAGTTGACATAGCGTCGCGCGCTTTCAGTGTTGGCTCTGGACGTTGGGTATGTGGGACGACACCCGATTTGAGTAGGAGAGAGTTGTTGAGAGAGGAGCTCATGAAGAGATAGGGGTCTGCGCAAGACAAAGAAGGGATGAGTATCGACTAGAGGAAGATGTGATTCTAGAGTCATTTCACTGCACCTTTTTCATGGTGTTCCGCGGACATGCCGAGGGATCTTGGTTGGTGTGTTTGAGTTCGACGGAGAGTCGGACGAGATTGCGACAGAGAAGAGAAAGAGAGTGTCGGCTCGGAGTTTTTGCGCTTCGCCTTGAACATTTTTCGCAAGCGAAAAATCACAGGGGTCGTCGCCAAGACAAAAAACAGCAAAACCAAAAGCGCAAGAGCGACTGAAAGAAACGTCAGGGTGTTTAATGGTGTTCGCTGTTAGGAATGAAAAGAAAACACGCACCGACAACGACTAAATCTGCCCAGCACAGCCGAAACCAGCCGGCCAGGGGGTGGCAGACCTGTCCAGGGGAGCCCTGAGGACCAGAAGGCATGGCGGGAGATCTTTCAGCGACAGGAGTGTGGAGTGACTTAGGGGAACAGCGGAGCCGCCAGAATGGAGAGAAAATTGACAGCCTTCCAAACCGGGCTGACGGTCTACGCGAATGACACCTTGGGAAACTCTCGCCTTGAGCACGAGAATCCATCTGAGACCGATCCAGTCCTGCGTTGCATAGACTGTCAGGTTAGTCCGAAGATTCAACGCTGACAATGGGGTCTCGGTTGGCCCCTTCGAGCAGGTATGAGACCCCGTTATTGGTCCTTAAGTCTGAGAAAGTGAACACAGACCAGACTCTGATGTTGCAAAACAGACCGTCATGGACATGAATAAAACAGCGATGACGATTTTGTCTCAAGCCAAGACTGACATTCATACTCATACATGCAACTCAACGCGCTGGCAATTGTGAAGCCCAGGGATACGCTTCCGGATGAGCCGGGAAGGGCGAGATATCGCTGAAGTTGACCGTAGATGGAGTTCCGAAGAACACTTTCTGTAGGAACGGTTGGATGAGCGTGCTGCAGGTCAAGCGAAGGTCAACGTCCTAGGAAACATCTAACATTTTGTACCTGTACTTACTAGCCCGTGTTTCCGCAATGCCCATCGTCCGGTGGATGACGAACATCGATTGCAATATTTTCTCCCACACCAAGCCAGTCGTATACGACCTTTGCTGCCTCGAACGTTACACCCATAGACCCCTCAGGGTTAGTCTAAATACGTCATGAGACCTTTGTTATAAAGGGTTCTAAACGGCGCACACTCACCCACCAATCTTCCTGCCCTTCATCCCAAATGACAGCGCGCTGAAAGGTAGGTGAAAGATTATGATTGCCTGTCCAAACAATAGCATCAAATTCCATACCGGAGCTATCAACGACACCATCTCGTGCGCATCGAACGGTAGATGACTAGAGTTAGCAGTGAGGTTGACAAATTGACCTAGGACACTGTTGCTCCAGTACGGGAAACCACCAAATATATTGTTGATCTTCTCCGCTGCGCCCTCTGCATACAACCTCAGGTTTTACATAATCGGAAATCGTTCAAGACGTACGGGATTCATAGTAGAACCGCCAAGGGCCGACACCTTCCTCCCCACTGGAGAGCGCGAGAGTCAACTTGATCTAGACACTAGTCAGCGGACATAGGAAAACAAACTAAGCGAGACGTACTCTCTCGTCAAAGATGCCTGCAGCAAGCGCCCCCTTCCCATACCTCGAACAACCAATGGCACCAGCAGACGTGGCGTCGATCTCGGGAACGAGTTTCTCAATCGCGTCCAATATACGATGATATCCCCAAGCCCATGCGGTCAACGTACCTACGACATTGGCGATGAACATCAATAAGACAAGATGTACCAGCTTATACTGACCGATATCGCTGCCATTATACAACGTCCAAAAGGCGCCTGTCCTCGCTGTGGAGTCCACTGCGACGTCACCAACGTTAAACGTCGCGAGCGCGACACCCGACGCCAAGAACGGCGCAGTTGGTATCTCGCCCGGGTTGATCACGACTGGCACAGGGTTCTGCGCGCTCGCGGTGACGTTCGTAGGGAATGTCAGCGTTGCCGGAAAGCTCGCGGATTTGCGTCCGACCGACACCGTTATGTTGAGCGCGTTCCCCGAGCGCGTCGCCTTCACCGTCTCGGCGGCATGGTCAGGGTAGAAGCCGTACAGGTATTGCTGGACAAGCGTGAAGATCTCTTGTTTGCGGCAGGCCCAGTCAGCGGTGGAGCGGACCCTGTCGGGCGAGAGGCGGAACGTGAATGGATCGGGAAGGAGAGGTATGATAGGTAGGTCTGAGGGCTGTGGAAGGGGAAATCGTATTGGTGCACATGCAGATGGGCGTTCAGCTGCATGGGCGAGGTAAGAGGAGGCGATTAAGACGAGTCCTGCGAGAATCTTCATGATACTGTATCAAGATCGCGAAATGGATCCTATAAGACTAGTCCTGCACTCGTCACTTTAAGTATGCAGCTTAGCGTTCTTCGAAGCCTGGTAGCGTAGATTGTGCGGAGAATATGGGTCATGAGCAAACAGTATGAGAACGAAATCAGGATCACACCGATCGTCATCTGACAGAAACGGCGCGGGTAGAGTCCTGTATATCTTTAGACAAGGTCATCTAAGGTTCGATGTGTGCAAGTTGCGAGCGACGGCGACTGTGGAAAGACATTTATCCAGTAATTGCGGACGCGTGATACAGTACGAGTTGCCTGAGTATGGAATCGATGACGACAGCGAGAAAGCGCGCCTCTAATCCTTCCGAGTATACGCCGCGGTTTGTTTCTTCTGTTGGCGTGGATGAGTGGTGTCGAGGATCATTGACGGTGCATACAGCATGGACCAGAGAGGCTGACTTTGTAAACTCTGGAGCGGCAAGCAGAAGAAGAGGATTGGTAGCAAAAAAGCGAGCAGCATCCAATTAACCAAGGCGGTCCGAGAAGGACACGAAGGGGTAGGCTAGACGGAATACCAGAGATTCAGGGAGCTTCGGTGGGCGATGCTGCTGCTGCACAATTCAGTTGATGAGCACGCCAGGAAGATCAAGGAGTATTGAGTGCCTCCACCGGCCCGTTGAGAGATAGGTTATGGATCAAAGCATAGCGATGAGTACACCATCCATTCGACGCCCAGCATTCGTCAGTCTGCTGAGAGCGCAAGCGAGGACTCTCTGGCATCGAAATAATACCGAACAATGTATTTGCTACTGTAGTTGGACGTTCGTTGATAAATCGAGTCTGATTGCGATCGCGGTAACCGACTTGGAGGAAGAGGGCAAGATGGGAGGAGAATGGTGGGAGGATGTCATTTTTAAATCTCCGAAATTCCTGGTCTGGCGATCGTACTACCGACTAGCAGCACTGTCTCTTGCTGTCTTTACTCCCTCTATATTCTCCAATGCTGTCCTAATTCTTCTGAACTTGGCCGGTAACCACACCCCAATTTGACGAATGGTCCAAGGAGGTCCAGAGACACAATGTCATGAAGTTTATTCGGTCACAGACGACTCGACGATTCGATCTATGCGATATAAGTTTCGTGAAGCTTTTGCTGCAGGCTGGTGAGTTCAGTATACTGCCCCTCTTCCCTATTAAAAGATTGATTTCATTCCCTCAACGATGAGTCGATGACTGTGGTGGTGATTGCCTTCACGGCATCCACTCCAAAGACTTTCGTGGTCGCAGCAAGCCTGCACGAACAAGATCGCAACGGCTGTAGTGCACCGCCTTGTTTCCCTCACCGAGTCACCTCTTGGATGTTCAGAGTCTAAGCCCTCATCTTAGACTTCTTGTCCATACGAGGTAGGCCTCAACTGCTCCTGCGAACGCCGCCTTGCTTTCCAATACGATACGAACGGATGCCGCTTCCTCCGCTCTGCATTACAGAGTCTTCTTTCTCATGCAGCCTTGTAGGCGAGTACTCTGATTTTTGACCAGCAAAGTATTCTCACCGTGGTTGTATACCGTGACCCACTCAACTCGAGTGAAAATGTCGATCCCGCCTATCGATGGCTTCATCAGTGTCGAGAACCATGCATCAACGTATCAAGACGCAGGCAGTAGACGATGTTGTAATGCAGGAGCATTGGTAGGGAGAGACGACCCAGGTGAGATGGTTTTCGTTTTATTTTTACATTCCCACACGGCTCATTGTTTATCATCCAGTCGGGACCGTAATGCGGAGTCATTGTCAATGTTTACACGTGTTTCTGCCTGTTTGGTGGGTATAAAAGACTCGTCGAGGGGGCTTTCGAGGCGCGAGACCTTTTGTATTCGCACCCCAACTTCACTGCACCCAATTCATCACTTTCGATAACTTGCCACTTCGACAATCAGTCAACGCGTCGATCAAACACGCGCACACGCTGATTGGCGCCTATCGTGATCTACTCTCCCCACAACCGCATCCTTTGTGTCCATTGTGATCCATCGCTAAACATTCAACGGCTGTCAAAGCGTGCGGAGATAGCAGTCCAGCCTGTCCAGGTATAGATTCTGTCTAGATACAAGGGTGTCCATCATCTCACCACGCCGACAGACTCTCAGGAAACCCATAAACGATATGAACAACCCGTCTACCCCTATCGGGCCTGCCCTAGATGGTGGCAGTCCCATCGATCCTTCCAAGAACATGCCACCGTCAACCCTTGAATGGGTCGAAAGGGTCCGTCGAGTGAACAGGCTCGGCGCTTCCCACGCCGGCCAAGGACCTTCCTTATTGAATCGTGCACCGGCTCATGCACCGATGTCATTGACAACTCGGTTGCCTATCGTCCCACCAAGAACACACAATGTCAAGGAAGGCGCGTTTACGATAGATAATAACATCATCAATATTCATGTGTCCGACGGTGATGAAAGTCGGCGCCCACCACCTGATCATTGCGAGAATGCAAAGTTTTCGGTGTTTAAGCCTGTGGCTCTTGATGACAAGGTGTCAGTTAGATGGAGGAGGTCAATTGGAAGGTATCTAGCAGTAGAGACTTTAAAGAAAGATTTGAATGGTATGTTTATGAATGTTGACATAATGTCTACATGTTGGTTACTGATTTTTTTGATATTTATAGCCAAAGAGCCAGTATGGACACTCAAACAATTTCCAAAAGGATATGCATTATATGACCATCAAACAGGAAGAATATTAGAGAAAAAAAATCCTAGACATGATTTTTATCTTTATGGTATGACTTTTGCTTGCTTAATCAAAGATATAAGCCTATAATGTTTTTTAGGACATACCCAGCGCTTTCGGTCTCCAGAAGAATTTGTGCTTCATGTGGAATGGCTGATGTGCAATATGCCTCTTAAGAGCAATGGTCATCCTAATTGTCGGTGCAAATATTGTGGCAAAACGAAGCAATTGGATATCAATGCCAAGCTTTTAAGGAAAAGGGTTTCCATTCACAATAACAATCACAATTTAGGAGAAAGAAGAAGAAGATGACACTTCAAGACTTTAGAGCCACCTATTAAGGTGAAGAACTATACTCATCTTGATATGGATTGCACTTAATATTGAATATCCAAGCTATTTTATAGGGGTATGCATAATTAATATTAAAATATGCATATTACTAATCAAGCAGTTTTTTAGGTGCTTTATATTTTGAAATCTTCAAAAAGACAGCTATATTATGCAAACCTATTCTCTGTCACTGAATATACTTGAAAAAATATGACTTGCTCTTAACATTTTTTATTTATGATTCTTATTATGTATTACTAGTTATTATTTATTAAAAAAATATTATTCAAAAAAATTATATAAGTATAGGAAAGGTAAAAAAAAAATGACAAATTTTAGTAATAATAAAGCAAAAGGAAAGTTTCAAAAAGGTTTTAAAAAGATAAAACTCAAGGTATTAGCTACAATATATAAGTAATTGGAGAGACAATAACTAAAGATTATATAGAACCAAAATAGTTAATAATAGGTAATAACTGAATAGTCTAACAACAATCTCTAGAATAAAAAGTATGAATATTCTTAATATAGAATATGTTGTGATATGGCCTATCAGGCCTCTTAGGACATTTATTCTAATAAAAGCAGCACAACACATACTAGATAGTATTATATGGCATATACAACAAGGTATCTAGTATTGTTTTCCAAAAGACTAATATAACTAATATATCATAATTATTATTGGTAAAGGGATTCAACAAGGTTAAGAGACAATAATAATAGTAGGCTTAGGATTATATGTTATGATCATGACTTATTGGGCCTACACAGCTGTCTATACTGATATGATCATCACAACTACCAGGTGGCCTCATACCTTGAGGCGTACACGAAGGTACAAATATCATCTTTGGTCATCCACTCCCAATGGATCACCCATTGTTGGTCGAGTATTATGGGCCTATTGCAGTGGGCAACTTTCCCCACTTTACAAACTATTCACACATAGGCATGGAGCTCCTTAACCCCTTGGTCAGAAAGAGGCAAGCAGAGAAGCAAAAGTAGTCATTTCAGAAAGAGGAATGACTTAGAGAATACCTATGGGATATATATATAGTATTCACACACCCCTCCTAAAGTAGCATATAAGGCCCATAGAATAGGCTAAGGATCTGTAGTCTATTCTCTTCATTCCAGTACTGTCTTCCTACAGTACCCTTCTGTTATCACACTATCTTGCTACAGTACACACTATTGCTACCCTATAATACACCTCTGGCTCCTGTGCTCCATGTACAGTCAACACCATCGTTCCACCCTTCCTCCATGAGTGACCTAGGGAAGAACCTCCTACTCTTGGGGTTACTGAACAAGCAGTTCATAACACTATATAGGTATATATACTATTATATACTGGGTTAGATAAATATAGATAAATAGCATAATAGTTGATATTGATAAGAAAGCAGTGGTTGTAAAATGACTAAGAAAAGTATTAGGACCACATTCTAATACATGCTTTATATAAGACTAGGAAAGGATAGTCATGTAGTATGCTTGCATAACAGGCTCACACTATAAAAGACTCTGGGCCTATTAATATGCTTACACATAAACACTTATGATATATAACTCATTTACAAGCTTTGGCTTGAATGCTTACTTATGCCAATCACAATTGAGACTTGATACTCACTGATGTGAATAGTCATTTGATATAGTTGCTATATTAGAATACATTGCAGATTATAAATAACATATCTCAATTATTCAGCTTACTCAGTATTTAGAAGCACAGACCAGATCCTGGTCTAGCCCTAGACAGCTTATATATATAAATAGCTAAGATGAACTTCCAAGAAGCTTAGCTTGTTCACTTTGCATACAACTCAATCTCTATATAGTGCCCAGCATCTGGCTACCTTCATAGCTTATACATTGCAAACTCTGCTAGATTCCAAAGTATTATACTTAGTCCAATGAAGCACTAAACTTGTTCTTAGGATGGCATCCTAATACATGCTTTGTATGAGGGCAGAAAAGAAGGTCAGGTATCTTATCCTAGACTATACATTGATAACTAGAACTATGACTTGACATACATCCAGGCACATGACTTAGGATATGGTCATGAGCTACACATATGACTTAGGCTTAGACTGATTATTATTTATATGCTGACACATAAATGCTTACAACTATTATGACCATGACTTATTGGGCCTTTATGGCAGTCTATTCTAATAGAATCATCACAACTATTAAACGGCCTCCCATTATGAGGCATACATTAAAGTACAGATATTATTCTTGGTCATCTACTCTTAGTAGACATACCCATTGCTAGTCAAGTATCATAGGCTAGACACAGCAAATGGCCAATGGCAGCCTATACTACTCACACATGAGCATGAAGCTCTTTATCCTCCTAGTTGGAAGAAGACAAGCAGAGAAGCAAGAGTAGTCATTCTTGGAAAGTAATGACTTAGAGAATACCTATGGTATATATATACTGGATTCTCACTCTCTTTCCCAAAGTAGTATAAAAGGCCCATAGAATAGGCTAAGGTTCCTTAGTCTATTCTCTTCATGCTACTGTTATACTATAGTCTTTATACTTGGGCAGTCTTTATACTGTCTACTTCGTCTTATTGCCCATTGCTGCAATATATATTTGGCTCCTGTGCTACACATATAGTCAAGACCATTATTTTACTCTTCCTTTATGAGTGACCTAGGGAAGAACCTCCTATTCTTGGGGCTACTGAACAAGCAATTTGTAACAATGATATTATGACTCATTCTTCTCCTTTTTATATGTGGCTTACTGATGTTGATCATGATTGAGTTCCAATTTGATATTAATGTGGACAGACATTTGATATACTTACTATATATGGTTATATTGAAGAGCTGTGGAGTTTAAACTAACGACTGTAGATTACTTAATATTTAGAAGCACAGACCATATTTTCATCTAGCCCTAAATAGCCTATACTATAAATAGCAGAGCTGAGCTTCTTAGAAGATCAGCTTGTTTACTTTGTATACATCTTGATCTTTGCACTGTGCCTGGCATCTGGCATCTTTCAGCCCACACATCACAAACTCTGCCAGATCCAAAGAATCATACTTAGTCTAATAAAGCACTAGATTTGTCTTAAAGCTCTCCTCATCCTCTACCACCTGCAACCTATCAAGGACTTACTGCTTATTGAGTCATCTATTAGAATCTATCAAAAGTCATCTGTTGTATCAAAGAAAACCTCCTAGTACCCAATGAACATCATCCTATCATTAATTAATATCTTTTCTACTTATTTAAAGATCAGGCTGACAGTAATTAAGACTTCCTAGTATAAGCCCAAAGCCATGCAATAGTCTTTATTTGTTGGGCTGTCCATATTAGCCCAGGGAACCCCTCTTAGTGCATCAAGTGCACATAACAAGCCTAGCGGTGATACGCTAGCAGTGGCTCTAAGTGCTGATCACAATACTAAAACAACCTCTAATGTAGGGGTGCTGGAGCTAGTATCTGATACACAAGGAATTGTTAGTTAGGACTTGAGAAAGCAAGGGCACACTAAAGAGTAATAAGGAGGGTGAGATTAAAGTGCCCAAACAGTTTTGGGACTGCACTGAACACCGACCAAATGTTTAGTCGGTTGAGTCAGGTCAGAGAGTCAATTAGTAATGCAAAGGTAGTTTTATGACCAACAACTACATGTTTCAAGAGCCACATAGGACTCTGACAAAATGAGGGAGGATGAGGGGTACAAGTGAAGAAATGAGTATAAATACAAACAAGGCTAAATAACGAGGATGACAAGTTTTCGGAAGTTGATGAAAATGATTTCAATGGTTGAGATGAGTACAAATGAGCTCTAAACTATGGGGTGCGAAAGCTGGTTTATTCCAGAGTTGTATGTAGGTTTTTATAATAAACAGAGCCCCTAAGTAAAATATTAAACACAAAATGAGAGTAGATGTCAAATGGGTGCCCAGCCCTAGCAATCAGAGAAGATAAGAAGGTAGGTGAGATGTCCATATGGGTTCTAAAGGTGATAAGGTAAAAGTTAATCAGCAATGGCAAAATCCCAAATGTTTGAGATCCGTTGCCCAAGTGTAGGTAGTCAGAATAGGCATTGGTGAGCCAATGAAAATAAAAAAGGCACAATGTATGACTAAGGTGGCCAAGTAAAATAGCACAAGATCGCATTTGACTGACCATATAGAAGTTGGGAAGATAAGCAATAAGAACCAACTGACTCACAGAAGACATCAACCAACACAGAATACTGGCTCCAATCTCGTAAACACCTATCATAATACTCCTATGCAGTCATGGTAAGTACATAAAGTATGGGCAAACTGACCTAAGTGCTGCCAAATGTCTTTTGGTGGGTTATGGTCAATTGGGTAGGGACTGACCATGTTCAGTGCAAGTTGGCATCTTCAGTACTTGTCTAGTGCTGTTCAGTGTCTCCCCAAAGCTTCCCAAATACCTTCCTTAAACCCTAGTATGGGTGCATGCTTATCAGTGGCTTAACACTTGTCTTTAATCCTCACTCACTCTCATTATGCTATTACCCCTCAAGGACTTGCTACCTATTAAGTCCTCTTCTGAAACCCCTCGGAAGTTATCTGTTGAATTGGAGAAGACAGTCTTATAGCAGACAACCATCAACCTCTTATTGAGAAACACCTTCTTCACTTCTTCAAAGATAAGATCGATTGTAATGAGTTCTTTCTTGCTTAAGTATAGTAAAGAGCCATACTATTCACCTATTAGACAGTCACTATTCAGATAGCCTAGGGACCCCTCTACATACCTACAGTTATATGATAAACCTAGCAGTTTAATATTCCTATATTAACTAGTAGCAGGCATCAGCTGACAATAACAACTTTAATAATCTTGTATACAAGGCCAAGGTACCAAGATCTTTACAGCCTTTTGTGGTAGCTGCCAAGCTGCCAACAAAGTGGCTAAGAACATCAATGCATATTTCTCTCTTTCTATGTCCCTTATAAAAATGGCTAAAAAGTTAGCAAAAAAGCTACAGAATAATGGTGCAGGCATATATAAAAGAGAGTAATATGCTAAAATAGCATAGAATGTGCCACATCTTTACCTTTTTATAGATAGAGCAGTAATACTTACTATTTCCTGCTATTAATTAAAAACTTCTTGGTATGGAATTAGTGCTAATATCATGAAATTAGAAACTATCTTTTTAGCCATAGAAAGAGGTAGTTTCCAATTTGGAAGTCTAATCTAATGCTCACAATGTGTTGCTCCCAATTAGGAATTTAGACACTTTTAGATGCTATCAACACTTTTAGATACTTTTAGACATTATTAGATATAATTCAGAGCTAATATAAGGGAGTGGTCTTCTGAATAATTCCCTAATCATTTTCTAGTCTCTATAATATACAAGGGATTTATAGCTTTTTAAGTCCTATGCTAGGTACTACCCAAAGTTATTTATTAGACTAGGAAGAATTACCCTCTTTTTCCTAATCATTAAGAAATCCTCAAAGATTATCTACTTTACCTTTTTAAAAATAAAGCAGATAGTGATTCTAAATTCTCACAAGCTTAAAAATAATCCATTATCTTTATTTATTAGGGCCTTATAATCCAAATAGCCTAGGGAACCCCTTTTAGTGCATTGGTGCATATAATGAGCCTTTAGCTTAATTGTCTACTTTATTCCTAAGTAGTCTTCATACTACTCTATCATTATATTCTTTATATTCCCTTATAATATAGTAAATCTTTCACTCTACTCTATTTATTATATGACATAGGAAAAAACCTCTTACTCTGGGGGTTATTAAACAAGCCGTTTATAACAGAATATATATAGCAAGCAAGGATATCTTTACACAATAAACTTTATGCACCTATTAGAATAGCCAAACTTCAGAGTAAAGTATTTAAGTTTTATTAGTGCGTTAATAAATTAAGTCATTTAAGCAGGACATAATACTATAGGGTCTTGCATAAGCTTCAAAAGAGTCATATGAGAAAAAATAAGTACCTGAGCACTTTATTATGGATATAAGAAAAAAGTGCTGGACCTTCCTGCATAACCCACATCAGGGAAAAGCTCCATATTAAATTAACCATAGTTAAGCATAAATATAGCTATATTTTTACTAGTTACCATTAAGGATTTTTAGCTTACCCCCCCTCTAATCCTGAAATTATAAGATCTAATTAGAGCTAATTAAAGCTAATTTATTATATGGATTTTTGGAAAAATATCAAACAACCCACTCCTATGGTTTCTTTACTACTATTATACCTCCAATCATAGAGTATGTATAGAGCTTACTAATCGAACTAAAGTTGCACCTTATTATAAACTTGCCCATTACTAGAATTGAACCAACAACCTCATGCTTGCACACCCCAGACTAGTGCTCTAAACTACTAAGCCACAAATTCTAAATTATATACCTGGTAACCTAAATATGTTGACATGAATAAGGCAATCTCAACATTTCTGATTTTCTTACACATTCATCTTTTATCTCTTCTATATATAAAGGGATCAATAAATATCCTAAAAATCAGGGCTTTCAATATTTAAATTTGGACACCAGACAACAAAATAGTAAACCAATAGAAAATAAAGAATAAAGTAAAAGTAGAATTGTAGCACTTATATAATTTGGATTTGGGATATGTAAAATTGTAATTAGGTTATAGATTTTAATGGGACTGTAATAATATAGACAATGTCCCCTTAATCACAAATTTGGTCATAAAGTTGATTACAAATAATATATTCTAATTAGCTTAGAATAGTATTTTGAATAATTAGATCTAATTAAGAGAGGAGGTTTTTCCAGATGCACCTGTGATGGTCACTCTCCACTGCTGTCTTTGACAGTGCCAGTCAATAAGTAGCTCTCAGATTCAATGATAAATAGATAGAGACATGGTAAAGTTAAATAAAGTACTACAAAGAGGCGAGCACACGGTGTGCTCAAAGTGATAGCCCTAAGCCATAAGAGCATGACAAGGTTTTGCCAATTGTCCCGGCCCGCAGTGCCCAGTTAGGCAAGTCTTGGTTTAGGAACCCGGTTTTACTCTGATGCAACTCTCTATAAACACAAAATTATTTGAGTCAAGTCAAGTATGTAGAGTATGTTTGAGTTCATCTCCTAAATTGCATAAATATGAAGTATCTAGCAGCTGTTAAGCCCGTTCGGCCGCTTGAAGTCATCAGTATAGACCTTCCCTCCCACCTCGGCGAAGATGTTGAACGAGGAGCTCCCCGCATTGTCCACCTTGAACTCGGCGTTGTACAGGGTGTACAGGCTCGACGCGGAAGAGTTGCTGCTCGCCGTCATGTTGATGGAGGACGGGACCATCTTAAGCATGACAGTTCCGGGCTGCGTCTCGGCGGAGGTATAGTCGATGTAGACTGCCGTGATGGGCTGGTCGTTGCGAACCTGGTCGAGAGAACGATCGACGATGAGCACACACACATAAGGACAAGCCTAAAAGAGAAGAGAAGAGAAGAGAAAGGACGTACCGCGGCGACAGCTTTGATCGTGCCGTCGGAAGTGCAGGATGCTGACGACTGCAGCATGACGACGTCGCTAAAAGGGAAGCCGGCACCGCCGTTGTCGGCCTTGGTCACGGGCCCCCCCGGCGTGCTCGTGTACTCGACGCTGAAGGCGGAGAACCCGACCTTGGGGTCGATGGTGGTGTCAAAGTTGAACATCATGACCGTGCCCGAGAAGATAGTGCCCGGGAACCCTTGTGCGCTCGTGGTTGTGCTGCACCCCTCACAAGCAGCGCCGTTGTGATCGGTCCAGGTGACGCTGCAATAGAAAATCAGGACTTCAGCGACGACATCGGTGCAAACGACTCACTTGACCTCGTAGTCGGAAGTGGACGCAGATTTGTTGGAAGTGAATAACTGCATAGATGCGTCAGTCAAAAGCCATCCTCGACGGCAAAGGAATACACGTACGCGGACATAGCCCCCGAGATGCAGCTGCCCGTTGTCGTTGATGCTCAATTGGACGTTCCAAGGCTTGATGGCTATAGGAGTGATGACGTCTGTCAGCTGGACGCCCTTCGGGACGGTGTCGATCATCCGTGCAAGAAGCTCGGCACAGCGGCTTTGGAAGAGGGTGTTGCTGGAGGCGAGGTCACGCATGGTAGCGTTGCCGTCGGCGGCGAAGATTCGCCCGTCGGAGTTGGTCGTGCTGTTAAAGCCAGTCGCGAGCGCGTTGGTAGATAAGCTGCTGTTCACCCATTGCACAGCGCTATCGGGGAGTAAACGCCTATCAGCATCTCAGGCATGTGGCCTCAATGGAAGAACCCACGCACACGCGGTTGTCAAACTCGTCGAATGAGTCGTCGAAGTGCTGCATCCCGCTCGTGTTGTTGTCCGAGTTCGTCTCTCCATACACGATCGTGGGGAAGTCCTCTTCGTGGACGCCACCAAGCGTGTGCCCGCACGCCACGAGACCGATCATCTCGCTCACGTTGAAGCCCTGTTTCGCGAACGACGCGGTGTGCGATGCGAGATCCTGTTGCGGCTCGGGAACTCCCTTGGGGCCAGCTTCCGTAGCGTCAATGCGACCAGCGCGGAAGGGAATTATGGGGCCGGAACAAACACGAACGGCGTAGACCGCACCGAGGGCAATGAGGTCGGACACTAGAGTGCATCGAGATCAATCCCTGCGTTCTTCTTTCGCCAGCAAACAAGGAACTCACTGGAGACGCGGGCATTCTGGAAGCCGACGAAGAAACCGAAACTGGCGTTGAATGCGTCGCCTACATTCTCCGCGCGATCGGTCTCGAAGCTGATCGACGCGTCGAGCCCACCGGTGCCAGCTGCAACATCCGCCGTGGCCATATCGTGGTATGCCCTACACGCCCGAGGGCAACCGACTGGTCAGCTCACTGCGATCACCCACGGGATACTGTAGCTCACGTTCGAACCCACTCGGCGGCAGCCTGCCTTCCGCTTGTGCGATTATTCGCCGGCGAAAAGCTGCACGGTTCAATGCCTCCAACGAAACCAGACGAGCCCAGGCCATCGCTCAGGGTGTACATCTCCTCAAGGGCCTCAAAGACGGGATCACTGGGCCATTGATATCCGTTCGAGAGGAGTGAAAGAGATAGGAAAGTGGCGAGAGACGCTGTGCCCCGCATCGTTACGAAGAGAAAAAAAAGGAAGGATGGAGAGGATGGATTGCAGAAAGTCGCGTTGGGCTCCGAGACTTATAAACGGACTGCTCATCGGGGTCTTCTGGCCGCCCGCGATTCCGAAGTGCAAAAGACATATGGCGGCTGTGCTGAATCGGTGCGTCCATGTGATGTTGGCAACCCCAGGCCGTGTATTGGCCAGGCTGATCCGTACTTACGGCGATCTACACTCGATCACGAAAGTTAGCCTGGTAGATCGCATCCTTCGACTCCGAGGATACAAAAATATCGGAGCATCGTGCCCACACACGTAGGTCCGAACCGCGAGCCCGAACCTCGTATGCTTATCTCTCTTGCATATTGGCAGCTAAGCAGCTCAGGCCTCTGTACGCAGGGTTTGGGTGCGAGGTTGTCGACGCGGCGTGGGCTGATGTCGGTCGCATCAAGCTTACCGAGATACGAGGGACTGCCCGTGCGTCGTTGGGGCCCCGCACGGTCGTTGCGAGTTCGTTGTGTCGTTTCAGCTGTGATGAAACGGCAACCGAACCGAAATCGTGACAACTCGACGGAGGCAAAGCCGTTGCGGTCCGTCATTTCACGCTCCGGCTCGGCTTCAGCCGAACTATCCTCCACCGTCTTCCTCACTCTGGAAAGCCCTGGTTGTTTCATCCTGTTTACTTGGGACGAGACATTTGCAAAACAGCACACCGTTGTCGCGTATGGACCAGCACTTCAAGAGACACGCGTGGCCTGGGACACCCAACCCGCACCCGGCCAGGACCCAATAATACTGGCAATCTACACGGAACTCCCATGTGGCGACGACACCACGATCGCAGGCAAGCTCGCGTCCACCCTCTCCTGACTTATCGTCGGACCCAGACACGCCTGCGGGAATACGACGGCGTCGACGAGCGCATGCACGACGTCGTGCGGGAGCACGACGGTGGGCGGCCGCTCGGGCTCTGCGTCCGCCCGCCGTGCGCGCGATGCGCCGAGGCCGATCGCCACGCTCGCGCTCGTCGGGAAGGCGCCGCGGCTGTGCGCGTGGGTTCTGGGGCATAGGCTCAGGAGCGAGAGCGAGCGTGTCTTGCGGAAGGCGGAGGCGGGCGAGGCTGGGAGGGGCGGTCAGCGCGCACGGGCAGTCCGCGGGCGCATCACTCACGTGTGTCGGCTGACTCTGGGTCTATCTTGGTTGGGCCGTGGGTCGTGTGGGCCTTTGTTTCGCGGAGCGATGGGCGGCGGTTCAGGAGCGACGCGAGCCGGACGGTGAAGTGTGGTGGCGGCCCCACCGGCGGCGAGGATGCCGACGCCGGAAAGGGTGGTGCCGATGTCGACAGCGCTGGATATGTGCCTCCTAGGTCCGCGAGAGTGAACGGTGCGGTGTTCGGGACAGGCGGGGGCGGCCTCGGGTGGCAGTATTCTGTGCAACGCGCGCTCGTCAACACGTATTACGCTCCACGGCCGTGATGCGCTACGCACCTTCAGCATGCGGGACGAATTCCTTGGCGACAATGCTGGTGTGTCCAGTGTGTGAGCCGCGGGAGGTTCCAGCTGCGAAGGCGCGCGCGCGCGCTCGAGCTTGTAGTTGTGACCGTGTGGGGACAGGCACCGGCCCTGTGCGACACACTAGAGACATTCAACTGGCTATGTGCAGAACGAAACTTGGGCTTGGAGTGCCGAGAGGCGTTGAGGTGGGTGTGTGCGGGCGTCGAGAATGTGCATGGCTGGGTGCGGTGCAGTGTCTCAGCCCGACGGTTCTGGTTGAGATGCGGGGCGGGTTCGTGATTCTTCTGTCCACATCTCAGTTTCGATAAAGCCTGAACCTCGGCCAAACGCTCGACATGAGTGACTCCCGGCTATCGGTGCAGTGAGTCCACGCAGAATCTCCTTCCTGGGACATCGTGACATTGTCTCTGACAATGCCCGTTCAGATATCATGAGTACAGTTTCTAGCCGTAAACTATTCAGAGAAGTCATGCTACCTCGACCAATACTGGACTCACGCCTTGATGTGTCTTCGCTCCAAATTTTTCAAAGTGCCGCCGCCCGAACCTTGTGTATTGCAGCTTCCTGAGGGGCACCGCTGCGCAGATATCGTGAGATGATACACCACTCGCTCTCTCAAACAGCCTGACCAGCGTAGGTGCCAGATGTTGCACTGAGTGAGACTTCGAGCGTCCTAGTTGATTACCGACGTTTGCTTTAAACTGTCCTTTTTCTACCTTTACCGGTACGCTCTTTATCATATCGATTGCCAAAGGAAACTTAGACCGCTAGTTTTCAGTACGGCATGCTCGACACAGATTCGGACCCTACCCGCACAACTCTTATTTTGATAATTGTGCTCGTCGTTGTCGGACCGAATGTCGCAGTTGGTGATGGCGATGAGTCTGAGATTTAGTGTGCTGAAAATGTTGATAGTGAACTGTTGAATTTCTTTGCATCGAGAAAGTATCCAACATTGATTCTTAATCTGCTGCTGAGCTAGCCATGACAATGGTGAAGAGGGACGACAAGATTAGACAGCATCTCAGTAGAGCACCGGTGCCAGGGATCTCTCGGCGGGCTTCACCCTACTTCATCATGACGGAGTGGAGCCAACGAGCCCTTCCAGTGTCGGTGAAAGATCGGACGGGTGACGAGTTCCAGCTGGTGCGGGGAAGACCGGCAGACAAACGAGGGCCAGAGCCGAAGGCTAGGGCTCGGAGCAGGCCGAATGGACGCGGTTACGAAATATAGCGCCTGCGTGACTCTCAAAATGCTGTAACCTACAAATCACCTTCTGCCCATCGTACTCTCATCCTCCCGCATTTCTTTCCTCAGGGCCTTTGCATGCATGCATAGACTCGACATATCGCTCTCGCTCTTGATATTCTTCGCACTCGGGGCTCATGCTGGCCCTCTCGGTTGGCTGCGTGCGGCATCTGCATCAGTCCAGGCGGACCATGGATGGCTATGGGGCTGGGCATGGGGAGCAGACAGCTCCGTGTCTGTCGTTGACCGCACACCTCCACTGACGTTTATTTCGCGACCTGCTGCCTTTGGCTCTGAGCTTACAGATCCCTTGCTTGGATATGTCATCCCCCTGAACTCGTTCACTGCACCATGCACCGATGTCGAAGACGCAAATGAGTTTGCGCTAAATTTTACATCCCAGGCCCCTACATCGAACGTAGGATGTCCTGCGCTATGTATCTCTGGCCCAAATGTTCCCGAAGCCAGTGAATCGTGGATTGCTCTCGTGCAGAGGGGGAAGTGTCAATTTGCCGACAAGGCCAGGGAAGCACAGAGGCTTGGCGCGCGTGCGGTGGTCGTAGGCGGCGACGATCCCGAGATTAGTGGGAATCCAGATGCGCTCGTGAATATGTACAGCCCAGGTGCGTCCTCGTGTCTGCGTAAACGCGCATTTCTTCCTGAGATTATCCGTGCAGGTGATGCTTCGGACGTGAGGATCGCAGCCACTTTTATCAAGTACTCGGATTACATGGAGCTCTCGTCGCTCATTGCTACCTCTAACACCTCGCACTCTGGACTGAAGACCCTTTCCCTGCTGCTGAACTCAGAATACTCGGTATGGCAGTGGTATTCGTACGTACTGGCGTTACGTCCTACCGTCCTTGCCCTGATCGAAGACATGTGATTTTTAGCCCAATACTCACCTTCTTGACGATCCTGGTCGTCCCGTGCTGCCTTACCTTTATGACGCTCCTAATCCATCGCATCCGACTCGTCCGCGCCGCACAGCGCGACCGTGCACCAGAGGATATCGTCAAAAGTCTTCCATGGAGGGTCTGGACAGGCACCGGTTGGGAGAAACACAGCGGCGTCGTTCCGGGCCAAGACGCTCAGCCCGCACCGTCACACCAAGATGTCGACATTGAACTCCGCGAGTCTCCTGCTGAATCGGTCACGCCCGCACGTGTGGTCGACGATGACGATGATCCCGCGTGGTTCCAGTCACAGTCCGAGTGCGCGATATGTCTCGAAGAGTTCATGAAGGGTGATCGAGTGCGCGTCTTGCCCTGCAAGCATATTTTTCATCTGGATGAAGTGGACGCGTGGTTGATCCACAGGAAGAAGTTGGTGAGTACCGTGACGTCTGTTTCTCACATTGTGTTCTTGTCGTCTGATGTCATCTGTGAACAGTGTCCTGTCTGCAAGGCTGACGTGACTCAGCCGCCACCCGTCATATATTCTCATACGCCATCTCCTTTAGCCGAGAACACACCTGTCGCTCATCCAGCGTCACCACCGATCGATTCTATGCTTGAAGCCACCGAACGGACTCCACTAATGCAATCCAACTCCTGACGATGGCTATCTCGGATATTTCTTCCGCCTCTTTCCCCCAACTCGATGTATGATTTGTGTCGACTATACCCGACCTCTACGATAGGTGAAGTTTCGAAGAATCAACGGTGCTGTATGGTAATTGGTATTGTTATTTTGTTCTGCTGTGATTACGACCTCATCTGTATGGACATTTGGTGCTGTTTCTGGCCCAAGTTCGAACAGAGATAATTTGAGGTTCAGAAATCCTGTCTACGCTTCCGTTTAGCCCGCGGTACCTTATTGCATCCGCCATCCCAAGTCTCCAACCTTCTCATCCCGCTGACATTATCATCTATGCACTGTTCATGTTGCTTCCTACTCTCGAAGCCCGCGGTTCGACTCTCATCCAAATGGGAGTACGTGATGCCCCTGCTTTATTGTCTGTGTCGGAACCTTCCTACCATATATGGATACTGCTATCAAGGCGGACCAGGTCTCAGCGGTCGAGATGCCTCCTGCTCTTGTCCTAAAGTTCGTGAGACCCGCTGTTCCCTCACGATACGCCCTGCATTCTAACGCCGGGGTTTTACTACAAGGCACGGGGTTACAGAGAGCGAAGCCGTCCCACATCACGAATCATGCCGCTTAGCGAGAACAATTGGGAGGGCTCAGTCGGGGAAGGGCCCTTGCTGAGATAACACTTCTCACTTATTGTCTTCGTGGCAAGGTGTGCAAGCGCACGACGCGGGCTGCTGCTGTTTTCGCATACAGGGGACAGAAGACGCGCCGCAAGCCCGTGTAGTGTGCTTCTCTCGTGAGCGAGGTGCTACAGAAGATCGGACGACGCGATGGCATGCCCATCGCTGCCAACCGGAAGCCCGGCACGGGCGCGGGAGCAAGGCTGACGCTCTGACTCAGTCTGGGATCACAGACACGACTTTGTTTCACGCGGGTTCGTGGATCTGGGATCTCCTCGTTCGCGCGCGCCGTGCCCAATGCGTCGTTCTATAAGGCGGGCATTCGACTTAAATATCGCCTGCCGATCAAGGTCGGGCGTGCTCATATCGATCCCCTCTAAGTGAGGCTGCTGGTACTGGCTGTCTGATCTCTCTGCTCTGTTATTGTTGCAGTTTTCTACGGTGCCCAGGATTCCTTTGTCCCGTGGTCACCTTAATTGCAAGGTCCGAACACCTGGTCATCTGATTCAGAATCTCGCCACTCCAGGTTTCACCAGCCGTATATAAGACACAGCTTTCCACATCGCCTCCCTTTCCTCCTCTAACAAAAGTCCAACTGTTGAGATGCGAAAGCCTCAACATCTTTCCCTCAACGAAAGACGTCATAGTGAGTCTTCGCATGATCTTTCAAACCCCCTCGCGAACTCATTCGGTACTCAGCGAAGCCGTGCAAATTCTTTCAGAAGAACACCTGTCCTCTTTCGGCAGATCAGTGCCAATTCGCGCACGTGAGAGAAAACGCGACGACAAAGACAATTGAAGCACCGACGCAGGTTCACAATTACCATCTTACTGGTGACTTTGGCGAGCGAGATCGCTGTCGTTATCAACACACTCGCCCCAGCTTCGAACAGAGTAAGCCATTATTTGCAGTCCGTCGTGCAATTCGCGCTCACTGACCGCGTCGGGTAGGAGCGACCAAGCCAGACATGTATCTCCAGACCGCGATCGGCTCCCGCTTTAACAGTGTTGATCCAGGGGAGCTTACACCATGTATGCCACAGGTCTTTTCAACTGTAATTCGTCGTTGACCAACTCGCTGTGATTAGATCCACACCCCATCCATCCTCACACCCCGCTTCCCCGACGCCACACCCATTTCCTGCCACCCACATATGTCTATGCCCCCTACATCCTACCTCAGGCGCAAGCGCCATCGCACGCATCCGTCTCAGCCTCTCGGAGAGATTCTCTCCTAGATAGCGAAATCGACCTCGACCTCGACATCCCCAGTCTCGGCAGCGCTTCTTCTCCTTCTGCAGAGTCCAGCTCCCTTACTGATGGCGATGCCGATTTACTCAACACGCCACTCGACGAGATGCATGTGTATCCTGGATCACGACAGCTCGCTGGTCCGCCAAGATATGTGTGGGGTTCCCCGTGGTCGCCTAATGGAACGTTCTTCGATCCAGCGTCCCCTGGGATATATGGGACGTACATGCCCTACACGCCTATGGTATACGGTGGCTTTTACGGACCAATGTCTGCAGTTCCTGGATTGGACCCCCCGCACATTGGACGGAAGGGCAAAGCTTACAAGAGTACGTGTCGTTTATTGACTATCAGGAGCATCGATCCTCACATCAGCGCGCGGATCGTAGCTAAGCTTTGCAAGTTTTACAAAAAGTGTGGCGAGTGCCCCAAGGGAGAGAAGTGCACGTTGTGCGTCTCGCGCCGGTGTTGTGCTTGTTATTCGACGCACTGACGGATTCACCATGTATAGCATTCACAGCCCTGCGACTGTACGACGAAGGCCGATCAATGCGGTGCCACCGTCTCCGATGTCATCAGGGCCATCGCCGCTCTCGGAGAACTCCCCGCTCACTCCGGCTCAGAGCGAATCTCTTCGCTTCAAGCTCCCGAAGAAGCCGTTGTCGGATATCGATGAAAAGCACGCGAAGAATATCTTCCCTATTACGTGGCGAGTGATTGGAGGAGGCGTCATGATGGGTGGACAGAGTGAGAGACATTGAGTCTCGATCTACACGATCGATGACGCTGACTGGCGGTGTTTTCGACAGGAGAAATTTGTCAACAGTTTATGGAGGGCCAATGTGCCGAAGGCGATGATTGCAGATTCTTACATCCTGACCAAGGTCCATGAGTCCTTCTAACTTCGTTCTCTTTTGTGTTCCTGAACGTTTGTCTGTAGATGAACTTCTGTCGCCCATTCCTGAGGAGTACTATCCAGCGGGGTTATCAGATAACATCACGCCTAGGGTCGCATCTTTCAAGGAAGAGCCATACTTGACGTCACTACCGAAGGACAAACGTAGCAACCCTCTCTCGATCGCTATCCCCCTACCTCCTCACCATCTTCCAGATCTATCTCCTTTGATTATTCCTGGCCGAGGGGATAGCGAGGTCGATCGGGTGGGTGCGGTCATACGTGATATCGCACGGCCGCATTCAACGCCGCCGAGGTTATGGGCTCTCAGATCGGCGACTCGGATTCTCGAAGTATGTCTTCTTCTTCGACTCATCATACTTGCAGGGGATTGACGGGTCCATCCAGCCACAGAATCTCTCTCTGGAGAGTCCTTTCCCTTGAGGAGCTCTGCCAATACCTAGATTGATTCTTCTTTGCGTCGTCATATGGGGCCGGTGATGTATCACTGATCTGCGTTGCCGTTGTGGACATTTTGCTTCGATTGGATCGCTTGCTCTTTGTATCTTTCGAATATCTTGGGCAAAGGACAATGACATAGTGTATGCTACGATACTTACCTTGCGCCTCTGGTAGTATCATGTCATGGATTGTAGAAATATTTTTTGTATCTTAACTTTTGTAACTCTGCCGCCGGGTCTCATGAGGTCTCATGCTGAAAGGGACAATAAGTTCACACGGGGGCAGTACCGGCGATTGCCGGCCGCCATAGGCAAGGAAGTTGCCTGCGCAGTAGGGAATCCATCTTCTCGACTCTGACGATCCTGGCGGACGTCATGGAGCCTGACGGTCTGGTTGAGGATTGGGGCTGACGGTGACAGAATCTCAAATCATACTTGGCCATATCGGCTGAGAACTCTCTCAGTCTTTATAAACCGTGCTTAGAGCTGTTGAGTAAAACTTCATCCACAACATTTCGGCGCTCTGTAGGGCTGCATGTGAAAAGGATGTTCTCTGGTCTTCTAGTCGATCTGGGGTTTGATCTGTCTTGTCTCCATAATTGACGCATTGGATTTGACAGAACAGGGTGCGTCACGATGCAAAGTATCCACGGTATGGGCAGCTTGTTGCCACGTTATGAATCTTCCTATGCGACCCGATTATCCAGGACCTCAACTTCAGCTCAAAATCCCAGAACCTCCTGGTAGAATGTTGGGATATATGTATGATCACAGAGATATACACAAGTTATATATCACGATTGCGAGTCTATGCCCTTTCACTCATACATATGTGACTAAGGCTTCTGCAGCCAAACTTCTGCTGCGGTGACCAGACTGATAAGGTGTGTTGCCCTCTGCTGCGCGTCTGTATTTCCGACCATCGCACATTCCATGGCCTCCCAACTCACAACGCATCTATATCGAGGCTTATCCAGATCCTTCTTCCGTTGCGCAACCAGCCCGTGATGGACCGGCCACCTGTGCAAAAAAGATGTATGGACATCTCAGCCGTTTGACTGGAATGCTAGCGGATACTAAAAGAAACTTCTTCGTCGCTTAATAGGCCGTTCCCATTGCCTCGTTTCTCCCTCCCTCTCGCCTGCCGTTGAACGTTGAACGTTTAACTTGGAGTCCTCGTTCTTTTGAACTCCTCCTCCCCAATGGCTTCTGCTCCCCCTGGTGGAGGTGCCCCTGCTGGCGCGCCGCCATTCGACACTCTTACGTTCGTTTTCCATATCGACATCGTGTTGCTTGCTGCCTTTGGTCTCTACGTCCTGCTCAACCTCCCTCGCGTATGTGCATTCTTATGCCGTGCATCTGAATTGCGCAATGGCCACTTTCTTCGCTCAGGCGGCGCTTTGAGCGCTTATACACACCGCACAGGCGTAGGAAGTGTTCAGAGTTTCGATGCAAGCAGCATCAATCTGACTGCCTCAAATGCTCATCTCGTTCGCGAGGCTTCTCGGAAGGCCCACGGAGGTCATCCACCTATCCGAATGCTACACCTCTCCACGCTTATACACCCTTCCATCAATTACGCGTTAAACTACCGCATATTCACGGGCTTCTCTGTCAGCAAAATTTTCATTCTTGCGGTCTACCTCGGGCTCGTCTTCTATGCTGCATTCTACAAGTCGAACCCGTTTGTGGAACCACAGCGGGCTGCGTTTGTGGCGGTCTCACAAATCCCCATCGTTGTCAGCCTTGGAACGAAGAATAATATCTTGAGTTATTTCTCGGGCTTGGGATATGAAAAGGCGCGTGCCGTTAATTGAGATGAGTGTCGAATGATGATGATAAACTCTTCTCTCATAGCTCAACTATATACATCGCTTTGGTGGCCGTCTCGTTGCACTGGGTATCAACGTTCACGCCCTCGGTTTCAGTGCGTTTGATGATCCTGTTTCTGTAACTTTGAGTAAACAAATAACGAATATAAAAAAGTCTACCAGTGGTCCATCGATGCCTCTATCTCCGCGAAACTCCAGCTCCCTTTCGTCCAGTGGGGCCTAGTCGGTCTTGCCAGCGTCGATATCCTCGCAGTCTGCTCCTTGCCTTTCGTTCGCCAAAGGTTCTACAATCTCTTCTACATATCACATATCATAGGATTCTTTGCTTTCCTTGTCGCCGTACGTCTTCTCGCCAAAATATCCATTCAGCTAGGAGGACGTCGCTCTGATATGACCACTGTTTCATCGAATGACAGGCATATATGCATTTCCCTGTCACTATTCCTTTTGTCATCACCGGTTTCGCGCTATATGGGTTTGATCACGTTCTTCGCGTTCTGAAAACACGTTCCGCGACGAGTACCCTCACTGCGATCCCCGCCATCGGGAGCACACGCGTTTCTGTACCAACCCTGCGTCAAGGTTGGCATGCCGGCCAGCACGTCCGCGTCCGTGTTGTCTCCCCCACTGTGTCCTCACGAATCGGCTGGCTTGGATACTGTTGGGCCTGGCTCTTCACTCGCGCTCGTCCGTTTACCATTTCAACCGCCAGCGGAGGTGAGATCGGGCTAGAGCTGATTGTAAAGAAGAGGCCTGGAGGTTGGACCGGGTCATTGTTTGACATGGCTCAACCGCATGACAACGACGTCGAGAATAAGGTAATCGGGACGGGTTTAGGAAGAGACGCGCAAATATTGATCGAAGGGCCGTACGGTGAGTGTTCATATACTGCGCTTAGCAACGATAACTGATGAAGGAAATGAAACAGGCGGGCCAGGGTACACCCTTTTCGAATCCTACTCAGGTGCACTGCTGGTCGCAGGCGGAAGTGGCATCACATTTGTTCTGTCCATGCTCTCCGATCTCCTCCAAAGGCATGAAGAAGGATGCAGCAGACTCCGAGTCATCGAAGTAGTCTGGTCCGTCGCAGATCCTTGTAAGCTCCTGTTCGATCTGTTGACTGTCTTCGTACAAACCTCACCCCACATGTTCCCTCACACCTTTAGCTGCTCTCGTTGCTCTTCTCCCGACCCTTATCCCGTTCCTACTCCCTCGTCCTTCCGCGAACTCCGCTCTCGAGGTACATATTGCTGTGCATTACACTCGTACGCCTCGTGATGGCTCTTTGGATCAAATCGCCTCCCTCTCTCTGCCACCGAGCCTCACTCTGCACTCGGGACGTCCAAATCTCGGCAAAATGGTCACAAAGACGATAGACAATGTCCTGTCGGCTCATTTGACGCCTTATGGACGGAGCCCGCCGAGCGGTGTTATTGCTGGTGCTTGTGGCCCAATCGAGTTGGGTGATGAGGTCGCCAAAGCTGTAGGTTCGGTGGGCTGGGGCAAAGCTCAGGAAGTTGGTGGTGTCGAGGCTTATGAAGAGTAAGCGTTGCTGTTTTCACCATGCGATTCAAAATTGGTATTTACTCCCCCATTACTTTCAGGGCGTTTGGATGGTAAATCAATTCTGAAATGTTACTGCGTTAGAACCGAGTCTACTTCATGAGCCAACAGGATTGGAGATTGAGGCAACGAAGCAGGGATAGAACTCTTCATTGTTCTGTACTAGATACTGTGTATCTGAGCGACATGTTTTGTGTACCTTTTGAGGAGATCGATGTCTGAATTCAGTGCTTTGCATATACGTTGTAATTGTAACTTATCTGCGGAGTGCTATGCAAGGGACGCGAACTTTGCCCTCAACAACGTGACGGCAGGGGACGGCCCAGAGCGGCCCGACAGATACGATTACGTCAGGTACTCAGTACTCAGCTTCCGAGGGTTCGCGTCGCGCGCCCGTCCGCCACGACATTCTCGGTGACTGAAGCTGGCTTTCACCGCATTGCATGCCTAACCAATACAAACCCCTGCGTGTGTACATTCTCACTCATCTGATGTTATACACAAACGACCATCTGCTTCAGCTCCTGAAATTGACCTCAAGCCGATCATCGAGCTCTACTACCATATGGGTTTGAGCGATATCAACATTGCTCGACGCAGTATCGACCACTTCGATAAAGATACGTACGGTCTCGGGTAATAATCCATCCACTTCTCAGCTTTTTGGGGCTGCTGAGTGACGCCGTTCAGAGTGAAATCTGTCAAACGAATGCGCAAGAAGTGGGGTCTCACTAGCACGCGACAGCAAAAGCACACCATTGAAACTATCACAGAGGATGTCGCTGAGATCAAACGAAATTTCCCCAATAGTGGTGCTGACGCGATCAAGAAAACTCTCATGTCGGAAAAGAACATTCGTGTACCCCGGTATGTGTCTCTGTGACGAAGTCTATCAGGCGTCATTTTACAATGTTCTATCTCCCCCAAATCACAGCGAGGTTGTTCTATCACTTCTTAAGGAAATTGAGCCGGAAGCTGTGATAGCTCGCAGATATAGAAAGAAAGAAGTACATGTGACGACAGCTACGGGCAGTGAATGTTGACAATTTTGTGGACAGTACATCAAACGCGAATCTAATCGGTAAAGCGAGCAAGTTAGAGGACTCAGGCTGCTGGAGAAGATCAGAACATGATGGTGTGGACCAAGGCAGGCCTTCAAGCTTCAAGCCTAAAGACGCACTCGAGTTGGACCTAGGTGTGTTCTTCAAAACACTATCACCCATATGCGAATCGATTGCGAGTAAGTGCCCATCAAACCTCAATGACGCATCGAGTCTCAAAACGTTAATGCAATGTGTCATACTTCTGTCGATGTGACTGATATGTATGTCATTCATAAACTCGAGTGCTACATCATAAACAATTCGACCGTGAGCACCTTTCTCAGAAATGGGCCATGCATGCTTATGTACCATACGCATAACATATTCAGATACAAGACGAGGCCTGCCCCGTCGCCTGCGTGCAGTCCATCTTGGATACCAGCTGAACGGAATCATGCGCTTCTGGCGTATGGCGGCGGCTCAACGTCCCTCCCCAAGTGCTGGTTCAGCTGTCCTAATTGCGCCTGCATCTTTACCAAAATAGACTCCATCGAAGCGATGCGTTGTACCACCTCTGGGCTGGTGACGGACCCTTCTCCGTCGACGACACCAGAGGCTGTGCGGATCTGACTGATCTCTGCTTGCACGCTGGAAATACGATTCAACAACACAACCTCCTCGTCTTGGCCTGGCGTCCGACTGCGCGGAGTGACGGTGGCAGTTCCCCCAGACTCTGCCCTCGCGCTTGGGGAGGCTGGCGATGATGGGTCTTGAGCGCCTGTACCACGATCATCATACGATGCCCGCCTCTGTCCTTGTGTCGGCCGGCTTCCAAGCGTGTCTTGTACTGCCCGCCCATTCGAACGTGTTTCGATGTCATGGTTGGCGTCCCCGCTTATCGCAGCCTCTTCGGTTTCTGGCTTCGCAGATCTAGGAGAATCCGTACCCACATGGCCCTGGCGCGCGTCTTCGCTATCTCTATCCACAAGGCGACCCGTGCTGTTTCTGACCTCCGTCGTCGTCGCTCCCTGCGCAACGGGAGACTCAGTTGAAGCTGACGTCGACATTGTGATGCTCCGTGTTTCCGCGCTCGCACGTCCAAGGAGTGAAATGCTAGACGTGGGCTGTGACGAAGACGTTTCTACCTGGCTTCCAGGACGGCTCAAATCTTTCGAGTCGCCGTTTGTTGTCCTTAACGGTAAGAATTGTCGTTGTGCCTGCTGAATCGTCAAGATCAAGATTAGTGAAGGGGTGGGGATTCCGTGGGACACCTACATCTCTGCTTGCAACCGTCGATGACATTGGAGGTCGAGGAATCGCACCGTCGCGACGCACGGTCCCTTGTGGGACCTGTTCTGAGTCTAGTTGTCTCGTCGGATATGTACTCTCACAAGCGTGGTCCGAGAACATACGACTGGACACAACGTTGGTCGAAGATGTGACAACCCTCTGCCCAGGTGCCATGCTCATTTCGGGTGTTCTTCGCCCCGATGGTCGTTGAACTGCCCCAGATCCAGAGGACAGCGCACTCTTGTTTGGCCTATGAGAATTGCTTGGACCTGCCGGAGCTGATAGCGGCATCGGGTTGGGATTGCGGTCGGTAATCGGCGTGGCCAAATCGACGTCCACTCTTTCGGTTGAGACGCAAGATTTGAAACAGCAGAGTAGCCAGTCGAGGAACATCGGGAGTGTTGAGAAGGGACTGTGGGCGACGGTGGGGGAATCTCTGACTCTCCCGATCCTTAGATACTCGACGCCTGATGGTGTGCACAACGGTGTTCGTACCGTCGGTGCGCATCGTAGCGCGCAGCGTACGGCGCGAAAGCAACGTGAATCCTTGCAACTGAATTGAAAAGCCTCATTATCGTGCTGCTCAACCCTGGCGCTTGTCGGATGTACGTATCCATCTATCATCACGCGGACCGCCACGACCAACACACGACCGATCCCAAGCGTTCATACCACTTCGGTCCGTCAGCGTGTACGCAGGCCTCCTGTCCCCAGTCCCAGTATATTCTCACCGATCTTCACTGTGACGGCCTGTGTGGTTGGAGCCGAACAAGCTGACTCGGTACTGTCATTCCGTTCATAGGCCACCTCATTCATGAAGCATGCTTTCTGCAGGTGTCGATCAACTGATCCTTTCTTTTGTCCCTTCCTTTCCGGCGCGTACCATGTTCTCCAGAGCTCTCGTCTTCTTAGCCTCCTTTCCTGCGCCTGCTTGTACACCGTTAATTTTAGAACCTCGCTCTGCGACCGTAAATCGCTTATCTCCCTTCTATTATCCACAAGATACACGGGATTTTATCGATGCTGTGGGAATAAAGAGATTCACGATGGCGGTGTCCTCGAGGCCCTAATGCGGCTCGTCGGCTTCTGCTTCCTAGGATCGCGATTCTTGTAATATTCTCGCTGCAAATCTTCTCGCATCTCTCGAAGTCTCCGAGAAGGAAGATGAGCCTCAAGGCCTCATGTACAAAATTCGGACTATTCTTCTTGATACCCGCGTAATGTCATCTCCAGAATCTGTTCTCGCCCTTCATACGGCAGATTCTGTCCGCGAAGTCTCCTCGATAGTCTGACACATCTGTATGTGGAAATAGATCGATTTGGACGCCGGGTGTCCAATCTAAGCTGCACACTCGGGCCTCAAGGCCTCATGGACGCCTAATGCCTGACTCACCGACTACGGACACGTTATGCGTGGGTCAGCCTTGCGCAATACGGACAGGTGAATGGCATCAGCGCTAAGATCTGAACTCACGAGGAGCAGCTAGAGAGAGATTCGCATACTTTCTGTTCGACTGTATCGCGATCTATAGTGGCGAGCGTTGTTATACCCCCGAAAGGTGGAAGCAGCGGTGCAAGGGCTAGCGAGAGATAAAAACGGCGGTGTGGGGGCAGAAAGGGCATCGCATCTGATCAGATGATCTGTGCTATCAGATTAGATGAGTGCGCTGGCGACGCCTCCCGTCCAAGCTCCAGAACCGCAACCGCCACATAAGCCCTCGTCCCTTATATACCCGCAATCATCTGCTTTCCTTTCTTCCCTCTCCATCTCCACCTCCACAACCACCCCGCGCAGCAGATAATGGCCATCATCGACGAAGCACCGCAGTTTGACTTGGATCTCTCGCTCCCCATCGCCACGCTGCTCAGATCGGGCACCGCTGCGGCCCACCAGACTGCCGAGACCAGCGCAGGCGCTGGATGGCTGACTCGCGGGGAGCTTGACAAGGAGGAGTATATTCGCTTTCTGATCATGCTATGGCATGTGTACGAGTGCGTTGCCACTGACTATACCGGAACTTCGAACGGCTTCTGATCTCCATGCAATCATCGCCCAACCAACACCATCGGCTACCGTCGCACAACAGCGAACTCGAACGCGCGCTCGAGCAGCACGCCTCGCATCCTGTTCTCAACCCGACCTACAACCCCACCCTGCTTGCCCGCGCGCCCGCCCTGCTCGCCGACATCTCGCACCTCCTCTCCGTCCCGACCTCCGACGTGCCTGCGCACCCGCTCTTCACCGCGCTCGACGCGCCCGCCCCGCGCGGCCTCGCGGAATACACGTCCCGCCTGCGCGCACTCGCGTCCGCGCGGGACCCCGCGCCACTCCTCGCGCACGCATACGTGCGCTACCTCGGCGACCTCTCGGGCGGGCAGGTCATCCGTCGGCGCGTCGCGCGCGCGTATGGGCTTGAGGACGACGGCGGCGCGGGCGTGAGCTTCTACGAGTTTGCGAAGCTCGGCGGGGGCGCGGGCGCGACCGTCGGCGACATGAAGAAGATCAAGGAGTGGTACCGCGACGGGATGAACGCCGGCGTCGGCGATGACCGGGATCTCAAAGGTGGTGGCCCGTTGGGGTCTGGCTGGCTGTTTATTTATAGGCGCGACTGACTGCGTCCGTGTGCTGTTCGATTCTTTGATCCAGTGACGATTCTCGCGGAGGCCAACAAAGCGTTCGTGCTCAACGGCGGGCTCTTCGAGTCCCTCAAGCCGCCCTCATCGCCACCCTCGTCGCCACCCTCGCCCATCGACTCGACTTCCCCGCATTCGCATTTCGGGAACCCCAACACACCCGCTGTTTCGTCTTTCCCCCGCGAGGAAGAGAAGCCGAAGGAGATAGCCGTGCAGATCCTCCAGACCCACTCGGAATCCGAGGGGACGTACTCCGTTTCCGGCGTGCTATCATTCATCGCTGCTATGTGCCTCGCTCACTTCATCCTCGTCGTCGGTGGGTTCACTGGCACGCGGGGATGGGAGAAGCTTGAGGCTGTGGAGAACTGGATCTCGGGATACCTGCATTGAAGTGACCCGCTGCGGGCTCTCGGTCTGGTTATTTTTGCTTTGCTTTTTCTTTCTCGGTGATATCTTTGCTGTTTTTTTTCGTCATCACACATAACACTATACGTCGTCTGCTCGAGAAGCGGGTGACTTTTGATGCTGGACGGATCTGCGTGGAGCTAATGCGTGGATGCTACTGCATATTCTGTACGATAATCATGATTTGGGACTCGGCTTTGCGATGGACGGCTCGTTGGAAAATCAGTTTTGGTGAGGGACCGTTCGGAACTTCGGCGCCACCGCGATACGTTAGACGACCTGCTTACATCGAGAGACAGATCCTTGTAGAGGGGTCAAGGTGAATTATACGAGAATATACTGCAGATGTGATACTATTGTCTTGCAAATGAAAAACAACCTATACGACGAATCCCTACATTCGCGACGTCAGGTTCTTCTTTCATTTTAATCAAACAAGAACAAGCACGAACCCCATTCACCCGGATATTCTGCCCCGTCACCCACTTCGCTCCCTCAGACGCGAGAAACGCGACGACGGGCGCGACCTCGTCGACCTCGCCTAGCCGTTTATGCGGGTTCAGGTTCGTGATGAACTGGATCTGCTGCTCGGTCTTGTCCCGGCGGAAGAGGTCCGTGTCGATCGGCCCCGGGGAGACGACGTTGACGGTGATGGAGCGGGGCGCGAGGTCCTTCGCGAGGACGCGCGCGAACTGCTCGATCGCGGCTTTTGAGGCTACGTAGACGAGCGCGTTGGGCTGGACGGCGGAGGCGGACGTCAGGCTGGAGGAGAAGAAGACGATGCGGCCGCCTGGACGCGTGCGGTCGATACAGTCAATTAGCAAACGCGAGCGCGGGATGTGGGCAAGGGGAAGATAGGGGAGACGTGCCTGGCGGGAGGAGCGGCGCGGCGGCTTTGGTGAGGAACAGCGGGCCCTTGACGTTGATGTCAAAATGCGCGTCGAAGAAGGCCTCGTCGACGTCCTGCAGCACGCGGCTGCCCATGATGCCCGCGTTGAGCACCAGCACGTCGAGCTTCCCGAACGCGCGCAGCGCCTCTGCCAGCAGGCGCTGTCCGCCCTCGAGCGTCGAGAGGTCCGCCTTGACAGCTACGGCATCGCCAGTACCCGAGGACTTTATCTGCGCGACGAGGTGCGCGGCGAGCGGGGCGGAGGAGGGGGAGACGTAGTTGATGACGACGGACGCGCCGTCCGCGGCGAGCTTGGTGGCGATGGAGGCGCCGATGGAGCGCGAGGAGCCGGTCACGATGGCTACCTTGCCTGCGAGTGGGAGTGGAGAGGACATTTGGACGAAGTCGATGTAGGGGAGACGGATGGGCTTGGGATGACCAGTGAGGCATAGACTTTATAGCCCGTTGATGCCAACCCCCATATGAGATAGTACACACACAGGGGGTTTACCTGAGGCGACCCACACAAGACGAGAGGAATTGCGTCGCGTCGCAGTGCTGCCAGGCGCTGCCGTGCGGTCCACGTCATCGATTGACTCGTCTGTGCCGCTCTCGAGCACCTGGCGCGAGGTGGATACGCACGGATTTCGAGAGTGGGTTTCGGGCAGAGTTGTTTCAGGCATCGGAGGCGGTGGCCTGGTGCAAAACGATGCCATTGAAAAAACGTAGGCTATACATACGAGTCGGAAACGAGAGATCTCTGGTGCGGTGGTGGTGCCTGATGGTGAGCGCGCTATTCCCACGCTCACCTTTGCTTCAAATCGTGACGTTGGGGCAGTCCGACATCGCGTCGATTCAGGATATCTGATTGCAGGTGAGCGGTGAACACGGCTGGATTGTGCAATAGCTTATACACAGGCATGCAAGCTATCCGAAATCAGGAACAAGGTCAATCTGACGAGAACGGAAGCTTAGTCGGAGGCGCTACGGCGGAACGGATATCCTCGATCTAACGGCTGGTCCACAGCGCCCATCATGATCTTCAACAGCGTCTCCGCCTTGAACTGCGGGTTCCTCGGGTCGAACAGCGTCGTGTCCACCATGTCCTATCCAACACGGCCGGATTGTAATTTAGTGTATATGACGCGCATGTAAGAGCTCTTACACGAATCAGGTACTGGTGCTCGAGCTCGTTGTCGAGCTCTTTCAGGGCTTCGGTCGCGCCGAGGTCGTTTCCGATCTGGACGAATTGGATCCCCAGCTGGCGGTGCGGCACCTCGTTTCGGTCAAGGCGGCGTGCAGCCTCCACGATGGTCTCCACTGGGTCGTCGGCTTTCAAAATCGGAGGCTCGACATCAGCGGCTTATGAACAAGGAGAAATGTTCGGCCGACGCACTTGCAGCACCGTCAGTGATGACGATGATGTTGATCGGCTTGTGGAGGACTCTCTTGTTCTCGACAAGAGGGATATACTTGTCTAAGATCTCCTTCAGCTTCGTACCAGTAGGAGTTTGTCCTGCCAAATGGAATCACTACATATGTTCGAAGCGCAGGTTTCGGGCCATGCACTTACCGATCGGGTCGATCTTCTGGAACGCGCGGAGGACAGAGCCGCGGTCCTGCAGTCCAAAGAAATATGTAACGACTTGCATCTTAAAGTCGGACAGAGTGACTCGCCTTCAAACCGGGGCTCTCAAGGGAGTCGTTCAAGAAGTAGAGATCCAATCCGTCCGCGCCATATTTCCCACATTGCTCGGCGACATGCGCGAGGGCTTCGCGCGCGTCGACCCACCGTTCGCCACTCATCTATGAGCCATATCCATGTTAAATTCATCCGGGGCTTCAAGTGGCACGACTCACCGACAGCGAATCATCCACGATCACCACGGTCTTCAGCTCACTACAGTCGAAGGTAAGCTATAATTTTGCGAGCTTCTGCAGCCAGACTCACCTCAAACGCTGCAGTCCAGGGTCTTCGTAATCAGCTCCCCCGCTGACCGGGGTTGAAACGTTGTAGGTCGACGATTCGACATATCTATACGAGGTGCTGTACGACTCCTGGAAGGTCCACCGGAACGTCTGGGCCTGCACGAGCACTTCATATTCGGCGACCTACAGCGTCTCTTAGTTAGAGGCTTGCTCGGAGGAGAGGAAGATACAGTAGAGGCGGGGCACCTCGATCTCTCGAACGCCGTTGTAGGATATGACAGCCCCGAGTTTCAAGTGGCTCGCGGCCTTTCCGAGGTCTAGAACTATCAATTGGAGTCAAAATTCACCGATGTGTGTTCGAGCACATACGCATTTTTCCCTGGGAGAGAGCGGGGTCATCAGTGCTGGAGACTAGACGTTATCGGATAAAGTCGAACACTCACTTCGTAGAACGATCGACAGACATAAAGGGGCCTCCCGTTGTCGTCGCCCCAGACCACGGCGTTCGGGGGGATCTCGTTGCCCTTGACATACATCTACAGAGACATAAGCTATGCCAAGAGCGAATCAAGGGACGTCGAGCACGCACCCAAATAACAGGAGAGGAGAAGCCGTTCTGCATCGCCCCAGCGGAGGTCAATTTAGCATGGTTCAACCAGTCTCTGTACGTTCGCGGCTTCGAGATCGAACCTGGGGAAAATGTCCCAGACAATGGCGACGTGCGGCCATTGCGGGCGTAGCTTCCCTTGGAGGCACCGCGGTCGATGAAGGGAGGAGGAGACACAGCAGTGGGTCGTGTAAGAGTATAGTCCTGAGCGTTGGAAGTGTATCGGGCGGCCGTGGTGGATTCGACGTGCTCCTGGAGGGTTGCGCTGCGCTGGTACTGCTGTTCCTCCAACATAGTGCGATTGGGCGAGTGATGAGCAAGTGGTAAAAAAGGCTGTTGGTGATCATATGGCGACGCGCCTTGACCATTATATATATGTGCGAGGCCCACATATGCTCGAAATATCGATGGCCCTATCTGTTCTAATCCAGGCAGGACAGAGAAAGAGAAAGGGGCGCAAGGGATCTGGTCATGCGCTGGGGCGTATCGGCCACGCTTCACTGAGAATGAAAGGCGTAGCGCGGCAAAGAGTGCTTCTCGATGAAGTTTGTTCACTCCTGAGAGGCAAAGACGCCCAGATGGCTCCTATCGTTCTGTCGTATCTGTCCTAAAAAAATCTCTACACACCATGAGGCGTTCATCTCCTGGTGGACACAGAGCGGGCGGGATAGGTTCGGTCAGATCGGAAACTCACTTTTATCAGATCGTTGCGGAACGTGTAGGATCCAGAGACCCAAGTAGACTAAACTTGAGAATACCATGAAGCCGATGCTAGTGGGAATGAAAACATCAATAGGAGTGACAGCTCTCCGGAGAGAGGTACGCGGACTGTCTAGGTGCGCATCTAGGTATTCCGGTCTATGTTGAGTCTGGACCATCAGAGACTAATGGCGCACCCCGCTCGTTCAGACATATTGTACACTCGACAACACTCTGCGCTCGTTCCAGCGAGCTCCGTCACCTATCTCGATGGTATCACAATCAACGCAAGGCGGCGCTTGACGTCGTGCATCCTCAGACTCCGTCTCGCCACTCGGAAGCAATTCATATCATCAAAACGAAACACTCTTCGGAACGCAAGATTAAGGCGACAAAGCCTGATCGATGACTTCGGAAACGACTCGGAACAGACGCATGTCGAACATGAGCACGAACGCAGGCGATAGCATCGCGTCGGACTGCAGGCTACAAAGAGACCAGACGACCAACCGTCATCGCAGTCGAGCCGGCGCCCCCGCGATTGCGCACGCGCTCGAACTGCCGAGGAGGCGAGCACGCTCGTGGACTCGGCGACTCGAGAAGCACCCAGGCCACGAGACTCGCTCTCGCGGCGGCACAGGCGCCAGCGAGGCTGCGGTCGCGCCGCCGACCTCATGCTGCAAGGGGCTGTTTTGGGCCACTGAGCGTAGACTCGCAGGGGACTGGATTGAGCTGTACCTATCAGGCCTGCAATGCATCCGCGACTGAGCCCCCACCTCGCAACAACTCCGATCCCGCTCCGTTCACGCACGATCGAGATTCGCTTTCGCCTCTGATGGTGAGATGGAAGCCAGCGAGCGCGGCCGCCGCCCTTACAGTATCCACGTCCACGCACCCCCGCCACGCCCCGCCATCGATCACAGTCAGCACGCCGCAGCACAGCGTGCGACTTCAATTACAGCTGACGCAAGGAGTCAATTAGGCAACAGAGCACTCAGTCCGACAGTCCAAGAAATACAGGAACCACAAACAGTGCGCGATGCGCGATGCACGTTTCCCGATGCAACGATACACAATCCAGCGCCGATCCTTCAGTAATACGATCGCTGCCCCGGCCGCTCCGCCTTCGGGAACGGCGGCGGCGCAGGGACGTCCGGCGCCTGGTCGACGCCATTCAGCAAGATCCGCACGAGCGCCTCCGTCCCCAACCCCGGGTCGTCGGGGTTAAACACGGTGACACCAACCATGTCCTGCGATATAAAAGAAAAAACGCCACGTCACGTCAGCGAGAGCGAGGTTGTCGCCGTGCGCGCGTGCGCACCCTGACGCCGAACAAGCCCGCGCACTCGTCGTCGAGGTCCTTCAGCGCGTTCGTCGCGTCGACGTCGTCGCCGACCTGCACGAGGTGGATGCCCAGCTGGCGCAGCGGGACGCCGCTCATGTTGAGCCGCCGCGCGGCGTCCGCGATCGTCTCCGCCGGATTGTCGTCTGCAGAGTCGCCGTGCACGGGTTAGCCACTGGGTCGCCACAACGCACACTCGTGCGCGTGGACGAGGACGCGCGAGAGACGAGACGCACTCGGGACACCGTCGGTGGCGATGATGATCTTGACCGGCTTGTGCGGCGCCCGCCGGTCCTCGAGCTTAGGGATGTAGATACCGACGACCTCCTTCAGCTTCGTTCCGATCGGCGTCTGACCTAACAAAAACGGAGTAAGCGCACGCGCCGGGTGAAGCCTCAGAAGCAGCCGCACCTTCTGGGAGAACGAGCTCGAACAGAGAATAGAGAGAGCCCCGATCCTGATCGCCCGCGAACGAAGCATCAGAAATGGGGTCGGGTCAACAAAGACGCCGGTTTTTGGGTGTTCTCAGGGATGGATGGATGGATGGACGCACGCACCCTGAGGTTCACGCGGCAGCGGGGATCATTCAAGAAGTAGACGTCGAGCCCGTCGGTGTCGTACCGCGCGTAAAGCTCGGCTAGCCCGGCCAGAGCCTCGCGCGCGTCGTTCCATGGCTGGCCTGCCATCTACGGGTCACAGACGATCATCAGCGCGCGCGCGGCGCGGTGGAAGCACGCGCCGGGCGGACGCACCGAGATAGAGTCGTCGACGACGATGACGGGCTTGAATTCGCTGCGGCACACATGCGTAAGTGGAGAGCCTCAAGCGTTATAAGCAGGCGACGCTGTGACCAATGTACCTGAGGCGCTGGAGCCCGGTGGCGCCGCTGCCGGCGGCGCTCGCGGGCTGCTCCATCGCGTTGAACAGCGTCGGTCTCTCCACGGCGGGCGAGGCCGGCTCCTGGAACGTCCACCTGGCAGGCGTCAGCGCCTCGACGAGGACCTCGTAGGTCGACACCTGCGCTGCGGCGTTAGAGAGGACTTTGTCGCGCGCGCGACCATCAGAGCACCTACGTCCACTTCGCGCCCGCTGAAGGGGATGGAGGCGCCCAGTCTGAGATGCCGCCCCGCCTTGCCGATCTCTGTCGCGTGCCGTCTGGCGGTCAGGATATACCGGTAGGACACGGAGGAGTGTGGAAAGGGCACGTACGAATGCCGGTCTGCTCGTGCGCCGCGCAGCGGAGGACGGTCGGGGATAAGCATGCAAGTCGCGCGCGGGGAGGTGGATTCAGGTACTGACTTCGTAAAACGTCCGGGCGATGTACAGCGGCTTGCCGTGGTCATCACCAGCGACGACAGCGTTCGGCGGAATATTATTGCCCTCGACAAGCCACTAAGCGATTCAAACGAGCCGCTCATCAGCGCCGATCGGAGCGCGCGCGCGCACGCGTAGATAAACGAAGAAAAGGCACCCAAGATACGGGGGACGGGAACCCATTTCGTTTCATGTCTGCCGTCGCTTCCTTCGCCTGCGTCTTCCATTGCAGAAAGGTGCGCGGCGGGCGTGCTGGGGAGCGCGGGGGCGCGGGGCTCCAGGGTGCGAGATAGGTGTTGTCGGGGCTGCTGGAGAGCGGCGCCGCGATCATGACGGGCGGAGCGTAGCCGCTGCGATGCTGTGCGGGGTAGGGCTGCGGAGGGTAGGTTTCGGCGATGGGGTACGTGCCGGGGACGGGAGCCATGAGCGTAGGACCGTAGGGGTATGGATGTTGAGGGGCACGATAATCCATGGGGTGAATCGGCCGTGTTCGTGCAGATACCTGTTGACGGGGTTTATAGGGTGAGAGGTGGAGCACATAATGAGGCGTTGTCTGGGCGCGCGTAATGTTTGTGATTGTGGGACGTGGGTCGAGGGCTTGACTTGCGAGCCCCGCGAAAGAGATGTGACGGGTGGCTAGGCTCCAGAGATGGCGCAGGGGCGAGTGCAGGCAGTCGCTGGGGGCGTTGGCGTGCGTGAAGGACCGCTAAATGAAGGACCGCGGCGCGATGTGAGGCTTGTGTCCCACAGAACGTGGGTGCGCAGGGTTTAGACGCCATGCGTTCGCAACGATGCTAGGTCGTGCACGACTAGCTGTGGTCATGAGACCATGCGCGAAAGGGATCCCGTTGTCCAATCAGCGCACGGAGCAGTAGCTTGAACAGAGGTGGGATATCTGGCCTTGTGGGCCTGTCGGATAGGAGGCGGGAGAGAGCTATGAAAAGCGTGGCCCCACAACTCAAAAGAGGACCTATAGGGAATGTGCTGCAGCGTGGCGTTGTGAATCTGAAGCCCCTTACCCTCGATCAACTGCTCCGTCATCGTTCGTTATCTCAACGAGGCTCGTGCGTGGCTGGCGATGTGAAAGCCGATGCGGGAGAAGGTGAGAGACAAACATATGCTCTAGCCTGCGTGATGTCTAGAGCATACTCCGTCATACGTAGACGGATGATCACTTGATCGCCGCGAAGAGATCCTGAATACAAACAAAAAACATATCGAAGAGGACACGGAGGCTCTGGGACCTGGAATCAGGTCCACAGGCGACGGTGTAGTTCCCTGTGACGATCATCACGTGTGAAGGTAAAAAGATGTCCGCATCTCGAGTGACGACGTGAATCCCGCCTCATCGCATCAGGTCCACGCGCAGCGTCGTGGCTACGGCGGGTGTTGAGTAATTCCATCCCATAGATGCGGGAAGATGTATGTAATGCTTCGGCGACCTGTGTTTGCTTGGTTCTACAAACGCCGGCTGTTGCGCTCAGCGAGTCAGCGTTATGACTTTGCTCTGCAAAATACAAATGTTGCAGTCGATGCTTTTGTCAAGTTGTGGATGACTTACTGACAGTCTGACGGAGTCGCCGGTTACGATTGAGGTAAGGCATATGCACACAAACGGAGATTGTGCTCGAAGGTATTCTGGGAGCAGCGATGCAGTGCCGACGACGACGGGCACGACAGCGAGCGCTGGCGGTGAGCACGTGCGCGAGCCACGCGGCGGGCAACGAGCAATTTTGTTTTGATTCCGGCTTGCTGCCTGCAACGTCGACGGGTGGATCGCCGCTCGTCCGGGTCGATGTTTTCCTTTCGGGCGCACTGGGGCGACCACATCATGCGGAATACAGAGCGAACGAGCGGTGGATGCTCTCTCTCTCCTGCGGACAAGCGATGGATGCTCCCCTCGACGTCTTCCTCTTTCCCGGTCAGGGAACAGCGGCGTTGGACTCGCACTTTGTTCGCCGGCGTGCCCTCGCCGACGCTGCCTCGCACTCTGGCGCGCTGCTGCTGTCAGCTTGCCACGCGGCCTTTTGCGCAGAGCTCTCCTCCCTCTCTCCCCTCGAGGCAGATGCCATCGACGTCCACATTTCCGACTTTGCCACTCCCCCTGATCTGCTATTGCTTCCGTCAAAAGACCAATACCTGCACAACCCCGTAACATGTGGTCCAGTTCTTTTTTTAGTCCAGGTGCTGCGTTGCCTCGCTCATTTAGAATCGCAGCCACCCGCGAGCGCTCCCGCCGCTTCATGCTTGGTGGCCAGGCACTCCCACGCACTAGGCTTCTCTTCCGGCATACTGCCTGCGTGCGTGCTGTCTGCGTCGACGACCACGTTGGAGTACTTGGCGCATTCCGCTCAAGTCTTCCGTCTCTCCTTTTGGATTGGCGTCCGTGCACAGCTTCATCGCGTCTCCGTCTTAGCCGCTGGCAATCCTCCACTCTCCGACTCTAAATCATGGACCCTCATGGTCTTTCGTATGGATGCCGGCGCTGCCGCCCAGGCGATTATTAAGTACCAGCATACAGTCAGTGCTCTCTCACATCCGCGTGTTTCTAGCCGTCGCTCATCTGAAACAGTCACCGCTGCAGCCGTCGTTATGCGTGACAGGAGTGCTAGACGCCGAGCGCGTCGCTATATCTGGACGGCCGGACTCTCTCGAGGCGTTTGCCACGACTCTGCCCCCCAATGCCGTCGTCCACAAAACCACCATCGAGGCGCTCTATCACTCTTCTGAGCACATCGGCGGAGCTCGCGAGCATGTCCTCGCAGACATCATACACCGCCAAATCCGCTTTCCGTCATACTCTGATCTGCATGTTCCCATTCGGTCCACTTACACAGGCAAGCTTCTCCGAAGCGAACACGGTTCTCCTCTTGTGGAGGCCGTCGTCGACATGATTCTTGCCCAGCCCGTCCATTGGGACAGGCTGATTCGCTCCTTCGTCCAAGATCTTCCTGTCGGCTGCTCGCTCCGCCTTGTGAATGTCGGTCCTGGGACTGGCCTCGCTCGGGGCACGGAGAAAATTTTGTCTGCGCACACCGTCTCTTCTGTCGATCTGACGTCTGCAGATCCTGTTACGGCACCCACCTATGAGCCCATCGCGATTATAGGCATGGCGGTCAACTTGCCTGGAGCTCCCAATGCAGACGAGCTTTGGAACGTTCTGGAACGGGGACTCAATACCATCGCCGAGGTATGTCGTTTATTCGCCTTGACAAAACAAACATAAGAAGTTTACCAGAACCGACAGATTCCCACGGCTCGTTTCAAGGTTTCGGATTACGTCAGCTCGAGGGACTCGAAGAGCAATCGAGCCATGGACGCGCACACCGGGAACTTCATTCAAGACTTAGAAGCGTTCGATAACGGGTTCTTCAAGATATCCCCGCGCGAAGCACGGAGCATGGATCCTCAGCAACGGATCATGCTTCACTCTGCTTACGAAGCCTTGGAAGACTCCGGCTACGTCCCCAACCTGTCCCCGTCTTTCGACCCGGAGACGTTCGGGTGCTACGTTGGAGCCGCTACGCATGACTATGTGCAAAATCTGCGTCACGACGTCGATGTGTATTACAGCACGGGTGGGTGCCTTGGACTATTTGCGTGTTGAATGGCTCGTTCAGTATGTCGTTGCAGGGACCCTGCACGCGTTCCTGAGTGGTCGCATTTCGTATGCCATGCAACTGAGCGGTCCCGCGATTACCGTCGACACCGCGTGCTCGTCGTCCTTGGTTGCAATTTATCAGGCCTGTCGCGCCCTCACCAACAGAGACTGTAACGCCGCTCTGGCAGGCGGCGTTAACGCAATGACGAGCCCCGACGTGAGTCTCACGCGTTGCCTCACCGCCGAGCGCCCTCATCTATCATCTTTGAAGATGTTCCTCGGGCTCGATCGCGGCCACTTCCTCAGCCCCACGGGCCAGTGCAAGCCGTTCGATGCCTCAGCCGACGGGTACGCGCGCGGCGAGGGCTGCGGCATGTTCGTTCTTAAGCGGCTGTCCGATGCGGTCGCGGAGCACGATCGCATTCTCGGCGTGATCCGCGGTGTCGAGATCAACCAGAGCGGTCGGGCGCAGTCTCCCACGCACCCGCACGCGCCGACGCAGATCGCCCTGTTTCGGCGGCTTCTACGGCGCGCGGGGCTCGGCGCGCACCGCGTCAACGTCGTCGAGGCACACGGCACGGGGACGCCCGCGGGCGACCCGCGTGAGATGGAGAGCCTCCGCGCGGTGTTCGCGGTTGGGCGCGCGGCGCGCGACCCGCTGCACGTCACGGCGCTCAAGGCGAACATTGGGCACCTCGAGGCGGCGTCGGGCGCGGCGGGCCTCGCGAAGCTTTTGCTGATGCTGCGGTACCGTACGATTCCGCGCCAGATAGCGCTCGGGGCGCTGAACCCGCGGATCGCGCCGCTCGAGTCGGATAATACTGTGATCGATGTCGAGGCGGTTGCTTGGAACGCTGGTGGCGGTGGCGGTGGCGGCGGCGAGGTACTGTCACGAGTGGCGCTGCTTAATAACTTCGGGGCGGCGGGATCGAACGGTGCGTTGCTGCTGGAGGAATATATTCCGCCTGTGGCGTGCCCGCCTCCCGTCGAGTCGCCGCCGACGGCGTATGTCTTAGGGTTGTCGGCAAAGACGGCGTGGGCTCTCGACGAGCTGCGGACGCGGTACGTGCAATGGCTCTCCAGCCGCCAGGGCGCAGGCGTTCGCTTGCAGGACATCGCGTATACGGCTACTGTTCGGCGCCAAATCTACGAGTACCGCCTCGCCGTGTCTGCGGGGAGCGTAGACGAACTCGCAGACAAGCTCCACACGGCCTCTGGGACTCACGTCGATGGTCGCTCGTCGACGGTCGCCTTTGTATTTTCTGGCCAGGGAGGTCAGTACCTCGGCATGGGGCGGGCTTTCTATCAGACTTTCCCCGTGTTTAAGCGTGCCGTCAACGAGTGCGAGGCCTTTCTGGTTTCAGCGGGTTTTCCAGGAGTTCTTCCAATCATCCTGTCGTCCGGAAAAACGAGTGGGCTGACGGAACTGGAAGAGCTGCAGGCATATCAGGCCGCCACGTTCGCTTTGGGATATGCGCTTGCCATGTTGTGGATCTCGTGGGGCGTGACCCCTAGTGTGGTCGTCGGGCACAGGTGAGCGTCCGTTCTCCTGATTCCGCGTATTCCCTCGATGTTTGGCTGACGGCTGACGGCTGACGGCTGACGGCTGCAGTCTGGGAGAATACGCTGCCCAGGTCGTCGCGGGAGTCATCACCGTGCAGGGCGCACTGACACTTGTCGCTCACCGCGCCCGGCTGATGGTGCAGAGGTGCCGCATGCGTGCTACGGGAATGCTGGCCGTTAATTTGAGACCGGAGATCGTGCGAGGCATCTTGTCGGGCTCGGGCGAGCTTGTGTCCGCCTCGGTCGCCTGCTGCAACAGCCCGAATGATTGTGTCGTGTCGGGCACGGTCCGTCAACTGGACACGCTCGCTCGCTATTTGGATTTCGGCGCTCGCGCCCGCAGCGTCCGCCTGCAGGTGCCATTTGGATATCACAGCCCAGCCATGAACCCTATCCTCGAAGAGCTGACCGCCGTCGCCCGAAACGTCGCCATACATTCACCTACTATTTCCATCATCTCTAACGTTCTGGGGATCGTCGTGCCTCCCGGGGATACGACGGCGTTTAGCGCCGAGTATTACGCTCGTCACTGTGTGGAGCCTGTCCTGTTCGAGCAAGGGATCGGCTCGCTCGTGGGCACGGCTGCGTTTCGATCCGTCGATGTCTGGATGGAGATGGGCCCGCATACGACAGCGCTACCGATGCTGAGGGCGCATCCGGCCCTCCTGGCGGACGCGAAACTGCTCGGTTCGATGCGGAAGGGCGGCGACGCGTGGGCGACGCTCGCGGATTCACTGGCCCGGCTTTACGTGTCTGCGCTGCCGCTTCGGTGGAACGAGGTGTTTGCCCATTGGACGCCACCGCGTGTCGTGTCTCTCCCGTCGTACCCGTTCGCGAAGACGAAATTCTGGGTCGAGTTCGTGGAGGATGCAAGCGCCGCCCCGAAAGCGGCGATGGAGGTGCTTGATGTTACTGGCGTGTTCCCCGTGTCGCACATGTGGATTCAGCGGCCTTGCGAGCGCAACGGCCACGGCGCGGTGTTCGAGACCCCCATTGCTGAGCTCGCGTGCTTCGTTTGCGGCCATCGCGTCGGCGGGCACGCGCTCTGTCCCGCATCCGTGTACATCGAGCTGGCGCTGGCCGCCGTGGCGAGGGCCCGGTCCGGCGCGGGTGAGTCGGCGGACGGGAGTAGCCATGCCATCCTCAGCGACATCGAGTACGTCAGGCCCTTGGTCTATGTGGACGGCGTCCTTCGCGTCATCAGGACCTCCGTCGCGGCCGGCGGGGAAGGCGCGGGGACGTTCAGCATCGCGTCGTTCGTCGCGCCGGGCGAGGCGGTCGTGCACTGTCGCGGGCGCTTCGCGCGCCTCGCGGAGGATGACGTCGCGGCCGAGTTGGAGACCGCACGCGCGGCGGTGGCTGGGCGCGCGGCGGCGTGCCGGGGCGCCGCGGAGGAGCGCTTTGGGAAGCGGACGGTGTACGAGGTGGTGTTTGCGCGCGTCGTCGAGTACGCGGAGGCGTATCGCGCCGTGGAGAGCCTGGCGCTCGGCGCGCGCGACACGGGCGTGAACGTGGACGTGGAGGGGTACGCGGTTGTGCGGGTGCCGCCGGGCGGCGACGCGGGCGGTGCAGGCGCGTTCGTGATTCATCCGGTGCTGATGGACGCGGTGCTGCATGTTGCGGGGTTTGTTGTGAATATGAGAGGGCGAGGGGAGGAGGTATATTTGTGTGGGCGGGTGGGGCGCGTCGTAGGCTTGCCGGGCCTCGTGGACACGTCGAAGGAGTATGGGGTGTTTGTGAGCGCGCGCTGCGTTCCGGGCGCGGGCGCGGGCGGGGTGCTCGCGGATGCGTGGTTGATCGACGCTGGGGGGCGGATTGTCGTGCAGGTGGAGGACGTGCTGTTCGTGAAGGCGCGGTTGGACCGGGTCGGACGCAGCTTAGCGGCAGCGGCGGTGCCCTCGCCTCCGTCTGCGGCGGGCGGTCCGACTCCGTTCGCGACGGATGTCTCGTACGAACCTGACGCACCACTTACATCCACGACGAATTACTCGTATGATCATGATGCGCCACCTCCCCCTGTCGGCGTTACAGCGGAGGTCGCGCGCATCGTCGCGAACGCCTGTGGGCTTGGCCTGGGGCAGGGGCCGGATGCTATGGACGCGGATCGAGACCTGGCAGAGTACGGCGTTGACTCGCTGATGCTCATCGAGATTGCGGGTGATCTGCGGAGTGCGTTTCCCGCCGCAAACCTCGACTCGTCCGCTCTGGCTTTGTGCCGCACTGTGTTGGATATCGTTGAACAGGTCGAGGCTAGGATTCGATCGAACCTCGTACCGCGCTCGGACGCCATAGCTCCCTCGGTCAACACGCCTCCCCCAACCATCTCATCCCCCTCGAATATTATACGCCCACTCAACATCACGCCCTCGACAATTCCAAGCCATTCGACTTGCGACAAGATATCAATTAATCACGGTGGAGATTTGGATGTCCGGCGGATACTTGCCTCCGTGTTAGGCGTCACGATTCAAGAGCTTGTCGATGGCGGGGACCTTCAGGCCCTTGGACTGGACTCGTTGGCATCCATTGAAGCTCTTCACGCCTTTCAGACTCAGTTCGAGCTCACGCTTCCCCATGATTTCTTCGTTACGCACACAACTATCAATACCATCCAATCATACCTTGCGAAGTTGTGCGCTAGAGATAAACCAGCCATGTCAGCAGACGGGAACCTCGAACTCTCGTTACACCCACTCCTTTCCGGAACTATACCAATTCATGTTCAGCGGGCGCCTACGGCGGGCTGCGCGCCACTTTTCCTGATCCATGATGGCAGTGGTCTCGTCTATTACATAAGAAGCCTGTCTCCCCTTGGCCGTGACGTATGGGGAATCCACAATCCTCACTTTATCACCGGACAGCGGTTGGATTCTGTCGAGGCCATGGCCGCGGAATATGCACAATATGCCGAGGAAACAACGACAGACCCTCTGATTCTTGGAGGTATGGCGTTTGATGGATGCTGCTTTCTTATTGAACCCGATGCAATTTACAGGGTGGTCATTCGGCGGGGTCGTCGCCTTCGAACTCGCACGCCAATTACTGACAAAGGGCGTTCCGGTGAAGGGCGTTGTACTTATCGATGCGCCATGTCCTTTGGATCACGTCCCCCTTCCTGATACGCTCCTCGAATCTATCGCAGGCTTGAATGGAAGAGACTCAACCGCACACGTCAGTCGTCTGGTGAAGGCCCAGTTCCAGATGAACTCCCGTCTGTTGGGACGATATCGTCCGGCCGCTTCCCGCGGGGTGTGCCCTAGACTCGTGCTTCTTCGCTCTCGAGAGGCATACAAGCCTGCCGGTGTCCTCGACGTACCCAAGTGGCTCTGCGACAGGAGTGATCCGCAAGACGCCGTCGCCGGATGGCAGAGCCTGGTGGATGGTCCCGTCAAGGTCCTGGATATACCGGGCCATCATTTTCAACCGTTCCATTCTACGAATGTGGGTTTCGCCCTTCTTTCTTATCTGGGAGCCGTCTGATACCAGTCGTAGATTGAAGAGGTCTCTCGTCGCATTTCTGAAGCGTGTTTATATTTAGAGGATAAATCAGCGATGATTGACGTAAGTGAGCGCATCGGTCCGGACACTTGATACGAAGATGTATACATATCCTCATTCGTCGACGCCACAAAGCCAGGTTCTTGAGTAGCTTCGAGCTCAGACAGGAGGGGTGAGCAATCTGCGAGGAAATCTGCAAATTTGAAAGGTCATTCTCGTGATTCTAGAACTGTCCTTCTCAACCGATTTTACATGATTTACCTAGAGCTATGGTATAGGGAGTGCTTTCACAATGCAATTATTCGTACACAGCGCCCTCAGGCCAGACCGATGGGGCGATCAGTTGTCGTCGATAAGTGTTTTCACGGACGTCCATCACGTACCCGACCGTCTATCTCCATTCTCTCACCCCATGTGACGCTTCCGACATTTCCAGCATCATAGACATTATCACAAGGCCATCATGAGCGCCATGAGGTGGAGAATTCAAGAACATCTTCGAGACTTCTACGACCACCCAAGGTGCGTTGCTTGGAGTGATTATTCGTATGACCTGGACAGCGATGCAAGAATCCCTCGACGATGGGGTCGATACGGATCTCCGCCGACCGTGATTGGACTCTGTAGATTGTGCGCTCAACAAGCCTAGTATTTCTGGGAACACAAAAGAACGATAGGAGAAAGGGGCTATCATGATGCGCAGCTATGAGATTCGGCGGGTGTTACGGGAGAGCGAGCCCTTTACTGGCAGTATGACGTTTATTTGTATAAGGAGAAGTCCCCTCTTCGAAGGGCGATTCACTTCGATGCGGGCGCAAGGGATGTGCCTCGATGCGTGTCCACCAGCGGTACTATTGCACCGCATATCGGGATTTTCCAGAGGACGCTGCCGCGATTTAGCAGAGTGGTGCTGGACTGGACGAACTTTGACGTAAGATTGGGGTCACATAATTCAACGGATGGCATACGGTACGAAACAAACAGTGAACCTGACCTCTGCCAACCATTCCGTGCTCCCACGAAGGCCTATAGTATGCTATTGTCATCAGCAGTCATAAGAGACTTATTTCGGAACAGGCGCAAGTAGGTCTCCGCGACTTATTGCAAGACGAATTCCACATGAACCAAAACTGAGTGTAACCTGGAGGCCAGCACGGTACCGGCCGCAGACCCTGTACAGAAAATCGGCGGACTGGACGGAAATAGGAGCACGCAACAATAAAAGGGCAGAACCAATGACATGAGTTGTACTGACTGGAAATTGAGATGCACTTATTCTCGAAGTAATATAATGACGCCATAGGCGTGCAGCCAGTCATATCCAGCCATATTCGCTTCCATAAAAGAGTATTTCATTCGGTCCATGCGACGGATCGCATGTTGGGGAGCCCTCGAGCGTGAATGAAATTGGTTCACCAGCGCGCGACTCCAACACCACGCACGTGAGATTTGCTACGGTGCGTGAACTACAAGCCTTGTCAGTAGTTGTGAAGCTACGAGACCCATCGAAAAGGGCGACCACCATGACTGTGCAATCGAAGAGTCCATTTGACAAAAGTTACTAGGTAGTACCAATGTACCAGCCTCACCGGCGTTTGTTCTTCGACTAAGTGAATCATTCTGGAAAAATTCGAGATGATTCACATATAAAATTAAAAACAATAAAAAACAGCATCCCAGCTCACATCAGAGTGATTCCTGGTATCCCGATGTCCCGTCGTCCCGAGTGTGTATAGTTTGCGCGTAAAGCAACTCGGAAGCTGAAGCGCTGAAGTCACAAGAAAAGTCGGCAATTTGATATTACTCAGCTTCTTCGCTTATCAATATGTTTTCGCCCATCGCTTCTACCTCCTATCACCACCATTGTCCAGGTCGAAAGTCCATCATAACATACGAGGATTGATTGCGAGTGCGACTCCATTTCACGGTGAGAAGAATCCAAATGCTTTGAATCTTTTGGAGTTATATTTCGAAGCGAGGGCTCGATCGTACTATCAAGAGACGGATCGAACTCAATCGTAGAATCGAACTATGGCATCCCCAGGGGAGCCTTTCACCGCATCTTCTCGTCGCATTTCTGGACACACACATGTCCTTTTGATCACTACTGGGAGTGTTGCGTCGGTCAAAGCGCCCCTCATCGTCAAGGAACTGCTCTCTGTATGTTTTCCTTCTATAGGTTACGTCGATGTTTACTTGACGTAATTTCAGTATAGAAACGTATCCATACAACTTGTGGCTACCACTCCCTCTCTCACCTTCTTCAATCCCAAGAGTGTTCGGGAGTATGGGGTGAGCGTCTGGACCGATGAACAGGAATGGAACGTACGTGTTACGTTTACAGGTATCGATACATTTTATCAATCAATCAACGCTATGAACAGCAAGATTATCGCATTGGAGATCCCATTTTGCATATTGAACTGCGGCGATGGGCAGATGTTGTGCTCATCGCGCCCTGTTCAGCCAATACGCTCGCGAAGATTGCGAATGGCATATGCGACAATCTTGCTGTAACTGTTTATTATTTGTTTTACGGTCTCACTACTCACTCAACCTCCTTCGCATTCCATTCATGGCTCAGACTTCCCTTCTTCGTGCCCTGTCACCCTCAGTACCAACCTACATATTCCCGGCTATGAATACTCTGATGTATGAACATCCGTTGACTTCGCAACATCTGCGCATCATCCGTGAAGTTATTGGATATAACATCGTTGGGCCGGTCTCAAAAGGTCTTGCATGTGGTGATATCGGAATTGGCGCGATGCTGGAGTGGAGGGACATTGTACGCGTCGTCGTCGACCGTTTTGATCTTCTGAAGCAGTGACAGAGGTGTTCAGCTTGGAAAGGTGAGTGGATATCCACGCGAATTATGGTATTGACGCTCTGACGAATGTTGCTGAATGATAGACAGGGTACACATTCCGACCTATCAGTGCCCGGTGTCTATAATTTCGAACGCGAACTGTGTCGAAACACTTACGACAGCGGAACGCGGACCGTCGGCAGATGAGGAATTGAGAAAAGACGCCGTTGGGTCAAAGATATGCAAGCCTGTCCTGTGCGTCGAATTTGCTGTCATCCTTCTAAAGAAGCCCTTCGTCTCTTCGTACTAGTCCCTTAGAACGCGTCCTCCTTCATTCACTCCGCTTGCATCTGTGTACATGTCCGTGCCCATCGCTTGTGATTGCTGTTGTTGTGCTATCAGGTTCGATGCTGAACAAGAGCTTAATCAAATTCTAGAATCAAGCTCCCATCATCGAAGCGGCGAGGATCGTGTTGTGAGACGCGCTCCACGATTTCTTGCCCCCGAGCGGATCGAGAGGTGACAATCTGCAGATTGGGCGATACGTCCTGATGCCCGTGCACGTGCGCTCCGCACTATCTCAGCGATTTCTGTAAGTATGTTGACATAGCCCTCAAACTTGTTAAGTTACAACTCTAAGCGGATAACACCGAGGTCAGATGCGCATCCACAACTGGTAGACGAGATTGGAGGGAAAGCTCATTCAAGGGTTTGTTCCTCTTGGCTTAGGCTTGAGGTTAAGGCCCCAGGGCGGCCAGAATTGCCTGCGGCACTGTCGAACACTTTCCGTTCATATTGTCAGGGGTCTGCCCAACAAGGTGCGTTAGCCATGCTCCATAAAACTCCCGTAGATTCCCATAGATGGTTGATTGGCAGGTAAATCTTTCGAAGGATCGGCGATTTCCGATTAGTAACGTAGAATACCGGTTATTATGCAAATGCACGCTGGAACAGTGAAAAGTCTATTTTGGCGAAGGTGCCGATGTTAACGGCGCTCAGCTTTACGATGCTTCGATTTCGTGATAGAGATACGATAGCTACAGACCCGGTCGAACTTTACATCTTGGCTGCCATTCTAGAGAACTTACAAAGTTCCGTCTTCATGCCGTTACATGCGCCAACTTTGCATTCTGACGACGGTCGACGGGCTTATAATGCCCGAGGCAAAGACATGAAAACCCACTGTTCTGCCTTTCCATCTTTCAGCTTTCCCCATGGATCTCACAGCGACGTCTGTGGCGCCTGACTCTGACGATACACTCATATCCAGGATACGGTGTCACAAGGGCAACAAACCATCACTTCCGCAAACCAAGTGTTGCTCGCTATGCCCCGCGAAATTCACTCGCACGACGCATCTTAATCGGCATCTTCGCACTCGTGAGTGCAATCGCCCTATGTCCGTGATTGATGAACGATGAGCGCTCACGGCGCTTTCCCAGATTCCAACGAGAGGCTTCATCGCTGTGAGGTTGGTCATCCTTTCCGAGCTTCTTGGCTTACATCAGCATACTGATCTTGCCATAGACATGCCTTTCCGAATTTACCCGGAGCGACCTCCTCACCAGACACAAACGAACTTGTGGTGATCTGTACGTTGCGCTCCATTCTTCCTTTTCACCCACCGCGATGGAATCGGTGCTGACAAGTTGACGTTTGTTGGGATAGCAATCAGAACAAGTCGCGGCGGAAGTCGTGTCAAGCATGTGCGGAATCCAAAGTTCGATGTGACCTTGTGCAGCCATGTGCCAAATGCGTCTCACGCGGCAAAGAATGCGTATTCGTAAATGACCCGAGGATTTCCAGAGACAAGAGAGAGGCTGCTGCTGCAAAGCGCAAACGTGCCGCCCTGGCCAGAAGTATTGACGCGTCGACATCTGCCATCCACGGTTCTTCCTTCTCACGATTTCCAGATGATCATCATTTCATAGAAGATCCCCCATGCTCTCCATGCGGTAAAGACACTGATTATTCTGTGGCCTCGAGCTCGGATTTGATGGCCTGCGCAGACTCGTCGACTTCTTCCACATCCATTTCATCTATGTCCCCTTGTTCTGACGACTTGGATCACTCGTTCGACATCACTCACGCGGAGTTGGACTCTCCAATTGACATTAACATATTCAAAGCCGAGCTAGAAACTTTCATCACTTGCAATGCTTTGGACTCGTTACTATCTCAGTCGTATGAGTCCCCTTCTCCCACAGACGACCTTGGGTCAATGCTTTTCAACGACTTCATGTGGAATGGGTATCTTCCTGATACTCCTGGGATGAATAGTAACCTCTTCGCACAAGCGGTTATCGCGGCGCCTTCTCAGAGCTCCTTGTATCTGAACCAGGATCCTAGCGCCGGAACATCTACTGCGTCGCCATCGATGACGGGCGAGTCCTTGTTCCATCAGATGCCTGATTATCAGCGTGCTGTGCATGGCCCGAGGCCAGAAGACATGGAAACACAACACTATTGTGCGTCTATTGTCCCCTGATTGTTGCTTCAGGACGTTGACCAGGACGCATCGACTGCAGTATACTTATTCTTTACTGCTTTTTCGTCGCATCTGTCAATCGTCCATCCCTCGTTCTGGCTCTCGCCTGAAGGGAAGCCGCCCATTCTGCTTCGTGCTATGCAAGCATGTGGGGCTCTATTTGTCAAGACACGCGAAGCAGGTGATTTCGTCTTGAACACGGTGACCAGTGTTCGAGAAGCTTTGAAAGTGGAAGCAGTAAGCACTCTCCTGTTTCCTGGATCAGCTAGCTCGTCGTTGAACGTGATTTGAATCAGCAGGCGCAAAGCTCTGCTGGCATAGAAGAACACTTTTACCTGGTTTTAGCCGGCCTGTTGGTACAGACAATCGGAATGTTCCACCGCCGCATTGATAGGTCAGCCTCATCTGGCGTCTATCACGGCATGCTTGTTCAAGTGACTCAATTATCTCAATATGTAGCCGTGTATGATCTGACTGGTTTATTTACCGTTCCCAGATGATCCGACGGTATGGGATTGTCCAAAGGTGTACCTCATGGATACCGCCGGACCTTGCAAATTCATCGCTTGAAGTTGCGTGGCAGGATTGGAAAATACAGGAGATGATCAAGAGGTTCGTGTGCCTGCGTAAAGTATGAGCGTGCCTAACATTTCACTTCAGAACTGTGTTATTGGCTTATCTACACGATAATTGTCACTGCGTCTTCTTTTCGCTCCCACCCTCCTTCCTCCCCACCGAGTTGGTCGATCTTCATCTGCCCGCTGACGATGCCCTCTGGAAGACCAACACTGCTCAAGAGTGGTACGACGTCATCTCTCAACCCTCTGCATACGGAGCTGTCCCCAACAGACTCAAAGGGTACAGCCTGCAGGCAGCGCTCATCAAACTCTCAGAATCTCACACGACCGGACCATCACTCCCTATACCCCCTTGCGCGCACTTCATACTCATCCATTCTATCCTCTGCTCTATATACAATCGAATGGATCGCCTCTTCACTCAATCGCACCAGCTCATAACTCCCGAAGGCAACGTCATCATCTCCAACAGTATCAACCCAAATCCCAAGGACCCCGTTCGCACGCAGTGCATGTTGCGGAACTGGCTTCACAGCTGGCTGCATGCCCCCGAGGTACCCCAGCAACACCTCAAAGCAAGAGGGGAGCCTCTCTTGGTGCAGAATGCATTGCCATATTATTGGCTCGCACAGGTTTCCCTCATCGCGATCCAGGATCGTATCATACTCCCGTGTTGTGTTCCCGAGACCAGGTATCGTGTGCTTACAGGCTGGCTACATCACATCCGTTCATTCTTGCGCTGCGGCGGCGAGAAGATGGGCAGGGGGCTCTGGGAGGACTTGGCTAGGATGGGGCAGACGCTAGCGGCTTCGGATAATGAGGACGGGCCAGATGGTTTACTGTCGATTGCCCCAGAGTCGTGATGTCGAATGTTCCAGCCTGCGCTTGAAGTGCTACTGTATCGTCAAATCTGTGTATCTCTAGCTGCTGACCTTCATTTCGAACGTTGCTGTGTTTGTTGTATGCGTTGAAGGTTCTGTACGTCTCTGTATGTCTCCCATTACGGTATGAATAGATGACTCACAATACGACGATGACTCGGGTCACATTTCCCCACGGGGATAAGATCGTACCTATGGTGAAAGCGAGACAGCTTCGATGAGATAATCGAAGAAGCGATGTCAGACTAGAATGTCAATCAGTTTTCAAGCGGCTTACAAACGACGTGCAATGTCTAGCGCAGCTGCAAAGTGCAGTAACTCCAACGAACATAACAGGCATAAATGCACTTTTAGCGCTAGAGACTGGATATAAAAGTCAAAACTTCATTATGGGACTATCTTAGTGCTGTGAGGGTTTATAGAATAGAGAAGCTCACTAGATTCGAAGCAGAACATATGTTTGGAACCCAAATTGCCACAACGGAACCATGCTAAAACCGGGGCGCTGGTCGAATTACCTCAAAACATTGACAACAAAATGAACAAGTGAAAGATGATGATTATATGACGGTCGAACTGCCTTTCCAAACATCTCTAGACAGGATGGACTGGGCAGTCGTATCAAGAGTTCAACGAGTTACTATCAACCATAGATGAAGAACACAAGGACCCGAGCAAATAAATGATGTCGGCGTTCAGCCAATGTATTGAAAAGAGAGGTCTCTAGCTGTGAATGATCAGTAGCGGGCGTCCTAGGAGGAGCGGGCGTCCTAGGAGGAAAGGAATGCGCAGATGGATCACGTGCAGAAATGTTGGAGATTTGGAAATTTGATTTTCCGTATTCCGAAGTTGTCACGGAGACTCAAACCCCTAAGCGAGTAGCTGCTATCCTCAAGCTCACCCGTTCTCTTTTTCCCTCCTAGTTGCTCTCATCCGAACCGCACTATGTCGTTCTTTAACTCAATAGGGTGTGTATGTTCCTACTCGCATTCCTATCACACCCTCAATGCGCAGACTGACTCAATACCGGTTCCATGTCCCATCGTGTATTCTGTACGTCTGCAGGCGTACAATGCAGCGCGCAGGACCGCGTGCACCTCGACGTTCGCCAACACCAACATCCACAACCTTTCCGAACTCTATTAGCTCCGATTCCATGCCTCCCCCATCGCCATCCTCGACAAACGGACAGAAACCTCTGTATCTGTGCAGCCCCTTCGTTGAGGCTGCACTTGTCAAGGGTAACTTCAAGACGATTGTCATGCTACCGAAGTACGTAGACATTACGGAATGGGTGGCAGTGAATAGTGCGTATGACGTTCCTATCCTTGAATCCTTCGATGTTGATCGTCACGCCACAGTGTTCGATTTCTTCCAAAATCTGAATATGTTCTACGGTGTGGTATCAGAGTGCTGCACGAAAGCATCGTGTCCTACAATGACTGCGGGCCCTTCGTACGTTTACCTTCCTTGTCACGCTTTTGGGATTTTGTCCCTGAAATGGCAAATCGCGTCTTGTGCGCGTAACATTATGTGTACAGACTGAATTACACGTGGATCAATCAAGACAGAAAGAGCGTCCAGCTCCCTGCGCCAACGTATATCGACTACGTGATGACATGGGTGCAGAACCTGCTAGACGACGAAGGCACTTTCCCCACTAAGTCTGGTTCGTGTCTTATGATGTCGTCTTCACATCACTTTGCCAATCGTGTTGCGGTGTAGGACACGAATTTCCCTCAAGCTTCCCTTCAACAATCAAGCACGTCTATCGGCAACTATTACGCGTGTTCGCACACATTTACCATGCGCATTATTCCGCGATCCTTCATCTGCGCTCCGAGCCGCATTTCAACTCTCTCTTCGCCCACTTTTTGGCGTTTGGGCGGGAATACGAGTTGCTGGATGTCAAAGATCTCAAAGGTGCATCAGGTCAGCCGGCGGTTGGAATCGGTGCGTTGTGGGAGCGGTGGAAGGAGATGGGGATCCTCGAGGGGTGAAAGCAGGGGAGAAGGATGTGGATCAGGGAACAATACATCTGCTGGGAACTAAGGGAGCTCGATGACGCAGTGCTGTGGGATAAATCTTGCAACACGATTGTACAAACAAGCAACATATCGAGGCTGCAACCTCGCGCGCATCTTACATTTTCTATCTCTCTTTTGCAAACAAAATATACCCTCTTTAGCCATGCACAGTGCACCAAGATCAAGTGTTCACATGAGCCCCTCGATCGCCGTTCGGCGTGCTGTAATAATTCACTAGTCGATCAGTCATATAGGAACGTGTCAATATAGGTTGTAGTCAGTTGTAGTCGCCCAGATTCAGAGATCGCAGCATCTGTGATGTAATCGGCCGCCACCCGATGCCATTCAAAACGCAGATCGACTCAATAACACGGCAGCCTGAACTATGACTATGCTAAGTCTCAATGTCAACGCAGTGAGGTGTCGCCGGTCGCCATCGAGGCAATTGTTATATTTGAGACAGCCTTTCTAACAGATCCGGGATGTCTTTGAATGGTGATCACCAGACTGGCGAACAAATTTGCACTTGTTGTTCAACGGTTTCGGTTTCAAACAGGGCTCGACAAGGGCCTGGGGGGCCTGGTCGGCGGATATGTTGTCTTGTATTATCCGCTGTTCATAATCGCCGTCAATACGGAGGCCAGTGCCTGTACCTCTGTGTCTGTATTCTATCGGAACATATTCCGAGCGAACTCCAACTCGCTCTTCCATTCCGTTGTCTTTAAACACCGACGGAATCCGGCTCCATCGTGCTGCTGGACACACATATTGTCGTGCCGGTGGACATCTCAGCCTGATGTCCCCGATAATGTATAAACTTTGGACGCAGTGGAGCCATCACCTTCGTGGGGTCTGGCGCAGACTTCTCGAACCTGTTCCAAAGAGATTCCGAGATGTCTTCGATGCTCTAACTTGAAACGAAAACTCTGTCTACACCCCTTCCTTATCGCTCGATACTGTCTGTGATCATAGTTCTGGACCATGTCAGCAACAAGATCGAGCTTCCAGTCCTCAGGATGACGCGAGTTCTTTGATAATTGTTGCGGAGCTCGCATGCAAGTCCTGCATCAGGGACAAGCCCGTATCGTTGTGCATGCAGTGCCGTACTTAGTTCGCAACCCACGGAGTGCTATGACACACTTCTGTCGATTCGGACGATTAGACACGTCCGGGGTGATGCTGAACCATCCGAGCAAAGGGCGATCCGGAGGAAAATTTGAGAAATCTCACCACCCCTTTGAATGAGTTGAAGTGAAGGCCACACCTGAAAATATCGCGCAGAAAGATGATGCAGACGCGCTGCAGGCGCGAGAAAAAGGCTAGCAAGCACCCGTTACGTAATAATTTTACGCCGCCATTTGCAAGCTTCACCGGACCCTAAACATAACCCAAGCTGGTTAGAACTCGCTGGGCAGACGTCCAGTCGTGAACTTACAGTGTTTGCATTTCTCCGAAGGCGCACACAGAGTTCCTCCGCCTATCACAACCCGTCGATGTATTCACAAACCTGGTGTAGTCGAGACATCGATATCATCCACGATGCAGAGATAAGTTACAAACGGTGGGATGTTTGTCAATGGCGATGATGCATGCGGTGTCGTAAAGTTATTGTCTCACGTTCATAGCAGTTGAGCGTTGACGTTGCTTGTCGTACAGCGGGCTCTGGCCGGATAGAAGACCTTCGACGACGGTGCAAGCCTCCGATAGACGGAAAATGACAAAGTGCATTGAATATTGAATGTGAAGTGAAGACGACGGACTGGTTCAGGTTGTCTGCGTCAAAGGACAACTAGGACAATCCATCGTCTCGTTGGTCACATGGTTCGGGCATCAATTCATGACCGAGGTTCCATGTCAGAGAAGTCCTTGCTGAACGGGGCTTCAGCTGAGCTGTCCACCGAATTCGTCCCACATCCAGTCACAGATTTGGCAACAGAGTACAAAGCTTGGGGATGCCTCTTACGTGTTCGTCTTTCGCATCTTGTTCCCTGCCACCACGATGAACCGGTCTCCCTCTTTGGATGCCGGTGCGCACAGTGATTCCGCTCGAACACCCAGTGCGGGAACGCTCAATGAGTCCAGAGGCAGCGATGTCGAGAAAGGACCAGTTGAGGTAGAGAAGAAGGGCGGCTTCCGAAATCTCCAGGCACAAGAGGACGCAAAGGCAGCTCAAACAGTTGACCCTTACGCGCCCACCGATGGGGGTCTGCAGGCGTGGTTGTCGGTCGGGGGCGGATTCCTTGTCACCTTTAGTGCGTTTGGGTATGTCGCGTCGTCCTCTCGCCAACTTCTTCTGAGCTGAAGCTGACTCCCTCATGCCTCCAGCATAGTGAGCTCGTATGGAGCTTTCAGCGACTTCTACAACACGGACTACCTCACCCACTTCTCGCCGACGGTCATTTCCATGATCGGTGCGATACAGATCTTCTTGTTCTATCTCTGTACGTGCCGTCGATCACTTCATTGAGTACTCTCATATTAACTGCATCAATGTCGCGCAGTCAGTGGCCTGTCTGGGACGCTTTTCGATGCTTATGGACCGCGCGTCCTCATTCCAGTCAGCGGGATCATCTGCGTCTTTGCCATGTTCATGCTGTCGATCACGAAACCAGAGCAAATCTACCAGCAATATTTGTCTCAGGGTGTCTTGTACCCCATTGGCGCTTCGTTGGGGTATGAACCATCGTAGAGAATCCTTCTGCAGCGTGCTGACTTCAAGCAGGTTCTTCCCCGCAGCTAATGTGATCACTCATTGGTTCCGTCGGCGTGTTGCGTATGCACTTGGCTGCGTCATCGCGGGGTCTGGTGTCGGGGGCATCGTCTTCCCGATCATGCTCACGCGTTTAATTCCCCGCATCGGCTTCGGTAGATCTTTTACACGCTTCTGCAGATGCACGATATCTAACTTGCTCTAGGCTGGTCTGTGCGCATTATCGCATTCATTATGCTCTTTTGTTATGCTGTCGCGTCCGTCACCATCACTGCGCGGCGACCCCGTAAACCCCTCCCTCCTCTTTGGAAGATGGTCGACTTTGATGGATTCCGCGATCTGCGCTATACCTTCCTCGTCATTGCCGTCTTCTTCAACATCATCGCCATCTTCAATCCGTTCTTCTACGTTGGCCTTTATGGCCTGACCCTCCATCCCGAGTCGACACTTTTGCCCTATGCCCTGTCTATTCTTAACGCGTGCTCGGTCCTTGGGCGGATCTTCCCAGCGCTTCTGGCAGATAAGCTCGGGCGGTAAGCCTCATCACTGTAGCGTCCCAACGTGCAGCTAACGCGAAAGCATTTTTTCGTCCAGGTTCAACGTTATAAGCGTGTTCACGCTCATCAGTGCACTCTTGAATCTAGCGATGTGGTACAACGTGACGGGAGAGGGTGTTACAGTTGCCTTCGCTGCGCTGTATGGCTTTTTCTCCGGATCATACTTCTCCATCATCCCCGTATGTCTGCCACGCTATCTTTCTCACGTCAAGGAGTGCCAACCATCAATGATCCCGTCGGGTTTTTCTGTACAGGCTTGCATCACAATGATATCGCCCATAGACAAAATCGGCGCGCGGATCGGTACGCTATTTATGTTCATGTCATTCGGTGCCCTTGCGGGCACGCCGATCGGAGGCGTCTTCATTCGAGAAAGGACCAAAGACCATTTCCAGCATCTCATTGCATTTTCGGTCAGTTAAAATTGGTCTAAATTCCTCCTCCATACTCCGCTAAACCTGTGTGAATGGGTTAACAGGGATCAATTGGCCTTTTGGCTGCCGTTTTCTTTTTTGCTGCGCGCTTTGCGTATAGCAAACAACTTCTTTCGATCGTATAAACACGATGTAACGCTCCCGTAGCGATGCTAGTAGTGGTAAACCCCCTTTTCATGCTCATTTTCAATTCTCAAATGATGTTTTTTCTGCAGGACGCAGTGTTATTTGCATGTTTAATACTGTTGTTGTTTGTAGACCTGCCTGTTGAGTATAATATATCGCGTTGCGCCATCTTGCACCACCGAACGTCGTGCATTAACCTGTGATAGTGCACTGGAAAAATCACGAGGTGCGAAAGGATGCGAAGGACGTGCTGAGGGATACGGGACAAGGATGGGCAACTCTTCGGTATCTAGATGGTCGACCGCTTCTTCCGACTTTGACCGAATGCTTCGCTCGTCGACCGGAACTCCTTTGGGATCTGAAATGAAGTTCTGAATCTGATCGACTGCGATTGGATATCCGATACGATGCGTTACGAGAAAGCATCATCGAAGCCTGGCTCCGGCGGGGGTATGGTGCTCGCTCGAGCGCCCATATCGCATCTGCTTTGATGTCCGGTGGGGATGCTCTTCCGAACTCTGCCCCTTTCGAGTCCCAGTGGGTATATGCGCCTCGATACACATCAAGCGTCATCGAACATGTCGTGAGGCCGAGACTACGTGGAAACGGTTCCAGTCAGCACCTAACCCTAATAGAGGTTTATGATGCTCTCCTGTCTCGCGTACTGCCCATGATATGATTGCTGCTGCCTCACGGGAACTTGGATGTCGTATGCTGATACTTGCCGCCGAGACACGCGTACCATGCCAGATCTCTCGCTGCCTTGTATCCTTTTCCGTTCGTGCTTGATGACCCCCAGCTCACCCTCGAAAACGTTCTACTTGCTCCGATTCGAAAAACTATGTAGTAATGTGTGCCCCATGATTGGATGATTAGATATCCCCCTGATAGAGGTACAGTCGCCTGCTTTCCTGCCTTGAGCTCGTCTTTGCCACCCCATAGACAATCACATGCTAGTGTCTCCATTCGCCCACAACATAAATTCTACAAATGTAGCTGGAGCATATCAGATGGAGAACTCCTTCGATATAGTGCAAGTTGTCTCAAGTACAGAAATCTCGACTGGATGAGAAGTATATGTGGTGTGGACATAATTCTTACAATTGTTCACCAAACGATGTGCCAATCATAAAAAAAACCCATATAGGAGATTCATTTTTCAACCTACTCCCCGCTTCACTGTGCCAGACAGCCCTATTCGAATTTATGATTGGGAGAGGTTTTGTTAGGTATCTCGGTGTTGTGCGAGCGGGCTCTTCGAACACACTGGAAAAAGCATATGAATTGCCTGATTTGCATTAAGAGGGAATCGAACCCCCGGCGGGTCGATGGCAACGACCCAGGTTACCACTACCCCATTAATGCTTACCAAAATGGGGAGAATTAATAAATATCAGTATAAATATACCTATGGGAAACAAAAAGGTCGAGCCAACGACGCAAACACTACGAGTGTAAGGATAAATTTCTCGATCATGTGGCCTTCAGCAGCGCATTGCGCAGAAGAGATCACATCCCTATTGTACACTGATAGGATTCAGGTAAATTCTCCTCGTCCAACGTCGTCGCCGAGTCATCCCTCCTACAACCTTCCACTCCTCTGACGGAGCAACTCGCGGTTCCAGCCATGCATCGTTTGTATACACCCATCCGACTAGAAAAATTATCAGAAAATCAATAACGTTAGATGAGCGGAATAACATACGCTCATCTGCGCCCACCGCACTCCATCGAGCCTCGACATCGGCACGCCAGTCCTCGGTCTCGACAAACGCCCATCCCGCATCAAGTGCGAAGGTGAGATTGCTACTGTACTCATATTAGCGCGCGTCCCTCCCTTCTCAGACATAAAGTGAGGAAGTGATCACCGACCTCACATTCCCGCCGCCGTCCGCGGAGACCCCGCTCCAGCCGTCGCGTCCACGCGTCCACGCGACGCGCTCGCCAGGCTTGAGGTGGACTTTCCCCCATCCGCCGGAAGTGCCCACGTCGCTTGGTACCCACCGCTCGTTCTCGAACAGTTCGACGTCGCGGAGAGGGCTGCGCCAGTGCGAGTCTTTCAACCGGTCGTCGTCGACGGCCCGAACTAGAGAGGCATTTACGCGCTGGAGGGGCAAATTGGAGACGAGGATGGGGAGGGTGCGCTGGGATATTGGATGAGTGAGGAGAAAGGGTAGTAGGCCGGCCGCAAGGAATAGTGGGCGGAGGGGGACCAGAGGGAGCAAGGGGAGGGCGAGGAGAAATGTAAGAAATGTGATTGTGAGAATGTGAGGGGTATATGGGGTAGAATAAGTTAAATGCAGAATATATGGGAAGATGGCATCATAAACGTCGGAGCTGTAAATAGGTGGAGAGGTGAGAGTGAGACAGGGTTTGAGAGAGGTAGTGTGTATCTCACAAGATGCCCATGAGATTCTGGATGGCCTGAATATTGCTGAGCCAGTCCGCGCTGCCCTCGCGTGCAGCGGCTCTTGGTGGAGGCTGAAGCTGAGGAGATTCGTCGACTGTTTCCGGGTCTGGAGACCGACGAGAGGGATGCGTAGCTAGTAGTATCCCGAGTATAATTGCATGAGGGAGAAGAAGGATTAATCGAGGGAAATAACCTGTGTGGAGCCTTGAGTTTAAGAGTAATTTAATATTGGCTACAGACTCACATATGAATGCGTATCCTGCCATCCATGCACCGGTGACCTTCCACCCTTTCCTCCACATGACGACCTCCTCGATCCGATCCTGGAACCAAAATACAGGCCCCACTCGTGCGACGAAGCGGCGGAAGTGCGCCGTAGTGATAGGCACAGAAAGGGGATCTCGCGTCGACATTAGATTCACATTATTGCGCATATTTCCTGGAGGAACATTCGCAGAGAGCTGGAGGGTTGATGCTAGCAACAGGCCCGGAAGGTTTCCGAAAACAGATCGCGAGGGAGAGGTAGCCTGTGCAATTGGCGAAGACATAGGCGAATCCGGGATCGATTCTGGGTGAGGAAGAGAGGTCGTAACTTTGGGTGTCGGCCGTGTCGCCTCATGTTCGCGAGATGTCTGTGATATCGAGTCAAGTCGCTTTGCATGTGACGGTATCTCAACGTAGTCAAAGCCTGACATGTTGGAGACGTCGAGGGCAATGAGGGACGGAGAGCGGTTGTGTGTCTGGCGATTGGTGTACGTCAGCATCGTTTCGTATCTTTCTCCTTCCGCCCTTTCATCTGTTCCGCAACCACCATCACGAACATCCACCAACTCCAACGCATTCTACCTGAAATCGACTTTCAGCATCTCCACCTTCTCAAATACTCCTGTGGGACGCATGAGCACAGTCAAACGTATCACTCTGTATGTCATTGATTAAACCTAAGAAAACTAGTAGGAAAGGTACGTTCATCTTCACATCTTCGTGTGCATAGGGCTTCAATTATCCTATTATTGTAACTATTCTTTACAGAACCGAATCATCGATAACTTGGGGACCCATCTCATCAGCATGCGTCTTGGGCATCAGGGTCACATACCGTGTCTTCAGAATCTCCAGCCCCTTGTTACCGAAATATCTCTTGCTCTCAAAACACCACTGATCGTTGGCCCTCACTGAATTTCCCACTCCGTTCATATACAACGCCACCTGCACGTCGATCAGCCCTCCCCACTGCGGCACCTTGTCGAAATGCTCGTTGAATTTGCGCTCTAGCTCCTTATGGTAGCCTTCCACCCACGTCATTGCCCCTGCTATATCGGTCTTGAGCTGGTTCATCACGACGGTAACTATATTGTGTGCGTCGTCGCCTCTCGCTTGCTCGACATTGTAGGACAGCATATCCTTTGGAAAATGTTCGTCATGAATCTTACGACTAGTGCGAAGAGGACCTACGTTTGCTAGAGAGTGCATATCTGCAGCCCAAATGGACAGATCTTGGATCACGGGATGGTTAACGACCTCATCAGGCAGGTCCATGTCGAGCTCGAATAACGCGAATGCAGGTTTTGTGGCCACCGTCTCGCGTCGCACTTGCAGGTAGCTATCAATGTCGCGAATATGCGCATGCGATCTGTCTGCTGCTTGCTGCACCATGGATTGGGTATAGGTGCTAAAAGCATTCACTAGACGCTTCTGCGACTGGGGACTAGCAGTCTTGATCGCACGCTCCCAGAACCTTTCCACGCTTTGTCAATCTCGTTGACTCTGAGGTGCAAGGTCTTGTATAAGAGAGACATACTGTCTGAAGATCTCGCCGCCTATCCACTCTCCAGCCGGGCGTGGTTTGTGGGGATTACACAATGCGTCCATGATGATATCGGCTTGCAATTGAACTCCGGCTGCGTCTTCGACGTCAGAGCTTTCGTCAAACAACAGCAGTAGGTTCATGAAGTCGCAACCAGTGCGAAGGTGTTCTGTGTCGCATCAGATTCAATGCTTGGCAGCTATGTGTTGATCTCAACATGCCTTTGCTTGCCGTTGGGTACGCCATCGCAGCCAGAAGGTCTGTAGCATCATTGTTGGGTCAGTATTGGGCATTGATACAGGGTCAGACTTTCAGCGGTAACTTACTAAAATCGCAGAGATCAAAAGCGCGTTGAGCTTTCGGGCTGAACACTCTGAAGCTTGCTATCCACGCTGCGGCCTCCTCCTTGACTTCGAGATAGTGGGGATTGATACGGCGGGGCCATCTCCAGTGGGCGAGGGTGTCAGGCAAGTAAATCTTCGTGGTCATGTCGATATAATCGAGAGTGGTCGCTGAGATGCTGGGAGGTGTGCCCTGTGATGCTCATTATGTACTCTTAGATTGCGGAGGCACAGCACTGCTGAACGTCCTCAATGCTTGGAAATCATCCCTTCAAAGCGGCTAGAAATTCATCTCTGCTCATTGAACAATGTTTCCATCTTCCGGTGACAGCACACCTTTCGTCTCATTCTCCGATTTGAATTTGCCGAAGGCGATGCTTTGATTTTTTCCATAAACGGTGAATGCATGAACGCCGCGCTAGACAAATATCTTGCCTGTAGTAGAGTATGGACACAATTTTACGACATCACCCATTATGATGAGAACCCTTACACCTAACATGCTTCCGTCCGCCACTAGATGCTAGGGTTCCATGGTCACCTGTATACCATCTCTTGTTGTGAGTATCTCATCCAGCCCGTTTCATCATCCAGCGCGTTAGGACTTCAAACTGAACCCCCTGACGTTCCCACACGTCATGAATGTATATCTGCATCTTGCTATGTTTCAATATGATAAAGTTCGAAAAAATGCACCGCATATGTTCACTAACAGAAAATCTGCTGATAGGTTTCTCAGAGATCTGTCTCCAATGTACTGAGCCTACCGGATATCTCCTCGATAGATAATCCCAAGGTCTCAGCTTTCACCTCTTACCGGAATCTGTGCACCTCTTAGAAGGAATGGGACCTTTGGATGCATGATGTTGTTTTCTCATTGACATGCTGTGTATAGGAATCACAAATCGCCGGTCAAACCATTCCTCACGGCCACGAGAATGACATTTGAGACTGATAGATTTGGATTTGTTCAAACCTGGGAACATAGATGACACTTCTTGAGTTGGCACATAACATGCTGTGTTATGGGACGGACAACGTCACTATTGTATGACGTGTGCTATGAGTTGGTTATTGATGCCTTTTAGCAGATGGTCATGCACTTAAATGGACTGTTATTCTCTTCGTGCACGAAACAGATGTGGGCGCATGGACGAGGTCGAGTAAAGTCATATTACAACCACTTCTGGGATTGGAATGGTAGGATGATTGCTAACCTCGCCGCCAGACAGTCCATGAGGCATCCACGTGGGTCTTTCCGCATTCATCCCCTTGTGTTGCCCAAGCGGAGGGTAGATTGCAGAGTCATAACCAAGCGCGTCCAGACGGGTATGGACATAGGGCTGCTCCAACTGTTATGCCCATAGATAAAATCAATGTGTTTGTCCTTGCATGTGCTGCTTCACTAAGGAGGCAGTGATTCCGGGATGTATTGCTATCATGAATTATATCAGTAATACTTAGACATGCTTTCAGCAGCTGCACAGTGTGTACTCTCCAGATCAGATCTTTCTTGTATGAATCTCCACTTTGTTTATTCACCTACAAAGATATCAAAAATTATTATGCATCTTATGAGGTTGTCTATATAGTCCATCTAGGTAGATTCAAACTGACAATCCATAATAGTGTGTTGGAATACTAGATGTTATGATCACGTTCTGTCGGGCCTTTAACGGCGGTCTATACCGACACGATCATCACAAATATCAAGCGGCCTCACAAGCTGAGGCGTACAACAAGGTACAGATAGTAACCTTGGTCATCCACTCCCAACGGATCACCTTATCGTTGGTCGAGTATCATGAGCCATATTGCGACGGGCATAGAATGCCGCCTTACAAACTACTCACACACCGGGCATCAAGCTCCTAGTCTTTCCTGGCCGGAAGGAGACGAACGGAGAAGCACAAGAGTAGTCGTTATTGAGAGAGACGACTTAGAGAATACCTATGGATACATATATGGTATTCTCACGCCCTATTTCCTAAAGTAGTATAAAAGGCCCATAGAGTAGGCTGAGGTTCTTCAGTCTATTCTCTTCATTCCCCTGTATCTTCACATACAGGGATCTTCATTCTACTGCAGTCTTCCTACTGCAGGCTTCATTGCTATACTGCAATACATCTCTGGCTCCTGTGCTACACGTACAGTCGAGACCATCGTTCCACACATCCTCCACGAGTGACCTAGGGAAGAACCTCCTACTCTTGGGGTTACTGAACGAGCAGTTCGTAACACTAGAATAGACTCTTCTACCCCTACCTTGCTCGCACTAGCTTGCTGCCACACTCTCTCTCATAAACTTGCTCAGTGGAAATATAGACCCCCATCGAGGAAGTGTTACTGCACACACTCTGGAGCAAGACCTAGGCCAGGAATACCCACCCGGCACTAGACGTATAAATAATCAACTCCATCATAACAATCGCCCTATCTGGCGTGAAGGGGAATTTTGGGTCTACGAAGACAATAACAGATTCACCCCTCCGAACTACGATAACTGCTCATACCGAAATGGGCGTTATTACTTCATCCTTGAAGATGGAACAGAAGAAGAGGATATTTGGAATGAAGTAGAGAGCCAGTGGGAACTAGCACCCCAATACAGGGAACCGGCGCCGGTAATCCCTGAAGACTTGGAGCAAGAGGAAACAACCTCAGAATCAGACTCCGACTCACCAGACCAAACACTGATCAACACCCGAAACGAACCGCTCGCCAAAATGTCGGGAAAAGCTTCGACTTCTACAGACCCCCCTTCCGCAACAGTACAACTTGGGAGAGGAAAGGTCAAACTCCCAGACAATTACACAGGCAACCGCATTGAATCCCAGAAATTCATGCTCTAATGCCTCCTTCTCTTCGCAGCAGAATCCGATTGGTATAAGACCGATCAAGACAAGATATCCCTCGTGCTCTCATGCATGAGATATGGCACGGCTGGAGCTTGGTCAGAAAACTTCCTGCTCAAATCAGTAGGGGCGGACCCTCCTACCGATCTGGGCACATGGAGAGACTTCCTAACAAAGTTCAAGCTCCAATTCAGGGAGACAGGCAAGACCGACAAGGCACGAAGCGCACTCATGGCCTTCTCCCAAGGACGAATGACGGTTGATGAATACTCCAACCAATTCATCCTCATTGCCGCTGATGCCGACATCTCCGACAAGGAGCAAGTCCCTTACTTCCAACGCGGGTTAGACCCGCGCGTCATGGACAAGATATATGACAAAGAAGTTCAACCGAAGGATACCATTCAGGACTGGATTAATACCGCCTGCAAAATAGACGGACGGCTCAGAGCAAGATCTGCTCAAAAGGCCATCCTCGCCAATTCCACCTCCTTTCGCAGTGACTACCTAAACCGTTTTCACTCCCAACCCGCTGTCCATTATAACTCCACAACTGCTCCCCGAAGAATGAATAATCAGGTGGTCGACATGGACATCGACGCTACCAGGAAGCGTAACGCCGAAAGTCAAAAGAGAAAATTTGACGGCAAGCGAACCACCTTTTGTTCGAATTGTGGAAAGTTAGGGCACTCTGGCGCTAACTGCTGGTCGGCCCGTAGAGGCGTTCAACCAGTTCGAGAAAACTCGAAGAGACGCTTGGGTACGACAGGGAGAAGAAACCGCGTGGTTGATTTGGAAGGAGAAGACAACGCACCCGCTATGGGAGACCAAGCGGGAATATATCGAGGAGTGGAGATAGAGGATGTTCCTTGCAACGACCAGCGGGTACCACAACCTGGTCCTTCGATGGAACATTCTTACTCTGCCCCATCTGGACGACCCTAAAAAGACCATGGGAAACGCATTATGTTACCTAACGGACGACGGGGAGACGGAAGCGTCAGTCATTCTGCTCGAATTGGAGCAGTGCTAGGAGAATTAGGAGAAGATGAAGCCAGAGAAATAATCTTGGGACACGCGGAGCGTTTTTCCTGACCTCTCCCTCACCAGCAAAGGAGAGAGGTCAAGGAAGACCCGAGTTTGATGCCAACACATGTATTCGTATCGGAGCAATGAATGATCATATCATCACCCCCATACGCCTAAACGTGAAGATATCAAACAGGGATCAATACGCTGGAGCAAAGGCGACCATCGACTCAGCATGCAAAGGGGTTATGAGACATGGGTCAAGAGACATCGTTTCCCCACCTATACACTCAACAACCCCATTCGCATCCGGAATGTTGATGACACCATTAATAAAGCAGGTCTCATCCGATCCGCCTTGGATGTGAACCTCACCATTCGGGACATCCATGGACGAACGCATATTGAGCGCGTCCAGATGTTTATCTCCAATCTAGGGAAGGACGACCTGATCCTGGGAACAGATTGGTTGAAATACCACGATCCCTCCATCGAGTGGAGGCGACGTGAAGTGCACTTTGATCGGTGCCCCCAGAAATGCCAACAACCACATGGGTTTACTAGGGCAAGGGAAGAACCACCAAATAATAGGCGGTTACCAGACGTAGAGCCACGGCACAAACCACGTATCAACGAGCGCGAAAAACAGTGCCTAGAACATCTCCGAAGACTCTCGGAAGATGTAGGACTCCGCAACCACAGCGGAATGTTTGGTGTCCAACTACGAGCATACCTCAAAAAGAAATGGCTCCTACAGGACATAAGGAAATACGCAGAAGGGGAACAAAAGGCTCAAATCAAGCCATCTCTTTCACCAAACGAAGGAGAACCTGATCTCCCAGCCAAACCCTCAGGAAAACAGGCCACAAAGGAACCAGTTATTTGGAAACTGGCTCCCGAACCGTCAGGATTTGCCAGCTTCGACCAGGACTTGGAAGACGAAATCGTCATCACCAATCTAAAGGAAAGAGTTCCCAAGGCGCATCACAAATTTTTGGACATCTTCAGCGAACGAAAGTCGCAGCGACTCCCAGAACACACTTACTGGGACCACGCTATAGATTTGAAACCGACCTTCAAACCTCAAGTACCAAAAATATACGCCTTGAGCCCAGAGAAGCATGATGAACTAGGAAAGTTCATCAAAGAACATCTCACTTGGGGAACCATCCGTCGATCCACCTCGCAAACTGCAGCCCCATTTTTCTTTATAGGAAAGAAAGATGGAAAACTGCGCCCGGTACAGGATTATCGCCATTTGAAC